TTTTAATGCTCCCTCTCACAATGTAACACGCAGTAGAACGGAACTATTTTTTTGTCTTAGAAAAATGTGGAGATAAAAAGACTCTTGTTTTCTCACTTATTTGTATAAATGTAAATCCATAATTATATACATGTGGATATTCACGTATATATTTACATAATTAAAGGCTTACAGGAGCATACGCATTAAAATAGGTGCATAATGCATTATTATATGACTGCATTGTTGAATATAAAAAACTCACTTAAAAATAATGCATTAATCAATGCGCAATACAATGTACAAAATAATTCATGCACGACATGCACATATGTAGTAATACATACATAGTGACATATGCATAGAAATATATTAATAGTGATATGTGCATAGATATATAATCATAGTGACATATGCATAGATATATATTCTGAGTGACATATGCATAGATATATATTCTGAGTGACATATTCATAGAAATATATTCATAGTGACATATGCATAGAAATATATTCATAGTGACATATGCATAGAAATATATTCATAGTCATGCTTGCGTAGTGATACATAGATAATGATACATAGATAGTGATACATGCACAGGGATACATGCATAGAAATACATGCAGAGAGATACATGCAGAGAGATACATGCAGAGAGATACATGCAGAGAGATACATGCAGAGAGATACATGCATAATGAGATATATGCATTGTGATACAGAATTTTTCGCGAAAAATTGTTGGTATAAATAAATTTTTTCTCGAATATATTTCCTATTAAATCTATTTTTTCCCTCACAATTTTTTACAGAAATGCTTTTTTGCTCCAATAATATTTAAAATAAATGTATATTCAAATATATAAAATTTTCACATAATTATTCAAGTCAAAAAAAATTTCAAAAATGAACAATGTTCAAATAGGCACATTCTTATCGTGAAAAAAAAAAAAAAAATGCTCATAAAAGCTGAGTTTTTAAATATGTATATGTAAGTCACCTTAAACCCAAGCTAATTCAAAAACATACTATATTAAACATAACTCTGACCATTTGCTGATCTATTTGTATAAATATTTACATAAAAAGATCACAGCACAAAAGCATACAGCTTAATATGCGTACTGTAATAGCGAGACATTCGGAATACGCATGCTGATGCATGGGCACGTGGTTGCGTAGCCATACACATTTATATATACATACAAATCAAAATTATGCATACATATATACATTGTACGTATAGATAAGAATATACATTATATGTACGGGAAAAAATTATACATACAAATACATACTATACATACAAATACATACTATACGTACAAATATATACTATACGTACAAATATATACTATACGTACAAATATATACTATACGTACACAGATATGTTATACGTACAAAGATATGTTATACGTACAAAGATATGTTATACCTACAATTATATACTATAGCTACAAATATATAGTATACCTAAAAATATATATCATATGTACAAATGTATATCATACCTACAAATATATATCATACCTACAAATATATATCATACCTGCAAATATATATTATGCCTACGAATATATATCATGCCTACGAATATATATCATGCCTACGAATATATATGTATATATATACATAAGTACACATACACATACAAATACACTCACATATATGCATCCATGTATTATATATAGCACATACAAAATATATGCGTGTTTATATAAGTGTTATTTTATAAGCACATGAAGGCGTATGCATATATATATACGTGCATTTTTATGAACTCATAATACTACACAGGCACGTTGTTACATATTAAATCTACGGCATACGCATGTTGTTGCTAATGCAAGCTGTTAAATAAGTACACGGTAATATATTAATAGCGTTACATGTTCTTGCTTGTAATTTTAAGCAATAGCATGCACAGACATATAAGCATAACTATGCATACATAAAAGTGAACTAATAAAATATATATTTTTATGCATGCGAAAAAATATTCCCAATACTAAATACAGTATTTCCAAAAAAATACACGTAGCATGCAATTTTTATCACCAATTTAAATACATAAAATATGATTCATTATGTATTTTGAATTTATTAAGTAAATAAATAAGAGTGTATAACAACTACTTTTAGTTGTATGCTCCCTAAAATAAATAATGCAGATAATATTTAAATAATTTTTATAATTTTTTATTTCATATTCTATGATATTCTTTTATATAATCTATGAGAAGAATAATTTGATATTCATTTCTTCCCTTTCCTTTGTTCTCTTTTGGTGCGTGCAGTTTTGATATGTTTCGTTGTTTGGCTAATAGCTATACCCAAGTATATTTTAATAACTATCTATCCGTATTTTAGTAGCTACTCAAGTGTATTTTAATTACTACATTTGAATATTTTAATAATTATCTTTCCGTATTTTAGTGGCTACCCAGGGATAATTTAGTAGCTACCCGAGCACATTTTAATAACTATCCTTTCATATTTTAGTGGCTACACATGCGTAATTTAGTAGCTACCCGAGCACATTTTAATAACTATCCTTTCATATTTTAGTGGCTACACATGCGTAATTTAGTAGCTACCCGAGCACATTTTAATAACTATCCTTTCATATTTTAGTGGCTACACATGCGTAATTTAGTAGCTACCCGAGCACATTTTAATAACTATCCTTTCATATTTTAGTGGCTACCCATGTGTATGTTAATAACTATCTTTGCTTTTTCCATCGTAGCCTTTATATCTTTCAACACAACCTTTGGTTTTTTGACCATAACCTTTGTTTTATTCATTACAACCTTTGTTTTTTTCACCAGAACCATTTCTTTGTTTTTCTCTTTTTTTTTTTTTTTTGTCATTGTTTTGTCACTTTTGCTACTTATATTAGCATTGTGTTTTTTTTTTTTTTTTTTTTTTTTTTCCCGTTTGCCTCCTTTTTTTGCTACAAACAATGCACCACCGTGACTCATTTTTAAGAGAAATAGTGTTTACATATGATCATGTATTATAATTTAAAAAAAGTGAAAAAAATATTACATTATAAAATTAACCCTTTCTTATTTTGGGGGGATGCGGGTAGTACCATTGGTTGAGGAAAATACGGAAATGTGTTAAGATGTCATTGTTTAACATTTGTTGGTTATACATAAGAAAATGGTAAATAAGTGGTGGAACTGAAAATTAACCATATATATATGCATCAATTGATCTAATTTCACTGCATATACATATGTGCATGCACATTAATATATATGCACATTCAATCAAGTGTAATGTTGTGACATGCAATTTGTATTATTTTACCCATAGTCACAGTTGTTTTAATATGTATAATATACATTTCATGGTCCCTACGTCAATACATTAGTACGATAGTGGAACTAGGTCGCAGTACATGCACATTCTCATGTGTGTAATTTCATATATACATACGTGTAATACTTGCGTGTAACATACATGTGTATAAAAAATGCATAAAGCACTTATGTAATTTCTATGTATAAATGGAGTGTACATATACTTGGGACATTTGCTTATATGAATAACATAAAAGAATAAAAAGCATATGTACATATAACGTTATTGCATTCACGCAAAAAAGAAAGTTGGGATGTGTACATTCATTAGATACATGAAATGCCCCCCAAATAAGTATTGTGTCACCAAGAACCATTATCTTTTATATGTTAGAGGGAAGATAAATAGAATAAATGTTTTTTTAAAAAAATATTCTAGGCTGCATGATACATGTAAATACATAAATTTAACCCAGTTCAAATTTCCATGTGTGCATGTATAAATAAAATTTATACCACACTTTTATACACATGCATTTTCAAATTATTTTAAAAAAATTATTCTTCTTTCATAAAAAAAAAATTTTAATTAAGGTGCACATTGTAAGTATGATGCTTCAGGGGCATGGCGGTACCGTTGCATAAGTGTTTTTTATAAATAGGATCATAAAAAAGGTAGATAACGACCACATAAAAATGTATGCCCATATATAAATGCGAGAATTCATTAATAAGTATTAATAGGTATACGTTTCGGGGATTATGTTTGTCCTGGTTTGTTCTTAGGCATACATCATAGTCTCATGTCAATGACATATATGTTCAAAGTGATATATTTATTTGACGTATTTCATAGCCTTATGTTCGCGCGAGTGCACTAGCAGAATTACATTCTTACAAGTGCACTTGTAAGTTTCTATTCGTGAGAGTGCACTTACGGGAATACAACAAGGAAAATAAAACTTGGGAATACAGCATGGGCATACGGCGTCGACACGGAACGTGTGAATGGAATATTGAAACGTAACATAGGAACATAGCATAGGAATACATTAGCAGACATATATATATGTATGATATTGCATAAATATAGAAAAGCGAAAAATTATAACACAAAAAAATAAAAATATATATACCAGAAAAAATGAAAAATTACATAAAACAATAAAAGGCCTTTGTATATATGAAAAAAATATATACTTTAGTTCAAAAAAAGAAAATTTACATATATATATACATATATATATACGGGCATACATACACTATTAACATACATATGTAACAAGAGCATACTATGAAAGATAAATACACAAAATAAATAACGGAAAAAATAATCCTTAAGTCAAGAGATTCGAAATAGAGGTAAAAACAAAAAAATGTAAATGCGATAAAAATGCGTTGGCAAAAAAAAAAAAATGAAAAAGAAAATATCATTTTTTGCACAACTTAAAAATATGTACATATGTATACACATATATATGTATAAAAATGTTGCATATATATTTATTAAAAATGTGAACTTTTAAAACAATACATATAATATATAATTTTTATGCAAAGCTAATCATTTACAATATAACTAGAAATTTAGAGAACTGTTCAATTCTGCTATTTTACTTATACAAGTTTACTCCATTTTGCTCTACTGTACTTTATGCTGTATATATTTTCCTTTATTTCATAGTATTTTATTTTTTTAATGAAACATGCAAGGGGAAAATAATATAGGAAAATTAAATATTGTTGGTTTAATATCAGGGGGAAAGGACAGCATACAAAATTTGGTGTACTGTTCTGAACATGGTCATGATATTATTGTATTAGCTCACCTTATACCGTATGAGAATCAAAGTAAAAAAAAACTCGAATCAGTGTTTTGATATATGTATTTTACTGTTGTCATTACATGAACATATGCATATCTGCATATATATGGCTTGCACCCATAAGTGTTGAACTTAATTGTGTTTTCATTATATGGAATATGGGAATATCCCTTCTTTTATATACACTCACGTATAAAAGTGTATACCCATAAATAGTAGCACTCATGCATAGCAATGCTACTGTTCATATGACTACCTCAATCAGCACAATACCTATGTGCTTGCAGACGGGGAGTACACACTGCAGTAAAAACCTAATGCAGCACATCATATATATATACAGCTTTCATTCATTTTTTGTGGTGCTTAACTATGCATTTTTTTTTTTTGCTTCTAAGTCTGGTTGCAGTTCTCTTTTATTTTAAAATAATGCATTCATACATTATACTTTTATTTTCTTTGAAATTTTTTGAATATGCTTAGCTTTTTTTTTTTTTTTTTTTTTTTTCTTTTAACAATAGCACAGATTAACATGCACGATATTCGTTTTTAAATTAAACGTATTTTTCCTGTTATATTTATGTATTCCTCGCTTATAATGTTGCTTGTTTTTATTTTTCATTCCGTACACTTTCTCTTATTTTTCTTGTGCATTTTTGCGGCATTTTTTTTTTTTTTTTTTTTTTTTTTTTTTTTTTTAAATTTCGTGCCCTGGCATTGGGGTTGCAAAAAAAAAAAAAAAAGAAAAATAGGTTAAAACTGTTTCACCTTTTTCGTTTTCATTTTGCACTTATTATTCCTTTCATTTTTACTTTTCTTCTTACGTCATTAAAAAAAAAAAAAAAAAAAATCGACCTTTTCCTAGAACAAAATTCGTTCATATGTTCACACACACTTGTGCATTCCCACTAACACACACATATATATACATGTAATGTAATCACATTTTTTGTAACTTCTTTTTGCATTTGTCTAACATAATTCGTAGATGAGACTGATAGTTTTATGTATCAAAGTGTTGGGTTTGAACTTATTCCTGAAATTGCCAAGTGTATGGAAAAGCCTTTAATTCAGCATCAAATTAAAAGTATATATTAATACATTAAAAGGGGGGGGAAAGGAGGGGAAAAAATAAAATAAAAAAATAATTCTATATAAAACTGCAGTCATAACAATAATACTTATTCATATATATTCTTTTTGCATTCATTTTGGTTTATTTCTCGTAATAATAAAAATCCATTCTTTTCCTTTCAATGTTATGAAATAAAACTAAAATTCAAAAGAGACAATAAAATAGAGAATATTTCCTAATTTTGATATTACACAATTTCTAAAATTATGGCATTAAATGATTTCAAAATATAATAAATTATAAACACACGACTGTTAATATATGCTCTGTATCTATTCTATTAGGAAAGGCAGTAAATCTGGACTTGGATTATGTATATAATTCTAATGACGAGGTTGAAGACTTGCATGAATTGCTACTAGAAGTTAAGGTAGGAGAGGGTGTATAAGTATTTTTACATATATGTATACATAAGTGCAACGAGCATGTGTAGGAATTAGAGTAAATATGTGATCTCCGAGTATACCGGGATACAAAAGCAAATATACATGTTTTCTAGGTTCATGCATATGCTTATTTCTTCTTCTTTTTTGTAGACTAAATACCCTCAAGTAGATGCAGTATCCTGTGGAGCTATTCAATCGAATTACCAAAAAAGGCGCCTTGAGCATGTGTAATAAAATCGTACACATTTATCTAAACTTGTTGGGACTCTACATCTCTATCTTTTTCATTTTGCATCAATTTGTTTTCTCCCTCACCCCTCTCCCTTTATTTTAATCTTTCTTTTTTCTGTCCATTTATTATCCCGAAGATGTCAAAGACTAAATTTTCAAATTGTAGCTTACTTGTGGGAAAGGAATCAGGTATAATAAAATTTTACAAAGTACTAAAAAGGAGAATACTACTATAGAAGTATATGTAGGTAATATTATGTTTAAAATGATTTTGTCGCATTCCATTTTCCTTTATTATTTTTTTTTTTTTTTCATAGGTGGAAGTGTTACAAAATATGATTAGTGGTGGACTGGAGGCCATAATTGTTAAAATAGCGGCTTACGGTAATGTCTATTGAAAAAATATAAAAATAAATAAGGAAAAGAAAAGCAAAAATAGAGCAAACTAAACCAAAATAAACTAAAATAAAACAATGTAAACTAAAATAAAACAATGTAAACCAGAATAAAACAATAAAAAACAAATTAAAACAATGTAAACCAAACTAAAACAATGTAAACCAAACTAAAACAATGAAAAACAAACTAAAACAATGAAAAACAAAATAAAACAAAATTAATATACAAGTGCATTAAGCATTGGAAGTGTGTTTTATTTTTTACATAATTATTGCACTTGTATTCCTTAAAAAAATTAAAAAAAACTGGGAAATAAAAGGAGTGCGTAAAAAAAAAAAAAAAAAAAAATAATAATAAAAAATAACCATACACAGACCTTTTAAAAAAGGCCATCTCCTTCGCCTTGATTTTAGTTTATGCACGCATTCATTGTTTCACTGCGTTCCTTTAAATTACTTCATTCGTGCACTCATTGAAGTGTGCTACCCTTTTTGGTTTATACACTTATATCACTTTGTTACATTATATGCTCATATGCCAGTATCCTTATTTCATTATTTTTTTTTTTTTTTTTTTTTTTTTGTGGCCTCAACCCCCCCCCCCCACTCCTGCCTAACGAACAAAGGCTTAACTAAGGAACACATAGGAAAAACTATAAAAGAAATATACAACTATCTCGAAATGATGAGTGAGAAATATGGTTTGAGTATATGTGGTGAAGGGGGAGAATATGAAACATGTACCTTGGATTGCTCACTATACAAGCACAAAATTGTAATAGAGGAATATGATATAATTCAGCACACAAATGATATGGTATGCCCCGTTTTTTTATTTAAGCCTTTGAAGTGGAGACTTGAAAAGAAAAAAGATCCCTGACACTTATTCCCCTACGTATATTTTTGTGTATTGCACTTGTTATCCAAATCGAAATTCGTAATTGAATGGCTCTTTTGCCTTTAGCTTTAAATAGGAATGCTTTCTGCTTCTCCAACATACATTTAGCGGGAATTTACATATCGTTTGAAAATAAATATGAGAACGGTTTACACTTTTACACAACTTTTTTTTTTTTTTTTACGTTTTGCACACAAGAAGTTTGCGTTTCATTATTTTTTCCACATGTTTTGTTTTACTTTAAATATTTTGTTGAATTTAAATTGACCTTAAAACAATGTTTTTCCATTATCCTACATGGGAAAAATTTATTTGCTAGTTATTTAACAAACGGGAATAAGTACATATCCGGAGGGGAAATGGAAAGCATAGAATGAATAGAAAGTATATAGCAAAAATAGGATGATTAAGAAAAGTGAAACTTTAAAAAAATTGAATAGCTTGAAAAAACATAAAAAACAAATAACGTACACACACGGTTGCATGTAATGCACAAGCACGCGGTTAAATTTACTTATTAAAGAAATTCTCAACAAAAGTAGAAACCCAACGCAAAAAAATAAAAAGACTGCAAATATGTTAAAGAATGGTTTACACTTACAAATTCGGCATGCGCGCAAAGACACGCTACATGTGTCGTAAATGCCTACGTTACAAAACATTTGTTTACAGGTACATGTCCAAACGTGCAAACATATTTATATGTACACATATTGAAACAAAAATGTGTAATTGAATAGTAACCTGCGTTACAGTGGCACTACACAAAAATATTACATGTGGCCCCTTGATTGTATCTACGGGAACTTTAATTATACATGCATAAATGTGCACATCTATGGTGACACATTTCTATATGCATACCATAAGCTAATTCTAAGCATATCATTTGGAAGATTGCTCTCCTAATTACCCATTAAGCGCGGAAAGTGTAAACGCCAAATTAAGTTAAATTTGGCATTTTATCTTGAAAAAAAGGAGAAAAACAGTATGAAAAATTAAATAAAGATGGAAAGAAAGAATAAAAGAATGAATGAAAGAAATACAGCGGGTGCAAAACACAACGAAATCAAAAGGTGAAAGGAATTCTTTTCAACGCTGTAGGAGTCAATTAAAGTGGCATGTTTTGTAAGCTATATATGTACATCTCTTGTGCATCCGGAGTCAGCATATGGAGTAATTTTCTTTTTTCCAACAGGTTACTAAATAGCTGGATATATGGCTTCATAGTATGTGCTGAATTTGCCTCTGAGATTTTATTTATGTGTTTGTTAATAACATTTTTTATATCTGGAAAATTTTTTAAAAAATTGCTAGAACAGTTTTTCAGGCATTTATTCTTAATATCAATCAGTATATATTTTGTTGTAATCTTTGATATCATAAGTTTCTTCTTTTCCTCCTCTATTTGGTTCAACGAATTGTATTGGTTTGTCTCTTGGTTCCCTTCTCCGTTCTTGTCATATTCTCCCTCTGTTTGACTAATCGCTGAACACGACCTTTCCAAAACCATATTTCCAATTTGATCATTTAACAAATAGCTTTCCTGCACAATTGCACTTTCCACATTTGAATTGTTTCTATTTTTGTATTTATGGCCATCATCAAATCGGCCTGCATACCGATCAGCATTTTCCAAATTAATACTGTGTTCATGTTCGAATGCCTCATTGACAGCAATTTCACTGTTAGACGAACTTTTTCCCTTTAGCATGATACATCCATTACGAAGCATGTCACCATGGTAAATACTGTTATGATGACCATTACTAATGTTGTTGCGATAATCCTTGCTAATATTCTCATGATAAGAGTTACTAACGTTATTATTGGTACTGCTATAATTACTGTTACTGACGTTGTTCTTGTTGTTGTTATTATTACTGTTACTAATGTTATTGCTATTAATGTTTTGCTGCTTGCTATCATTCTTCTTATTTTTATTATTACTAATCCCATTACTGTTCTTATTGCTGTTCTTGCTGCTTTTCCTATTGCTATACTTGCTATTATTTCTGATGGGTAAAGAATACTTCCTTTCAATGGCCATATGATTCGCTACGGCTCCCTGGCCATGCGTAAGGCCCTTATTATTGTTGTTCCCAAGGTTGCTAATAAACGTTTCAATATTGTGATACGGATTTACAGGCTCCTTCATTTTGTGGTTATTAAGCAAGGTGTGGCACATGTCTATTTCTCTACTTTGACTGTTGCTATCGATACTATTTTTTCCATCGTCCAAGCTGTTATTAAGAAATATGGAATTATCACTACATAGATATTTGTCACTCTCGATATTCAAATTATTTATTGTGAATTCACAATTTCCAATAAAATATGATTCCTCCTTCGTTTCAACGTCATTGAAATTCCGATTGCACTTCGTGTTCATGGAACCCCTACAACTTTGTGAATTCAAAAGTTCTTGAAAATTATTCCTATCTGAAATTTCGGCATAACTTTGCACAGTGGGGCCCGATGCACCCGACAAATTCATATCAATGGATAAGTCATTACTACTGCTACTATTATTATTGTTGCTGCTAGTGCTGTTGTCATAAGTGTTACTGTTATTATTCTTCTTGTCATTACTATCCACATTATAATCATTCGGTGTATGTTCACTATTCCTTACGCACACAGTGAATTTATTACTTGCATATTTAATCGGGACCATGGCACTGCTATTTCTTACAGAATTGTCGATATTAAAAGTAGGGTTACTGTTATTTTTGTTAGTGTCATTGATGATGTGGTTATTTCCGTTACTGTCACATGTTAAGTACACGTTGTGGATGTTCTCATAGTGGGCTGATTCATTATTTAAAAATTCTTCATTGATTGAAAATGAAACTTCTTGACAAGGAATACCTTTTTTATAGTGTTCATTCGAGTAAGAATTTTCATTTTCCTTATAAGCAACGTGTTCGCTCTTTTCTAGTTGTGCATTTAACTTGTTGTTTATTATACTTTTGTATAAATTTCTATTAATTAAATTAAAATAGGTATTACTGTTTTTTATTCTATCATTACTTAGTTGATTATTTATCAATTTGTTATACAGTTCATTATTTATTAGTTTATTATGCAATTCTGTGTTTATCAGCTTATTTCTTGTATCATGTGCTTCATCCATCTTTTCATTCTTTATTTTTTCTTTATTGTTCATAAAGTTACTATTCATATTCTGTTCACGTTTTGCATTCATATTGAGGTGTTCATATGTTTCCATTTCTTTTTGATGATTTTGTATACTATTACTTCCATTTCTATTTCCGTTTATCACTGATTCATTTCTTTTTTTATTCATCAAATTAGTAAAATGCATTTTTCTCTTATTATAGTTGGCCTCACTTGATTCATTTTTATCTGGACATTCTAAAATGAATTCATTTCCCATTAACATTTCTTCCAAATACCTATGCCTTTCAACGCTGTGCGCATCAGATCCACATTGATAGCTCAACAAGGGGTTAATGATATCTCTGACATGGTCTTCCACATCTACTTCATTTGGGGTTAATAACCCACTGTTCAAATTGGCACTGTTTGGATCATCAATCTTTTGTGGGATATCCCCTTGTACAATAAACTTTTGTGAATATCTGTTCAAGATATCAATTCCTTCTTTTCCTTGTTTTCTACATGCGTTTTCAACATTGTTCCATGGAGAAACAAACTTTGTGAATGATTGTTTCTTTCTCCTCTTCTGCTTTTTTTTGGTTGATTGGTTTTTATCACTGGGCATATTTTCCAATGCTGGAAATGGAGAATTTACAATGTTTCCAAGCGAGATATTCCCGTCATTTGCACAGTTCATCTCGTTCAATTTCGTAAACAAAGTCTCACTTGCGTCATGACTAATTCCTCTTTCCAGGGATGTGCACCTCACGTTTTGATTTCGACAAGTGATAGCTAACAACCTTGCATTTTGAAAACCGTATTTTTTGACTGAAAAATATTTATGAAGAGTTTTACAATTTGCCCTCCAATGAGATACCCACAAATTCTGTTTTCTGTCATAACTTACCCCAGTGATTTTTGGTAAATATTTCAGCTTCTCATAAAATTCCACCTTTTCCTTTTTGAACTCTCTTTGTTTAACTTTTTTTTGCATATTTATAGCCTTAGCATCATCCATAACGGTGTTAAGAGATTTATTTAAAATAATTTCCTCATTCTTATCAACAATATCAGGGAGTTTCTTTCTGATGCCATTGCTTCTTTTTTTTTGCATTCTTCTATTCGTACAATTATTCTTAGAAGAATCATTACACATATTTATTGCTTTATCATCATTTGCATTTTTATAACTACTATTAATTATGATATTATAATGAGATAATATATTTTGTATATTTCTTCCCTTTCCTCTGTCATATGTATGTTCATTGACATTACAAGTATGGTTCACTATATTATTTTTTACAGCTACGTTAGTCAAAACGGATGATGGCGCATTCATTTGTAAATTATTTTTGCACTTATTGGATTTTCCTTCACTGTTAAATGGTTTTATTATGGTATTATTTATAAAATTATCAACTGGGAAATCTCTATTATTCGTGTGACAAGTGCTTATAACAGTTCTGTTTGTACATTTAGCAACTTCACAATTTATCACTGCATTACATATTTTAAAAGTGCTCATTCTCTGTACGTTTTCTTGGCAACCAAATGGATATGTACTTCCACGCTCCCCTATCACTTTGTTATTTAAAATGGAACTTTCGTACTTATTATCATCCTCCATGTGTTCTTCATCATTTGTTTTCTTTGAATAGTTGTATAGAATATAATCGTTAGCCTGTTTTTCAACTACATTGATCTTGTCCGTTTGGGGACTTATTCTAATGAAATAGGGGGGGTTCAAGTTGCTACCCCCGTTCACACAGTTCATATTGCTAGCCGTACTCACGCTGCTGATATTGTTCATATTGCTAGCCGTACTGACGCTGCTGATATTGTTCATATTGCTAGCCGTACTGACGCTGCTGATACCGTTTATGGTGTCAAAATTGCTTGCATTCCTGAAATAGTTCCCTTTGCTTATATTTCTCCACGGGCTCACGTTGTAACTCTTCGAAAAATCCTCGTGATTATTTTCATAATTGTCGTGGGTTGAGCAACTGGATGATGCCGTGCTGAATTCTCCTTTACAGGAACTTACTTTTCCTTCAAAGTTCCCCTCGATTGTGTGCAGAAAAATATTATGATCATCATTGTTCTTGTTAATATCCCTCCCATTTCCAAGAACATGGCTGCAAACATAATTCCTTGGATTATTAATTCCGTTGAATGTGCTTGATATACATTCCTCACTTAATTTGCAGCAAGTGTCAACAGCAACCTTCCTACTGCAATTAAAGCATACAGAGCGATTATTACAAATAGTATAGTTATAATTGCTGTTAAGATTTGCATTACCACTGCTGTCAAGATTTACATCACCACTGCTGTCAAGATTTACATCACCACTACTGTTGAAATTTGCATCACCATTGCTGTTAACATTTGCATCACCATTGTTGTTAAAATTTGCATCACCATTGTTGTTAAAATTTGCATCACCATTGCTGTTAACATTTGCATCACCATTGTTGTTAAAATTTGCATCACCATTGTTGTTAGGGCTTATTCTCCTATTAACACCCTGCTCAAGCAAAATACCTGGAGTATCACTTAAGTTGACTTCACCAGCAGTAACAGAATTATTATAGGTTGATGATATGTCATTGTGTGTAATAAATACGTTATTATATATCCTTTGATTATCATAAATGGTAATATTATCTATGCTCTGTCCATTGTTCTTATCAGCATTGCTACGATCACAAGGTGCACCCAAATTATTTTCTTTTTTCTTCATTTTCCCCTCATTTGTGTTGTCAATAATTATGCCAGCGTTGTTATTATCCTTTTTATTATTATGAGCATTATTACTTCTACTATTACTGCTTCTATTACCGCTACTATTACCGCTACTATTATTGCTTCTATTACTTCCATTAGAGTCGCTGTCATGACGAAATATAACCTTTCTTAGTGAAGCATCCCCTTCATGAATTAACAATTCATCAGTAACTAAATATTCACTTCCATTATCATCCTTTAATTTATTCTCTTTATTATCAAATTCTTTATTTCTTTCTATATGTTCCACCATGGCTATGTTTAATGCGCCATTTAACGTATCGCAATCATTTGACAATACTTTGCTCCCATCTTTCCTAATGAATTCTTCTGCTTTATCAGAAATGTGATTCATAAAATCCAACTCCCCAGGTAAGCCCTTTCGTTCCTCTATTTCCTGCTGATTCCGGGGATAACAACGGTCACCCAAAGTACTGTTACTGCTGTTAACTATAATGCTAGTTTTTCTACTATCGATGAAGTGACTATTATTAATGACATTCATACGATCATTTATTTCTCTTCTATTTCCATTCTTCACGTGCATGAAGCAATGATCATGAATTTTTTTTTCTTGTAAGTTTTTAAAATGGTCAACAAAATTGTCGTGATTTGTTTTTTCCTCACCTACGATACAAAAATAATTGTTGCCAATAATTTTCTGATGAATTTTTTTTCTATTATTGTGACTCCCTTCAAGTGATACTGTTCTGCACAATGGGTATGTAGAATTTTTTTTTTTTTTTTCTTTATTTTCCATTTCACTTACTGCACTCAAATTTGATGACTCATTTTTCATAACTATGCTAATGTTGCCCATTGTTTTGTTAATCCGGTTATTTGATTTATCTACCTTTAAAAATTTTTTCTTTTCGAAAATTCCTTCTTTTTTTTTTTCCACTTCATTGATTAAGGGTCGTTCAGGCAATTTTTCTGGGAAATAAAATGTGCAAAATCCCACTTCGTCGTGCATTTCATGTGGTTTATAAAACGAGCCACATATTTCATATGTTTTACATTTTTTACAATTATTATTACTAACTGTATCAAACGTGAAACTTCCCTTAGTTTCCCATACCATCCTCAACTTAGGTATATTCTTCAAAATAGTCAATTCTTCATTTTTCACTATTTGTTCATTATTTCCGATCCTACATTTCCACAGATTATTGTTCATTTGGATATTCGAATATGTTGTAGCATCTTCTGCGCTTGCACCATGACTGCATATTAACTCTGAGTTGTCGCTACTTACATCTTTTTCCATAACCTTTTGATGACAAATCTCCTTTTTAATGTTTCCTGCTTCTTCCTTCATGGGATATTTAGTAAACATGTTCATATTGGACAGATTCGTACTTGTTAATTTTCTCAATGTCTGCATCTCTTCATTCGAATTCACTTCATGTGTCTTGCATATTTTCTCATGAACTTCTTCTTTGTAACAACTTGATCCATTATTTTCACATGAATTGCTCATTATAATATAATTATTATTCATACTAATAACTTCATTCCATTGGTTAATATTAACGTTATTTTTACCTTTACTAGCTCCATAGTGACTTACATAATTCGATTGAATAATGTTTTTTTTTTTTTTTTTGCACTCCTTAATTGTATTATTTTCCCCCCTACCATTGTTATTATTCACATGTTCTTCTCTATACACATTTCCTAAATTGAATTTGTGATTTATTTGTTCATTACACTTATTCACATGATCAATGTGAATATTATTTAAGGGGTGAGGAATTCTTCTTCTATATTCATCTACTTGTGTAATTCTGCTTGTATTATTGGCTGAATTACATGATTTCTTTGCTTTCTCATTATTACCCACTTGGTTAACAGACACGGGTTCTATATAACTGCACAACATATGATTTTCCTTTTTATCGTTTATATTAGAAATTAAATTCGGCATACCCTGATTGTTATCAGGGTTAAAGTTACGATGATTCCGATTTATGCTTTGTTTCACAATTTCATTTTCATTTTGTTCTTCATTATTAATTGTATTTCTATTTGTAAGCACACAAACACCATTTTGCATATCCAATTTAGTGGAACTTGTTATTTTCCTACTATCATCTACATTATCACAATTCAATTTATACAGATTAGATAATTTCTCTGAATTGGATACTTCAGACGATTTCAAGAAAGGAGTATCCCTATTTTTAATCTCATTATTTCCTTTTTTTTTTGCAATTTGTTTTTTTGAATCTATATACATATTCTCAGAATTGATAAAGCAATGGGAAGATGTATGCACCAAGTTGTTATTAATACAATTACGGTGGAATGGTATGACCATACAGCTGCTATTGTTAATATCTGATGCATGTTCTTCATTCGATAGGTTCAATTTATTGATTAAAAACTTTTCACAATTCTCAGTATTTAAGTAATTTTTTACGTTCTCGAAACATTCTAAAAATGATAGTTTATTCCTGTAGTTCAAGTTTCTTTCATCAAACTCTTTACTCATACTTCTTCTAATGTTAGAAACTACAGAAAATTCTTCATTTGTTGATAAGTTTTCATTAATTCCTTTATTTATTATCCTGCAGATGTTACTACTGTGTAATTCTCCCCTGTCATTCTCAGAACTGATATGTTTTCTCCTTTCCACATTGTTATTCATGAGATAATCCGCCCGACAATTATCAATATAGTAAGGAATATTTTTCTTATACTCCTCAGGGTAAATTATCCCTTTGTTAACGTTAGATATACACTGATTTAGGATATTTGAATTAAGATTTTTATTTATTTGTTTATTGAAACATTGGATAAAATGATTATTAGTTATGCTATTATAAGTTATACTATTATTAGTTATGCTATTATTAGTTATGCTATTATTAGTTATGCTATTATTAGTTATGCTATTATTAGTTATGCTATTATTAGTTATGCTATTATTAGTTATGCTATTAGTAGTTATGCTATTATTAGTTATGCTATTATTAGTTATGCTATTATTAGTTATATTGTTATTAATTATGTTGTTATTAATTATGTTATTGTTAATTATGTTGTTATTTATTATGTTATTATAAATAATATTATTCTGTAATAAACTATTCATTTCGTTATATCCACACTTTGCAGTACAATTGTCTATCTCATTATGACAATTTAAAATTGTACAAAATTTCTTCTCTAAAATTTGCCCTTTCTCACTAGGTAACACATCCATATTATGAATAATATTTTCATTAATTTTGTAATCAGCTGTTTCTACTAGGTAGTTATTATTCGATCTATTTTCATGTGTGTCAGGTCCACGGATTTGCTTAATTCTTCCATTTTTATACGTTGTTTCAATATTAGATTTGCTTTTGCAAAAATGTGAAAAATTAAATTCATCTGAAGCAACACTTTCTTTATTACAGTATGTATTTCTCATTTCAATCATTTTATTTTCCGTTCTATTGCTACCATTAAAATTTATGCCCAATGTATGATTCGATGTATTTTCCAATATTTTATTTATATTTTCATTAGGAAGATGCGTACTATAAATCTCTTCATTGCTATAATTCTTTTTAACGTTATAAAAAGAAAAATGATTATTACCCTCCTTCTCCCTCGTGCAGTAATTGTGATTGTCCTCTGCAGAAATGTTCTGGTGTTTACTTCCATTCATTGGTTCCTTGTCGGTTGAATTTTTTATAAAATTAGATATTCCACTACTGCTTACTATATTATCATTAAAATTTGTATAGTTATTATATGTTGCGATATTCATAATTCTAGCATTTTTTTTTTTATTACACTGACCAATATACATATCCTTATACATTGTACATTTTGTAAAATCTATATCAGTTTCAAATTTCTTCATATTACTGTTTTCATAGTTCACACTTTTTGGTAAATGTACATCTAGCCGTTTGTTCTGGATTCCCTGCCTTTTGTTATTCAATTGGTTATAATAAAACTCTCTAGTTGCATTATTCATATGATTCACATTCTGTGTGTTCAACTCATTTTGTGCGTTCAATTCATTTTGAACGCTTTTGTTATGTAATATATTACAAGTATTGTTATACATTTCAGCGTTTTTATCATTGCAGTTCATCTTATTATTCTTTATATTAGGTTCACTAAATATGTTATTCTCAAATGCTACATATTTCGATATATTTGCACTTTGATTCTGAGTGTTAACCAAATTTTCGTTTTCAATTGATACATGACAATCGATGTTTATATTTCCGAAACTGTACTTTGTGTTCATATTGTCTACTATTGAACATTCCAAAGAACAACATTAATACGTGTTGCTTCTTCTGATGCTGGTGGTAATAGTAGTGATGGGCATATAGCTAGCCCGATTCTATATTTGTGTATGTGTAATCACCTACCTGTATAGGCACGCATGTGAGTGTTTATGCTTCTTCTATTCTCAAATCTTGATTTCTGTTAAATGAAACTTTTAACTTTAAAAATAAAATAACAGAAGGGCAAAAAAAGGGGCATATTTGTAGCAAAAAAAAAAAAAAAATAAAATAAAAAATAAGCAGCGCTTCTTTGAACGCTCCATCTCCGTTTCACTGAATAAGACGTGAAATCGTTCATAATGTTAATTCACTTTTATTTTATATATATTTATTTATTTATTTACTACTGACTGATTGTCAATGTATCATTACGTGCTAACATCAGTCGTAAAATATGTGTGAAAAGTGTTGTGTTCATTTATAATGCAAAAAGAAGTATTTAAAAATGGGGGTTAAGCACATGTATTAATCAAAGTGGGATGTAATGAAAGGAGGTTAAAAACAAAGTGCGATAAAACGATTCAAAGTGAGGTAAAATGAATCAAAGTGGTGCCACGTAAGGTAAGACAAATCTAAGTATAATGAATCAAAACGTGGCAAAGTGAGATAAAAATAATCAAACTTAGGTATAATGAAGCAAACTGAGGTATAATGAAGCAAAACGAATCAAGGTAAGACAAAATGAAGCAAACACAATCAAAGTGAAACAAAATCAAGCAAGTCGAATCACAATAACGCAAAATATGAGTCACTTTTTTTTGAACCAATTAATGTACCTAAAAAAAAAAGTGCTATGACGGAGACACAATAACTGTTTGTTCTCCTTCCAATTTTCGTTAAACTTGCAGCAAAATCCATTATTACTATTCTGCGCATAAAAATAACTAAGGGGGGGAGGAGTAAATTTTTCAAATAATAAAGTTTGAAAAAAAAAAAAAATTAAATGAAAAAAATAAAGAAATCAAATAAAATAAAAGAAAATCAAATAGAATCAAATTAAATAAAGGAATAACAAAGCAAAGGAAGCAAGTAGGACCACGTTCTAAATCTAATATGCGTGTTTACAATTAGGGACATCAGAATGTGTAGCGCGAGGAGGCGTAGTTAGTAAAACTGTATTGCTGATGGAGTTAGTCTAACAGGAAAAGAAGTCGTCTTATATAATTATTTAATGCCTCTGCAACTAAACACACTTATAATTTCAATTAAGTTGTCAATAATGACTACATTTACAAAAAAAAAAAAAAAAAAAAAAAAAAAAAAAACATTAAATAGATGAATGAATAAGTAAATTACAATAAAGTAAAAGGAGATGGGGGTGAAATAAATTAAATAACACTCTCCTATGAGCCTACACGAAATAACTAACATAAATAAGCGGCAAAGAAATTCTCGTGCGCAAATAAGTGTAGATTAACTCCCATAATGTGTGCACACAAATAAGTATGCAAAAGGAATATATGCTACATATAAAAGAATTAGCAGTATATATAACTTTTTAAAACATAACCTTATAACAGTGTTATAACAGTACTATGAAATACGGGATCCCTTTTTCCCCATGCTTTATCATAATCCCAAAAAATAAATATAAAAAATGATAAAGATGAGCATATATATATGTTCGAGTTATTATATACCATGCAAATATCCAAACGTGATAATGCACACAGTTGGGAGAGACGAATTGTGTCTACACTGATTTTATAATGATACATTTATAAATACACCAAACTGTGGGTAGGGAACATAGGGACAAATGACACAAAACGCCATAAAATAAAGCAAGGCATATGCTTCTCGTAACATTTTTTCCAGTGTTAAAACCTCTGCTACATTCCCTCATTTCATAATCCTTTAGAAAACATGAAACACATCAGTTAATAGGGGATTGTTTCCAATGGATCAACAAAGAAAACTTTTTAAAAATAAAGAGTTATGCATTTTTCATTAAGCAAAAAGTTTCCATGTTGTTATGGGATTTTTTCGGATAATGGGAGAATAAATAAAGGGAAGGGGGAAAAAAAAAAAAAAAACAGGATGAGAATTACAAGAAAATATTAAAAAAAACGCGTAAAGGAATAAAAAATATAAAAAAAATGTTACGTCGAATTTAAGAAAGCAAAAAGAAAACTTATTAATAACATTTCACAAATACGCTTACGTGTCACATATGTATTGATATATATATATGATAAACACATGTATATGTATAAGGACACAAATAACACAAGTTTATGAGGGAACTTAAGTGCCAATAGATAGTGCGCGAAACATCCTGCGATATTCATATCGCACGCAGTGGGTATATATTAGTATATTCGTAGTCACACATATTTATATACCTATGCAAATGCATTTATACATGTGTATGTTTGCATATTTGTAATAACATTATAAAATAAACTGCAATTATACAAGGATGCTTTTTTTACATGTGATTATCAATTCAAAAAAGAATTATACTGGTATATAATACCTAATAATATGGGAGAAAACTATAAAACGTTATATTTTTAAAAGAAAATCCTAACATGATTTAAATAATACTCTTAATTGAAAATTATTTTTTTTTCTATTCAAATGAAACTACATGATTTTTTCCTTATAGTACATTTCTTTTAATAGAATTATATATATATATATATATATTTTTCGTACTTGCTATAAATTGATGTATGCGCATATATATACATTTATGTGTAAATATACAGTAATACGATAAGTTGTCATACAGGCATATATGCATAAATGCAACTTCGACTAAAAAAAAATAAAATAAAATAAAAATGAATTGTAAAAACGTAACAAAAAGACGCAAAACCAAAATGCAAAGTAAAAAAAAGGAGTAGCAAAAGTATATAATAGTATACATGTTTGTAAAAAATGATAAACTTTTTTTTTTTTTTTTTTTCCTCAAAATATTGTTGTGAGAAATAAAAGAGACTAATGCGCCGAAAAATCGAAGATCAAAGTATAGATAGAAATGCGTTAAAACAATATAAATGTTTTTTTTTTTTTTTTTTTTTTCTTGTCTACTATTTTATGCTAAGCCATTTGTTTGGCCAATTCAGTTAATTTGACGCCGTTTTCTCTTTCTTTTGACGCAAGTTTAATGAATTTCTTTTCTTTTATTTATTCTGTTTGACTTTTTCTTATTTTATATTTTTTATAAGTTCAATTTTTTACATTTAAAAATTCCGAAACACGAGAAAAGCAATGAGCCCAATTTTATGGGCAATTTGGAGAAATTAAAAATTTGGGAGTGATGTAGTCAAAATAGGAAATGTGCTGCATAATTTTGTTCAGATTGGCACAGCGGTTGGATTTGTGCATGAAACGTTAGCAGGCTTATCCCATAAGTTTGATTAATCGTACAGTGCTAACAAATGAGAACGGAAAGGTTCTTCAGTGTTTATATATATATATATATAGAGAGAGAGAGAGATGGATGGATGGTATATAGATAAGTAGATAGAGAGTGAGCCTTTCCAACATACGCATACAAGCATGTCCATATAAGCATAGGACCATTAATTCGAGTTACATATGAACCTAAATATACACTCAAATGTAATGCATGTAATTGCCTCTTTCTAAACTTATCAACATACGCGAAAAAAGAACAATAACTGAGAAAATTAATTTATACAAAAAAAAAATAACTTCAGCAAATTTTCGTAAAATATTGAAAAGCTTCAAAAACAATAATACACTTAAATTTTGCAGTAAAAAAAAAAAAAAAAAAAAAAAAAAAATTAATAAAATAGCTTTTACATTTTATCAGACTTATATATCGATCCCAGTGAAACATAAGGTAACTTATTTTCCTTCTGAAAGAACAAAAATCAACAAGTTGTGGCATTTTTTTTTTTTTCTTTTCAAAGTTTGAAATAATTTTGCATTTTTTTTTAATATGCTTTAAATAATCATTCACACCCTATTTGATGGTTTTAGAAAAGGTATCTTACATAAAAATGTCTAAGCATGCATGTATAGATATGTCATATCATACAGAGTCAAACCTGCATGCTTTTTTTATAGCTATATTTAGGAAATCTGAAGATAAAAAAAAATTTAAAGAGTGAGAACAAAACATAGGCACACGTAATGACGTGATAAATTGTTCCCCATACTTTAGGAAGCAATATACCATAAATATCCTACATATGTATATATGTGTACATGTTCGTACATGTTTATAGAATTGCCTATTTTCGATGGAGGGTATTTTTTTAGCTTAACAAATGGGTACGCAGGAACAATTGGAAAAATTGAACATACAAAAAAGAAAAAAAAAAAAAAAAATGCGATATAATAGGGAAAACATTTTTATTTTCCCTGTAGTACTTATTTAAGAACCGAACTAAGTTTAGAGTAGAATTATATATCTATGCATGCTTGTGTGTGTAACTTTAAAAATAATTAACACTTTTCACAATTGTTAAATTACACGTTGATGGATTATTCACTTGTTCAATTAGCTTTGGGATTGTCTAATTTCCCCCCCCCCCCTTTTCTATCCTTTTCCTTTTTTAAGAAAATTTGTCATTGTCAATTTGCAAATTCTTATGTATATATATAATTTGCTAATAAACAAATAATTATATGACACGCTAGAACTTAACTTTTTTAAAAAATGATTACGAGTGTATTGATAGTGTATCAGTTAGGGTGTCCCTTAATTATCCCCGTTGATTCTTTGTCAATGCTTTTTGAAAGGGTAGTAAAAATGTTGAATGAAAAAGTCCATGTAAAATAATAAAACACAGTAAAAAATACTATTTACAAAATAAAGGTATGCTCTTCCCCACAAAGAAAAAAAAAAAAAAAAAAAAAAAAATGTAGCCCATTTGTTACTTTATATGAACTTCTACACTACTTCTAGACCAATTTTAGCCATTTTCACCTATTATGGCAAAAAATAGATATTGAAAAATACTACTAAGTATAAAAATATACAGGAACATGTATAAATAGATTAACTTCGCATGCTTGGGTTATTTTTCGATATGCCCATTTTCGTACACACTGTAGTCGACGTCATAATGGTGATGTAGTGGTATAAGATAACAAAAAATTACTTATCATATAATTCTCCTTTATGTAGATGTTCTATCATAATATTCGGTTTATATTTTATTTAACATTGCTTCTTCTATTCAGTTGATATGTATTTTTTATATATTTGTTCATTTTTACTTCTTTCTTTTTTAATAACACATATGTTGGTTATTCTATGAAAAACCTTATAGGCATGTAAACTGAATTTGTTCAGATTAGTCACCTAAGCAATGTGGCTAATCTTTAAATTAGGCCGATGGCACTTTTGTGTATAAAATACATGTGCTAATTTTTCCGCCCTAATAAATGTGCCAATTTTTCCGCCCTAATAAATGTGCCAATTTTTCCGCCCTAATTAATGTGCTAATTTTTCAGCCCTAATTAATGTGCTAATTTTTCAGCCCTAATTAATGTGCTAATTTTTCAGCCCTAATTAATGTGCTAATTTTTCAGCCCTAATTAATGTGCTAATTTTTCATCCCTAATTAATGTGTTCATTCAAATTATCCCCTAAAATATATCTACACATGTTTCGTATTTGGTATATATTTTTGAATGACAGGGTCATATATTGGTTATAATGTATAGAATGACTTAAAAGGAAAATGTAAAATTTACGGCTAAAGATTTCTACATTTTTATAATATGTCCCCCTCGCCCCTTTGGAACCACTAAATTGTGCTCAATTATATATTCTCAGTAGTATTTACTCATGTCATAATGCTAATTTTGCACCTTGTACATGTGTACACATTTTTTATCCCTTTTTTCCAAATTTTTTTTTCCAATTAGCTAACGTTTATTAAAAGGTGCTTTTACTCAAAAGTGGACGCATTAACTGCATAATTTTGAAAATATCAAATGTTCACCTCATCGCAACCATATAATACCCACAATTATTTTATATACATACTTTTTTTTTTTTTTTTTTTTTTTTTTTTTTTCATTCAAAAGGGGAAAAAAAAAAAAAAAAAAAAAAAAAAAAATAAAAAATTAAAAAAAAAATTTACCTAAAAATAAATCATTAAATTAAAAAAAAAAAAAAAAAAAAAAAAAAAATAAAAAAAAAAAAAAAAAAAAAATTTTTTTTTTTTTTTTTTTTTTTTTTTTTTTGCATTCAAAAGGGGAAAAAAAAAAAGAAAAGAAAAGAAAAGCATATAGAATTGAAAAAAAAGTTTACCTTCAAATGTATCATTGAATTATAAGTAAAAAAGAAACATATATATGAATGAAAAAACAAACAGAAACACAAAAATTAAAATAATAATACAAATACTAGTACAAACGTAAATGCAAAAAGCTATACAAATCACATCAGATTTATAGCAAAAATTCTTCTCTCTTGAACAAAGTCTATCGTAAATTTATCATTGATCAGGAAAAAACAAATAAGAAAAAAAAAAAAAAAAAAAGCTTATAAAAAATTTCATATACAAATAAACACATAACTGTTTTTTTTTTTTTATTTTTTGTTTGTTTTCCTACACGACGTGTTATGAAAGGTGCATATGTCACAAGTGTAGGCTTTATACACCTATAATTAATTCAAAAAAGCAAGTGAAATCACACACAACGTTAAGAATAAACAAGAGGAGGGATGCGTAGCTTATTATTTTTTGTGAATATATATATATATATATATATATATATATCTATTCCATCTTATCAATATAGCACCTCTTTGTTTTAATGTTTTTTATTTTCATTTTCTTTTTTATTTTACTTTGTAAGGAATGAATATTCATGAATACAATTTTGTGCATTTTTTTTTTTTTTTTTTCTCACTTAATTTATTAACATAACCTTTTTCTATTTATTGCACATATGTACTAACTTTTTCTGTATGCTTAAGTTCTTTTTTTCCATTAATTGTATATTTTCACATTTGTTTCCTTTTTTCTCTTTTCTTTTTCCTTTTTTTTTTTTTTTTTTTTTTTTTCACATTTTTCATTTTTTTTTTCCCCTTTTTTTACTTTTTTTTTCCCCGCTTTTTCACATTTTTTTTTTTTTTTTTTTTTTTTTTTTTTTTTTTTTTTTTTTTTTTTTTTTTTTTTTTTTTTTTTTTTGCACATTTTACATTTTTTTTTCCCCCTTTGTTGACTTTGTTGTTCCCCGGCTTGCTCACATTTTTATTCCTTTTTTTTTTTTTTTCCTGTTTTATTTGCATTGTTACATATTGATCATTCTATTTATTTATGCTGTATTTAAAGCCTACTTTGAAGAAGAGTGAATTAATGAACATATTTACTATAGCAAAGTTTGTTTGAAATTTTGCATCATTACAAGTATGCAGTATGCACAAATATATATATATGCACATATATACATGTTGTAAGCTTATGAGATTGGATAGCAGAATTCTATAGGTTCCTGTTATGCATATTCATAGACAACTTCACGCGTATTCAAATATTTCACGTTATGCCATATGTCCATTACAAGGGCCCAGACAGAACCGTGTACTATAGTGAGAATTTGGATGTGTTGTATGCATATATAAATAACGACTAATGAAAATACTTTGTGTTAAATATTGAATTCGAAAGGGATATTCATAATATCCCAAGTATATTTATATGAGCATATATATGTAAGTATATATGTGTGTAATCGTATATTTGTGCGTGCGTGCAAGTAGATTCCGTTCCATTTTTGCACCAAATCTACCCATGCCCCTACAACAGATAGCAGTTATCCATTAAAAATTAACATTAAGAAGCCAAGGAGTAAAGTTTTATATCATATCTGATTTGACAAAGTAGGGAAGGAAAAAAATAAGAAAGAAGTATTTACAGAAAAAGACGTAGAAGTAAACGAAGGGAGATCTCAAAAAAAAAAAAAAATAAAATAAAATAAAGTTCTGAGATAAAAATGAAATTAAACCAAGTTTTCCCTTACGCAGTGCTTATCTTCATTTTTTTCATAAATTTGATACAAGAAAACAGAAATGTATTATGCGAGAGCAATGAAGGTGGCAAAGTTGAAGAAAACGACAATTTAAAGAATGACGAATTGAAGAATGACGAATTGAAGAATGTCGAATTGAAGAAAGATAAAGACAGTATTCCTGAAATATCAGAAAGTGAGAAACCTACGTCAGGTATTGAGCAGCATCAGTATCAAACGGAAGTAACAAGGTTAATGGATATAATTGTCAATTCGTTGTATACACAGAAAGAGGTGTTCTTGAGGGAATTAATTTCCAATGCAGCAGATGCTTTAGAAAAAATTCGATTTATGTCTTTATCTGATGAAAATGTATTGGGAGATGAGAAAAAACTTGAAATAAGGATATCAGCCAATAAGGAAAAGAATATTTTGTCCATTACAGATACAGGTATAGGTATGACTAAGGAGGACTTAATTAATAACCTAGGAACCATTGCCAAGTCAGGTACATCTAACTTTTTGGAAGCTATATCTAAAAGCGGTGGTGATATGAGTTTGATTGGTCAGTTTGGTGTTGGATTCTATTCAGCTTTTCTAGTTGCAGACAAAGTTATTGTGTACACAAAAAATAATAATGATGATCAATATATATGGGAATCGACAGCTGATGCGAAATTTTCAATTTATAAAGATCCCAGAGGATCAACCTTAAAAAGAGGAACAAGAATTTCGTTACATCTGAAGGATGACGCAACAAATCTGATGAATGATAAGAAGTTGGTGGATTTAATTTCCAAGTATAGTCAATTTATTCAATACCCAATTTATTTATTACATGAAAATGTGTATACAGAAGAAGTACTTGCAGATATTGCTAAAGAAATGGTAAATGATCCCAATTATGACAGTGTGAAAGTGGAAGAATCTGATGACCCAAATAAAAAGACAAGGACAGTAGAAAAAAAGGTAAAGAAATGGAAATTAATGAATGAACAGAAACCAATTTGGTTAAGATCTCCAAAAGAATTATCAAATGATGATTATAAAAAATTCTTTAGTGTACTATCAGGATATAATGATGAACCTCTATATCATATTCACTTTTTTGCTGAAGGAGAAATTGAATTTAAGTGTTTAATTTATATTCCTTCAAGAGCCCCTTCAATAAATGATCAATTATTTACAAAACAAAATTCAATAAAATTGTATGTGAGAAGAGTGTTAGTAGCAGATGAATTTGTTGATTTTCTTCCAAGATACATGAGCTTCATAAAAGGAGTTGTGGATAGTGATGATTTACCACTCAACGTGTCAAGAGAACAGCTACAACAAAATAAAATTCTAAAAGCAGTTTCAAAAAGAATAGTGAGAAAAATTTTGGACACGTTTCGTAATTTATACACAGAAGGAAAGAAAAATAAAGAGAATCTAAGAGCTGAATTAGCAAAAGAGACAGATGAAGAGAAAAAAAAAGAAATACAAAAAAAAATTAATGAACCAAGTACGTACAAATTAATTTATAAAGAATACAGAAAATATTTAAAAAGTGGATGTTATGAAGATGATATTAATAGATCCAAAATTGTTAAATTACTTTTATTTAAAACAATGCTATATCCAAAAAGTATTTCTTTAGATACATATGTAGAAAATATGAAACCTGATCAAAAATTTATTTACTACGCATCAGGGGAATCATATGAATATTTATCCAAAATTCCACAGTTGCAAATTTTTAAGAAAAAAAATATCGATGTTGTGTTTTTAACAGAATCAGTTGATGAATCTTGTATTCAAAGAGTACAAGAATATGAAGGTAAAAAATTTAAATCAGTTCAAAAAGGAGAAATTACATTTGATTTAACAGAAGAAGAAAAGAAAAAAGAAGAAAAAGTAAAAAAAATGTACAAAGCATTAATTGATGTCATATCGGATACTTTAAGAAACCAAATTTTTAAGGTTGAAATATCGAGACGATTAGTTGATGCACCGTGTGCTGTTGTATCAACCGAATGGGGATTATCAGGACAAATGGAAAAATTAATGAAAATAAATGTAAACAATTCAGACCAAATCAGAGCAATGAGTGGACAAAAAATTTTAGAAATTAATCCAGATCACCCAATTATGATCGATTTATTAAAAAGATCTGTAACAAACCCGAAAGATACTCAATTAACAGAAAGTATTAAAATTATTTATCAGTCAGCCAAATTAGCATCTGGTTTTGATTTGGAAGATACTGCAGATTTAGCACAAATTGTTTACGACCATATTAATCAAAAATTGGGAGTAGATAACAACCTCAAAATTGACGATTTGGATCCTGCTATTTTTGAGACAAAAAAAATGGAAAATGAGGATTCTTCAGATAGTCAGAAGTTTGATGAAGAGATAAACATTGACGATGAGATACAGAAGCAAGATACCACCCCTGCTACAGAATCTACTCCTAAGAACGACGAATTATGAGCTCCTCACGGGTGAACTGTAAGAAAATCAGGTATAGATATACAAATGTGTATGTACCTATGTAGAAGCATAAATACCGGGCATCGTTACTAAAAGGGAAGAAAGGTCAAATGAAGTGTGCGGATACTTCTGGGGTGAAAATCAGAAAGCACATTTTTTCTGAAGAGAAACAAATGGAAACGAACCCAGGTTATCAGTTGTTAGAGAATGGTAACTGTTTATAGAAAATAGTAACACGCGTCGTAAAGAAAAAAAAAAGGAAAAAAATGTCACATTAGAAATCCCAATCTCTCATGTGTATGCGGTTATGCACATGATCATACACGTATATGGAAGGAAATGAATATATCTAGGTCAATGCTCATAAATAAATAGCTTAGAGAAAGAAATAATGTTTCTTCTTCCTCTTTTTTTTTTTTTTTTTTTTCATTAATCCATTTTATATTCGTATTACCCTATAATTTTATGTAAATGCATGGCACTTTTTTTTTTTTTTTTTTTTTTTTTTTTTTATTTTAAACAAAAGCATCGTTTTTACATATGTTCATAAAAGTTCATTTTCTCAACTTCCCATTTTAAGGCAATAAAAATGCACAATTGTATGCATAAAAGTTCATTACGTAATTGCCAATAGCCAATGGTATAAAATGCCTAATGCTACAAATGTAAATAACACATAAAAATTACATGCATGCGAGCCATGTATAACAGACATTTATAACTTAATTTTTTTTTTTTTTTTTTATACTCAAATATGTTGAAGTGCAATTCCTTTTATATCAGATTTAGTATTATGCAAAAATGAAATTCAAAATTTTATTCAACCACAATGCTACTCAAAACGTAGAGATTAAAACACTAGGAACTTCCTTATCACGTCCTTCTCATATGACCTACTTTTAAAAATGGAATAGGTGTGATATATGAAGGAAGGGAGGAGGGGAGGTCAGTCATGTTTCTTCATAAATAGCACACTACTTATATGTTCCCTTCTGTGGATATAGTTTTTTTACGCTCTCATATAATATATACTCCCCAACTTTAATGTAACAAATTTATCAAATGTTTGAATCTTTTATTTATCACAAATGAATTTCGTTGTGAACAATTTTATTTATACGGCCCTTTTTGCATGTCTTCAAACTTATCATGAGTAGGAAGAGGAAAATATTTTTTACATGAGTTAAAATTAGTGCAGTTGCATGGTATTTCAAAATAAAATAAAATAATTGGGAAACTTTTTGGGTAACCAATAAATGATATTGTGTTCACTCGAAGGGGGAGAAGATTGTTTTTCCACCTCTATATGAGTACAATCGATGTACACATATATGTTTGAAAATATGTATACGTGCTCATATTTTTAAACGTGGTAAAAAAAAATGCCCATGTTACATATGTAATAAAAATAGATACGTGTACTTATTTTTAATGATAAGCAAAGCAACATGCTGATAAAAAATGAAGCATTATTTATAAAAACGTAAATTTACTATCAAATATGGTCACAGGAAAATAGTTTTAAAATAGTTAAAGAAAACCAATTTTAAGTTTACATTCTTAATTTTCTTGGTCACCTTTGCTATATCGCAATCTGATCCGCATTTAAACTATGCAAACGCATGCATCCACATAAGGAGCATAAAAAAGTATATAAACGAATTTCCTTTGCCTATAACTCCTCAATTTTTTTTTTTTTTATTTTACATGATGAAAAAAGAAAACAGCGATGCTTTAACTTAAGTTTCTTTTAGGTATCTAAAAGGTTAAAAAGCAGAGCGAAATGAGCGTCAAAAGCGAGTAGTTTTCAATCTGATAAAATAAGAACAAATGGAAAATCAGCAAAAAATTGTAACTTTGGATTTATATATATACTCTTTTGAATCTTTATGTGTATACATATATATAATCGCATGTTTTTTCCCAAAAAAACTCAGTGCACCTTTGGTTGGGATGTTGCATTAAGAGATAAAATAATTTTGTAAAATATGCATGACAAGACGCAGAATTTTCACGAGGGTTATATACTATATCATGTTCTTCTTCTCATTCATATGGACCTGTAGCATTTTTGCATATGTAGACATTTCTCTAAAGATGTGGATGAACGTTTGTACGTCCTTCTATGATGTAATTTTCATTTTCCCTTATGGGTGGGGTAGCTACACAGTTGCATCTACAGGAAATTGTAATTGTTCTCATACATATGACAAGCGATTTAAAAAAATAAATCATGTTTATGTATATATATATATATATATATATATATATATATATGCATATGTACGTGTATAAGTATATGTTATATGTGTTAATTACTCAAAAAAATTATTCCCATTCGATGAAGTGTACATCAATACACACTAATCGACAAGTAGATGACTTTTACAAAAAAAAAAAAAGAAAAGCTAAGCTACACCGTACACAAATTGTACATGACCAATTTTTTGCGGTATTTTAACAAGCAATTAGCAAATGAATAAAATGTCTGTGTGTGCAAAGGAGTTCAGAATATTTTTATTCAATTTTAGGTTGTTTGTTGTGGGTCAAATAGAGTATGCTTATTTATCTTCTTAGACTTTCTTTTTAAAAATAATCACAAAAACAAAAAAAAAAAAATAAATAAAATGAATATAATAAAAAAATGTAAATGAAGGTACATACAAAAAAAAAAAAAAAAGAAAAAAGAAAAAAAAAGCATATTGCAGAAAAGTGACTGGTTATGCCCAGGCAAGGGGGAAAAAAAAAAAAAAAATGTGCAGGATTTCTTTCGCATTATATTCCTTAAATATATACAAACTATATTTCCTGAACCTTTTCAGTCCATTAATAATGAGAGAACTGTCAAATGGCTAAGAAATACATGCAGCATGCGGTTTGTCATATGGTAAATATGCACTGTGTGTGTGCTGAGGTATCTCGTGAAAGGAATATCCCTGCACGTTCACAAGTCACAATGAGCATGCACATTCAACCCATCGCAGATAATAAGTCCACGTGCCAGCTGATGTGCGAAAAAAAAAAAAAAAAAAAAAAAAAAAAAAGGAAAAAGGAGCTAACAGAAAGAATAGGGTTATATTCCTACGCTTAGTTATTAACGTTACGCACATCTTATCACAAGTTGAGGTCTCCTTCTGAAAGGTTATTAAGCATTTCAATGCACATGTACTGCTTTGTAGTGTGGAAAAAAAATTATCTCCAAAAAAAAGAGCCACCTTGGGGTGACTCTACAATAGGGGAGAAATAACATTTCTGTTGTTAAATGAGTATATAAATAGAGGACATAACTGTGCAGAATTTATCGAAACGGAGGAAAAATATACTAATCTTCTCTATTGAGAAAAACCAAGCAATCATAATCATAATAATAACAGTCATCATAACAATAACAGTTATCATCACCACCACAGAACCCTCCAAATACACACCCATTAAGGCACTCGAAAGCACTTCTCCCCATCTTAAGGCAATGGATAGAGGGATGCTAAACAATGGATCATCTCGGAAAAGAAAAAACAACTACATAAATGAGTACGCAGAGTATGAAATGCCTAAGACTAAGTTGTTCCATTTGATTACACGTATTGGAATATCTATAATAAGCATACTTGTTATTTCCCTTTTTGTGAAAAATAATAGTAATAACAGTGCAATGAATTTAACCACTATTTCAATTGACCAAACGACAAATGAGTTACTTAATTCGTTGGGATTTCCAGAGAATAGCAAAGACTTAATATACAGCAGATTAGAAAGTTGGGGGTTCCATATATCGGATATTGGGGATGCAGAAGTAAATAAGAACTACAAAGAAGAAAATTTGGGGAATTATAAATATTCTAAAAATACATATAAAAATATTTTATTTTCCCATTTTGAAAAAAAGGGAAAAAGCGAATTGGAAAAAAATGCCCTTTTATATACATTTTTAGAAATATTACAAAAAAAAGAAATAAGCACATTTTACGATTTTTTAAATAGCTTTATGATATTACAAGATTTAAATTGTTTACCTGTAAATTATAAAGGAATTTACATGAACGGAAAATTATTCTTGTCTAATAACACAGAAAAGGTAAAAAAAACGGATTTGAATAATGTCAGCACATTAATTAATGAACAACCATACTTATATATAACATTTCATGGAGGAAGAAAAAAAAACTCCATTCATAATGTTTGTAAGTTTTCAAGGGATGGGTATTACCTAGGATCTGTATTATTACCTTTTGAAGAAGAAGGAAAATTCTTTAATATAATAAGTTTAAGGGGACTACTACTTGATGAAAATAATTTATATGTTACTGATTCTTTTAAAGAGAATTCGAAAATATTTAAATTTTCAGAAAGTATAAATGAATTATCAAATAGGAGAGAATATATATCTACTTTTATCAAACAAGATCCACAAAATAATCCATTAATGATACATCCATATGGTATCAAAAAATTTAATGAATATTTTTATATAAGTTCACAAAATACAGGAACTGTATTACGCTTTCATGCTGATAGCGGAAAATTAGGGACACCAATTGATTTGTATAAAAACATAACAAAAGGGTTAGTTATAAAATTCAATAAAAATGAAGAAATACGTGGTTTTGATTTTGATCTCATGGGAAAATGTTATGTTTCAAATAAACAAACAGGTGTTCAAATATATGATCAAGATTTTAATTTAACAAAAATTCTTCCTGTTTTTTCCCCAATATCAATCTTATATGACAATTCAAATAATCATATATTTGTTGGAAGTTCCAAAACACATGATATAAAACAGTATGACATTAACAATTTTGAACTTATTAAAGTTATTAAACATCCACTCCTCAGACATGTCGCTGGAATTATCATTCACCAAGACTCCATTTTTGCCGTTTCTCAGAGAAAAAACAAGTTGCTTGAGTTTTCTATACCCACAACGTTGCTTACAAAGATCCTTGTGGATCACTTTAGCGACATAGGCGAACGCGTGATGTTATCACCTACATGATCCCACGTTATTCCGCCTTCCCCCCAATAGTTTTTTTTTTTTTTTTTTTTTTCCGTGGTGGAATCTAAATACTTATTGCATTTATGTGAATATGTGTGCATATGAATATGCACGCACGCGAATATATATGCATGTGTATATGTATGTACATATATATACATCAACACTTTTATGCTCTCTTACATGTGGCCACTCATACAGATTTCTCCTCGTTTTTTCAAGTGAAACGCCATTTTATAGCTACCCTTCTACGATTTAATGCCTTGCGCAAGTCATTAATTTCCTCCTAATTATCACAAATAAATTGTTCTTTTTTTTCTTTTACTTTTATTTAAATAAATTATGCTATTTAATAATATACATGTATATATAAAAGTTGTTGAGAATGATATAAAAACGCATACTCAATTTTTGTGCTATAAAAAAAAAAAAAAAAAAAGTTCATAAAGTTTTACGACGGAAAACCAAATGCCATCACTATCTTCCACACACGAATAAACTAAAAATTTGGTTGTGTAACACAAAACATTTTCAAATTTGTGAAATATCAAGTTGAAAAGGGGAATTCAAAAATCTATTCCCTAGTATAGGTATACATAAAATTGTTCTTCTGAGTTCACATATGAGATAATTTCATACATATGCTATCACTTTCTTGTTCGTCGAATAGTGTGGATACTAATTTTTTTTTTTTTTTTTTCTTTATTTTGCAACTTGTTTAAAAATGCATATCGTGCTCAAAGCAATTAGAAGCAGTTTCTGCGGAAAAAAAATAAAAATACATCTTCAATACATCTTCTATAGTTAACATTATTATTATCCATAAAAAAAATTTTTCTCATTCAAAGCATATTTTCTCATTTGATGTACCTCCTGCCTCTTTTCAACTTGGTACATTTTTTCCTAATGTTAACAACGGATGCCCCAATATGACACAACATGAAGTGGATAACCACCTTTCCGCTTTACCCTATGAGCTTGATCTCAGCAAATAGCATACTCCGTCAGATGTGCTACATAAGAAATGTAAACGTCGTTCCAAAAGGAACAATGGGAGATGAACTAAAATTTAAGAGATCGAGTCTGGCACATTTTTGTTACACCAATAATGACATAAACAAATTTTATGGAATTACTGAAAAAGGAATTAGTGATAAACATCCACCTCCATATTTATTAAATTTTGAAAAATGTAATGATATTATATCATTTACAGACAAAATAGATAATGATTGTTTAAACCAAATAAAGAATTTAGCTAGATTGGAAATTATAAAAGGACATATAGCTATACTACCAGATGTACATTTAGGGAAAGGAATTATAATTGGATCTGTATTTTTAACAAAAGATTTTGTTATACCTAATGGGGTTGGTGTTGATATAGGATGCGGTATTTTGTGTGTTAAAATTAATAATTTAAAAAAAAAAAATCTGAATAGTAATATTATAAATAATATATATAACAAAATAAGACGAAATGTCCCTTTAAGTTTTGATTCTCATGAGAGGGAAATATTTGACTCAAAAAATGTGCTAGACAAATTAGTAACAAAATATGCAAGCAAAAATATGATTCATATAATGAAATCAAAACATTTGATGCAAATCGGAACATTAGGAGGTGGAAATCATTTTATCGAAGTAGCCTATGACGCATCAGACAGTAGTACTCAACAAGAGTGTAATAATAATTTGTTACGATCGTATGAACAGGATGATATATCAACCAGATGTGAAATCGAAATGAACAATTTTTCAGAATCTGAAATTTACATTTTAATACACTCTGGTAGTAGAAACATTGGTAAAACAACAGCTGAATTTTATGATGCAATAGCCAGCGAAGAAAGCAAAATGAAAAAAAATGATTTGGCATATCTAGATTTAAGAAAAGAACAAGGACAGAATTATTTAAAGGATATGAAATTATGTCTCGAATATGCAAAATATAACAGAATATATATGATGAAAATAATAGAAAAAATAATTAAAGAGGAAGTTAAATGTACATTAGATTGGGAAAATGCTGTAAACATACATCATAATTTCTGCAATAAAGAATTAGTTAGCTATGTCCATAATAAGGAAATCAAAAAGGAATATATGTATGTAACCAGAAAAGGGGCAACGTCATCTAAAAAAGATCAATTAGGTATCATACCTGGAAATATGAAAGTGGGTTCTTATATAGTAAAAGGAAAGGGTAATATGCTATCATATAATTCGTGTTCGCATGGTTGTGGTAGAGTATTAAGTAGAACTAAAGCAAAGCAAATAATTAATCAAAATGATTTCGTGAATATTATGAAAGGTGTACGATGTGATACAAACAACAAAATCCGAGACGAGGCACCACAGGCGTATAAAAATTTAAACCAGGTTTTAAGAAATCAAGATTCTCTTATACATGTCGTTCGGAAGCTTCTCCCCTTGATTAATGTTAAGGGGTTCTAACTGTTCCAATTTGTACAAACAAATTTTTTTATATGTTAAGAGTGTATGTGTGGACATATTCTTATGGGTTCGCAGCACTGCGTCTAATTATAAACATATGTCGTATATGAACAAACAGATGCAAAGAACCCTTATGAACATGAAAATGCAACGTTGTGACACTTGTTTATAATGGCCCATGCTCCTTGAATGCTGTTCTTTTATTTTTTGTTCATATGTATGTAGATACATATTTGCAGACCGACATGAATTGCATTACTGGCTCTTTGTACGTATATATATATATGTGCAGGTAGAGATACAGCTACCCTATGCGGAGCTTTTTTATCCTAATACATTTAGCCAACTGGTTTTGTCCCTTTGTTGTTGTAATTATTATTCCCTATATATATATATTTTTTTTTATTAATATGATCTCAATATATTTTTAGCAATCCATCAGAGGTAAAAAACGTACTCATTTGTAGTTTTCGTTTTAGTGCATATCCTACCAATTGCATAATAATTTACACATATATATATACAGCAATATCTGCATTTTCATAAAAAATGATGTTTTGTGTGTTTTCATCTCTTTTTTAAATAATAACCGTTCGACCTTTCTACATTTTGTGTTTTTTTTTTTTTTTTTTTTTGTTCATTTGTTTGTTTATTTATTTGCCTATTTGTTTGCTCATTTTTTTGTTCAATTTTTAAGAGGATCACGCACAACTCTTCTCATTTCTGCTTTTTTTTTTTTTTTTTAAGTGACAGAAGATGATGAAAAATGGGTATATCAAATCCGTTAAATCGAATTGCTACAAATGCAAAAAAACTAAATAATAAAATAAAATAGTTTGTTATTTTTTCGCGTTTAACTTTTGAATTTCATATACTTTTTTTTTTTTTTTTTGACAGGACCATTTTAAATATGTTTTTTTTAGTATTATGTAATTCAACGAAATGGCAAAAAATGCACTTATATATAGATATACATACTTTTATTAAAATTTAAAAAAATATGTAAAAAAAATTTGATTCTGCATGGAAAGGCATAAAATAAATAGGAAGGAACTTTAATATAGCATATATGTTAAATATATGGTATATATATAAATATAAAAAACCCGACCTGATTTTTACGTAAAGATGCTAAAGCGAGAGAAGAAATATGCTTAGGAGTTTTACTAAGGAGATGAAAACCGAAGAAATAAAGAAGGCAGGAAGAATTGAAAAGCATTAAAATAGATAATAGCAAAAAAGTAATAAAAATATAGTGAACAAAATAAACGAAAGCATGCAAACGAACAAACAAATCAATGAAGAAATAAAGTAAAAAGGATGAAAACCATACCACCAGTTGAAAAATAAAGCATTACGCATATAAGAACTTATACATTTTTGCTGAACATTTTTACAAGAAATATATATAACACAATATGTTCATAAATAGAACAAGAAAAATCCCTCAGTTTTAATTTGTACAAAAGTTTATATAAAATATAAGTTTATATGTATATAAAAAATACAATTCGTAGAATTAAATATGTTTATACAGCCATAAAGAAAAAGTGCGAAACAGGCACGTGTTTATAATTACGAGAAAAATGAACATTTAAACAATACCATATGAACCATGAATTTAGATGCAAGTCTAGCTGTAGGGTTGTTGTGATTCGTCCCGTTTTAGTCAAAAAAGAATATTTCCTGAATGACGCCTCCCCCCCCACCCTTTTTTTTTTTTTTTTTTTTGTGTTTGATAAAATAAAAACTCTTTCAATAAGTTTGTCACATTCCTCATTTTTACCAATTTATCAGTATGTTACATATTTATGCATGTTCATAAATATATGAACATAAAACATTAGCATCAGCATATTGTATGATTGCGATTTTTTTTTTTTTTTTTTTTTTTTTTTTTTTTTACTTATCAGTTTATCATTCTACAATAGATTATGGATGATATTAAATAAAATTAAAAAAAAAAAGCAGGAAGATGAAACTTTGAATATTTCTCTCAATATTACATGAGAAGCAACTTTTTTTTTTTTTTTTTTTTTTTTGTTTTTATAACCGCGTCTTATCTTGTCCCAAGAAAGTAAAAACCAAAGAAAATATATATATATGTATATATATGTTAAAGTAGGAGCAAGAGGTACTTATAGGGACAGCTAATAATAGATAGTAGAAGTATTAATAAAAGTTCAATTCAGCACAAAAAATAAACATTCCATATAAGAAGAAAAATACTGCACAAGTATAATACGAGACTTAAGGACCCCTAATTTGTACATTGAAGAATTGCAATAATAAAACCAAGGCATTAGGAGAATGAACAAAAGGGATAATGGTTCCTCTTAGAAGGACGACGAAGATGAACATATTTTTTTTTATTATTCACTACAAAAAAAATTCTCATATAAATACATATCCGTAAGCATATGCATTCCTTCCATGCACTTATGGTTGCCCCAAGTTCTTAAGAAAAAAATTAAAAAAAAAAAAGAAGAAAAATGAATTACAAGTCAGTAACTTGCTTTAAACAGAACAAAGAAGTAAAAAATAAAAATTCCTTTTGAAAAAATGTCGGACGATGCAATAGATTTCATTTTTTCCATCATATTAGATGTAGAAATATACCTTTGCGCATTTGTTTTACTAACATACATTACAACAAAGAAAGTTAATAAAATAATTCAATCTGATTTTTATAAAAATGATATATTATTAAATAGACTATCCAAAAATTTTTACATATTGGATGTGAAGGCTTATTTTAGCCCATTGAAGTATATGTTCAAGAGTATAATATATCACATATATTATCTCTTTTCAATCATATTTTTAATTTATATATTCAGATTATATGCAAGTTACAAAAAATGGATTAAATATTATTTTTTTTCGTTTTTTAATATTTCTATGGACTCGTCCCTACTATCAGATGATGATGAACCTGATGTACACTATAATAGTCGAAACTCTGGTGTATTTAGCATCCCACACATCTTTGCTTTTATTTTGGGGCTTTTTTTCTCATTCTTTTTTTATAAATATATCAGAAAATTATTTATAAGGAAGAAAAAATATATATCTGCACATAAATCTAGTTTGTTGCATTATTGCATGGAGTTAGCCAAAATAAATTTCAGGGAATATGTAAAAATAAATCCACAAAAAAAGGGATCCAGGTTTAAGTTCGACTTGGGTACATATATTAATCCGTACTGGATATTAAACAATGAAACTACAAATACAAACGAGCACCCTGCACATGGCAGTGTGAGTAAGAGTGGTGGAAGCGGAAACAGAAATAATTCTCCAAATGTAGTTGCACCGAAGCCAAAGAAAAACATTTTATTTCGTATATTTAACATTGTTTATGTTAAAAATCATGTATTACATGATGAAAAGTTGTTATATGACGATAACCTGAGGAACAAATTACAATATGATCAAAAAATGGGAAGCTGGTGGGGAAAATTCCTTTTTATTATTATCAAGATATTGATACATATTATTATTCTTATTATAAATCTAGTTTTTCCAAAAAAAAAAGACCCAGTAAAAAGTTCCCCACACAAAACACCTCAGTCTGTCAACCCAGGGCCTGGCCAAAACACCCCCACCCAGACTACTTCACCTGAAGGTATGAAGCAGGATGGCACAAATGTTAAGCCAGGTGTTGAAGATTCCCACGAAGAGAACAAAGAGATGAAGCAACCATTAAGCAAAGAAATTGATACAGAGATGAAACAACCATTAAGGAAAGACACTGATACAGAGATGAAACAACCATTAAGCAAAGAAACTGATACAGAGATGAAACAACCATTAAGCAAAGAAATTGATACAGAGATGAAACAACCATTAAGGAAAGACACTGATACAGAGATGAAACAACCATTAAGCAAAGAAACTGATACAGAGATGAAACAACCATTAAGCAAAGAAACTGATACAGAGATGAAACAACCATTAAGCAAAACCACAGTGCAGAAACAAAGCAATAATAATGAAATTCCCACAAACGAAGGAAAAACTATGAACCAAAATTTCCACGTAAAAAATAACATGTTGAATATGAACCAAATGAAAGAAGGGAAACGGGATAACGCAGATCCCCCCCCTTTTAACGACATAAAATTATGTTCAATAGATTTAACTGTATATGACATATACATATGCAATTCTCATGTCCAATTTAAAAGTATTATCGAAGTGCTAATGCTACACGTACCGATTTATTTATTATTTAAAAATAAATTTTATGCGAAAACATGCTTCACAATAGCGATGTATGTTCTGAATTATTTTCTCTGGTATCTTATAACATTCTTAGCGACAATAAAACCATCAATATATGTTTACTATTACCTATTGAATGATCATATTAATCAGATACTAAGAGAGAGTATAAGTGAAAATGAGAAAAATATAATATTACACTTTTTCTACGGTTTCTTTTTTGCTTCCTTAATATATTTAAAATTTTATTTCAATATGGAATTTAAATTAATAAAAATAGACCATATGAATCATTTTCATAAAATGATTAATTTATGTATAGCAGAGGCCAACACATTAAAATCGAAAAAAATAATTAAAAATTTCGAAATTTTAAAAATTTTCCCTCTAACTATTGACTATAAAAATAAAGGAATTTTTATAGAGAAAAGCTTGTTGAGAACTGTTCAAGAATTAGAATTTGTATTAAAACAAAGGAAAATAAAAAAGGCAAAAATATGCTTTCAAAATGTTAAGCAAATAGCTAAATACTGCGATGAAGATACTGCCATGGAACTATTCAAAAGAATTAAACAAGTATTAATAAATGAATTACCACATCGAGTTGCACTTAACTTATCACTCATGATATCTGACGAAATGTACAATAAATTAAAAAACGGTGCTGTTGACTCATCATCCTCGGAACCATTAAAGAAACATCCACCCGATTGTTTATGTGAATTGTTAAAGAAAACAGTAATTCATGATTTTATCAAAGTTGCAATGGGTGTTGACAAGCCAAATGCTGAACCTCACACGGGTCAAGCTAATGCAGACGGCACATACGAGGAAAAAAGCAACCCTCAGGAGGATGCAAAAATGTGAAGCAAACACAAGGAAGCAAGGAATGTGTGAAAGTTCACAAAAAAATGGTGGCAATGAAATGGACATTGAAATATGCTGATGAAAAAGGAATTTTATTCAAGAGAAGCGTAAAAATGGAAAAAAAAAAAACGAGCAGAAACAAGCAGAAATGAGCAGAAGCGAACAAAAATAAATATATATATAATTTTTGCACATATATCTTTAAACTTGTGGTGAATAAATGTATGTCCCCCCCCCAATTTTTTTCATCTGAGTAATTATATGTGTGAAAATGACTTGGAGAGATATGATTGTCTTTGTATGTAAATTTGCATATATATGTGCAACACATACACGCCCATTTATTTATACTTCCTGTGGACCTCGCATGAGGACCAACTAGAACAGAATCTGACGTCGTTTTGTTTACACATCAAAAGTTGTTTGTAAATATTTCTATTTACTTAAGTTTTTTTTATTTTAATATTAGAAATTTATTTTTTATTTGTAAAACATTCATTTGAATTTACGCCTTATGTTAATAACTTTTTTTTTTTTTTTTTTTTTTTTTACCCATTTAAGAACTTGTTTTCCAACACAATTTTGAATAAATCTGACAATTTTGAGTACACGTATCTTAACCAAATATTTATCGTATAAGCAAATGAACTTCCATGAGCAGTTATTCCTCCGTAATGATTTCCTATATGTCGTAGAATTCCTTCAAGTCTTAACCCCTTCCACATTTGTGGATGTGCTTTTAACCATTACATTTTTCTGTATTTTCGATTATATATTACCCATCCGAATGCTCATGAAAGGCATACCTATGTTAAAAAGCATCAGAAGGGATGTCTATTCCACAATGTTTTGTCTGTCTTTTTGTTCAAAAACTTGAAAGGATTTTTTTCAGGAACGTAGCGATATTTATAATTTTCATACATCTCAGAATGCGTATAATAGACTGGTAAGAGTTCATCCTTATCATCCGTTATGGCTGTTTGTTTTTTTAACCAGTTGTCAAAAATATGAACCCCTTCATCCCAGTCATATTTATACTCATGTTTCTGATTAACTTTTTTATTTTTATACTTCTTATTAATTGTATAGAATTTTTTAAAATCTTGTTCAAAATCATAGTTATCATCAAATATGCCAACACCTATGTATATATTTCCTGCTGGTCCTAAAATTACATAATCTTTATTATTTTCAATATTTCTTAAATTTTCTTTCGTTTTTAACAAGCATTTACATAAGTTTAATGATGATGTTACATAATCGGCTGATTCTTTATAAAATGGATTTGTGTGAATATAATTATATTCGCTAAATGCAAAAAAGAATATTTTAACAGGTAAGTAAGAACCGGGTCTCATAACTAATTTCAATGAGCAGTATCCATCTATGGAATTATTCATTCCGTCTGGATAAAACCATAATTGAATAGAATCAAATCCACCTAAATTGAAAATATCTGATTTTATTGGTTGCCCTAGCCTTTTTGTATATTGTTTGCATAATAATGGAATGAAATTAATTGGCCAAATAAAATTCATACCCACAGATATATTGGCCGGATATGTTTCAGCAGAACCTATAAATTGGACATCAAAGTAATTATTTTGCACTTTTTCTAAACTTCCAAATCCTGTGTTGTTATTGGTCCTTTGATAATAATTATTTGAATAATAATTTTCTTCTAATTTTTCTTGATCAGTTGAATCAAGGAGATCTTTCACAGTGTCGTCATAGTATTTCCAATTTCCTCTTTTAATATCTTTTTCTACTTTTGAATTCCATCTCTTTTTTTGTTTAATCCCACTGTCCTGTTTTTTCTGTTTTTCTCTTTTCCGACCAGTTCGTAAATATATATTTGAAGGATTTATATATCTTGGCGATTCAGAATCGAATTCACTTTTCTCATCCAACTCTTTTAAATTTTCTCCATGATTTAAATATATGTATCCTGGATAATCTCTATCATGTAATATTTCACCCAAATGGGAATCAATATAATAATGCTTTCCCACTTTTTTGTATCTTTCTATTCTTTCTTCCTTCGACAACTTTTCCTCTCTTCCTTCTCTTCCTCTACTGTTGTCTGATCGTTTCTTATCCTTTTGTTTGATAATGGACATTACGTCTCGTTCAAAATCATTTAAGTCGTTGTTTTCTTCTATACCTTGAAGGGATGAATCTGTCTGTACCTGTGGCATAGAACCATAAGTTTCGTTCACTGCCCCATTCGATGCCCCGTTTAGCACTTCCCCATCCGCACAACCCTCGCTTTTTTTCTCTCCTTCTCCATACGAGGCACCACTTTCGGCATAGTGCAGGACATTTTTTTTCCCATTAGACTTGACAAAGTCCTCATACTCCGAATTATCAAAGGGTGTAGAAATTTTTGGAGAGATCCTTATTTTCCTGTTATCATCAAAACCTTGGAAATCCTTCCCATCAATCATAAGAAGTGGCAGTCCTTCATATACAGAAATGTCTTTAGGATCAACAACATCAGCATTTTCTTCCGTTTCGTTGGTCCCATCTTTCAATTTTTCGATTTTTTCCGCATTATTAAAATCATTTAACTTTTTGTATAAATCGGGGCTGATTTCTTTTAAATTTTCTACTTGCTCTAACTCAAGACAATCATCTGCAATAGTCCCAATATCTCCCTTTTTTTTCACTTCTTCAGGAAACAAGTTCTTAAATTGCTTAGGGTTAAAAAACAGACTTTCAGCAAATATTTTGTTTCCATTCCTTTTATATTTTTTTCCCAAAGAATTTTTCCTTCCCTTTAAAAAAAAATTGCGTCCCACAATTTCATCTTCCAGAAGATTTCTATTACCTTTCAGATTACATGAAAAAAAATTTTTTACGAAACCATATGAATAAGTGTATGAACACACATTTTTAACATGATTCACTTTATCTCTGCCTCTACAACTGCGTGGGTTATAACTAGGATAAATGCTACCCTTACTTTTGCCGTTCTTGAAAAAACATAAATTATTTTTTAAGAACATATAAATCAGGATAATGGTGTTCAACAGTCCGCGAGTAGCATGCATTATTTCTGGATGCATATATGTGTAATCATTTGATGGATATATAGTTTGCCTCTCGTCATCTTGAATGAAGTTACAAACAATGCCTATGTTACGGACAGGCAAATGCTGCAGTGACGTAAAAATAACGAAAAAAATTCACAAGGCACGAAGTGATAATGTCCTTTTTCTTTTTATTTATTTCAATGATATATTTTCTTTTTGCATTCCCTTTTGTGCTTGTTTTATAGGCATATTTTACAGCACTACTTTTATAGCACTAATTTTATAGCACTACTTTTATAGCACTACTTTTATAGCACTAATTTTATAGCACTAATTTTATAGCACTAATTTTATAGCACTAATTTTATAGCACTAATTTTATAGCACTAATTTTATAGCACTAATTTTATAGCACTAATTTAATAGCACTAATTTAATAGCACTTATTTTATAGCACTAATTTAATAGCACCTATTTTATAGCACTAATTTAATAGCACCTATTTTTCTCATCCTCTTTTTCGTTTTATTTTTTCATTCAAATCCTAGATTAGGAAAGAGCATAAACACGAAACCAACATGTGTGAGCATCGCGTGAGTTCTTATAATCCACGTTTACATAAATTCTACTCAACTCGGTTTTTTCTTTTTCACACCTCATATTGGCACCACGAAACGAAGTTTGAAAGTTGAAAATTCATGTTAGGAAACATTTTTTTTTTTCCTCAAAAATGGAGGTGGAGACATTTAACAGATCAGTATTAAACTTTTTCAGCTGCGGCAAACAAAAAAATAAAATAAACAAATAAATAAGTAAAAACAAATACGTAAAAAAAAAATATGTAAAAACAAATAAATATAAACAAATAAATATAAACAAATAAATAAAAACAAATACGTAATAACAAATACGTAATAACAAATACGTAAAAACAAATAAATAAAAACAAATAAATAAAAAAAAAAATAAATAAACCTAAACGAAAAAATGTATAATACATCAAAATAAAGCATAACGAAGAGGAATAAACTAAAATACAGAATAATGAAGCGTAATAAAGTGCAATAAATTAAATTACAGCAAAATAAAACAAAATAGGACTTGATGAGGTATATCGTGTGCCGCATGAACGGGAAAATGTAACGCGGAACGATGGACAGGACTGGGCTTATTTTTTTTTCTTCGATAATTCAATCTCCTTGTTTCGTTCGTTGAGGTCCTTAATGATGCTGTATACTTTGCTTGGTCTGAAAGATTGAATAGGGGAGGAGTGAAAAAAAAAAAAAAAAAAAAGGGGTAGGGGGTTTACGTGTATGTTTGTATGTGTGTGTGCATATATATAAGTGTATGAATGAGTGTGTATCTCGTCACAATTAACCTTGTATATATAATCATACACGAATTGAAGGCACAGTATTATGTAGGAGGAATCTAATGCCCTACATGTGGAACGTATATATATGGATATGCATATGCATAGGCATGGATACACTCATAGGCATACATGTCCACACAGATGCGCAGACGAAACTGCAATAGCGGAAACGAACCTGCCATATACGAGCCTGTACTTCAGGAGCTCAACGGCCCCCTCATTTAAGGTATTGTCCTTTAGGACATATTTGCCAAAGGTGAAACAAACTATAGTCTTTTCTATTTTTCGTGCCTTGGAAAAGTAGGCAGCCATGTTTGCAGCATATTTGATATCATCGTCTATTTTAATATCTTCCAAATTTAAATCTGGTGTAATTATTTTACCATTAATTTTTTTATTTCGAAGTATGACATGTCCTCCTGGATGCTCATGTACATGAAACCACAAATCATTAAATTTCAAAATTTGAGTAGAGATTTTTTCGTTCTGCTTACTGTTTCTTCCTATTATTAAAAATGGGGATGATAAGTCAGTTTCATTAACTTTAATTAGAAGAGAACCTTTATAAATGTTTTGTGAACTTTTAATTGTATTTGGTTTAACATTTAAAATTTGTTTCCTAAATATTTCTTCTTTTTCTTTTTTTTCTTCCATTTTTTTTACATACTTTTTTCTATTATCTTCCAGAGAATTATATTTTAATTCTTTTTCAATTAATTTCAATGCTTCAAATGTTTTCTTGTCAACCCAGTCATTCATTTTCGATATTGTATGATTAAAGACACTTAGTTTGTTTATATTATCATGTAACAAATACGCCTTTTCACATACTTCCAGATCGTTTTTATATTGTTTAATCATTTCTTCATATTGTAACATTTTCTTTTTAATGAATTCTTTGCAATATTTTAAAATCGTGTAAAATTTATTTACAGAAAGATTTCTTCCATAATAGTAGTACACCAGTTCAATGGTCGTTTCGAAGTGTGTTTCTTTTTCCCGATCTATTTTATTTGCATTCTCTGAGTAGTTATAACCTAACTTGTTATTTCCTCCTTTTTCCCTTTTATAATCATTTCGACTATCTATTGGATTCTTCCCAAGTGAATCTGTTTCTTTTGTTGGTACATCTTCAACACTGATTATTTCCTTTTCATCATGATTCGTTTTGTCTGAAACATGCTCACGATCATTTTGAGCGAAACTACCAATTGCAACTGGGTCGACTGGTGTATTCATGCCCATCTTGTCGTTATCCGTCAATTTCTGGATTGATAAATGAGATAGGAAATTATTTTTGTCCCTATTGTTCTTCTTGAAAAATTTTAAAACTGAATATATATTTAACTTGTAATCAAAATGTGGATAAAACGAAATAGTTTCATCTTTTTCTTTTAAATTTAAAAAACGAACCCATTTAATATAAGTCTTATTGAAAAAGTCAAGCAATAAACCAGAATCTATTTCTGCAAATTTTGCATTACTTGAAATGTTCAGATGATTCAAAATTTTTAATAAAACATTATAACTCAATCCTTCGTATATATCTAACAATGAGGAGATGAAATTCTGCTCCTTCCTTGCTTTAAATAAATTTACAAAAGAAGAAAAGAATTCATATTCATTTGGAATAATTTTGCATTCATGATTTGCTGGGAAGTTGTAAATATGTCCTTCTTTATAAGAATTATCTATTACTTTTTCGGTTATATAATTATGTGGAGAAATTAATATTTCATTATTTTCCTTATTGATAACAAAAGAAATACAAGAATTATTGTGTAGATCAAAAAGGAGTGTCACTTTTCTACTACTGTTGGTTTGACTAGAATCTCCTCTATGGCCTAAAATGTCTTCAATGTCGATATCTTCATCCATTTTTCTTTTTAAAATAAAATCAATACATAATATTTTTACAAATTTTTTTTTCACGTATATATCTGAAATGAGTGAATATTTCAAAACTGGATTTAATTTTTGTGCATAATTATCATCAATAAATCTGTTAAATAACTTTTTTATTTTTAATCCTAAAGAGATAACTGGATTGTCATTATCATAACATATGTATAAATAATATTCCTTTTCTCCCCTTTTATTTAAATGTAATACTATGGTTTTATTGTCTGTCTCTGTTATATGCTCAACAACACAATCTTGCAATAATGCATTTAATTCTATTGATAACAAATGTAAAGTGGTATAATCCATGCGTTGCTGACACAATCCTTCATCCTCATTTCGCATATTTTTTATCTTATTATTAAAACAATTTTTAGATGTTTTTATTTCATTTGCCTTCTTTTCTAATAGTTTAACATATACTTCATCTGCCTCGTCATACTTCGTGTACTTAAATATCATGTTATTTTTCTTATAATTTATCCCTTGTTCATTATTTTTTAATTCACTCCTCATTACCCTTTTCTTATTAAAAAAAAATACTCTCTTCTTAATTATATATTTCGCCTTGTTATTATCCTTTATGAAGTGAAAGTTCGGCCTACTTTGCTCCAACACACACCTGCTTAGAACCGCTATCCTTTCATTCATTACACGTGATACAAGTATGGTGGACCAAATGAACAGTTTGAGGATTCGTGGCAGAATCATTAAACTCGGGTCTTCTATTTGGAGCTTATCGATTTCGCAGGTTCGTCAGATTCGGAAGATTTAACCTTTTTTCCTATTTTGCCTACCTTACGAATTTTACCCGTTTTTTACCTTTTTTCCTGGGAACCGCATAGAATAGCCAAATTTACAAAATGTAAATCTTGTAGCCCTGAGAACTAGCATTTCTACGGCTAAAAAGGTCAAGCGAACAAGGTGTAAAAAGGCACATAAAAAAAAAAAAAAAAAAAGTTCTCATTGAGTGGCTAATATTTTAATGTAATTTTGTTTAAAGTCGTAAAAGCAGTTTTGTAGAAATGGTACAGTTTCATAAGCCCGATTCATGGTTCATAGTTCATATTTTATGGTTCATAGTTCATGGTTCATATTTTATGGTTCATAGTTCATGGTTCATATTTTATGGTTCATAGTTCATGGTTCATAGTTTATGGTTCGTAGTTCATGGTTCATAGTTTATGGTTCGTAGTTCATGGTTCATAGTTTATGGTTCATAGACCAGTTTTCATGATATCATTCGACATTTTAAAGGAGCAGGAGGAACTAAGGCACATATGTGGAGGTGTGCACGAAGAAGAAAACCGAATTAAAAACTTGCTTAGTCGACTAACGACGACAAAAAAGAAAAAAAGGGGCGAAAATAAAGTATGTACATATATATACTACAAATTAGTAGCTCTAATAAAAAAAAAAAAAAAAAAAAAAAAAAAAAAACGATGAAGCAGTTCTCATATGTAAAATTACAAAGGATAGAATATCTGGTAAATTTCGCATAGTTGCTATTCTTACAGATGGTACAGTATAATGCCCAATAGAAGCGCACATTTTTTTTTTTTTTTTTTTTTTCCTTCTCTCAACGTGCCTCATGATAATTTCATTTATAAATGGGAAAAAAAAAAAAAAAAAAAAAAAAAAATCCAAAGATGTGCAAACATGAAGAGGAAGAACGGGAGATATGTTGTGCTGCAAGGTTGTTACAACAGAATTTTATACTTTTGCTCAATTGGCACACTATTCACGACACACTTTCCATCGTAAGAGAGTGAAGCAAATATCCATGCATCTGTTTTGCTCCAGACACCTTGATAAACGGACTCTTCATGATCTGTATAAGTTTTTATTAATTTATAATTTGTTTCCTTGTCTTGTAAATTTAAATTCGTTGGATATTCAATTTTGTGTAATTTAACAGTATTATCCGTGCTTGTGCTTAGCAATAGTTCATCATGAAAATTATTAAAATGGATAGAAGTAATCCAATGAGAATGAATATTGATTGTAAGAAATGCATTTTCCAAAAATCGTAAATCCCAAAATTTTATGTAACCATCATTTGATGATGTTATAATGACATTCGGAATGTTTGAATTGAAATCAATGCATGATAGATTGGCTTTATGATTTGTATGGGCTGAAAATATTTCCGTATTACTTTTAATATCATATCCATATACATTTGTGTCACTTATTACGGCTATCACATTTTCATGATGTGGATCAAATATACCATAATTTAATTCTCTTTCCATGTATTTGGATAGAACAAAATTCATATCATTCTCACCCCTCTCAAATATTCCGTAACTGTACTTGTCTATTATGCCAATTCTGCGAAATTCCCTTTCGTAATCATCCACTGCAATATGTTTAATGTCAATATAGGACTGGTTCGTGCTAAGGTCGTATAACCTTTTCAGTTTTTTTTTTTTTTTTTTTTCCCTATTTACTAGCCTTTTTTTCGGCAAATTTTCATTCACCTTTTCGTTCAAACGTTCATCCTCGTTGAAGCATTCCTTTCGCTCTAATTCTAAGTCATTTATTTCTTCATCATTTTTCGTTTCCACTCCTACGTCCTCATTTTGTCTTTCCTGCTGGGTTAAATTTTGATTCCATTGTTTATTCATTTCCATCTGTTCCCTCACATCTGTTTCACTTTCCCCATCCGCTTTGAGCTCATCTTCGAAATTATTTATCTTACCCAAATATAGAGAACATCTACTTTTCAGTTGACTTGAATTATAATGGTTATTACTTTCAATATCTGATGAATACAACGCAGAGGTGCATAAAAGAATTTCCTTTTCCTCATGATTCCTGTTTTCATGCATATCTAAACAAACCATATGTTGAAATTCCTCCTTATGATCAAATATGTCTATATTTCTAATAGAACAGCATTGATCGTTGTACTCAATTAAATGCATTTCATTATCACTAAAGGGGTTACTTGAACTTATCATAAAATAATGCAAATTATATTCCTGTTTGGGTAGACGATTGTTTACACTGCTCAGGCACTTGCATTTAAAAGGTAAATAATAGCTATTTTTTATAATTTTACCTGAATACATCATTTATGACGTGTTTTTTTTTTTTTTTTTTTTTTCTGTGGAAATTTGATGGTATGTTTACTTTTGTGTGTACCCCGCTTGCTGCTCATTTGATTGACCACTTTCGCCCCTACACACAGTGAGGATGAATATACATATATGTGCCTATATATATATATATATATATATATATATATATATATGCATTTGTGCCTTCTTACCTATTTTCATCTGTGTAAGGAAGAAGTAACCATGATCGAAAAACCGATCGTAAATGAGATGGAGTAAAAATGAGAAATAGGAAAAAAACAAATGCGTCACATTAGAATAACAGTCGATTCATCGTTCTACTAGGTAAGCACAAAAAAAAAAAAAAAAAAAATTAAAATATATATATAATGGTTCCTATTCAATCATAGGTAAACATGTTTATGCATATGCCCCTTTGTGTTTTATCGTGTATGATCTTGTAAGTACACTCACCGCGTTATGCATTTACAGTTAGAAATATGGAGAACAAAATAGTATTAAGAAAATTATACTTTGTAAATTTTTCACTCCTACAAAAATTTATATTCTGCCCTTTCTCTCCTCTGGATTATTTGATAAGTCTCCCCGTTCCGTAAATTTATATGAGTATTTTTGCATTACGCCGTTTGATGAGATATACAAAAAAAAAAAAAAAAAAAAAAAAAATAAAAATTAAAAAAAAAAGAAAAAAAAAAAAAAAAAAAAAAAAAAAAAAAAAAAAAAAAAAAAAAAAAATGGTGAAATTTGTAAAATACCTTTTTAAAAAAAAAAAAAAAAAAAAAAAAAAAAAGAGAATATCTGTGAAAAAAACAAAATATATCGTGTGAGCGAACAACAAGTGAAATACTCATGAGGGCTTGTAAAAATCGTTCCATTTTTTCTTCAATGTTGTGAGATCACTAACAAGTTGATAATTCTTGGACAACATATTGTGAACTTTTTTTTTTCTTCCTTTTATCTTTTTTAAACTTTCATTTTTGTCTTTATCATTGTGTTCCTGTTGTTCACTTATATATTCTTTTATAAATTCAGTTTCCACCTGTTCAGCTGATTTTATGAAATTTTCATTTTCGTAATTTATTTTTGGTGGTTTGTTTGATGTCATTAATTCTAGCAAGCTTTTAGTAGTTTTTTCCCACGTTTTGTTAGCACATTTTTCATTTTCATCCTCAATACAATTATTCTGTTGTTTATTCAAGATAGTATGAAGACGTTCTTTTAGTTCCTCATTTATTAGAGGAATTTTATCTTTCATACAAGTATTACCACATTCCACATCACTTAAGAACATTTTTTCATATATTTTCTGGGCATCCCCTTCCTTTTTCTTTATATCATGAATATTATCTGACACTTGGCTGATCACGCTATCACTGTCAGTTAAGCGGTTCTCCACGACATTAAACATTATGTTGTTATAATCCCCCTCGTTGCACGTACCATCATTGTACGATGTTCTATTTTTGGAGGTTCCCTCAGGGTTCTCTTCACTAACCATTGAATCATCATATATAATATCATTTTGATTAAAAATGGAGAAAAAGCTTTCTTCACCTTCTTCGTCTTCCTTTTCTTCTCCTTCTTCGTCTCCCTTTTCTTCTCCTCCTTCGTCTCCCTTTTCTTCTCCTCCTTCGTCTCCCTTTTCTTCTCCTCCTTCTTCCTGCCCTTTGCGTCTACCGGCAGGCGATGATAAATCATGATGATCATTCAATTTTAATCCGCTTTTATTTTGCCTTTCGAAGATTTCAATTTTGTCTTTTAAAAGGGAAACAAAATTGTCTAACTCCTTTTTTGTGTTGGATGTTTTGAGAAGAACAGCCGTTCCCGCTTGTTCCTCATTCCCTTGTTCTACTTCGTCAGTGATACATTTAATCACATGTTTATAATTGCTGGCTATTAGTACACACTCCTTAGGGGTAAAGCTGTCTATATAAAGCGTTAAGTATTTGTTAATAAGATCAAACATTTTTACGTGAAAAATCTTTAAATTTGCATAAGCAGATAAAATTAGTGATAAGCCTTGTTTTGTAAACATATTCATATTTTGGAAAATTTGAATTGATAAAATGTAAAATAACATTTGTGATTTTATTTTTAATTTGGAGTAACTATAACAAATTAAACTTAAACTTTGTGGAGATAAACAAATTTTTTCTTTTATAATGTAGGAAGACAACAGAACAAAAAAATTTGTATCTCGGATTTTTAATTTAGCAAATGAATATGCAATGGTAGATAATGCTTGTTCATTCAACTCATTTTTTTTTTTTTCCATCCTTTTGGTTACCATTTTGGTATATGTATCCAGAAATAATTTGTCGTTCAGGTTAAAAGCAGAGCATGAATAAATCAACTGAGAGAAATGTTGACTATCCAGAGATACATAATTATGTTCATTTGAAAAATGAGAAAGAATAAAATGAAATAAATCCTTTTTGTAAAATTTAATCTTAGCAAATGAATGTGCAATGGTGCAGAGTAAAAAGGAGTTATTTTCTTTTATGGAATTCTTTTCAAAAATATGACAACTTAAAACTTCATATAACAAATGATACACTTTTTCACTTTTGAATTTTTTTTTACAAAATGCATTTGTTATCAATGTAGTTTCGAGAAAATTAAATTCTTTGTGAAGATTTCTTACACCTTTAATAAATGTAGTCCATATAACTTTCTTATTTTCATTTTTATAATTTAGCTTTGAAAACGAATTAATAATATTGGTCAATGATTTTGCATCAAATTCGTCAATTCTATCAATTATTTCATCAACCAGGTCGTCAATAATTATTCTGTCTTTTATGTTTAATTTGTAAAATGCATTAACAACACTGGAGATATGAGTATGTTCGAAATAGGGAATTTTGTGAGGAATTTCTTCACATATTCTATTAAACAAATTCTTATCAATAAAATTAAAATGGGAATAAGCATTTAGAATTAAGGAAATGTCTTGAGGCACTCCTTTATGTAATTTACTAGGTATATGTTTCGCAAATGTATCTAACAATTTTTCATTTCTATGATTAAATTTTCTCATTGTGTTTAAAATTAAAGATATTTCTTTTGTGCCTAGGCTATTAACAATAACAATAGCTCTTTGAGCATACCTATCTAACAATTCTTCATCATTTATATTAAAATAATATAATCGATTACATAGCATAGCCAACTTTTTGCCCTTACACGATTCAGGTACATATAATTCTCCTTTTATTAAATTATCAAAATGCATTTTTTCTTCATATTTATCTGGATTTTTTATTTTCTTTTCTATATCAAGTGGCTTTTTTCTTGATTGCTCCTTTAGGCCTCTTCTTTTGTTTTTCATGCATCTCACGTTCATTTCGAAGATCCTATTCTTCTCTCGCTTGGGAAACACTTCCACAATAAGGGCTTTCCTCAGACACTTCAGCACCATTTCCCTTCTGCTATGTATTCTGTCAAATGTTGGTTTCCCCTTCTGTGTATAACTTTCGCGTTAGGATACAATTATCTGCCACTCCCCGTGTGCTATACGATCCTCATAATACCCCAAATGATGAAGAAAACATTTCTTTTCACAATATATATAATTTTTCATCTGAAATTTTTCTTGTTCGAAAGAGGAAAAAACATCGTTTCATTTTTTTTTCCTATTGAATGAGTCTATCATAGTTGTAAAACATGGGTAATGAATGAGCCTGTTGGAATTCTACATTGGCTACGGATATGAAATTTGTGAAAAACGTGCTTTAAATGTCATTATTATAGAATTAAGCTTTTTACACAAAAAAAAAAAAAAAAAAAAAAAAAAAAAAAAAAAAAAAAAACGATAAAGCAACGTGATTAATTTTTATTATTATTTTTTTTTTTTTTTTTTTTACACCATCTATCCTCCCCCCTCTCTTTTCTTCAATATGTTTTTATTTCAGTTCTCATATCACACTTTGAATTAAAAATCACTTGAAAGGTGACACAATGAAAATATTTAGGAAAAAAAAAAAAAAAAACTCATTGTGAATGTGAAATGCTATCCGTTTAATATACACAATTAATAAAAGGAAAATCAAATTTACGACATTTTCTCTTCATTTCTATCTATATACGTGCAATTTTTTCCCATAAAATGTGTTATGTATATCTAAGTTTATACCTACTTTCCCTCGAGTTCCAAGCAATTATGCCTTTTACATGATGATTATTTCCAAAATGATTTCTGAGTTTCTATAACTCATTTAACTATATAAGAAGGTTCCAAAAAGGACGGATTTGTACATGTACATTTTATCGGGTTAATACCCTATTAGGAGAATTCTTTTTATACATCACGTTTGAACGTGTCTCTTAGTTTAACATGAGTAAATGTATAAGGGGTCTGATTCATCAAAAAAAAAAAAAAAAAATGCACATATGTATATATGCAAGTTTACGTGTATATCCATGTATATATCTATGACGACTGAAGGTTATGATTAGAATATATATATTCTTCCCACACGATTTCCTATAGAAGAAAAACAATACACATTCTGGTATAAGGATTATGTATAGTTCTTTATTCTTTAAAAAAAAAAAAAAGGTACAAACATTTGCTAGCTGTAAGCATCGAGGGTTGTAATGGTTTGTAATTATCCCCCAATATAATGGGTGGTAATGTATGTCATTTCATTTGCCCCATTCCCGTTTTTCTCGACATAGCGGTTGTTATACATCATTTTATGTAGTTTCATATGTGTTTGATGTTTTTGCGGGTTATTTTACAAAATTATAGAGAAGAAAAAAGAAAAAAAAAAAAAAAAAAATTGGACAAAAGAACAATAGAATAAAAGAACAAAATAACAAAAGAGCTAATAATATGATCCTCATTCGTCGGTGCATATATATATATATGCAATTTAGACATGCTTGGTTTTTTTTTTTTTTTTTTTCTTTTTCTTGTGGATATCCGCGCGCATAGGAAAATATGCATAAATGGGGCAAAAAAACATGTGACACAAAAAACAATTTTCATATAATTCATTATAGCCAATTCGTGCATATTTCTGTAGTAGGATTCCCTGATTCTGTTAAAGAGAAGTTTCATTTATTTTTTCTTTTTTTTGTGTTTTTTTCCCAAAAAGGCAATCCATCCACAGCCACACAAGTTACAAATTCTTAGGCGACGTTTACTAGTTCATATATACAACACTACACCGACACGGTGACAATGTGCATAAAAATTTCAGAACATTATGCTCATCAATTAAGAAATTAGTTATTCTCCTGAATATTTTTAACATCCGGAGTTCCAGGTACAGCTGGGGAAGGCAAGAAAGGTACTCGGTCATGATGAGCTAAAGGAGGAAAAAGAGACTGAGATGTTCCTTTTTTCTTAAAACCATCAAATTCATAAACACCTGTCTTGGTCAGAATATCTGGTTGAATATCTTTTTTTGTACACGTAACTCTTCCTATTTCTGGTGGACACGTAAAAACAAGTGGTGGTATTGCAGTGTTACTATTTGGGGGAATTTGCTGACTGCTTAAAGTCCCATCAGGGTATTGCCACTTCATACCATCAGGTAAATTATGTATATATGGTAAATGTTCAATTTGGCTATATAAATTTTCATGTTTTCTAAATTCTGGATCAGAACTAAAAGGAGAATTAGAATTCATTGGAATATTCCTCGTCGGATTGACGGCATTCGTGCCAGAAGATGCATTACTATTTATTGCTTTCAAAACAGTTGGGCGCGCGCTTGATTTTGTGAAAATTTGTTCTGAACTGTTCATAGTGTTTTTTTCAGGACAGGAAAAACAGTTTATTTGTGAAAGTATGGATCGTTGCGCCTGTACCTGGTTAACCTGATTAGGTTGGCTAAACTGGTTAGATTTATCGAACTGACTAAACTGGTTGGATTGGCTAAACTGGTTTAGTTGGTTTTCAGGACAGTTCAAATATTGCGTCGGTTTCAAAGGAGGAAAGGATTCAGAAATTGGGAAAGGAATATGTGTACCTAATTGTGGCATTTCCCCATTAGGCTTAAAAGGAACTTCTACAATTTTTTCAACATATCTAGGGACATAATAAGGCACTTCGACTGTTTTTATTTTGGGCACTTGTTTAATCACTGTTTGAGGCACTTCAATAATTTTTTCTTGCACTACTGGTTTTATTGTTTCTACTATTCTTTCTACATATTGTGTTACAACTTTTGGAATAATTTTAGGTGGATATAGACATGGGACTTCTACTGGTACTTCTACATATTTTACCCCTTGAGGCACTTCAATTATTTTTTCTTCAATAACTGGTTTTAAAACTTCTTTTGGTACTTCTTTAATCACTTCTGAAACACTGGGTACTAATTTGTTTACTATTAATTGTTTTTTAACATTTTCAAAAGTATGTTCATATTTTACATGGGGTATTTCAATTTCCCTTTGCTTCCTCTCCCTTTTTGATACGTATATCTCTCTTTCTTCTATTATAGGTTTTGCAACGAACTTTTCAGGGATGTTTTTTTTGAATTCTTCCGGTAGTGGTAGTGGACCTAATGCTGTCATGACTCGACGAGGATAAGCATCTGCATGTATCGTATGTTCATCTATTCCTTTAATCTGCTTAACGCTATACTGTTCATTTATATGATGAGGTGTTAATAAATGATTTGTTTTATCTACTTCAGCCACATTCATTTTACCACCATGGATATTTCTATATTGAGCGTTCTCTGACATGTAATAAATATTTTTTGTTTCCTCATGTATATGTTTATCCATTTTTTCTAACATGCTATTTGTTAAATTGTCAAAGTTTATTTCTCCATTGATTTCTTCCCCATCTTTATTGGTTCCCACCACGTTTTTATGTGACATCTTAAATTGTGCGATGAGTAGGAATAAGAAAATTCACAATGAGTAGGGATACTTCAATCAAAATTAGCAACTCGAAATTTGTTCTACGTAGAGAACAGAAGAGGATTCAATAAAATATAAAAAAGTGTACAAGAAGAAGGAAAATAAAACAAAAAAAAAGAAAAAACAAAGAAAAACAAAGAAAAAAAAAAAAAAAAAGTGAACAAATCTTTCAAGATAATGAATCTATGTTTAAGACACACATATATGTGCGCACAAACATTATATTTTGCAATTGTTTAAGCACGCTATGGTAGCATTTTTTTAATGCCTTTATAACGATAAGTATAAGGCCTTGTATGAAAATAGGACAGTGTCGTTCCTTTCACCACTAAAGATACGATTTATGGTTTTAAAAAAAAAAAAAATTATACATTTTATTTTATTTTTTCTATTATATACATATAATCTAGACAGGATAATGGGAGAAATGGAACAATTGGAAAAACTATGTAATGTAAATGAAAAAAAAATAAGGAGATACAAACCGTTATAGCGATGAAAGCAGAACATTAAAACGACGAAAGGATATCACTATAAAAAGCGAAAGTCCCTATTAGGAAAGAAATCCATTGAAATCTTGACAAAAAAAAAAAAAAAAAGCAAACAAAGTATAAATAACTTGGAACAAGATGAGTAAAAAACCAAAAAAAAAAATATATATATATATTTATACATTTATATGTATATATATAAATGCTCATATATAACTTTTTAACTCTTAAACCTAAAAACATTAGGAAATATGGTACCCCCTTTAAGCGCATAAAAATTGTCTACTCATAATCGATCCTCTAAAGGTGACGTTGATGTGCGGTTAATTGCATGTTGAATTTTTTTTTTTTTTTTCAGAACTAATGTACAAATGAAATTTAAAAAAAATAAAAGGTTTCAACCAATTTCATATGTCACAATGAACGTGCAATAAAAGTGGTAAAAAAAAAAAAAAATTAAAAGCATAACCCTTTTTGGACTTTGCACATATTGTTTCTGTTCCGGTCTTTTTTTTTTTTTTTTTTTTTTTTTTTTTCTCACAGTCTTAGAGCCCTTAGCAACTTTTTTTGTTTCTGTTATGTTTTTTCAACAACATTTATAATTTTGTGGAACTTGTATACTTTTAATTTTATTTAATTTTGTTCAGTTTTATTTAGCTTTTTTTTTTTTTTTTTTTTTTATATCCCTCTTTAGAACTTGACGTATCAATTAGTTATGTATGCATGTATGTAAAAAAGGAAAACATAAGTTAATGCTATTTTAACCTTTCTAACATTATCGTTTTTTTTCCAACGCGGACTCAAGTTGAGTAGAAAAAAATGAACACAAATTTAGTCCTTATTTTAAAAGATTTTTTAGTTCTTTTGGATAACGCAAAAGGTGCTTGTTTACATATGCACACGTTAGAATGTGTATGTGTGTGTCAAGAATTACGTGGGAAAAACAAAGAGATGGAGGGCCTCCTAGCATTAGGATCCTGCAAATGACACTAGGATTATTTTAGTGCATGGAATTCTACGCATTAAGTTGTTGAACAGGGTCTCCCATAGTTGTCATAGTGAGGTTAATTTTGTCTAAACGGCCAAGTGTAACAAAATAGCAGGAAGAAATCACATCGGAAAAAAAACGCTGAATGGTGAAATATTGAGAAAAGAATTAAGCTAATATGAAACACGTAATTTCATGATTAAAACGTTTTTTTCTTTTAGATACACATTCCCTCAAATGATTTATCAATCATTGTACTATGTCATTAGTCGTTTTTCATTTGTCACAACTGTGTCACAAATAAATACTATTTTTTACTGAAAAAACATCAAATTCTGAAAACGTTATAAGGAAAATTTATGATTTTTTTTTTTGGTTCCTCCATCCCTTCCTCCCGTCATTTTTTTGTTTTTGTATTATTGTAAAACTTTAATATATTTTTTACTAATTTGTTACTATGTTCTATTTATATGTAAAAGATAGACATCATTTCTGCTTTCTTTTATACATGTTTATAGATTTCATTTGATTACTTAATCATATGGACAAGAAAATCCTTCTTGTAACATATTGATAGCATTTTAAAATTCTATGAAAAAGGAAAAACAAATAAAAATAGAAAAAAGGACAGAAAAAATTGAAAAAGAAGAAACAAGCTTCGCCTTAAGTGCAATTAGGTGCGCCGCTACCCTAGTCTTACAATTTTTAAAAAAGCAGAAAAAAACAGATGAACAAAATTATGCACCGCCCTGTGCACCGGTTAAAGAAATAAAAAAGCACAAATATTTAGAAAAAGTTCAAAAAAAAAAAAAAAAAAAAAAAAAAAAAAAAAAAAAAAAAAAAAAAAAAAAAAAAAAAAAAAAAAAAAAAAAAAAAAAAAACACTTATATGGATATATATATATATATATATATGTGTATTCACAGACATGGAATGCACACAAATTATAGGATACCAAAAAAAAATAAAATAAAATAGAACTTACCCCTGGGGAATTATACTTTATACGAGGTTAATTTCATATGCACAAAAAAAAATAAAGGATACAAGAATAAAAAAAAATGAGTGATACTAGTTGTAACATGTTTTAAATGTTCCCCAACACCAAATAACTTGTGTGAACATGCCTTTATAAGTCTTTTTACATTTACATAAGAGAATGAATAATTATATATATATACATATACATACATATAGGCTTTAAAATTTAACATTCTTACAAATGGGAATTTTATAGACAGTGTATGCAACACTGTTAATGAGTTCTTCCTTTAGGCATTTTTTCTCTTCCACTGACAATTTTTTAATTTATTATTTCGCTATTCTTCTATTTTGTTATTCCTCTATTTTTCTATTTTGCTATTCTGTCATTTTTCCATTTTGCTACTTTATTTTTTTTAAATATTTGAATAAATATTATTTTTTTTAACACATTTGCTAAATGGACCATGTAAATTAAAGCACATGTTTATGTATGTCTTCACATGATAAGCATAAAATTAAAAATAATTTTTATCCAGCGCGTTGAAGATTTTTTATTAATTAAAATTGTTTCTTGAGCCACCACAGATGCTTAGCAGGTGCTGGATATTCTACTATTAACAAATGTGTGCTTTTTTTTTTTTTTAGCACCGCTCTAAGACTCCCCTTTCATATATGCATAAATGAGTAATTATTCATCCACCCTTGTTGAGTCTAAATTAATTTCAATTTTTTTTTTTTAAATAAAATACATTATTTTGAAATTTAAAGTATAACAATACTGTAATCGAAAACAGGAACAAACAGGACATCAAGAGATCACTCATCTCAAAACATTATGCATAGAACAAAATGGCTTGCATTAATGAAGGAGAGCCAATGACTCCTAGAGTGAAATTTAGGACAGTGCAAAAAATTAAAAATCAAAAATATATTTCTGAACAGGCTTATTTAATTCCAGAAAATGATGGAACGGCTGTGTATTTGAGTTATGAATTAAATAGAACATTAGAGAATATATTTAATAAATATTCGATCAATGGTTACATGGGAATTAACGAATTTGTTAGGATGGTAATAGGATGAAATATATTTATAATAAAGAATCGTTTATATGTTCTACATTTATGTTGGGAACCCTAGACTTTCATCAAAATTGATTCCTTATGTTTGTCAATTTTAAACAACATTTTTTTTTTTTTTTTTACATATATATATTTTTATATTGCTCTCACCCAGTGTATTACAGACTTTGTGCCAACAATTTGTTCACGTGCCATTTGCAGTGTGCATCAAGAATCACCTTGTCTGCAATACGTTTAATTTTTTTTTTTTTTCCATTGTCCTCTGATTATTATATTATTTCACTTTATTTTGTTATTTTATCTTACATTACCTTACTTAACCTTACTTTATCTTATTACTTTATCTTACACTACCTTACTTAACCTTACTTTATCTTATTACTTTATCTTACACTACCTTACTTAACCTTACTTTATCTTATTACTTTATCTTACACTACCTTACTTAACCTTACTTTATCTTACACTACCTTACTTAACCTTACTTTATCTTACACTACCTTACTTAACCTTACTTTATCTTACACTACCTTACTTAACCTTACTTTATCTTACTTTATCTTACACTACCTTACTTAACCTTACTTTTTCTTACTTTATTTTATTATTATTTTTTTTTTTTTACAGTGCTATGATTACAATTTGCTACCGAAAAATAAGAACAAAGATATACTTTACTACATTTTCAAATCATCCAATTTATCTGATGTAGGATACATAGGTACCTATTAAAGTAACGTAAAAGAATGCCTTACAGATATTTATAACATAGCTTACGCTGCTCCAATCCCTAACACATGAACTTTGTTTTTACCTTCTGTAGATCCTCTTGTATGTCTGTGAGCATGCGCGTGCTTCAAAATGCATGCCAATTTTCTTACATATCCTTCTACTAACCATCTTCTCCTTCATCTGTATCATAGAATATAGATACTTTTTCCAATTACTTCAAAAGCTGAGTGCATATTTATTTCGAAAATTAATTATGACAGAACAGGAAAAGGTATGCCTAATTTTATGAGTTGCATATATATATATATATATATATATATATATATATATGTATATGGTTAGAGTGGAACATGTATTACATTCCCACGCATGCATAACATGTGGGATAAGTAGAAATGCAAATTTGATGACAGCTAGGTGTTTAGCTACCCCTTGCGTGCTAAGAATACAAGAATAAAAAAAAAATAAAAAAAACATATTCATGAATGTAAGTTAATTTATTTCCCTCCCCTTCCATTTTGGCACACCAAACTCACCCACATCCTTCACAGCTCAATGTTTTAATTAAACATCTAACTTCTTTAAATAATTCCAAGATAAACACAAGCAAGGAAAAATTTAACGTTGGTATACAAGTGTCGGTGAAGAAAGAAAATAGAGGTTGTAATGCTGTTTGTGATATGATTGATCAGTGTTGTGTTACTTCTGTAGAGGTTAAAGATGTGGGAACAGGAATCGACACAAGAGATATAGAATGGGATAAGAAGATTGGAGAAGGAGAAAAAGAAAGCAATGGTATGATATATGAGAACATTTCAACGAATAGTTATCACACTCTAAAGTTTACAAGCCCTGATGAACAAGAAATGAAAGAAAGAATAAATGAAATAGAAAAATTATATTTTCATAAAGAAGACATTAACATAAAATTAAAAGAAGAAATAAATCATGCTTTGAATATTATTGAAGAAAAAAATAAAGTTATTGAAAATATGAACAAAAAAAATGCACAACAGTTAAAAATAGAAAGAAACAAAATTATTCAGTTAAAAAATGAAATCCAGAAATTACAAAAAGAAAAGCAAGTTGTAGTGGACTTAGAAGAAATGGATATTAAACCTCATCCGAATTACAAAAATAGAGAGATGGATGATAAGGTCGAATTAAGAAATACAGACATGGAATATATAAAATGCAAAAATTCAGCTAGTGATTATTTAAAGTTAAAAAGTAAGTCTTCATCAAAATGTGCACATTTTAGAACAAATTATGGAATATATTATTTTAATTGGAAGAGTCGCATAACAATTCATGATGGGAAGGAGGAGAAAGGAGGGATGACAATTTATAATCTTCATGTGTATGCATGTTTATACATATAAATGCTATTATGAATTTTTCTTATGCATATACTCGGATGTATTATTCTGAATATATACATGGATATACGCACATTTGTGAGGTTATACTATTTAGGGGGATGTATTCACATAGTCCTTCATTGCTTGATCTATGCAAAAAAAAAAAAAAAAAAATGAGAACAAAATATTTCCCATCCACCTAGGATGTAATAAAAATAGGAATATACATAATGAATCTACCGCAATGTTGTAAAACTGTCTTGTCTTGTTTTTCATTTTTTAACCCCTCTGTTCCTCGGCCAGAGTTTTGTTTCTCCCATATTTTTGTTCTTTTTCATTTTATTTTTACACATCTCATGGTTGTTAACCTTCCTATCTACTTTCCTTTTTTTTTTTTTTTTTTTTTCTGCAAAAATGCAGGACTTCTAGTTCTACCTGGAGAAGAAGAGGCGGCACTTATAAAAGTTTTTTCCACATACAGCACTTACTGCGGCGAGTAACTATGAAAAATAAGCAAGAATTGAATGTTAACAGATCAGATGTGTATATACATATCTCTTTCTCGTGTTTATATCACTGTGTTACAAACGTTGATCAATTAGTTTTTAATAAATTATCTATTATGATGTTGTATATTTAATTACATAAGCCTCACTTAATTTTAAGAAAAAAAAAAAAAAAAAAAAAAAAAAAAAAAATATTTCATCCAACCTTATCTCCCTCATATATAAACATCCACCCATCTCCCTTTACTGTTACAGAACGGCAGAATATGTAATGAGCAAAAAGCTTTGTGCTAATTTTTTGGCAACTTATTATTTGCTTCGAAAAAATGGGGAATGCACAAAACAGGAGGATTTAGATGTAAGAACTGCTGAAATTTTATTCACTAAAGGTATTCTAAAACGTTGCACAATTGCATGCATATCCAATGTGTCCACTTAATTTCAGTATCGTAATGATATCTAATTGAATTCGTGTGACCATTATTACACCACTTTGAATTACAAGAATTTAACAACAAAAAAATGGCAAATAAATCGTTTACAATCCCCCTTTTCACATTCCTTCTTTTACAGTATTATGTCAGAGGGCACACATAGAAAAGACTGATTTATTTGAAGGCGCACTCAGTTACTTTTACTTTAAGCTTGTATGAATGAAAAAAAAGAAAAAAAGAATGAATAAATGTGTATGTATAAACATGCTTGTATTCGTGTCTCTGTGTTCATATGTTTATATGCAGCTATATCGGCATGTATAATAAACAAAAAGTCGTTGTCGAAGCCTCTAATTAATCTGAGAAAGCGGGTTACAAATAGACGCATCTGTACTTGTTTATGTTACCGAAGGAAAGCTACTGATACTGATAATTATATATGTTTTCCTCGATGTGTTTATCGTCATATTCACGATAATAGAATACTATTTAACAAAATTAAACTGGGCTAAATGAAATAAACATTTTTCCTTTTGTAGTTTCTTTGTAATTTAGGAAAACATCTGTACCCTGATCTCGACGAAAGAGAAGGATTCTTAGAAATCGTTTTGTAATATCAACATTATATATATATATATATATATATATATATATATATATATATATATTTTATTTTATATTTTGTTTAGAATCTCATATATGTACATGTATTTGCATATAAATATGTTCACATATATGTACAAGTTTAATATGACCTTGCATTTATTTAATTTCGATTTTTGGTGTAACTACCATTATGATTTTTCTTATTACACAGTTGTATTATTCTCCTAATTTTTTTTTCTTTCTCCTTTCTCCCCATCTTCTTACATTTGATAGAAATTACATATTAGTTTTGAAAAGAAATGAGGATTTCAAAAATTGGAAGAAAAAAAGTATGAAAATAAAAAAGAAGAATAAAATAAGAATAGCATGCTCTAATGACTTGAGCATGCTTAGAGGAGACATTGTAGGTAGCTATACTAGTAGTGAAAAGGGTATGATATGTGATGAATTAAAAAAGAACAAATATAAAATAAAACAGAGTAATAGCACTAATGCGAATAAATCAATGTCTGAAAATGTAAAAACTAGAAATTTTCATACAGATCTATCATTTGAATATATCGAATCCAATGAAACAAAAAAAAAAAAAGATAAAATTCGAGAAGGCAAAGTAAAAAATAAAAATGAAAAGATAAGTGACAGCATTACTAAGGACAATACTAATCTTTTAAAAAATAATATCAAATATAATAATTTATGCATTTATGATGAAACAAGTAATGAAGAATGCAATTCTTTAGATTCAGTTCATTCAGATGATCATAATTTTTTCCCATCACTCCCCAAAAAAAAAAACATCATTATGAAACCTTTAAAAATGAAACAAAATATTTTAACCTTACCGAAAAAAAATTACACACATTTTGCAAATACCCATACCAAGCGAAATAATAGTGTGAAGAACATGTTTCCTCTTTATGACATTGAAGGAGAATTATGGCACTCCAAATCGGAGAGGCATAAAACGTTTCTCCCACAATTTGGTAAGGATTAAACTATCGCGTGTTATTTCATATTCTAATTCTGCAGCAATGAGTACGGATAAGTATAGATGTATGTCTGCGTTTGTGTGAATGTGCATATAAGGATGAGCATATATATTATTAATTCATAGTGTGTTTTTCCAATTCTGCATATATCCATCGAATAAAGCATTAGCAAAAAGGAAATTTTCCATAAAAAAAAAAAATTTTTTTTGTAAAAATTTTTAAAAGAACAAATTGGAAATTAAAAAAAAAAAAAGATAAATTACATAGTAAAAACAAACAAACAAACAAAAAAAAAAAAAAAAAAAAAAAAAAAAATGTCTTATGAAAGGGTCGAGTCGTAAGAATATCATCAAATCTCGAACTTGTTAGAATGTCTTTTGTGGAGATTCTTTTGCTGAAACCAGGTCATCCCAGATGTCATCAAGACCATCCTTAAAAAAAAAAAAAAAAAAAAAATACAAGGAATGATAATCAGAGAACAATGACGAGCGATGTGTAACCGACATGTGGTAATATTACGAATCTAAAAATAAGGGATGAAAATAAATTGATAGAAAATCGGTGCATCACTAAAGAACAGCAATTGTTGTATTAGGTGTCCTTTATTCTCCATGTTAATATATTTTTTGTAGGGGTAAAAAGACTTACATTATCATAGGTAGTATTGATACAACATTAATTTCTCCATTCTTCGCTGTTAAGTAAGTGGAAATCAATACAAGGGTAACGACAAAAATGATCTCCACCATCTGCAGGGGAAGAAAAGGGGAATTCCCCAAGGGTACCATAATACGAATATGTATGCAAAGATATATGTGTCTATATATGTGTTTATGCAAGTATATAGGTATGCATATATGAACACATACAAGTGAGCGCACGTATACATTTTTCAATGGTTGCAAGAACAAAGGGAATTTTTTAATGCGAAGCTTTCCTTCATATGAATGTTTCACGTATCATACCTTGAAAATTACACCAAGGAGAATTGCTAATAAGCATAAAACTAGAATTCCTTCGAGGTCACCCGAATAAGTTTCATTTATATTGAATTTATAAATCCTTGATGGGTCCTTCGGTTCTATATGAAAGGGGGAATTAAAATGGACAATAAATCGATACACAATAGCTGAGAAAAACCAGATATATCAATCTGAAAAATTATGTACATATATTATACATGGGAATTACAATTAGCATGGACTAAAAAACATACTGTTGCGTTTCTTTAGCAACGAACTACTTAAAAAGTTCGTTCCCTAAAACAAAACATCAATAATTGTAATGTTTTATATCTTACCAGATGGGATAACTACATTCAGCGGCATTTTTTCTCATATCTCTTTTAAGCGTTGAGTATGCCTTTTGGAATTTATATTCAAGGAGTGTGTCAGAAATAAGTTTATATGGTTGGAATTTCTTGAAAAAGTAAGCAAATGCATATACGAGAAAAAAGGTGGAATTTTTGTTTCATTACCACAATAATTAAATTTTCTAAAGTAAACAAATCTGCTTAGCAAATCTTAATAACTTTTACACATTATGTGGATGTATATATATATATATGCATAAAGGTGATACAATTCTGAACAAAGAAGGAAAAAATGTCTTCCCCCCCCTCAAAAAAAAAAAAAAAAAAATACGCAAAATTAGCATATTTGTTACATATAAATTATTGTAGCGCGTAACAAAACAAAAATGCAAAAAAAAAAAAAAAAAAAAAGGCATGCATGAGAGCATACACGGTATACTTATGTATACGTGCATATATATTTATGAGCAGTGCTCAGAATGGACTGACAAAAACCCATTTTAACATTTCTTCAGAAATAACATTAAGATAAAAAAAAAAAAAAAAAAAAAACATTTTTGTCCATAATTACAGTTTTTTTAAAAATGACAGTAAAATGTCCCTTCACTTGTCCGTATAGGATCAACGCAAACGGCAACAATATCTTTACACAAAAAACTGCAAACAAGTATTTTTTTAAAATCTGCCATTCCGTAATTGTCTTCCCCAACAACTTACTGTCAGAATTAATATCTTTTCAGATTGTGTTGCAAAATTAAGGGGGTCTTTTTCTACCACTAAGCAATTAATCTCAATTTTTTTATTTTTGTATTCTATCAGGAACAAGAAAATGAAAATAAAATAAGATAAAATTTTGTGTGAATATGTAAAGATATATAACTAATTAAAATATATGCACTTGTTTAATTTGCTTTTGATGCCTATTTTTTAAAGTGTACCAAAACATTCTTCTTCTGTTTTAAGAAGGCTCTTTCGTTTTTAAGTTTTTTCGTATTTTCCTAAAAAGAGGTCATGTTACAAATAATGTGTACAGTTAAACAATGGTATTAATCATATGCAGAAATTCTTGGGATATATTCACTGCGTATGCAACATTATGATTTAACAAATGTGTATGTAATATGAATTTCCCTATTTCCACGTTCTATACCATGGATACTTTTTATAATTTTTTTTTATTCCATATATATTAATTTATTGTTCATTTTACGTCTTCAATTGCGGATGAATCAATAGATATTTCTTCAAGCAATTCTTTAATAATATTAATTCTGGAGGTGCACTTGTAAAAATATAGGCGTACATATATGTGTGGATACTATGAATATGCACATTCTTGAAAGCTACATTGATTTATAAGAAAACGTTCATTCTAAATTTTGCAAAGGATTCGTATGGAGGAACAGGATATGTATTGTGTAAAAAACAGGGAGTGTGAAAAAGAGTAGCTTTTTATTGATTTTTTTTTTTTTTTTCTTTTGTTTTTGCTAAACATACATACTACTGAGTATTAACTATTAGTCACTAATTAATGGTAATTTAAGATAATGTTTGCAAAAGTTACCTGTTCTATAATTTTTGATGTTGTTACTAGTTCTTTAACTGCCTCTCTCTTGTTTTTGCTTTTAATTTCTGTATTATTTTATTTTAAACAAGTAAAACAAGGAAATGAGGTATTAACATTTGGTGTCCTCAGAACCAAAGGGGGAGAAAAATGTAGGAGCAAAAAAAAAAAATTATGATCTCCGTATATTTTTGTTGAACATTTTAACCATTTGACATGTATTCATATACATTTATGTCTACATGCCTGTGAGGAATAAATATTGCATATTTTTAGTGTTACAAATAACAAGGGGATTAGAAAAGGGGAAAGGGTTATAAATAACTACCTGCCAATTTTTTAAAATAGGCAACTTTTAATAGTAAATGTTTTGTATTCTTAAGACCTTCCTTCAAATGCTTGTATTTCTCATAGTAAAATAATTCCCTTCATATAGTGTGTGAATATGAATAAAAATACCCATTTATCGAAAAAATAATTTAACAAATATAAAAGACAAAAGATGGACAGATATATTTTTTACTATTTTGTAATTTTTCAAAAGTGAAAAATCGAAGCCCTTGAATTTTTTCCTTTTTTTTTTTTTTATTTTTCTTTCCAACTTTTACTTACTGATTGCTTAAGTGTTGCGGTAAAACTAGTATAACTGGTGGTATAAATTTCCTTTCTTTTGTTCTTGACTCTTTTTCATCATTAATTAGTAATAAATTTAAAACATTTTCATCATTTGCATTTATAATTTCAGATTCAGTTTTAAATCCATATTGTTTTGAAGTGTTTTCTGCTAGGAGCTTCTAGAACCGATGTGTAAAACATTAGAATTATCAATGCTATTAATTAACTTTTTTTTTTTTTTTTTAAAAAAAATATGAATTTAAAATTAATTGGACATATAGTATTTTCTTGTTAGGAACCAGTGTTTCATTTTATTGCACATTTTTTTTTGTTTTTTTTTTGATACACTTTTATATTTATTATTACATTCTTATTTTCAGAAATAATTCGTAGGATCTCCTCCGCTATTAATAAAATGATAAAGCAAAAAAGATATTTAGAAAAATGCTTATATTACACCACGAATTAAGTAAAAAGCATAAACCTTTTTTTTTTTCCAAACTATGTATTTCAATCCTTACCTGTATTAGCAATGTAATGTTGTTCATTTTGCTTAGCACCCTGTCAAATTAAGTGATTAAATAAGTGTGTAAAAATTTTTGTTATTTTTTTGTTACATTTATTGACGTTCAAAAAGATGTTCACACGATTTTGGTTATTCGATGGATAGCTTAACGAATTAAATACGTAGCTGATATTCCACAAAATTCTCACCCCCAAATGGATGTAGTCCTCACTAAGTGTATCATCAATTGTCATTCGAGGTTTATTAACAGCAATAATAACATTCTGGGGAGAACCTGAATTTTGATAGAATAATGTAGCATCATATGTACGGATATACATAAACATAGCAATACATAAAAGGGAGCAGGTTAAAAGAAAGTGAATTTATATTTATTTTTTTGCCTGTGACAATTTCTAGCTTATTTGTATCAGTTTTTTCCGTTGTTCCATTTTTTCATTTTCGTAAATTTTGTCAAGGCTGTTATAAGCTCCGCGTTAAATTCCGTAATTTTCTAGAAGGCAGACACGCCCCGCGTTTCGCAGTCTCTCGATGTAGAGTAGTACGTGCTAAAATAAAATCGTAAGATTTGAAGAATACAAATATTTAAAGGCTTTTAGGGAATAAACAGTATTAATTATGGATACTTACTTAAATCATTCGGGTTGACTCTCTTAACACCTTGATTATTATTTCTACAGAACAATGTCTCAAAAAAGGACAAAAAAAGGAACACTATAAAGATTTTGTTCATTTTTTTTTTTTTTATTTTAAATAATAGTAATATTCTCAAAAATAAAAAAAAATTTGAAAAAAAAAAAAAATGTTCAATTATATATAGTAAATATCAGAAGATCCTACAAAGGGGTGCATGCCAAAAGGGTTAATGTAATCATAACACTAATAATTAATTTCCAATCATGCGTTTCTCTTCGAGCATGAATAAAAGTATTTTTATTTTCTTACATTAGGCGCTACTGAGAAGCACGTTTTGTGTGTTTGGGAAGTGTATTTTAAATGTGTACTAAATATTGTAGATATTTTTACTATTGTAGAGTATTTATATAATTATATTATTTTTTTTTTCTTCCCCTTATATTTGCTCTGTGTATATACATTTAAAGGAACAAATAGATAAATCTGGAAAAGCTAATTAATTATAAAGTTTCCTATATGTCTTCAAACTTGATACAAGTGCTTACCATTACATTTGGCCAACATTATTTAACTTGTGTGCTGGTTTCTTTGTATTTATTTATAAAGAATATTACATCAAAAAAAAAAAAAAAAAAAAATCCGAAGCAACATAAAAAGTATTATCACCATTTCTTTTAGCAAAAGGTCCTTATTTTTATAGTTGTATATCTCATTCTTTTCACATATAAAGATAATAAATAATCTACAATAATACACATTCAAATTAGTAAATTTTGAAGCGAGTGGTTTACCTAACATTTAGTGGAAAAAATTTTCTTAAATGTTCTTTTTTTACCGTTTGTCCTTATGTAAAATAGAATTTCTCACAAATGCCTTATGTCATTTTCCAGGGGCGTATGTCAGCATACGTTAGACAAAAATGCTTATAATATTTTTAATTTTTTAAAATGCAATTCCTTAAAAGACGTTATTATATTTTATTTCATTCTTTTATTTAATTATTTTATTTTATTATTTTATTTTATTATTTTATTTTATTGTATTAATTTATTTCATTATTTTATTTTATTTACCTTTTTGATGAACGTTTATGCTTACATTTTTAGGAACTTGTAACTGTTATATGCCTTATTTTGAGAGTAACTTTTAAAGATGACCGATTAACCTCATTCAGTTAAATTTATGTCTTTTATGGAAAACACAAAAAACTGTGTAAATGTGTGCATAGAAACAAGTACAGGCATGTTCATTTTATATATGTACTTTCGTTCGATTGGAAGTTATTCATATCCTATCTAATCTTAATTAAGCCTTTTAATTAAGAAAAAAAAAAATGATAGAATAAAAATGTAGTTTTGATAGACCCTTGAAATTAGTTCTTTTTTGTTCTTTTTCACTATTATGAAGCCAAGAGCACGTGTAGCCAATGGGATACTAGTATGAATCGTGGCAAGCCCCAAATGTGCTTGTAGGCATATGAAATAGGTCACTTGGTGAATGAGGCATAGGTGTATATACTTATAAATACGTAAATATAATTAAATAAATATAAATATATATATATATATATATATGTATATATGCACTTACGTAGAAACGAAGTAGGAAAGAGAGGCTAAAAAGTGTGCTTAAATTTTAAAAAAGCATGCATGCCGGAAATAAAAAAAAAGTATTCTACACAAGAATTACACATTAATTAATACATCTCTAAAGAATTACTTGTTACAAAAAAATGGAAAATGTGTGATTTCTTTTATTTTTTTTTAATATGTTATATGGTCATAAATTATGATGGGGAAGTGACCGTCATGTTATCACTATTTTTTTTTTTTTTTTTTTTTTTCATTTTCGTAGACTTGTTGCGAATTGTTCCTCTTTTTTTTTTTTCTTTCATAAATATCAATCCTTGAAGTGTGTAATAAAAATACTTTTCCTCATTTCGTCTTAAGTGTAAAAAATGTTAAGTTTTCCTTTTTTTATTACATAAAAATGTCTGCGCTATTTCGAGAATCTCACATTTTTCTATATTTTGCTATCCTCTAAATGAAAACCCCTTTTTTTAAATTACTACAAATTGTAAAATAAAGAATTTATAGCATGCAAAAGGAAATTTAGTACAACATGTGTTCCTTTTAAGAGGAAACTGTAAAGACGGAAAAAAAGAAAAAAAAGAAAGAAAAAAAAAGTAACAGAAAAAACATTAAACGCTTTAAAAAAAAAGAAATGTATGAGGTAAACACTACATCCCATTTGGGAAACCCTTTTATTTTTTCACAAGAAAAAAAAAAAAAAAAAAAAAAATACACAGTTGTTAATAATTACTAATTTTTTTGTTTCCCTCTATTTATACTTATTTATTTTGTAAGATTTTATTTTAAATGTTGAGGTGTTATTTAGGAGTTGCAACTTTTGTAAGGAACTATCATAAAAAAACAGAAAAGAGAATAAAAAATAAAATAAGTAATATTGTAGCATTTTGTATAACATAAAACTTATATAACCATATAATTTTGTGTTTTCCACTATGATGCATAAAAATACAGTATTATATGGGTATTGTTTGTGAATATGCGCAATCGCATGTTCTTGCATTTGTATGTATATTTTTGCATATGTTTGTGCAATATATACATGCTTACAATTTTATCAAAATTTTTAACTAAAAAAAGGCAAAAAAAAAAAAAAAAATGGGAACACATTTACAAAAAATAACCTCACTGTATTTCTTTAATCATTATTAAAAAAAAAAAAAAAAAAAAAAAAAAAATAATGAAAATGCGTTTTTTTGAAAAAATAACTCATTTCACTGAAGAACGTATATGCATATTTATGTGTGTATTCACATAAAAACAAACAAACAAAATGCATATCTTTTAATGCATGAGAAAAATGGACATATTGTATTTTTAATTAAATTATTTATAAATTTATTTTTACTTTGTTGTTAATTGTGCATTCTTAGGGTGTACCCCTTTTTTCCATCTATAGTGTAAAATAAAAGGCCCCATGAAAAAACCTCATTAACGTTTACACAACTGAATGCAGGCGTGCATACACACCTACACATATAAACAGTATGCAAATAAATCAACACACATACACATAATGACAACATGGGATTAATGAAATATACTGCTAATGCATACTGTTTGATACAGTCCATGCAACCCCTATGAACCCCAATTTCACCATCCACCTTCCCCAATATTTAAATATGCATAAAAATACTCATCATGCATCAAAGAAGATTCACCATATTTATTGTAATTCTTTATATTTCTTTCCTTAAATTATGGATGAATTAAAATCATACTTAAGAAGGAAAAAAGGAGGGAAAAAAAAAAAAAAAAACTCCTGCTTCCATTCTTGTATCTTATCACAAAATTATGAATATGAATACATATTTTTTATTTTATATTTATTATTATTTTTTCCCTTTCACCCATATGTAAAAATCTATTAATTAATGTAAACTTATTGTGTATCTGCAAAAATGCGTATGTATAAAATAGTAATATATGTATCTATTTTACTAATTCAGCAAAACCTACCCACCACCAGCACCCCCCAAACACACACTTTCTTACTTTTAATTATTTTGTTTACATATTTCTACATGTCTGATAATATGCATGTTTATATAACAAACAACATAGTTACAAAAGGATGACAATTTGCTTTGCATTTTATCTTTTTTATATTTGCTTAAGTATACCTTTTTAAGAGAGCATATATCATTCACATTTCTGTGTTTCGTAACTTTTTTTTTTTTTTTTTTCGCCTTGATAATACATACAGTGATTCCTATTAACCCATTACCTATTTTTACTTGAATAAAAAGAATTGTATGCTCTATCAAACGTTTAAGCAAACGAGTCTGAATAAAAATTAACATTTTGTAATAAGTAGGTTCGAAAGATATGTCAAAACATGTCTATTATGAAAAATCTTGAATGAAAAATTGGACCCATTTCATGTTTGAAACGGGTTTATGTGAATAAATATATCTACGTTTATTTTTATTAGTTTATAGGGGCATATTCAGAAGTTTTATCCTAATTTTCTCACGTTCATTATGCATCCCCACATTGCTATTCGCATGCATCGATTGGTCATAGACATATATATGCATTACAAAACACAGTTTCTCGTTTATGAGGACATTTTAAGATAGATTTGAAATGCTACCAGAATTGGAAGAAGTTATCTTGGTTAATTACGCATAGATGCGTATATATATATATAGAATGTATGTACATACATGCTTTACTAGTTTAGTTATTTCGCTATTCTTTTTTCTTTTTTTTTTTTTTTTTTTTTTTTCATTTTTAATAACCGACTGTCTACATGCAACTCCGGTAAACCTCAACATGAGTTTCTCACCAATAAAATACGAGTCCAAAATTCTAAGCAACTTAGCCAGCATGCTGAAGCTTAGCGAAAAGACAGACAAAGAAATATGGAACGAAATAAAGGAAGAAAAGGTAGAAATTAAATTCGAAATTGATGAAGACATAAAAAAAGTGATCGATATTAGCAAAATTAATTGCACTTGTGATGAATCCAAAAAAAAAATGGAATTATATAAGGGGAAGAAATTTGAATATTATTACAATGTAGAAACTTATGGAGTGGATTTTTTTATAGATATCTGTAATGCGTTAGCTAGGTCAAATTATAAACAATTTTTATCAGAAGAAGGAAAAAGAGAAATTATGAACGGATTAAGAATTAGAAGAAATTCCAATTTATATAAATATGTGTCCTTTTTTTTAAGTAAAGAAAGGTTAAATAGGGACAGATTAAATGACGGAAAATCACCAGAACATATTTTTCATTGTTTTAAGTGCCTAAAGAGTGTATTGCATATATATATAGATGACCAAAATAGTTGTAAAAAAAAATTGTATTTAAACGATAATAAATATATTACAGAACAAATGGAAGAAGAAATAGAAAATGATTTACTCAATGAAAAAAAAAAAAATAGTAATACAAACCCCCTGAATTCTAGGGACGGAATAATATCTGTCAGCAAATACAAAACAGAATTAACTTCGTTAACTAGAAAATCAAATGAAAAAATTATTAAAACCATTTTTGAACATACAAAGGATATAGATAATGGTAAAAAGAGCAATGAATTTAACATGAAGATAGATAATATTCCTGTGAATATGGATTCAAACCAAAATCGTGGAAGGAAAACAAATAAAAGTAATACCTTTGAAAATATCAATCATTATAATGAATCCAACGGATTTTTCGATAAACATGATTTAACATATTTTAGTGATACTGCTAACAGTTTGTCAAATGATCAAGAGCAAATGAATAGAAACAAAAATGTACAAAGTAAGAGTAAAATTACAAATCCAAAATATAAATCCATAATAAACAGTTCATTAGAAATGAACAAAGGTGCAAATATTATTTTTCTTAGCAAAGACAGGGAAAGGAAATGGCATAATTCTCCAATCAGTAAAAAAGGAACACATAGTGTCAATTCTGTAGCAAGCCAAATATCTGGTACAACCAGAAAAAATGACACAAGTGATTTAGAACATTCTATCGATGCGAACGTTAGCCACGTGGTACACCCAAAGAAAGATAATAAAATAGAGGGAAATGATCCCTACTTGGATCCCGGAGAAATGGACAAAGCCAAATTTGAAGTTATCAAAGAGAATCAGTGTGCATCTAAAAGGGTTCAAGAAAGAGAGAATCAAGAGGAAGAGAATAAAATTTCTATTGTAGCAAATACTGCACAAACTCTGGAAGACTCAAAAAATGGCATGATGTTAAATAAAGAGTGTGATGTGAATTCCATATCTGAAATGAAGTTCGCGCATTGCTCAACAGAAGAAAAGAAGAATATGAAGAGTAATGTAATCGTGGTAGACAAATCTCATATGAAAGATGAAGCTATAATGGAAGGTGTTAAAAATATTCATAAAAATGATATGTATGAAAAATGTTTAGAGGACAAGAATGGATATAATGTGAAAGATGATTATGATTTTAACGTAAGTGATGATGCATCTTATTCTACAGATGATTCGAATTATAAAAGATGTATAACAAGGAGAACCAAAAAGCTGCAAGAACAAGGGAAGATAGTAATTGATCTGAACATTCTTAATGGAAATTTGATAAATGCATCAGATAAAAAGAAAAAAGAAGAAAAAATTGAAGAAAAATTTAAAGAGAAATGCCAAGAAAAACATAAGGAAATGATAAGAATGAATGAAATCAGAAAAATGTTAGAAGAAAAAAAAATGATTTTTTGTAAAATAGAAGATGTTGCAAAAAGGAGAAATAAAAGATATATAAAAACACAAGTATTATCAGAGGACTCTAAAATACAGAGAGCTTATTTTAGCCATAAAATGAAAAAATTCTATAACTCAAAATCTGGATACTTTGGTTGTGGTTGGTCTAATAATAAAACTCAGTGGATACCTTTTATACATGCCCCATTTTTTGATAATCATCATAATACTATATATAAAAACAGAAACAAAAAATTATACGAAGAAATTTATGACACTTTGTTACATGGGAGAATTCATCCATCTATCAAAGTTGTAGAGTTAAAGGATCATAAACATCCAGTGCGATTATGCACTCCCTATTATGAAGATTGCTATTCAGTTGTATACACTGGAAAAAAAATACTTGCAACTGATGATAGGGTTGTTTTTGGTGAATACACTGGTTATGTTGCAAATAATAGAGAATTATCACAGGAAAGGCATCAGTACACGTTTGCCTTATCCTTCAACAAGAAGGTTTTTAATGGAAAAAAGAATGTTCTTTTTATTAACGAAATTGAGTCAGATGAGGGGGATGTGGTGGAAAAGTGCAAACTCTATGGGAGGGAAAAAAGAGAGGATCGAAACAGAGAAGAGAAAAAAAATGACCAAAATGGGAAAGAGGAAAAAAAAGAACAAAATGGGAAAGTGAAAAAAAAAGACAAAAATGGGGAAGAGGAAAAAAATGATCAAAATGGGAAAGAAAAAAAAAAAGAACAAAATGGGAAAGTGAAAAAAAATGACCAAAATGGGAAAGAAAAAAAAAAAGAACAAAATGGGAAAGTGAAAAAAAATGACCAAAATGGGAAAGAGGAAAAAAATGATCAAAATGGGAAAGTGAAAAAAAAAGACAAAAATGGGGAAGAGGAAAAAAATGACCAAAAAATGGAAGCAATTTATGAAGATTCCTCCAAGCACACTAACCATTCGAATAAAATTTGTGAAGATGAAATATGTTTGAACAATGAGTCGTATTATTTTGGGAAATCTTTTAGGAGTCCTGACACAAATGGGAGGGGAAGTAACCAATCCAATTTTCAAAAGGTGCGAAATGAAAAGTGCACAGCATCAAGTAATAATAAGGGGAATAAGAAATCAAAGGATCCAAATAACATGATTATTCTTCCGGATAATTACACATATGCTGTTGATTCGTCATACATGTTCAATGAGATGTCCTTAGTTAATCATTACAAAACATGTTCTATGTTTAATAATTATGATTTCAGAATAAATGCAGAATGGCAATTAGTTTATCTTGATGGGTGGCCCCATATAATTCTGACATCAATTCCAGGAGTGGAAATAAATACAGGTGAGGAAATTTTTGCAGATTTTGGTTTCGAATGGTTCGAAAGAGTTAATGATATATGTCTGAATGGATTTATTAAGAATAATTATGCACACAGATTAAGAAAATTGAATCTTTGTGAAGAAAAAGATTTCAATGGAATAGATGACATAGTTGAGAAATACAATTTAATAAAAAATTATACCACGTGTAATATATGTATGTATAGTATAAACACAGATAGTAGCAATAATTTTACTGCTTGTTCAGGTTGTAATCACATTTATCATTTAAAATGTGTTCAGAAAATAAATGCAGAAGTCAATGAAAATTACGATTGGTTTTGTTCAAGTTGCATTCAGTTCTGCATCAATGTTGTGAACCAGGAAGAATTTCTCTCCTACATAGAAAAGGAAAATCAAAAGAAGCTGATAGACCTTTTTAGTGATATGTGTACTGAAAATTCAAACAAGTTAGTCAAATTACTTCAATGCAAAGGTAGTAATGATAATTCATGGAATGCAACCCAATGGGCAGGGGAAGATACCACTGGAGAATCCACAAATGGCAATTGTGGAAAAAATTATGATAAAATTAGGAAATTACTATATTGTAAGGAAAATATTAATGATTTGATAAAAAATAAAGATATAATTAACTCCTATTTAGAAAATACTTGGAGAGAGATCAATTTAATAGATAATTCAGGAGAATCTGAAGATTTGTTTTCAAAAAATGACCAAATGAAATATTTACTGCAAAATAGTTTTGAGCTTCATTTACTTGTTGAATATAAAAAAAAAATTGATGATTTGTTATTAAGCAGAGAAAAAATTGACACTTTTCTGAATGATAAAAAGGCTATGAACACCATGAAATTGAGGAAACAAACCATAAACTATTTGTTAGAAAATCGAAAATACATAGAAAAACTTGTGGACTCAATAGAACAGGGCATCCCCATTGTCCTTCCGCACACAAAAAAGGACAAAAACAGTTGTTCTGTGGAAAAAAGTGAACAACATATAGCACATGAGAAAACTCCAAATGATTGTCAGGATCAATCTTTGAATCTGCTTAAGGAAGAGAAACAGAATCAGATGATGGAACTTCTGCATGAGGATAAAATGGTCTTACAAACAGTATGCAACCAAAGTCCATGTATGGCAGAAAAACCAGACTTAAGTACTACTGATGAACGGAATTCCAATTTTTCCATTTCGTATGAAAGCATTTTATATAAAAAATCGAATGCTGTAGTGAAGAATTTAAAAGACATAAGAAAAATAGTTGGAATTAATGAAACAATTAATAACTGTTCCTCAGTTAACGATAATTGCAACCATGGAGGGAACAAAAATCTCTGCTTTAATAACATGATGAAGATTAGCAAAAAGATCATAGGATTTCCTCTGATTAAGGACTTCGAAAGGGGATTGAGTACTAACCAACCTTGTCTCCCATTAAATGATCATTTAAAAATGTTATCCGTTTGTACAATTTGTTACAGTAAGCATAATGATTTAGCTAAAGCAATTATATGTAGAGTTACGAAAATGCACTTTGAGTCTAACTACAATGATGGGTTAAGCGATGAAGATATGTTTAAGACATCAACTGAATGCATACAATCAGTAATACGAGAACTGGCCAATACTATAAAGGAATATCGAAGGAGGGAATTAAGTGAGGTTTATGTGCAAGAGCTGGAAAGGAGTGGAAGTAGCTGCAGTAGCAGTGTTAGTAGTGGTATGTGCAGCAGTGCTAGGGTTTTACTAACTGAAGAAAAAAGCGACATGAACGAATATGTAAATTCTACCAACAATTCTGTTAGTCGAAGTACAACAGTCTTGGTAAATTCTAACAAAAAAAAAGGACAAGAGAAAGCATTTTACGATATTGTTAGTGATCTTTCATGTAACAACAAATGCGAAAGAAATAGAAACTACATAATTCAAAATAACACCCCATCTATTTCATGGGATAACAAAATGAATTATACAGATGATTATACATGCATGAAGGTAGATATAAATTCTGCATTAGGTGGTAAACATCCTCGAGAGGAAGAAGGTGATAATAACAACAGTATGAACAAAAAAGCTAAGCATAATTCAAAATCACATAATAAAATGTGCAGTACAACAAATGGGAATATACTAAAAAAGAAAATGGAGGAATCGGAAAATATGAATAATGAAGAAATACATGGATTTGTAAGGAAAAAGTATTCTAATCATATGGAAATGGGTAATAAAAACAATCATACAACGCAGGAACGAACAGAGGATCATTCATTCAATGACTTACACAACAATTTATGTAGGATATCAAATATAGATCTAAACTTGAACCATAGTAAAGATGAAAGCAAGAAAAAAAATAAAAATCACATACATTTTGAGAATGAAAGTTTGGATGGCACAAAGGAGGAGATTATAAATAAAACAGAGGACTACATCACTTTGGAACAATATTCCCAATCTCATAAATTCATACCGCTTATCGGAATTGAGCTTGGAAAAACAAAAATTCAAAGGGAATTTACTAATGGCACATTTGTAGGTACTGTTACAGAACAAATAAAAGATGAACATGATAATAAATTTTTCGTAGTTACATACGAAGATGGGGATGCGGAATGGATGAATCCATTTTTCCTATTTCAAGAATTGCTAAAACAATCGACAAACAATGTTGACTATCCTTTAGCTAGTACCTTTAAGGATGTATTCAATCCAGAATATAAAAAGGATTTAAAATTAGGTAATTATACCCTTGAATTAAAAATTGAAAGGCGAAAGAAAAAAAGTAATTGTGAAAGTGCCAGTAACAATAACAGTGTCACTAAAAAACAGAAATCTTCACAGGAGGAAAGTTCTACAAGGAAAAAGAAGCAGCGATTTTGACACGCTGCTTGATGTTTGAGCTTATGACATATTCGTCGTTATAGCGCAACTCGTAGATATTTTCTTCTTTTAAGAGGGCTTACAAAAGCATTTAAATGTAAAATCGATGAAATGGATTAAAAAGAACTAAGAAGACTGAAATTTTATTTTTAAAAAAAGTGTATACTTTCCACTATGCATTTGGTAAAAATTTTAAAATATGCAAAAATGATTTTCCCGCATCCTTTTGCAGGAAGTTGATATTTTAATAATTATTTTTTTACGCACAGATAGTGCAATTTTTCATAATTCCCTTTTTTTGTTTTTTCCTATTTGTTTTGTTTCGTTTTTGTTTGAACTTTTATTTTTAACCTTTTTTTTTTTAGCTTTTTTTTTTAATCCTTTTTTTTAACCCATTTTTTAACCTTTTTTTCGTGAATTCCTAGCATTTAGAGCTTCCACAAAAAAGAAAAAAAAAAAAAAAAAAGGGAATTCAGAAATTCATATATTTTAAAATAACAATTTTATTTGAACAAATAAAAAAAGGGGAGGAGGAAGAGGAGGAAATGTTCTACATATTAATACACATATTTACACTTTGAATACACATATTTACACTTTGAATACACATATTTACACTTTGAATACACACATTTACACATTGAATACACATAATTACACCTTAAATACACGTGATAATACAGAAAGGGGTGCAATAAAAAGTTTCAAAAAAGGAAACATATTTTAGAAAAAAATATAAACTTGTCTTCATCATTTTTAATAAAAAAAAAATTTTTCTAAAATATTTCGAACTTATCCCATATTTTTCTTTTTTCTTCTTTAAACTTACACAAAAATATAAAAAAAGAATAATAAACCGAATTGATCTTAATAATGGAAGCAAAAAGTTGGTAATTCAATGTGCCTATAAGGAAAGTATGTTGAACATTTATTATACAAGTTACTATTGTTGTAAATTTTGAGAAGGCAAAAAATTTATGGTTACTCTTCTTTTTTCTTTTTTTATTTTTAAATGTTTTTTTTTTTTTTGGGGGGGGGGGAAAGAAGGTTTATTTTACTATATGTTTTTAACTTTTTTATTATTCAAGCATTTCTTATATATATGCTATTAAACGCTGCTAATGTATATATATTACACGTATATACATTTTTAACAATTCAGCTACTGAATCGATGAACCTTTTTTACAGGAATAACGCATTTTTTTTTTTTTTTTAATTCTTCATCGCCGGAGAGGGGGGGTGCATATCGCATATAACCCTTTAAATCACCTTCTAACGGGTTAAATACACACCCAATTTTTCTCAATATAATTAAAAAAAAAAAAAATCCCCCAATTTGAAGAACACACATTTTCAATGAATATATATTATGTTTAAATCTGTTTTTGCAAAAATGCAATATTTCAAAGTTACCTTTTATGGACTTTTTTTTTATTTTTTATTAGAAATTAGTTACACTAAAATTTTTTACTAGTTTTCGTGCAAAAACATTAAAACTGAAAATATCTAAAATATTATTGCTTGACAAAACCTTAAATGAAATAAAATATTGCGTAAAAATGTACATATAAACTGTTTCATAATTATGGGGAAGAGATATTTTATCTTATTTCTCATATATTAGCTTAACTTCATGTCTTTTTCATCTTTTTTGTACAAAATGAAAAAAATAGAGAGCAGTGAAACATTGAACATTTGGAACATTTGATGAAATTTGTAAAATGTTGTTAACTTTAATTAATTTTTTCATATATAGATTAGATAAACTAATTAGTTCTGCATTTTCAGCTTAGCATATTTAATTTATTTTGTATTTAATGATTAAGGAAATTAATTAATTCTGCATTTTCAGTTTGGCATATTTAATTTAATTTTGTTTTATCATTGTCACTAAACTATTTAATTTTATATCTCTTAAAATATTAACTTATAATTAAATTTATTTTCCCCAAATTCGCCTTTGGTATTGCGAAAATCTCCACTTTTTCGTTTTTTTCGTGCGCTTTCAAATCACATTTACCATTTTTACCTTTTTCCTCCATCTAAGAGTGAATTCACATATTTTGCTCAATTTTCCATCATTTCCATCCTTCTACAGTTTTGGCATTTTGCAAATTACACAAACTTTGCACCCCCAAAACTAATGAGTATGGAATTATTTGAAATATCATTTTCCACCTCACATGAAAAGAAAAAAAAGTAAAAAAAAAAGAATGTGTATAAGTAACAATTTCATTCTTGTTCCATATTTACATTTTTTTTTTTTTTTGGGGGGGGGGGACTTTTACGTATTATAATATTTTTTAATTTTCAATTGATAGTTACGAATTTTTTGTACTATTAATTGGTATATATTTTTTGTTCATTGTTTTTAATTTCACAATAATCAATGGTACTACTGCTAACTACACCTAGAAATTGTAACAACTGTGAAAATTATGGAGATTATCCATACTGATGGGGTCGGTGAACATGGTTATTTTCAGGAATATTGTAAATACCAAAGATTTTAGTAAAATTGAGTGTTTTATTATTATTCTAGTTATATATCCATGTCGGTGCTGTCAGCGAAACTTCACTTACTAATAATATAGTTAAGGTAGCACATTTTATGTGCCTTTATATTATCCACCTTAAAAAATTAACCCAAATTTTCGACTCCACTTTACTTACTATATATGTTGCTTTTTTTTTTTTTTCTTTTTTATATATATATCCCCCCGTCAAGAATTAGTATGCATTATAGTTCACTTTTTTAAGAATAATAAATATAAATAAACGCGATTTTTCTTATCGTCATGTAAAAGGTTTAGTCGTCAAGATTAACCTAAACATTTTGTGCATTTCCTAAAGAAAATGATACACGGGACATGTGTGAAGCTGTTCAGTTTGATCCGCTTGGTGTAAATATAAAAAAATAAATAAAATAAAATAAATAAATAATGAATGAACAAAAACAAAAGGCAAAAAAAAGAACATTACTATTACGTTTTTTCCTGACCTAAACATATTAATAAAAATGCTGAGTGATCTGTTGTTTAAGGGGTGAAAACGTTTTTTTATCAAAAGCCTGTGACATACATATATTAAACATATATAAACCATATATACATGTATTTATTACGTATTTTAAGTGTATATATATATATATATATATATATATATATATATATATATATATATATATATACATTATTTTTATTTTCCAAATATGAATAACGCATTTATCTTGTGGTTCTGGAAAATATGTAAATTTCTTAGGTGAAATAAAATGGTTTTCATTTTCAATTTTATAAAAAAACTTTATTCATTTTTTCTTTTCTTTATCATTTCTTTTATGCCTTTTACATGTTTTCAGATGTATTTTACTATTATATATGTTAACCAAAATGCAATTAGATATGGCGAATTACATTTTTAATATTTGGGTACATCCCTTCCTCCCTGCCTTAAATTAAACTGGGAAATATTGTTTTAACTACTTCCAGTTGGACTAGTAACATGCATATTTGCTTATGTGTAATTATGTGCTATGGGTATTAGTTGCATAAAATCGAATTAATGGTGTATGCCATTAAAAACATGAAGAAACCAACTACCTTAATCGCATTAATCGTATTTACCTCATTTATCGCATTAGTAACGTGATTTAGTGTCACATTTTCAAGTTCACGACACCTGACATTCCAAGGGTAAAATTAAAATAATTATTATTAAGTTTCCGGAAAGGAACAAACATGATATATTTTTTTATTTATATTTTCTTATCAGTGTAAAAACTAGTTCTTGAGTCGTAGGGGGAGGAAAAATATAAAGGATTACAACATGAAAAAAAAAAAAAAATTACCCGACTGAACTAAAAAACAAAAAAGTGTTCCATATAGTTCTAATTTTAATTAGATCATTTTATAATGGTCTAGGCGAAAAAGGAAAAAGAAAAAGAAATAATAAAAAGAAAAAAGAAAAAGAAAAAAGAAAAGGCAAAATTCTTCTTCCCGCATTTCTTTTTATATATTTTATTCTATTTCTATTCTTAAGGAAACAGTGCCTTTCGTATATGTTTTGTGAATTATTTCAATGAATACTGTCACGAAATTACAAATCATTGTAATTCTATAGTGGGGAATTTTATAGGAATACAAAAATATGTGATTGTATAAACGTATGCAACTAAAATATACCTGCTGTAGGGGGCACGTTATATGTTTATAAGAAACATAAATATATAATCAAAATATTACATACGGACATGGTTCATTCCATACATGTAGCAATTGCAAGTTTCGTATCATTTCATTAATTGCTTCCATTATTTTTTATGTTCATAACATGATGTATTGGGGTTCTTCTGTTTATTAACCGGTTATATTTCAATCTCCTAGTGCACATTTAACTTTTTTTTTACAGAAAAAAACAAAATAATAGAGCTGCCCAAGGTGCCTCAAATAGGCATAGTAACAACAAAAAAATACAAAAGAAAGAAAAATAATTAGGATTAGTTAACAATTAAACAAAATATAATAAAATGAAGGTAAAAACAAAGGAAAAAGATAAAACAAAGTAAAACAAAATGAAATAATAACAAATTAAAACAAAAAGAAAAGAAAAAAAAGTGTTATATATGATCGAACTATGCAAAAAAATACGAATAGATTTTTTTTTTTTGTTTGACCCATTTTTTTAAATTTTAAATACTAGTGGAATGCCGCAGGATATATACGGCATTCTCTATGTTTATTTGCATTATTTAATTTTTTTTTTTACAAATTATAAAATTCATAATTTACACTCTTAGTTTCCACTATCAATCATGCTATTATATAGATAAAAACAAAATTAAAAAACTGACTAGTAGGTATATACCTATGTATATATATCTATGCAGTGTTTTATCTATTCACAAAGTGTTAAAATTTTATTTATATGAATATTTATAAAGATAGTTGTGCAAATTTTATTCATATTTATACATCTTTATTTATATTATAATACACCATATACTTTTGTCATAACATAAATATTCATATGACCAATTGGAAAAAAGTGAAAAGTAAAGAAGTATTACAACACATGTAATTGCACTTTCTGCTTTGTTCCACTGTGTCACCACTTAACCGTATAGTAATATATATATATACATATTACATGGAACTATTTAACCTTTTTCTATGACACACTTTAGTAACCCATATAAATACCCCAAGTTAGTAACCATTTATATAACCATTTAGTAAACCTTATAAGATAATTGCATAACTAGATATACATATCGGTTATGTACCTCATTCGCTACAATGGTTTGACATTTTTATTATATTCATATAATTGTGCTATGATATTTGGGGAAAAAAAGTTGTAATATTTAAAATTTTTACCGGACTTGATCATTATTACAGCAGAAAAAAAATTTAGGCATCAATATTTTTATGAACTTTATTGAAATACCAAAGATACCCAGAGAGTAAAAAGGAAAAAGTGTTGTATCGCATTTATACATATACATGTGTATATATACATATGTTTACATGTATATACATACGTATACATACATATACATATGCATACATATATACGTATACATATATATATACATGTACATATACATATTTATACTTATGATTATGTATATATACATTTTCTCTTTTCTAGTGAGATAACCGTTTTTAATTGCCGTACTTACGTTTTAATAAGTAAATTCTTATTTTTGCTTAAAAGAAACCATTATGTGCCAATAGATTAATTTCATATATTTTACACAAATATTATTATTTATTTATTATTATTTTTTTAATGTACACTAAAAAAACAATTTCACTAGAACAAAGTGGGGGAAATAAGGAGAAACCAAGTTTCGAAAATTAATTCGAGTACACCTTAATGATACACATTTGAATATATTACATACATAAGTGTATATAATATTATGTTCATATGCAGAATATTTACTACATGTAACATATACAATGGAACATATTGTAAGAACATAAACTTTTACACTTTGCTCTTACACATGTATATATCAATTAATATTATGCATTTTCGCAACCATTTCATATAAGTGTTTTCCATATGAATATACACCTTTTTACATATGTACAAAGAAACACGGTTGCACAGGGTTTTCCAACACAGAAATGTTCTTATTTGCATAAACATACACAACGTGTATTTAAAGAGTGTATAACATTTCCGAAGCACCCCATAATACATGTGTACACCTGAGGTGAATGAAAAGGGTCGTGTTGCTTACAATTTTTATGCATAACCAGTTTATGACATGCTTTTCGATACTTCAGCTTGACACATGTGACGATGCACACTATGTGGTACTATTTATGCTGCGGATAAGTAAATTGTATATACATATGTAAATGTATAAATATATATATTTGTTTATTCATAAGCAATATTCATGAAAAAACATATGTTGACAGAAAATAAATTATACCTATATTAATCCACGCTGCATATATATAAACGATTAAATACATATATGCATACATATACACGTAATATGTATGAAAAGATTGTATGAACAGTTTTTTCGTGGTAAAACATTTCCTTTTTTATTTTATTTTATTTTTTTTTTTTACTTAAAAGTAATAACAAAAAGGGCACATTTATATATAAAAAAAATTAAACACATTACGTTTTTAGCAAAAAAAAAAAAAAACAAATGAAATAAATAGAATTCCAAAAAATGTGTTAATTCAATTTAATTTTTTTAATATTAAAAAGCCTATACAGTAAATTTTTTTTTTTTTTTTTTTTTTTTTTTTTTTTTTTTTTTTTTTTTTTTTTTTCATTCTCGTACTATAAAAATAAGCATCTTCACAAACCGTTATTTAATATTTTACTGAAATAAAAAAAAATATATAAATATATTTTTAAATATGTAAAAACATTTAAACAAGTAATAATATTTTAAAGTATACCAAAGAAAAAGCAAATTATTTTTTTAATAAAATTTCATATTTTATTTTATTATTATTATTATTTTATTTTATTTTTGTATAAGTCATACATTTACATATCATTTATATCCTTTTGCTTTGCTCAAAGAAGGGGGAAAATAAAGAGGCATACGTTGCATATCTATTTGTATGTATAATACATATACATAAGTACCAAACATACGCATATCTAAAGTATAAACACAAAGGATCAGTTAAAGTAACACCAACTTAACCAGAAAAATGACAGGGTCGGATGAAGAATTTGAAATTGGCGACATACTCGAAATAAAGAAGAAAAAAAATGGGTTCATATACTTAGTAAAATGGAAGGGCTACTCAGATGATGAAAATACATGGGAACCAGAAAGTAATTTAATACATTTAACCACGTTCAAAAAAAAAATGGAACATTTAAAGTCGACTTATTTAAGTAAAACCGACACAACTACGAACGATGGAAAGATTTTAAAAAACCATCTATCATCAACATCATCTTTGCAAGAAGAAGGCAATGGTATCATCAAAACCAAAGGTAGAAATCCCTTAATTTCCAAAAAAAAGATCAATAAAAAGGGCATAGTTAACAAATTGGAAGGGAAAAAAATGTTAACACAGCATTCTGATAATTCACTTAAGAGGAGTGATGAAGAAGATAGCGAATCAGTAAAACAAGAAGCCATAACAAACGCGCACGATAGCACGTTACTAAATGTAGAAGATGTATATAGCGTTCGAATTAAAAACAGAAAGATGGAATTCTTGGCTAGCTTGAAGAATGCTTCACCACAGTGGGTTGAAGAGTCCAATATAAGAAGGACAGGACATCTAAATATAAAAGTAAATGATTTTAAAAAATATATTCGAAGAAAAAAAACTTCCAAAGGAAATAGAATTGTTATTAAAAATCTACACAATGTTGGAGACGAGTTATACATCTCTGTTATACACAATATTAATAATAAAGAAATTCACAGTTTATACCCCTCGAAAGTTATTGAATACATATATCCTCAAGAGCTTTTAAATTTTCTTTTGTCAAGACTTCGTTATCGAACAGCTTAAAAATATGTAATCATATATGTGTCATGTCTTTCTAAAACACAGACAAATAGTTGTATACGAATGAGTACGTATACATGTGTTTGTGCAAAGCAAGACATATTGAGGTGTAATGTGTATAATGCCAGATAACAACATATTATCGCACGCGCAAAAGCACAAGTACCCTATATATATGTATTACATATTCATTTACTCTTTTTTTTCCAAATTTACATTAATTATTATAAATGGCTAAATCTGTTATTAAAAAAAAAAATAATAATAAAAAATAATAAAAAAAAAATAATAAAATAAATCAAAACAGGTTATACATATTTTCAATCAATAAAATATATGAAAATTCGCACGAATGCATGAGAAAGACAAAAGATAAAAATAATATTTTATTTAATATTATTTTTTTCCCCCAGTAGCGATATAACAGGAATGCATGATGGTAGAACCTATTACCAAATGAATATCTTTATGTATGCATGCATACGTACACATGATAACATTTTTTTTGTGTTCATTTAAATAATTAAGGAATCTTCCCATTTTTTTTTTTTTTTTTTTTTTTTTTTTATATGCGTATTGTATATATTTATCTTTTTACATGTGAATGAGATTATACGAGCAAGTAGTGCACGTGTACATTATACATTTTGTACATATATATATTTATGTACACATATACACTCATCCCTGCGATACAGTGCGAAATATAGTAATACACGTACCAAGGTATATATTTTTTACTGTGCTTATAACACGCACACTTGTATATATATATGTGCATATATATGTATAAGAATACCCAATTTAGTAAAAAATTGAAACAGCTACTGTATGTAGGAGACAGGAAACATATTTTGTTTTTTTCGAATTTATGTATTTAAAAGGACATTTAGGAAACTTACATTTTTTATAAAAGCCCAATGCAATAATGTTAAAATGCATTGTCATTTTTCAATTTAATCGTTACACATATGTATAAACATGTACGCCCCTGTTTACACAATGAATGTTAAATACACAAATAATCAGTGTAAAACACCAATACATAAACGATTGTTTTTAACATATTTTTTTTTATAAATATTTCGAGCAGTTCAACATATATATGTACATGTGGATGTGTGTATATTTACATTAATATACACATTTACAATGTGACATGTATAATTTGCTTATACATGTATATGCGTTATTCTGTGTAATTTTTTTTTTTTTTTTCAATTAAATAACATTCGTACAAAAGATTAACTTTTTTCATTTCAAATATTGTTGATATTTTTTATAAACAAAAATATTTTTAAAAAAAAGATCCTTTTATGAACACATTCAATTGATCTGATCATAATATAAAATTGTTAACAATGAGTAGAATTTTTCAAATTTTTGAGGATAAAAAAAAGGGGAGAAGCTAAAATTGCTATTACTCATATGTTAAAGAACTGCCAGAATTCATCTGCTTATAAGTGTGGAATAAAAATGTACTCTGTATGTGTAAAAATTTAAGCTATATACTTATTTTGTTATAAAAATAAAATATATATGTGTATATATTATATAAAATACAATCAAAGAACAAAAAATGTGTTAAGCGAAAATATATATATATATATATATAGTTCCTCATGAAGGAGTGTGTATATATCTTAAATATCAGACAGTAAGTAAATAAAAATAAATAAATATGAAATATATAAATGTAACAAAATATATGTAAATGTTTAAATTTCCAAAAAAAAAAAATTGTACATGCGCACGTACATTTTTGCTATATATACGTATTAGAACGAAAACCACTCCACCCCCTTGGGTTCTTACACTTTCGAGTATATCTCTCTAGCAAAGAAAAAAAAAAAGAAAAAGAAATATCGATTTCCTTTTAGATGCCCACACAACATGATTTTATAATTGTGTAAATTTATTTAATGTACATTTCACATAATGCTATAATGTATTCATAAATTATGTAAATAAATGGAAAATGTATAATTAAAAAAAAAAAAAAAAAAAAAAAAAAAAAATTGATCCCGCACTTTTCAACGTTGATGGCATTGTAAATATAAAAAGTCCAACAGAATATACGTAAAATGGGTGAAAATGATATACAATTTAAAAAAAAATAAGGATTAATTTTTTTAATTTATTTTATTAAATTATTTTTTTAAATTGTTTATATGACATTGTTTTTCGAAAAATATATTTTATATAAATATATATAATTCGATGTGTAAATACTTTCCTTATTTTTCCATTTTTTCAGGGGGTTAAAATAAAAAAAAAAAAAAAGTATGAATTGTTCTAACCCCAATAAAATTTTTTTAAAAACTGCATGTACATGGGTTTAATACAAAGTGGCCATGTGTGTATAATGAAAGCAGCTGTTTTAAAAATTTTGCAAAATGGTACAACCTTTTAAAAAATAAATATTGAATATGGTACAATTATGTAGAAAAGATAAACAAAAAAGACTTTTTTTTTTTTTTTTTCTCATCCTCCCCCTTTTCTATTGTATCAATATAATAGTGTAGTACTGTGTACATTGGAGGAAATATACACAATTCTACAAGCCTTTGTGTGAATATATAATATAGATAGATTTCTTCTCACGCAAATTATGTACATATGCTAACTTAAAAATTGTATCTATAAGCAACATGCAAAAATATAGATTAAAAAAAAATTGTTGCTTTCTTTCTTCAATAGCATGAATATGTATATTGTGACTTCCATTTACCCATTGATTTTATTTATTTTACTTTTAATTTTGAAGAATCTTACATTTTTGATTTAGTTATAAAAAAGTACACCGTCTTTAATTAATTTTGGAGTACTTACCTTTACAATTATATTTTCCAACGGACGCAAATATTTATCATTATATAATAGAAATATTTGTGTGTAAAATGTATAAAAAAAAGAAAAGAATAGAAAAAAGAAAAAAGAAAAGGAATGTGAAAAAGGTGTAGAAAAATACAATTGTGCTTAAATTTCATTTTTTACGCTTAGAATATCATTTTAATATTTTTTTTTATATTATTATTTTATTATTTTTATTTTTTTCACATTTATAAATAACAAAAATGAGCGCTTCAATTTGCAGCAACTATATAAATAATGTTTACTTAGAATTTAACTTGTTCAATAACTTTTTAAAAGATTTAAATCAAAAAATATTAAGTAGTAATAACGATAAATACACACCTATATATGACAGTTGTATTGAAAATGCATATAACGTACAAAACAAATACAATGCATGGAACCATGGTGAGGAAGTTATTGACGAAGAGTTTATGGAACATTTTTCACAAAACATTATTATAAATATTAAAGCATTCTTAAGGAACAATTTTTGCTGCATAGATGAAAATTTGGAGAATTTAAAAAATCGAAATAAAAAATTAATAGAGAAATTAAAAGTGGACTTAGAAAATGCCGAAAATCAAGAAAATTACATATATGAGTTGGAAAAGAGTTTAAAATTAGAAAAAGAAAAAAATAAGAATGCATACATCTTACAGGAAAAAATAAATAATCTCTTAAATCAAAATGAAAAACTGAAGAATAGAAATGATCAACTGGAGATGTCCTCATGGAAACAACGAGAAGAAAATAGCAAAATAAAGGTTGAACTAAAAAAAATTTTGTCTCTTAAGGAAAAAAAAAATGAATATGATAATAGTATGAGTTCATATAACAAATTAAACAAAAGCATGAGTACATTATTTAAAAAAATTAATAACAATATACAAAGGAGTAAGTGTGAAAAATTGATGTTAGAAAAAAGTAGAAATTACAGTGATAATTTCTTGTATACTATCCAAAGTATAATGCATAACCAGGCAGAACCCCTTGATGAAAAAAATCATCATACGGGAGAAAGCAGAGATAAAACGGAGAATTGTTCAGAACAAAATTATATACCCAAAAAAGATATCAAAATAAGTAAATCATTTCATAATAAACATAATTCTTATAATATGGATTACTCAAATCAAAAATATCAAAATTACCATGTACATAAGTTAACTAGTGAATCATGCAACAATATGATTAATTCTAGCCATATTTTTTTTAGTGGAGGAGACAAAAGAGGAATAAGTAAAAATGATTTGAGCTCCTATAAAATGTACAATAACAAGAATTTTAAACATATTGGTGAAGATGAAACCATATATAAAAATGTAGAATTTGAAAAAAAAGAAATTATCAAAGGGAAATGCCGAAACATGGATAATTTCGATATAAATAATTGCATGCACAAAAGAGATTTCATTCATGATGATTATTTCACTGTCAGAGAGAGTACTCTGTCTTGTTGCAATAACACTGTACTCATAGATATGCGAAAGGCTATAAGTAATAAATGAAAGAAATGGAAAATGTGAATGAATATAATAACAACTGTGTTATTATTAATATTGAGGGGCTGTACGGAAATGAAAATAATAATAACAATAAAATAACAACAATAAAATAAGAACAAAATAATAAGAACAAAATAATAACAATAAAATAACAACAATAAAATAAGAACAAAATAATAAGAACAAAATAATAATAATAAAATAACAACAAAATAATAATACAATAATAATAACAATAAAATAACAACAAAATAATAATACAATAATAATACAATAATAAAATAAAAATAAAATAATAATGAAATAATAATAAAATAATAATATAATTGTAATAAAATAAAAACAAAACGAAAACGAAATATAATATAATGTAATATAACATAACATAATAATAAAAAATTAATAAAGTACTAAATGCACACTTTTAAAATATGATAAGCATGCATTTCAATGTTGTTACACGAAAATATTCAAAAGAAAAGAAACATAAGGATGAAAAAGAAATACTAAACAAATTAAATTTTTAACGCCTATACAGGTGTTAATCAACTTCAACACTACAATGAAGCAACACTTCCACATATCCACGTCATTTTGTTTTATTTTTTTTTCTTCTTTCTTTTCCTTATAGGAAATAACCGGACCATTTTAATTAATTCTATACTAAGAAAACAAACACGTAAAATTAGGAAAAGAGAAAGGGGGAAGATAATAACGTTGTTTAAATCACAAAAGGTAAATAATTTTATATTATATTCTGTTTTTATCTTGAATTTTATTTTTTTGCTTCATATTTATGTCAGACTTAAACTTTACCTAAAATAATTCTGTTTTGTTCTTATTCTACATTATATGTGTAAAAATTTTAAATTATCAAAATTGGAAAGGAAAAAAAATAAAATCATATATTCAAAATGATTCAATTTTAGTGATTGTATTTAACAAGCGCATGCTATCCAAAAATTAATATTCTTAATCTTACAAAATTGTGTAAGCATCTTCATGTATTTTTTCCATATTATTGTATAATTTATTCTTTTGTAGTAAAACTTGTTCACATATTCTTTTGTTTAGTTTTTTTTTTTTCTTTTTTCAAATTAACATTTATTATTTATTTTATGATTTTATTTTTTTATTTTTTCATTATTTTATTATTTTTTTTTTCTGTATGTGTATGAATCATTAAAACTATATACTTGATTACATGAATATGAACATTTAAAGTGTTTCTCATCATTTTGATACTTTTGTAAAACGCTTCAAACATTTTAATTCTGTACTTGCATATATAACCCTGGCATATTCATTCATGATTTTTATATATTTTAATTATTATTATATATTCATTTGGAGATCTTTTTAAAAATGTAAACATTTTATTCTTTTATTATTTTTTTAAAATGTAATACAACATTTATATTCTATATTTGAGCATTATACTTTTTACACACCCAGAATGTATATTTTCTGTATATTTTTATTCTATTGCTATTCTTGCTCTCACATAGTATTTTATCAGTATCCTATTACTAATTTTTATTTTATTTTTTTTTTTTTGGAGTTGGGGAGGAAGGTTTAATTTATACTTCACCAAGTTCCTTATTTATTATTTAAATTAAGCACATATTCATAATCCACATGAAGAAACAAATATACGTGCAAAAAAATTCGAAGAAATATCTCACTTTTATGTCTCTCTTTTCGATATCATTATGTACGTTACCAACGTGTAAATGCATGGTTTTTCTTTTTTTTTTTTTTTTTTTTTTTAGCTCCTAAAATTATTTAAATTCTTTTTTTTTAATTCTGCAGAAATGTAATTTTAAGGATAAGTCTCAGAAAGGAGATGATCAATTGTATATCATACCCAGCATGATAATAGTACGTTTGCACATTTATTAGCTCTTCATGCATGTGTGCCAAACGGTTATGCATGTACACTTGAGTACTAGATATATATCATGTTTGTGCATGTTTGCATGTGAATTCACTTGTGTATTCATTTTTGAGCATGTAGAAGTCCATATGCGTAGATACAGCTATGCGTAACGTTACAATCATAAAATAAAAAAAACCCCGGTTATCGCGACGTGGGTGTTTATGTACATATATATATGGAAGACGAATAATATGTATAAGTGTATGTATAAACACAAATATGCTCAAGGATATTTTTCATATTTCACCTTTAATTTATTCATATATATGTATATGCATTTATGTTTATGTGTATATATACATATGCATGCAGGAGGACTACAGGAGCACCATTAGCAATTTTTGTGAGTGCATAAAAGGAGACATAAAAATTATTATTGAGAGGAATGATAACATAAATGTCGAACTTCTTTCGAATTATTTCAAATGGTAATTAGTAATTATTGAATATATCTGAGCTTTTTTACTTGCTATATTATTTTACACATTTTGGCATCTTGCGTTCTTTGTTTTTGATCATATGTTAATAATTATTGTTTTATTGCTATAGCTACGCATAATTCTATTGCTGATATTATTACTGATACTATTACTCTTTCTATTATTATTCTTATTACTGCTACTATTATTATTTCTGTTACTATTATTGTTACTACTACTATTACTGTTACTGATATTATTATTGTTACTATTATTATTCTTATTACTGCTATTATTCTTATTACTGCTACTATTATTATTTCTGTTACTATTACTGTTACTGAAATTATTACTGTTATTATTATTATTATTATTACTGTTACTATTACTGTTATTATTACTGTTATTATTACTGTTACTATTATTGTTCCTATTATTGTTCCTATTATTGTTCCTATTATTATTATTGATACAATAATTATTATTACTGCTACTATTATTATTTTTATTATCACTATTAACGATTTGTTTTTATTATTTTATTTTATTTTTTTTTTTCTGTTTTTTCTTATAGCATGGTAAAGGAAATATATGATGAAAAGTATAATGTAAAAAAAAAAAAAATTGATAAAATTACTAGAAAATATCTTCGTCAAATTGACTCGTACAGGTAAATCCAAGAATTCGTTGTACCTGACATTCGTGCAGGAAAGCATATATTTTAGAATATTATTATATTTGATAAACAGTTTGAGAATGCGTATGTAGAAGCAGACATGTATATTTATTTTGTGTTGTGCGCTTTTTACATGTCTTAGATCCACTATTCCTACTTTTACGTTTAGTTACCTACTTAAACTTTTAGCACACTTGTTTCGTTTCTTTGCCAAATAATTGGTCAGTTGTCAAGTTATGAAATTTCTTTGTCTGGCGTTGATGCCAAACTTCAATAATTTGTTATTCTTTCAGAGGAAAAACTTATATTATTTATAATTATATATACATTTTTTTTATTTATTTATTACATCCATGCGTGTATATTTGCATATATATTTGTATGTATATTTGCATGTATGTTTGCATATATATTTGCATGTATATTTGCATATATATTTGCATGTATATTTGCATATATATTTGCATGTATATTTACTTATTTATTTTCTTCATCATCCGTTTGTTTTCCAAATTGCCTATTTGGCCTTATAGCCCCTTTTTCCTTTCGCTCTTTCACTTATTCCCCTTTTATTTATTAACTTAACGACTTGTACACATATACTTACACGAATCTGCACGTAGATCATGGGATAGAGGCTTTTTTGAGGACGAAAGAAATGTAGAGAAGAGGAATAATGATGATTACAAGATGCATTTAAATAAATATGATTCTTTTGATCTGCGTAAAGTTATAAAAAATAATTATGAACCACAGTACAATAGTGACAACGAAGAACCCTTTTCTTTTTCCTTTTACGGAAATAGAAATATGAAAATTATTGACAGATTAAAGGATTTAAAAAATAACATTTCCTTTTTTAAATTTTATGATTTAATTGATTTTCCGGGTAAAACGTGAAAACTTTATTTATTTTATAATTATTATTATTATGAATATTATTATGAGTATTATTATTATGACTATTAGTAGTATTATTATTAGTAGTAGTATTGTTACTATTATTTTGCTATTATTATTGCTATTATTATTGCTATTATTATTGCTATTATTATTGCTATTATTATTACTACTATTATTGCTATTATTATTACTACTATTATTGCTATTATTATTGCTATTATTATTGCTATTATTATTATTATTTTTTTTTAATACTTCGTTTCATTTTGCGTTTGCCTGAATTTCATAGGAAAGTTGATTTATCAAGTTAATGTTCACTTTTGACAATTGTTTAGGTAACTCACATTTTGACCTGTAACACCCCTTTTGTTTACAAACGCTTCTATTGATTTCTGTCACTTTTGTTGAATATTTACACTCCTATTGACTTCTAACATTCATATTACATATTAACACTTCTGATGACTTTTAACACTCTTGTGAAATATTAACGCTCCACTTGATCCTTTACATCTGGTCTCTATTTGTATATGCACAATAATTGCGGATTTTCCCTTCGTACAACTTAGCTCTACTATTGGTAAGCACATATATAAATATTCAAGGAATAAAAACTGCCATCCACATTTGAGCTAATTAATCAGACACTTTCATAACACACATGTAACAATGTACATGTATATATGCTTGTACATTGATGGAATACACACGCGCTACCGCAGCACTCAAAATCATGCACATGGGTTTTGTGGGTCATACTTAAACTAATCATAATTTATTGTTCCTAGATATTATCATTTCTAATATGACATATCATGAAGGAGTAACATAGCAAATGCGTAAGTATTTTAATCCCTCTGCATTTGAGACCCCCCCCCCCCTCCTCCATGTTATGAATTACTTGGCCACTTGATACGAAAGAACGCATAAAAATATTATACATTTTGTGAGTTCCGTTTTCTTCGTAAATATTTAATGCACTAATGCCATATCACGTGCATGATATATTGATTAAACCACTTCAAATCAAATGCATGCTTAAAGAAAGAAACCTGTGTGTCAAAATACTCTCATTTTGTGTGCACACAAAATTGCCTATCATTTTTATACACCCTTTAGTAATTTTTTTTTTTTTTTTTTTTTTTATTGCATTTATATTAAAAACATGATCAATTTGAAAAGAAAAATGATAAATCAATAATTTTATCATATTCTGGTAAAATATAATTAACAGATTGATACTTTAAACATGCATAAGGCACGTAATTTTTTTTTTTTTTTTTTTTTAGTATTTTTTTGTATTTCTTGCACTTTTCGAAATTTTTTTTTTTTCGCGATTTTCAACCTTTTAAAGCTTTTCGCATTTTAGCACCTTTCACGTTTTTAGAACTTTTCACATTTTTAGAACTTTTCACGTTTTTAGAACTTTTCACATTTTTAGAACTTTTCACGCTTTTAGAACTTTTCACATTTTTAGAACCTTTCACGCTTTTAGAACCTTTCACGCTTTTAGAACTTTTCTTAGTTTTAGTACTTTTCAGGCTCTTCACATTTTCCGCGTGTTTAGTAACATTTGCTTTCTCACAATTTTCAACTGTGACTTAATATTTAAAAAAACTGATCAAAAACAAAATGAATAAAAATTGCACGAAATGAGTTGGGGAAAATAAAGATAGATCAAATGAAACACGTCCATTCCATTCGTGACAAAATTAAGCTAGGTATGGTTAAACAGGGATAAATGCTAATACATTAAAAAAAAAGCAAAAAGATAAAAAACGAAAAAATGAAAAAGTGAAAAATTGAAAAAGAGAAAAATTAAAAAAGAGAAAAATTGAAAAAGTGAAATAATGAAAAAGTGAAATAATGAAAAAGTGAAATAATGAAAAAGTGAAATAATGAAAAAGTGAAATAATGAAAAAGTGAAATAATGAAAAAGTGAAATTATGAAAAAAATAGGATAAGCAATATTTTCGCAACATGTTTAAATATGATCACAAATTTTTAATAAAATAAATTATGCTTTCTCATAAATTTCGACTTTTTCTTAAAAGAAGAAAATGTAAAACGAATGGATAATTTCCCATTATGCCCCGTTTACATATTTGACCCCAGTAACTCATCATTGTTAAATTCGACATAATCGTTTTTTAGCTCCTCTTCTCCTTCTAAATCTTCTTCCATATCATTATTAACAAAATAAACTAGGGAGGCCATATACAATTGTATATTTATGAAAAAAGACAAAATATTTTCGTTTTTCAGAAATGTGGGAATGTGAAACTGCAGAAAGCGGGAAATAGGAAAAAAAGGAAAATTTTATAACTTAATATGAGCGGGAACATAAAGCAATGAAACACATTATCAGATGATCGAATTGATGAATTTTTGAGCAGTCGAGAATAGTTGATAGATCTACTATCACCATCCCACGCCCTTTTCTCCTTCATATAAAATCATATTCTTTGCATTCAAGTCATGTTCAATATAAATTTCTCTGCTTCATGTGTATTTATGCCTATGTGCATAGGCACACATACAGATATATCCACACAGATATATCCATAAAATTCTGCAAACACGTTGATTTAAATACTTATACACTTCACGCATGATGAACATGTAGTATTACCCGATAATTCTTGAGGAAAATATTACTGCAAATCACTCCAAGAGAGGTGTGTACTAATATTGGTAGCAGTGTTAAAAGTAAGGTGGTTATTTTCATTTTTTTCTTTTCGTCTTTTCTGTATGTTAAAAAATGTGCAGTCAGTAGCATATTTACGGCGACAGCAAAGAAGCCCATCTTTGACAAAAATAAACCAATCGAAGCGACTGGAAGCATCAGGGAACTTATGTTAACCACTTCTAAGAGACCTTTCCTGCAAGAATATAAGATCATGCAAATATGTTCAAAAATGATCAACAGTTTTACGTATCACATTTTACAGCAGCAGGTCCTAGTGCAATGTGATGAGTATTAGCGCGCTGTGTGAATATCACTGTTCCTTTTTCTTATTACGTGTATACAAAATGAATTTATTATTATTTATTTTTATTTAGCTAGGTGGCTATTCGATTAGCTATTCATTTATCTGCTCATTCATTTATCTACTCATTCATTTATCTACTCATTCATTTATCCATTAAACTATTTATATTCATGATGAGCGTACCATTTAAAGATTCGCACGAGGAAGTATCTACTACTGTTTAACTCTTGGGTCAATTTTTTCAGAACTTGCTCTTTTATTCTTTCTTCGATATTTGAGCTTTTTATATAGTCAATTGACAATTCACTTGTATACTCATCATTTCCAAAAATGTTAAATTTCTGTTTTCTTTTAAAGTTGTATAAACTTCTTTGAATTATTTTTTGTGTAATAAGAAAGAATATATCTTTATATTTCAATTTGCTCTTTATGTCGGTACACGTTTTAATGAATTCTTCATGAGACTTAACCAATTCATTATAATCGTCCTTGTCTGTTCTGCCCAATTTCTTAAGATATTCCTCTTCCTCATTATCTAGTTTGGAATAGTCAGAAAAAAAAAAAAAAAAAAAAAAAAGGCATACATCACATTACCTTCTTTACATATAAAACGTGTGTTTTATTTTGTTTTTTTCCCCTTTTTTTTAAGAAGGGAAAATTTTTCTGATGTTTTCGCTCTCATAGTGGAACGCGTAAACTACACATCGCATATTAGTGCAATTGTTCTAAAAAATTCTTAGAATAATTGAATTTTTGTGAGAAATAGCCCACTTTTGTACTTTTTTTTTTTCTCTCTTTTAAATGCTAACTTAAAGTATATTTGTCCCTTTCACTCGTAAAGTAATTTGAAAAAAAAGACAAAAGCTTATTTTTATATTTTCTTAACTTTGTGTTTTGTGGACATTTGGTATATAAATAATTCACAGATGAAACCGTTTTCACATATTTTTTCCTATGGTTCCCCTTTGTTAAAATTTTATAATTCATATGAAAACTACAGTATGTTTTTATAGTTAGTATTACGAATAGGACAAATTTTGCTAGCATCTTTTCAGTAAGCGAGAATGTGATTTTTTGACATAGACACTAAATGAAAACAAAAAAAGAAAAAAAAAAAAAAAAAAAAAGGAGAGAGAAAAGGATGAAGATGAGGAAAAGGGTGATTAAAGAGATTTTAAAAAAGGGGAAGCGTTACTAATTTTCAGTTCGATAGCTGAATCGGTGATTTTAATCTGTGGTTAAATTGTTTTCATCCTCTTTCGTTCCCGGGCCCTTTTCTTCTTTCTGGTTCTCTTTTTTTCTTTATCATTTTAACTCTACGTTTTTTTGATACAGTTCAAAAGAAAAATAGAGACACATTTTTCTTTTCTAGGCAATTAATGCATTTTTCTATTCCAGAAAAAAATGAAAAAAAAAAAAATAAAATTAGATAAAATAAGCATCATCTATGCGTTTTCCCCTTGCTTCGTTTATATAAATTACTGTTAGGTATATATAATAGTGAAGCTATTTGATTTACTTTTATATATGTAGCAGTTATTGTGTAAAACGGAAAATTCGATTTTTATGTTGTGGATTATTTTATTTTTTTACTATATACACCACTCTGCAACAATGGATTATTTTGATTGTGTACGGAGTTTCCATTAGGATGAAGCAAACTGAAATGAAAATGACGCGGAAGGAAATTATCAGAGCTGAATTATTTTTTTCTTTTTTTTTTTTTTTCTCTTTTTCCAATTTTGTTTTGTTATAAATTTTACCATAATCATACAAGTCGGTAAAAAATAGAGGAAAGGAAAATTGCGTAGTATACTAATGAAAATAGGACGTTTTTTTTTTTTTTTTTTTACATAAGCTACCATTATGATGACAATCGGAAGAAAGGTTTGTAACGGGAATTTAAATTAAAAAAGATAGGCAACATTTATATTAATATATATACATTCTTACGTACTATACTGTGATTATACTTATGTTCTTTTTTTCTTCTTTTCCGAGCAAAGAAATATCAAGAGAAATATATATAATATTCCAAAAATAAATGTCCTTACCATTTTTTTTTTTTTTTTTTTTTTTCTCTTTATGAAGCAGTAATGAGAATGAAAAACTCTCATATAGAGAGAAAAAAATATTCAGTTCATAATTTGGTAAAATTGATTAATGAGAGAAATAAACAAAATGTAAGGAAGGACAGTTCAATTGTAGAATCAGGATGTTTGACCAGTATACAAGTAGGAAAAGGTCTTAATATGGAACAAAATGTTACATTTTTACACGAGGGACAAAATATGCATGTGAAAAGGAATAACAAGAATAAGATTAACATAATAAGTAGGAAAAATATTCAAGAGGGTGATATAAATGGATCTCATAACGGGGAAAATGAGGATGTCTTAGTAAGTGAAAAGGAGTTCGATGGGGAAAACCTATTGAATGAAGACATATTGGAAGAACAGCATCAAATTTGTAACCACGATCAATCAGTAATATTGGATGTGGATGAAGAAAAAAGGAATGCAAATGAAATAAAACTATTCATGTTTGATTACAATGAATGTCATAACAAGAAATGCTCATGTAAGAAGTTATATCGATTTAAAAAAATAAAAAAGGCGCAAATTAATAAAAAATTTAAAGGAATAGTATTAACTCCATTCTGTGAGAAATACTTTTCTATAAATGATAAAAAGATTGTCGAAAATTTTGGCTTGTCAGTTATTGACTGTTCTTGGAAATCATTAGATTTATTAAAAAAAACGAAATTTACAAATCAGAGAAAATTACCCTATATTATTGCAGTTAATAGCATAAATTATGGAAAACCGTATAAGCTTTCATGTTTGGAATCTTTGGCCTTCTGTTTATATTTGTGTAATTATAACAAACAGTGTAATGATATATTGAATATTTACAAATGGAGTTCTAATTTTACAACTCTAAATAGAGATCTGCTTGATATGTACAAATTATGTAACAACCATGAGGAAGTAAAGAATGCTGAAAATGAATTTATTCAAAAGTTCCTCAATGAAAAAGAACAAGAGAAAAAAATTGATCAGTACAAGGTTATATATGAAGATGGTTACTTATGATGGTTTCTATCATATCTTAACATTTTAATACTTTTTTTTTTTTCTCATAACACTAGGTTTATATCTACACCTATAATGCTCTTTTTTATAGACGAGAATTTCAGCACCTTAACTGCTAGCCATTTTTACCCTGTTACATCAAAGTTTAAAAATAACATCTACAACATTATTTCTATCTATTCATTTTTGAATAAAATGGGGACAATACAGACAAATACTATTTTTTCTTTTTTTTTTTAAGCTAATTTTGTTGGTTAAAATATAGATAGTTTTTAATTTGTGTCACACCTATATTGAGTAAAAGAAAAAAAAAAAAAAAAAAAAAACACATATCTCAATTTATATAATTCGTCCAGTCGTATTTTTGATAGAGATTTTTAAATGACTCCACAGAATTTACATATTGTTGAAAATTTTGGAAATATTTATAAAATTTGTCCTTCTTGAAAATATCTGTAAAAATACATTTACACATATTTACGTAATCATAATTGTTTTCAATAACTTGTATATAAGTCTCAACAAGAGAAAAATTAACTGAGATATATGGAATATTTTTCGGTATAACATTATAAGGAGCATATTTATTGTTGGTAATAATTAACTGTTTATTTTCTCTATACAAAGAATTTACATCTTCCATATTTTTCTTAAAATAAATTTTGGCCTTCTCTAGTAACTCCATTGGTATTATGTAACAATTAATATATGTATGTTTTGTTTTTCTTAAGGAGATTAATTCTATACTTGCGTTAAAGCAATTATTAAATTCAACAAAAATACATGTCTCATTATTTTCTTCTAGCATAGCTATTAGTGATTTCATATGATTACGCATGTCTTGAATAGTTTCAAAATTCGTATTCGTTACACTTGTTGTGTGCTCAATGGGGGAAATAAATAATTGGTCTTTTAAAAATATATTTCTATAATTATAGTAACACATATATGACTTATCACTAATACTTATTATATTTAATTTGTTTATTTTATTAAATGAGTTTGAATCAATGCAATGTTTACAGTCTACTAGATTTTTGTTTAATGCATTCTTTAATAGCATCTTCTTTTTTTTTTCTGATATTATTATATCCAATTTTTTGCTCAATTCAATGTTCTTTTCTAGAATGTGTACCTTCATTTTATCTTCATATTCGAATTTAAAAGATTTTTCTTTGTCTTCTTTTCTATATTCCCATTTTTCTACATCACTCGAAGAGAAACATACCTCATGCGATTCGTCCGTTCCTTCTCCCCCAATGTTATTTCTCGCATTTGTGCATTTATTTTTCGTTCTTTTCAATTCCTCAACTTTGACATATTTCTCTTTCCTACATTTTTTCTCCCCTTTCCTTTCTTCTGTTTCGGCACTCCTCTTTTTTTTTCTCTTCTCCGCTTTTTTCTTCTCTGTTTTCATCTTCGAATTTTCATAACCCTTCTCTATTTTAACCCTCCCTTTTTTATCCCTTTCCCTCTGACATCTTTTATGTTTCTCATGCTTTCTTTTTTTCTTCCTTTTATCATATGAGGAATCCAGGGATTCAAGTGAAGAATGAGAAACGCATGAAGCCGCGGAATTGGACGAAATCGAAGAAGTGAACGAATTGGACGAAGCGGAAGAGATGCTCATCGATCTCTTCCTCATGGTTCTGCCAAAAATTTTACGTTTCCCTTTTAGAACAAAATTTTTGTATTTTTTGTTATAACTTTCTTTATCATTCAGTTCGTCACTTTTTAATTTTCTCATATCAGACATGTACCTTTCGTTCTTTTCCTTATCCCTACTTCCTTTGTGTTGTTTTGTATCATTCCTTTTCTCTTCATTTGGAGGATTTACATTATTTTTTTTCAAAAGATTTAAAAAGTTGTTTCTTGCATATTCGTAGAATTCGTCGACGTTGCTCATTGTGGAGATAAAATTTATGTGGGGTGGGAATATAAATGCACAGGGACGAAATAAGAAAAAAAAGGGGGAAAAATAAAAGAAAAAAAAAAAAACAAAAAAAACAAAACAAAACAAAACAATAATTCGCCAAAAAATGGAACAATCCAGGAAACAAAAAATTTAGTTTGTTTCTATCGCGTCAAAATTCTCATGGCGCACAAATGAAAAAATGAATGTACTTCATTTTATGGGGTTAAAGATAGCAGATATCAAATGGATGGCCATTATCATAAAACAAAAAAACAAAAAAAAGGGGGAAAGTTGAAACTGAAAAAATTAAAAAATTACAAAAAACAGAAAAAATAGAAAGAATATATAAAATAGAAAAAAAAAAAAATTTTAAATGACAAATTTTATATTCTTCGAAAAGTATTATGAAAGCATAATTGTGAAATGAAAAATAAAAACTTACAAAATAGAGAAAGTGTTTATGTTTTAACCTTTACAAGCGTATTTAAACAGCACTTGCAAAAATAAAGCCACTTAAACAAGCTTATAACTAGAATATAATTAGAATTTAGAGTAAATTTTGTTAAGAATCTTGAAACGTATAAGTCCCGAACATAAACGCTTCCAGTGGGTAGAAAAATTTTATGTAATTTTGCACAAATAAAAGAAAAAAAAAAAAAATCCTGAAGATTTTTAACTTTAATAATCCAGTTTTCAACTTTTTCACTTGGGTGGAAATTAAACTAAAAAATGGCTAATTAACACTGTCCGAGTCGCTAGAGTTTTTTATTAGAAAATGCTGCGGGGGAAAAAACAAGAAAATAGAAAATATTTTATTTTGTGCATTTTAATACATCTGCCACATATAGGAGTTTTATGCTTGTATTTTCTAAGTGGGTAAAACATAAACACGGAAATTATGTACAGTTTTCCTATTTTTCTTTTACATTTATATAAGGATCATCTGTTGACCTAATCCATTTATTTGACTCCCTTTTCGCCTTGGCTAAGATGGCTTCTCGTATTTTTTCTGGGAATTGCATAATGTCACCTGTAAAAATAAAAAAGACACAGCGATTGAGAATAATGAAATGCCTGCGTAATGTAGTGGTATACATATATATATGTATACATGTATACGATATGACATATAAAGAGGAATTCGAAAATCCCCAAAAGGTCCATGTAACACAAATGCATACGAAGAATTACCTGCTGGGGTAACATATTCCAGCTTTTTTGCAACAGTAGGTATTTCATATTCACCCATTGTTGCATTCATAATGGATAAACTATTCCTATTATAACTGCAGTTAATTTTTTTTATGTTGAAGTAGGACGGTTTGAAATATTTAAACATGTACAACGATGGGCTTAAAACTTTTATATTTTCATAAACTTCTGGTTCTTTATAAGTTATTTTTTTCTCCTTTCTTTGTTCCAACTCTCGTCTGCCATATTTGGAATAAGAAAAATTCGTTTCGTTTCCTTTCCCTTTTTTATCACCATTGCTAATAATTTCTACTGCACTGAATCCGTACAAGCAGAGGTTGTTCATTAGTACCTGTGTAGTGGTGAGAACATGATTTAAGAAAAATATTTTTGTCGTATTTTAAAGCGAGATATATAATTATGCGTGAATGCACATGTACAAAGAAAAAACATTTATGTGTTCATATGTACATGCTACAAAAGAAAAAAGTCAACGTACACACATGCATTTACACATTTTTGCAGAACGTACTAATATTTCGTCCAAGTCGCAACACACATCTATGGGTTCTACATTATCCCATAGACTATCATAAACCGGGGAAGGTTTAGCAATAAATATTATTTTCTTCTTTGAGGTTGTGTCACTCTGGCTATTTTCACTCTCCTGATTGTTGTTCTTAGAATTGTGCATGTTAGCTTTAATCCTGAACTTATTAAAAACGTTATTCATATTTGTCACTGAAAAGGATGAGGGACTTTCTTCTTTTTTTTCAATAAGGGCAAATTGCCCCCACATGTATAATGAGTGTTTTGTACTAGTAGGTTTTGTTATTATACAGACGAAATTATCAGAACATGTAATTTTGTTTACACAAATATTTGGAGAAATATTTGTTAATGGATAATGTGATATTTCATCAAGATTTCTTAATTTATTATTATTTAATCCTAGTACACATTTATAATTATTTCCCCATATGTACAATGAACTTTTGTCAACCTTTAAACATACATTATAGCTGTCATTACATAGAATGGTGTGACACCCAGATATTAAAAATAATGGTTCAAATATGTTTTCATGAAAATATTTTAAATTAATGAAAAAAAAATTCCCACTAATGTAGAGGTCATTTTTTCTAGAAATATAAGCACTATGATAAGATGCACAGCTAATATTTTTAATTTTAATATTTTTTTTTAAAAAATGCTTTATTATTCTAGGATATCTTATAATATTTTTTTCATATTTTTGACTGCATTGTCCAAATATGTTACTTCCCCAGGAATATACATTCCCATTTTCTGAAAGAGCCAATGTATGTTCAGATCCACAACTAATATTCACAATTTTATTTGTTTCACTTACAACTTTTGTAAATTCAACTATTTTTTCATTTTCCCCTCTGTTATTTCTTTTTTCTACTACTTTGTAATCTACAACATCGTGTAACGATCCTTCATGTGCATTTGAAAAAAGATTTTCATTAATTGTGAATTTACGTTTATGCTCAAAAATTAAATGTTGAATATTTTTCTTATAATTATTACATAAATTTTTTGTCCCGCATTTTTGCCCTTTTACGCTATTCTTTTCTAAACAAGTCGTATCGGTTACTTTACAATTTTTGAAATCCCCTGAATTTCTCTCCAAGCAGGAAATTCTCATTTCATCACCATCATCATGTTCATCTTTAAGTGTAAGTTTAACGCTTCTATATGTTCCTTCAACACTACCACGAGTATTTTCCATTTTTTTAGCATTCCATTTGGAGTAATACCTTTTTCCAATTTTCTCTAAACGTCGCGTGTTGGCTTTACCCCTCGTGATGGAACCCTTGTTAAGGCTGTTACTTTCCCATCCCAAGGTGAACAATTCGTAACACTTGTCATTTCGATCAATTTGTTCCTCATCCGATATGTCAATAGGATGTGTCGTCATGTCGTACCCCAATCTGTTCGTAATATGGTCAACTTTCTCAGGTGCTATATCTCCAAAATCAGTATCTGAATGTTTTGGGAAAATAGTGGAATGATAGATGAAATTTTTCTCGAACAAACTGTAATATCCTAGTTGGCCATAATCATTTGAACCCAGACTGTAAACAAATTTAGAGTAGTAATTTTTCCTCTCCCCATAGGTGTTATTATGCATATTGTTGCTGTTTGTATATCCATCTGGGCTGTTTGCAATTTGATCATTAATAACGCTCTGGTTGATTAAAAGGATGGTATGTGTCCTTCCAACAAATATTTGTATGGATTCAAAAACAGGAATATTGAATATGGTATTTTGTGCATTATTAGTACATTTCTGAAACATTTGTTTCATATGAATTATTTTCAATAAGTTGTTTATTTTGTATGCCCATGGGAGGGTATAATGATAGGATACATTTTTATATAACTTTAAATTAAACACAATATTAAATTGATGATTTTTTTTTTGGAATTTTTTGAAATAAAAAAAATACCATTGTTTTAGTAAAATGTGATATGTCAAAAGTTTTAAAGATTTCTTTTCCTTTAAGGTGTAATAATTGTAAAATGGAAAATTATTTTTTTGTAAAAAGTAGTATCTCCTTTTGTCATATTCACTACTATACATATTAAACGGAACCAATGAAAAAATATTTTTTAATTTATAAAAATTTTTCCACCATCTCTGAATAAGAATAATACTTTTTTTCATTTTGTTATACCTCATCCGTTCTACACATGTATGAACATAAGCTTGAGTAAAATATATAGCATTCATTAACATTGTAAATTGTTTTCTAACTACATATGCTTTGTAATTACATTGTATTTTAATAACTGCTTCAGGTATTTTGAATTGACTTTGAATGATATTTCTACTGTATATATTTTTTATCAAATAATGATAATTCACCTTAGTTACGACACTAGAGTAGGTGAAATATTTTCTCTTAATAGATAAGAAGCATATTTTCAAAAATAGTTTTTTTTGATAATTTGTAACACATATGTATCTTCTAAAGTAGGACTGTATTAAAATAGCACATCTGTTAGGGATAATTACATCTTTTAAATTTTTTATAATTTTAATCTGAACAAGATATGTTCTAATAGCTTTATTGATATTTTCTATAGCTCTCTTTTGAAACAATTCCATTTTTAATGCTTTATATTTTCTTTGTTGTATTATTTTTCTATACCAAGACTGTATATATACACTTGCTGCATGACGAATTAGCTTTTTTTCATTCTTCATGAAATTGTCCTTACACAATTCTAACGTTTCTTTCGTTTTATCAAAATCTTTGTTTTTAACTATGTAGCTATAAAATATGATAAATGACACTAGTAAATTTTTTTGTTTTTCTATTCTTTTCACTTTCTGAAGAAATAAAAATCTTCTCATATAATTCTGAATAACTATAATCTTGTCTCTAAAATTTATTTTTAATTTTTTATTCTTATATGACAAATAAGAGTTTTCAATTTTGTGAATATATGGAACTATCAATTTTACATACTGGGCTCTCAAATTTTCTAAAATGAAATATACATATTTACATAAAAAAATAAAATCACGAAAATAAAAAGAATTTTTAGATATGTTAAAATTTTTCAGAATTATCTCACATAAATCTTTTTTTTCCTGAACTGTTAGATAATTTAAGTAGTTAAAATTCTTCACATCATTCTTCATTCTCTCCATATTTACCACACCCATTCTGAAATCCTTCACCTCCTGGTTTAATCTTCCTTCTCTAATAACATTTCCCTCAGTCCTTACTTTTCTCCTATTAAACTCATCCTTTTTATCTACACCGTAAGAACCATTCCCCTTTGCACTTCCTTTATTACTCCCAACCCCCGTTTCGTTCTCCCGAATTGGATTACTTGTATATAAACTACTTCTCCCATTAGTAATTTCATTACCAATTTCGTTATCATTTTCGTTATCAATTTCATTATCAATTTCTCTATCAATTTCTCTATCAATTTCTTTAGCAATTTCCCTATCAATTTCTTTAGCAATTTCCCTATCATTTTCTCTATCATTTTCTGTGTCATTTTCTCTCTCATTTTCTCTATCAATTTCTCTACCATTTGCACCATTTCTCATTCTGGTAACTGCACTCACGCCATCGTTATAAGACTTGTCCATGTACGCGTGTTGAGTACGTTTGAAACTTTTGAAGCAACTATGTCCTTTTCTTTTCCTGTGCTTGAGCTCATAATAACTCACAAGTTTAATCAAGTCTCTATCTCTACTTACATGGATGCAAAATAATAAATACTTCTTAATAAAATCTAGGCATGTCAAATTATGATATAGATATTTTAATTGATAACTGAAAATTGCTTTTAGGTTCAACATGTCTATAACAGATTTTATATGTTCCTCGTTTATTTTTTTTTTTAACTCAGAAAAATTAATAATTTCTTCTTCTTTCGTAATAGCCGAATTAAAAGAAAAAATTCTCCTTGATTTTGACATGCTTTTCAGAACTGGCCTATTTAGAACTGATAAAGGAGGTGAAAAAAAGTCCTTCTTAAAAAGATTACTTCTAGAACTATCACTATTACCACTGCTCGTACGAAAAGTTCGTTCTCCTGCATAGTTGAGTAAACTATCGTCATTTCGCTTTGCATATTTCGCCATATATTTGGGATACAAAAAGTTGTCATTTTTTTTTATTTCTCTTTCATTTATAAGAAGAACGTAAAATTTTTCATACGTATTTTTTATAACATTTATAAAAAAACAAATTTCGTCATTCAAAAAATTGTCCTTAAAATATTTCAAAGGAAATCTGTTTTCAAAAAATAAATTTTTTAAAAATTTCATTTTACTCTTTTCAACAATTTGTATAATATCACTCATTGCACACAAATCATTAGCATTATCCAAAATCATGTTGTTACATCTGTAATTAATCTTTTCGTTGTTATAGTGCACTATGGAAAAATATTTTTTTTTTCTTGCATTTTTGGTTCTTCCTTCACAACTGTTCATATTGCCACTTTTCGTTATATTTTCTATAAGTCTTATTAACATTTTTTCTGCATAATCTTCACAGTCCAGCTTTTTTTCATTTTTTCCCATTTCATTCTTGTCATAATTCATAACATTGGAAACGTAACTATCTCTTCTACCATGAATATCACTGTCATTTCTGCTACAATTACTACTATTGCTTCTACTTTTATCACAAATCATCGTATAACTTTTTTCATTGCTGCACCTCAATATATATGTAACTGCAACATAAAATAGGAACATAATTTTGTAATATTCAGCCTTTACGAAGATACGTGGACTTACACGTGACTCATTGCAATTTTCTACCATGTTTAAATACATACTTGTATATTTTTGTAGTAAATATAAAATTGTATTTTTTCGACCGAACTTAAAAATGTAAGAACTTTTGAGACCCTCATTGTTGTTAATATAATCACTGAAACGCCTATATATCTCAACAGTATGGCACAGAGCAGAATCATAATTGTCATTTTCTGTACCTGATTCATTTAATGAATTTATTGTATGTATAAGATAACTATCCATATTAAACATGGACATTTTCAAATAATAGGAGTGTAATATCTCATTGTACATATTATTAATAAGTTCTGTTAAACTATTATCATTTCGCTCACCTTCTTTTTTGCTTTTTTCTGATATATTTTTACTTAACCCAGTATTACAATACAAGTACAAGGAGTGCGTAACGATTCCATGAAGGTAATAATTTCTTAAGTGTTCATTAATTTGTTTTATTATTCTAATTTTTAATCTGAAGAAAATAGTTGAACATAAATTTTTTAATTTTATCGTATTATTCAAAATGTTTAGTAAAAGACTTAAATCAACATCTAGTAAAAAGGAAATATATTCCTCCATTATATGTCCAGCAAATACAATGAAGTAATTTTGCTTTCTCTTTATTTCTCTATTCTTAGTTCTGTTTGTATGTAGTACTTGGTTTTCATTTCCGTTCGATACCACGTTTTTTCTCCCACTGCTCACTCCTTCACCCTCCTCATTGTTAATTTCTGTGTTATTCATATTAATTGAGTTTTTGTCCAAGTGATTATTCAAAACGTCATAAATTTCCACATTTTTCATACTTTTCATATTACTTTTCTTTTCATCTCTATACTCATTTTGAATAACTTGTCCGATGCAATTTATGCCATTTTCTTCTTCGTAATAAGAACTAAAATCACTGCTCACATATTTTTCATAGTCAAATTTTAAGAAATCTGGTGGGTTATGATTATTATAATTACTATCCGATGGATTTTTCTCCTTTCTATTCATTGAATTTATCATTACTAAATTTTTATAATCTTGCACATTAATCAGTTGCAAATGCAAAAAATTCAACGTTTCCTTCTCATTTTTTCGTAAACATATCCTTATGGTGATATATATATTAATAAAAATGATAGCGTAGCATATTTTAATTATTGAAATTATATCATTTTCTGTAAAACCTAGTTCTAAAAAATAGTCGAATGTTCTGTTTATGTCGGATGCCTTAATATTTATGTTTGTCGGAGCGTCCAAATAATTCTTATATATTTTTTTTATATCCAGCGGGTGCAATTTTAAGTGTTTGTAGTATTTATGGGAACTATCCAGTAATGTGCTCTCAAGAAGAAAAAAAAATATATAAGGAATGTTATAGATATTTTTTTTGTTTCCTTTACCCATTCTGCAATGTTTTTCTTTAGCGTTCCTTTGTTCCTCCGAACCAGCGGTGTTGCAATCCGTGTCGATATGTAACCCCGCATTTACTTCTTCCCCTCTATGCCCTTTCGTTTTTTTCTTCTTTTTTTTCTTTCTATGTTCATATCTGTAGGAATATTTTTCTTCTCCTTTACCAATTCTGCTGTCACTGCTTCTACATTCCGAATCGCTTAACGTACTATTTTTTTTTCTCATTTTTTTGGTACTCTTTTTTACCCCCCTTTTTTTATCAGATGCATTTGTCCCATTTAGGTGTTTCAAAAAATTACTAATTTTTGAGCATATATTTGTCAAATTACTTTTATCATTTAAAAAACATGGAATAACATTAAAATATAGAATTTTGTTGTTATTACATAGATATATTATAAAGTTATAACATTTGTAATTAAAAAATAAATTAAGTACATTCATAATGTTTTTGTAAGCATGATATAATTCTTTATTTCCCCCTTTCTTTACAATATGTTTGAATATGTATGTATTTATTACATTTTGATTACTGTTTTTTTCTCCATATATGAAAAGTAATTTATTTCCATAATTTGACATACTGAGTTCTGGATTTTTAGAACCAATTAAATTGTTATAACAACTAGATTGAATGGAACTATGAGACCCGTTACCTTTTTGGTATCTTCTGGAGTTTTTAATACAACTTTGATAAGAGTTAAAACTTGTGCTCCTTCTACCATCTCCAGAATAATTGCTAGTAGATCCCCTAGCAGAGCTCTCTAGGATGCCTCCAACTGTACCACTAATAGATTCGTTTTCAGAATTGTCGGTAGAAGAACGTCGAAGCTCAGTGTTAATGTTGAAAAGCTGATTAAAATTTATTTTAAAATTATGTAAAATATCTTTATGCGTTTTCACTATTTCATCGTTGCTTTTTGTGTATAATTCCTTTTTCATTTCTATCAAGCTCAATTTCTTCTTTTTTTTAAGTTTGTAGAAATCAAATATGTTCATTTTTTTCAAACATATATTTTTCTCCATGTGTCTGAACATATTTTTGGCAACTTCGTCATAATCTTCATCAGATGTGTTATTATCCGAATTTTTATGTACATCAAATTCAGAGTATACTTTTCCTAACTTTTTCTGCAAAGCGTAGTTAATGAATGAACTAAATATATAATTATTTTTGTTTTTCCCATTAAATAACAACTTGTAAAAAGTATGTGCATAATCACAAGGGTTTATAATAATCAGCATATTGTTAAATATGCTTAAATATATATTATCATTGTATCTTCTAATAATTAAATCGCATATATCTGAATCTTCTTTGTATATGTAATAAATGTCTTGTATATTGTCCATGTTGTGCCTTCCAAGAATTAAGAAAGGAAGAAAAAAAAAAAAATAAATAAAAATATAATTATTCTACTACATCGCGGATACATTATATAATTAGTAAACACATACATAAGTGAGTAGTACATCGTTGCATATATGTTGGAAAAAAAAAAAAAAAAAAAAAAAAAAAACATTTCTTGTCAAAGTATGACATTTTTGTCCCTAACAGTGGGGGGAGCAACAAGCTATGTTGATAAAGATATAGACACATATATATGCATAACTAAACTTCACAACGTTATATATGAAGAATTATGTATACAACACAAAATCGTATGTTCAAATATACGATATAACGTAGACATATTATATGAAACCCATTTTATTCTTAATCATACTTCATAATACTTCCATTCTGGATACTGAAACAGTCACTTTTTTTTTTTAAAAAATAATCATATTTATTCGGCAAAATTAATTCCTTATTTTTTATAACATAATCTCCTTTCTCCTTTTTCCTTTTCCCTTTAATTAAGTAATCTCCATTAAAATTTAAGTCTTTCAATGTACATACTTTATATTTCTCCCCAGACTTCAAATGAACATCCTTGTCCAACTTTATATGAAGAAAGTTTGCTACACTTGCATCGTTTCTATGAATATTAGGACCTTCACATTTCTCTCCATTTTCATAATTGAAAATGGCTACTTTGGGATTCATCAGCGGCATATTCTTTCGATATCAATGGGGAGTAAATATGTGGACCATTGCACTTGTCCACGTTTAATTCTGTGTGTTCTTATCCTGACATACAAAGTATGCTTGCCTGAGCATTTAGAATAGAAAGGGTGGGAATCATCTCCTTTTACAATTATATAGCATTTTATGGGCAGGACAAGATAAAAAGTGTTCATAAATATATAAGCATACAAATACAAATGTGTAGTTTTTTTTTTTTTTTTTTTTTGCATTAAACATTAAAAGCAAAAATGTGTACATATGTTGTATACATATTTATTTCACTCGATATTATTTTTAAGAAAAGTGACACAAAAGAAATAATTAAAAAAAAAAAAAAAATAATAAATATTACTCAAATGTACAGCACATTTAAAATAAAAAAAAAAATAATAAATATTACTCAAACGTACAACACATTTAAAATAAAAAAATATAAAAAAACGCAAAATGATAGCTGGAAAAAAAGGATAATAAATCAAGCAGATAGTCTCAATTATTTTCCACTTAGGCGAAACATATGATGTTCGTGTCATTCAAAGTGCTCAAAAAAAAAAAAAAAAAAAAAAATTATTTTCAAAGAGAATCAAGCTTACAAATGGTTAAAAAATAATAAATGCGAAAAGGTAAGAAAAAAAGCTGCTTAGAAAATGAGAAAAATTGTATCCTTATGCAAAAATAAACCAGTCAAAAGAGAGAAAAAAATATATATAATTTAGGGAAATAGAATCGAACAAAATAATGAACCATGATGAACGAATGCATCCAAGGAACAAAAGCATACATAGACAGTCACCTTCTTTTTTTTTCTTTTTATACTATCCATTTGTCTGCTTAAAAAACAAAAGTTAAAAAAAAAAAAAAAAGCATCGATGAAATTAGGTCAAAAAGAAATTTTAACAGGTTGAAGCGTGCACATTACATGAAAAAAGTATAAAAGCATAGCGAAAAAGGGGGAGAGAAAAAAAAAAAAAAAAGGCTGTTAAACCCTTCTAATGGAAAAACAAAGTGGGACATTAAAATTAGGTAAAGGACAAAACAAAATAATGGAAAGGGAGAATATACAGACACAAATTTAAGTATATAACTATCAAAGAGTCCAGAATACAACGAAGTAGGCAATCCCTTTAAAAAAAAAAAAAAAAAAATTATGGGAAAGGAAACACATAGAAACATGTCTGTGACAAAAAAAAAAAAAAAAAAGTTAGATGATGATCTGTTCGAAATAATTATTTATAACATAATATCTCTAAGCATTGTCAATACCGAATTAAATAAAAGTTCAGTGAAAAATAAAGTAATAGATTCAATTATTGTAAAAAATATCAATTACATTTTAAACAACATTTTCATTCTCTCTTTTGGGAACATCCAAAAATTGCTATTCATTATTGATTTCATATTGAATGATGAAGGAGTTTACTATAAATTTAGCAAACTGAGCACAAGAGAAAATGTAATCTATTGTAATAGTACCACAATTGGTGCTACTGATGCACGGAATGCCAGGGTCACGACCGGTACTAATACAGGAAGCACAACACGTGACATTGCAAATTATGTCACAAGTGGTAAAGTCCAAATAAATGGAATGCAAAAGGGTGTAAAGAAAAATGTGCACGAAAAGGAAAAGACAAAAAAAACAGTCGCAGCAAGTTTTACTGATACATACAGTTTGAACAATTATATTAACGACATTTTCATATACATAGAAGAAAAGAACACCTATTTGAGTATATTTCATTTTGATTACATATTTGAAGATATCGAAAATTACCAGCGATCCTTTTTGCAAAAATATGAAAATTACACTTTTAAGAAGTTCTTTAGGGATGTTATGGAATTATCGGAAGGTGTAAATGAGACCAACAATAAAACCCGAAACAGACAAGAAGGTAGAAGTGAATGCATGGGCAGAACAAAATGTAGAAACCTAGATCGAGGGACAAGGAAAACGAAAAATTTGCTATATATTAAAAAAACAAAATATGAGGACTTGTACAAGGAACTAATAAAATATCACAAAGATAATTTTAATTTATTAGAAAAGTCGAACTGTGAAGATGATGGGTTGTTATCTTATGTAGGAGGGGACTACATAAGTTCAGCGTCAACAAGCAATGAAACTACTAGAATGAGTGATACAGAGTGGGCTAATGGGGATAATATTTTATCTGATATTGTTAAGACGGAAAAGGATGTAAATGTTCAAAATAGTAATAACTATAAAAATAGAAAAGAAGCAAGAGTAAAGAACACGGAGGAATACACTGAATATGATGTTATAAGTAGAGAAAAAATTAAAAAATTGTATAAATATAAAAAGGAAAAATGCAAATTAATTAAAAATAATAATTTTGTGAACAAAAAATCTTATATACCTATTAATTTATTTCCTAATAATGACTTATACATATCTAATATAAAATTTCAAACTGTGTCATCAAGTACGCGTGTAAAAGTTCATTTATTATTTCTGTATACGAATATAATATTAGTTTTCAATTTACTTAATTCTTCCCTACACTTGTGGGTTTATAAATTTATATCATTTCTTTTAAATGTCCTAAACAATTTTAATTGTAAGTGTTATTTCTATTTGGATAATTCATTAGTGTTATCTCATTTTAATAAAGGAAAAATGTTCATATTAAATAAACAGACGTGGGATCACAAATTTGTAACAAAGGTGAATAATTCTAATCAAGCGCATACTCTAAGTGTAGCTAATAATCTATCCACAAAAAGGTATTCAATCTTACAAACTTTTGTAGAAAAGAAAAATGACAAAAAGGATAATAAAATGAACATAAATTTTCCATATACCAATTGCGGTTATATAGTAATTTACGACAACGGGAAAAAAACAAGTGCAAAGAAGCTCTATTTCCACCATTATGTTTCTATTCAAATTTTAAAATATTATTCCATTTTGTCTTTACTGGAAATTGAGAATTATTACAAAGGTTATACATTTATAAATTTTTTCATATAGAAGCATTGCCATTATGTTATCCAATATATATACATAGAAAAATAATTTATCTAACCCCATTATGCATTATTATTCCAACAATCACATATAGGTATCTTATCCTGCCTACTGGGAGATGTGTACAACAGAACAATCTCTACTATTTGCAAGATTGAAAGAAAAGAAAAACACTATGTTATTTTCCCTGCAAGTAAAAACAATGCTATTTTTAAAAACAGTGAATCGCTAAAAAACAACAACATAGATTTATATGCCCTCATTATTGAATTGACCACACTAAGATGTAATAATAATACTGAAGATGTAGTAATAAATTCTTTGCGATATTTATATTTCTTTGTTTTATTTAACTATATGAACATTCTATTTGCTTTTTCATCCATTGATAAATATTTTATAAAAGAAGAAGAAGCATTTCCTTTTACTGGATATTATGAGTGCAATGCTAAGAATGGGGGAGAATCAGAATGTTGCTATGAATTCATTAATACAAAGAAATGTCATGAGGATATAGAAGCAAAGCGAGATGAAGAATCTCTGAAATGTAGAGAAGTGAGGAAAATATCAGATGAAATTAATTCTTTCATAACCGAAAACCACATAAGGTTAGAACTTCAAGAATTTCGAAAAAGCGCACATGTGTTAGAAAGAGTTAAAAAGAATTATTATTTCAGTGGAAGTTTAATTACATTGCCATTTTATGTAAATATGAACACGTTTCAGATGTTCCATCAATATGAAATAATGGAAAAATCCAGTAGAAACAATGAAGCTACGAACGAATCCATAAATGACCAAAATGGTAAGGCAGAAAAAAATGAGAAGAACAACAAAAGTATGGAAATGTCCCAGAATTGTAAAGATTTAATACGAAAAAGAATATCAAATGTGTTAAGAAATAATATAGATTTAATATTTCACTTTAGTTCATATGTACCACTTTTTGTAAACAATTTTATTGATATATTAAAAAAAAGGAATTATTTTTTATATGAAAACAATAGTTACCGTTTTGCAATATGTGTAAAATATTTATACATGCTCTATGAAGAACTGAGTCAGGATATTATACAAGAGTTGTATGAAAAAATTATGTTAGTCATAAAAAATGAATTTTATACACAAATCAGTAAAATAATTATAATATACATTTTTTCCTTTTTTTTGAATAAAAAATATATTTTACATTTATGTATAAAGGACATAAAACAATTCTATCCAAATTTTTCTGACACCGAAGATTTAGCAATTGTTAAATATTATTTTGTTCTAAAAATTATACACTATAACCCTATAGCTATAAATTTGAGAGATATATATACAACTCTATATACATATCATAACTATGTAATCATTATGGACCCTAATGAAAACGTTAATTCAAAGGGGGAACACTCCTTCTACTATGATAATTTCTTCTTAAATTTTCCTCCAGAAAAAGATTCATCAAATAAACAACATCACAAGACAAGAACAACAAGTTCACTATTACAGAAAGGGAAAAAAAAAAAATGTCATGAAAAATATGCACTCGGTGCACAAAATGAACATTGCAAAAAGCAAATTATAATACATTTATCATCAAGGGAAAATTTCAATATATCGTGTCAAAAAAATAAATACCCCAATGAGAATGATCATTTTTACAATACGCTAGTTGGTGAGTTGTCGAATTATATGTCAGCAAAAATGTTAGATGGGACAAGCTTGCGCATGATTCATGGTTCATTCCCTGACAGATGTACGAAAGGGTTAATTTTGAATAAAGAAAGAGAAAGGGAAAATAGTACCAGTACTGATGATAGAAACGTGCAGTGTTCTGTAGAATTATTTTACCCCAAAGATGAAAAGGCAAGAAATTCCATGGGTAGAAAATTACTTGGCCAGTTCTTTGAAGAGTGCATAACAAGTGGCACAAGCAGCGACATCTTCAACGATAACTTAATAAAAACAAATGGTCACATGAATAGATCAGCAGAAACGGGTAACTCTGTTCATGCCAAAAAAATATACTTGTTAATATTTGCTTATTACCTGTTAAAGCACTATAACCAATTCAGTGAATTAAAAAAATGGCTAAAATGGGAACTACTGAATGTACTACTATCCAACATGAAGGAAGTGAATAAAATCCATTTTATGTTGCAGTACTTATATGAAAAAAAGGATATAGAATTATTCTGTTTTATCCAAAATGCCATATTGAACTGGTTAACAAAAATAAAACCAAAATATAAAATAATGAATTTTTTAGTATTTTTATTTTATCTTGTGAAGATAAAATACACTAATATTAAATCAGTTATGAGAATATTAAACACTGTTTTGAGAAAATATAAATTTAACATAAAAGTTTATATAACCATTTTTAAAATTATAAAAACAGTTTTGCAGTATCATGATATTTCGGATAGCTACCAATTTATTATATCCATTTTAAAATATATCAGAGAATGTAGTTATGAATATTTACATACGACGTGTACATACTACATGAACATAATTGAAAATAAAATTTCCTTCATGGAATGTGTTAAATTTGATCAGAAATATCAGGATTATCATGACATATTAAGTGGAGTGTATAGCCCGAAAGGTCGTGTTCCTGGAATTTTACATTACCTACAGTTGAATAAAATTTATCAGAAAAATAATAGCATAAATGTAAAATATATAAATTCGGAAAATGCATCAAATTTTATTAAATTAAAAATACACAAATTAGACAGAAAAAACGTTCTATCTTTAGATGATAATGGATCAACCATTTTTTATTCACAGTATGATGAAAAATGCCACTCAAAAAACTGTATTAAAAAAAAATGTTTTCACTCCAATGAATATTATAATAAGAACGATTTTAATTCTGATGAATTTTACAGCATATATAAAGAGGATTCATATAGCTTAAAAAATTATTGTACATACATTACCAACTCGGATCACTACCTTTATTTCCCATTCATTTTAAGATACACACGTAGCTCGAAGAAGGAGAAAAAGTATTTCAAAGATACAAACAAAATAGATAGCAGTGAGAATGGAATAATAGAACCCATTAAATTAAGAAATATATCTCCCAGTAAATACAAAAATGGATCACTTAATAAGGAAAGAGCGGCAAATGGAGATAAACTTTGGAACCCCAATGAAAAACTTTTTTGCTTGAATGTATGCTTCGTACACAAGGCAGATTTCGTGAACATCCACAACGTGTATATTCCATACACAAAATTAGGTAGAAGTTGTTCTCCTGATAGATCGGATCTTCTTTGTAAAAAAAAAAAATGTAACATGCGAGTTCCAAAGCATGAGCATGATATGCAAATCAATAGGAAAACAACACTACTTCGTAGGTTAACCAGAAAAAAAAAAATATTTTTGTTGAAAAAAAAATACTTTTATAAAAACATATATAGCTATATACTGTACAGTACAAGAGTTAAGAACATTAAAAGTAGATTGACTCGAAAGTTAAAAAGAGGCAGATACTACCGAAAGTCAAAGAGGTGCAACTTGAAAAAATCGAAGAGACACTTCTCGGGACAACATGTACAAATTAACTTAACACATAGCACAAATTTTGCTGACCTAAAAAGAGATATAATAAAAAAGGAAATATATAAAACAACTTGTAAATTGAAAAAAAAACTTCTATTAATGAGGGGAAAATATTCTGTAAAGGGGAAAAATAGAAAAACCAATTCAAGCAGATATAAATACAAAGAACAGAATATAAATTCATACAAGATATTAATCAAAATAAGAGTAAAATTACTAATCCAAAGTAATTTCTATGCATATGTAATATATCTAAATCGGGAAAAAAAAACTTTTAAAACATTCCTAGGGAAATATAATTTAAATTTTATTGACTTTTTTTTACCATTTAAAGCAAGTATTCAACATTGGAAAAATATTTTTGAAGATGTGTGGAATGGTAATATTGGAAAAATTTACAAGTCTGCAAAATATTTAATTATGACATCCGGAAATGTTCTTCAAATCATTAATAAAAAGTTACATCAATTTCTAATTAAAGAAAATATAAATATAAAAATTTGGAATATCCACAATTTCCCACAATATAATATGCACATAAGCAAGAATTATTACCCAAGTGGAAATCATTATTATGCTTATAGAAATAAAAAAAAAAAAATTAATAGCTACATTTATGATGAGTTCTACGTTGACAACTATTCTCTCAATGGGAGTGAATCTGATATGGTAACTAATGAAGAAATAAATCGAAACCAAAAATATTTTTATACAAACAACATCAGAGCGAAGAAAAATAAAATATATTACCTTTTATACAAACCGAAAAATCTAAGTAACCTTCCAAAAGAACCCTTAAGTAATTCCCTTAATGACAGCAGCGACAATGCAAGCTTAGGTAGCAATGGCGTAATCAGTGGAAAAATTAATTGTGCTGAAAATGAGGATCAATCAAAAATGAATAATAATGAGCATGTCTTATTTACAAAGCGACGGATAAAATATAAAATTCACTTGAAACCCTATCGGATAACTGGAGAAAAATTGAAATGCAAAAATAAAGTTACCCTAAGAGGTGATAATATCATGGAACCCAAAATAAGCCAAAAAAGGCACTCACAAAAAAACAATCATCCTAACTATAAAAAAAATAATTATTTATCGTGGGAAATGAAAAAGAAACAATGTAATCCTAGTCTTAATAATAGTAAAATAAACACCGATATTATTAAAAAATTTGTGGGTATTTTTCTACCACCAAGTCATCATTTGCTCATGGTTTTTCATATCCACGAAAAGTTCACAATGGTTCAAATACGCGCGGATAACTTAAGCGTACTTAATTACCTAAACCCGTTTTTCGATAAATGTAAGCTTGTGCACGAGGGAAGGCCTACATTTGTGTATGTACTTTGCAAACAAATATGTGATGATCTTTTCCGTTTTCACAAGCTTGTCATATATGCATACTCCCACCTTTACAACCATTTTAAAATGTGTAAACATTGTCATAACATTTACTTAATCTTTGAAAACGATGCAAAACTACAAATACTACATCGTTGAGCCCCCATCTTAACTTATTTGTATTTTATTTTGTTTATTTTTTTTTGTTTCTACCATTCTTTTTTTCAGGTTTTACGTGATCATAAGTGCAGTTCGTTTAGATTTGCCAGAATTTCAAAGCAATAACACTCAAATTTTTACAAATGGAACAATGGATTTCCCTCCCTTTTTGTTATGAAATTCATTTTTTCCTGTCTCGCCATGTTCCACTTTTATGAAAACGTCCATTTTGAGTGAATTATGAAGATATCCCCATTTCTACAACAGACAATTTTTTACTAGCTCCCATCCATTCCCACTTTCGTCTTTCTTTTTATTTTAGAACTTTATTCTTATTACAGATATTTGAAGCGTTTTAAAATTCTTTCAAAAAGGTACTCAAAAATGATCACCAAAAAAGTAGGGAGGGGAGTAAAATAAAAAAAAAAATTCATATAGGTATGCATAAATAAAAGCGTAAAAGGATTTAATTCTTATAATGGAAAAATACGTGCTAATGATGCTTACATAAACACAGAATCATAAATTAAAAATGTAGATTTTTAACAAAAAAAAAGAGTTATAATAATGCATTGCCTAAAAATGTTTAAGCTGCTTCAAATGCAATTAACAATTAAAAAAAATAAGTAAAGAAATAAATAAAACAATTGTTTTTTTTTTTTTCCTGTTTTGCGTGTTTTTTTTGTTTTCTTTAACATTTCTCTCGCTTCTCGTTTTTTCTTTCATTCCCATAATTTAAGGGTATTGTCCCAGCTAGCTGTTGCTAACATGGACGTCTTAAACGGGTGCCATGCACAATCTATACATACATTTGTGTGCGCTTTCATATTTTTAAAATTTGACGTTTTTTTCCAATTCCAAATAAATAAGCCTCCATTACTATCCCCGCTAATGACATACTTTCCATCATTACTACACGAAACATTAATTGCGTATCCAATGTTGTGATGTCCCTTAAAAGTTTTTTTCGAAAATAATCGAAATTTCCCTGTTGCTTCATAAACTGTTATAACATTGTTCATAGACTGACATAAAAAAAAGTTGCTACTTGGATGCACCGAAACGGCTGTTATTGAAAACATAGATGCATCTGATATATATTTAACAACAACGGGTAGGCCATACTCCCAAATAAAAATTTTCTTATCATCAGATGTACTTATTAATTTTTTATTATTATCACACAACGTAATTGTATTTATTGCTTGCAAATGTTCATTATATTCTAATTCAATATTTCCTGTTCGAAAGTCAATGTGGCAAATTTTGTTATTGGCACCCCCAACCAGAAAGGTGTTTGAGTCTTCATGATTTAAACATAAGCAATATGGTGTTTTTTTTTGATTATAAACTCCTTTTATTTTTCCATATTCCGTATCCCAATAAATTACATTATTGTCATAACTACAACTTAAAAAATTTGTTCCGTCATTATCAAATAGAACATCCTTGACACCTTTAAAATGACCCTTGTATGTTCTTACACAACTTTTTGATTTATATACTCCCCATAATTTTAATGTATGATCTAGCGAAGCTGATAAAATGTAATTTCCATATTTGGGAAAAAATCGAATTTTCTGAACACCCATTTTATGTCCTTTATATGTGTGAATTTCTTTCTTTGGTGGAAAATTTTCTTCTATTATAAAATCTCTATCTTTATATTCTCCTGGTATTTCAAACCATGACTTCTTATAATAATCATTTACTTCCTCGTTTATATGTAAGGTGGAAACTACTTTATCATTATATAGGGTATTTTTTTCCTTTAGAACATTTTTATTAATTGCTTCTTCAAGAATACATGATTCTAATTTCATGATTGAATTCTTTTTTCCTGACATTCTACGTTCATCTGTAGCAGGATTTACGATTTCATTGTTATTTTTGGATTTTGCATTTTCTTCATCGTTCCGAAATGTGTCTTCTTTTTCATACATTTGCATTTTTTTGCTATTTGTTACACCTCTATCTTCCCACGGACCCTTGTATTTTTCAGGAGAATTATCAATTTCCCTTTCATTTTTGGCTCTTTTCTTTTTACATCTCTTGTCATATAACTGCTCATTGTTTACCAGTTCGTGATCTCTATTCGATGATATTATATAATTTTTGTAATTCTTCTTATAGTAGTTTTTTAAGGCTGGGTTTTCTGCTACCCCAGTTAAGTTAAATTGATTATACTGATAATCGAACATATTTTTATTTACAAATGTTGATTCTATGCATCCAGTGAAATGATTTTTACATGCATTTTTTAAAAAGTTATAATTTTCATTTATGCTTGGTCCTTGTTGAGGCTTATTCAGTACATTAAGAAGGGTCGGATCATCAAGCATTATTTTCTTTTCTATATTTTTAAATTTTTCTTTGTAATTTTTTATTTCCATGTCGTATGTATCAACATAAGGGGCACAGTTTACTTGTCTCATAGGAATAGGACATAAAGTTTTACGCCTTTCTTCTTCATCCCCCTCGTTATAATTCACCCTTGTAACACATTCCGTGTCCGCGGTAAGTGTAGTTACTGTATTTTTACTACTGGATTTGTTATTTCCCCCCACTTTCCCTTCACACTTTTCTATTTCAGCTTCTTCATTATCGTCGTATTCCTTTAGCAAGTCCATATTTTAGGAGCATACAATAGTAAACACACGCGTGCATACATGTATATATATGTATAACATAAATACACGTAATAGATTTAGTTACAGTCTTATGTAGACTTGTACTCTGTTGCTGAACTAAAACGTATATAAAGGCTTATATTCCGATATGTTTCACGTTCCCATTTACCCCTTTTTTGCCGAAAAAATATGCTGTAGCAAATTAAACATTCATTTAATTCATTTGATGATCTAAAAATTTGCCTTTGTGTATCTTTTAAATTTGATAAATAATGATAAAAAAAAAATTTTTTAATTTAAAAACAATTTATGGGGTGAAATGACTTTTATTCGTGCATAATACCTTGTTCGCGGGCATGCGAAATGTATACGTATTTGTATACATATATTTGTGCATTTAAAGGTCCTTGATTCAAACGCATTTTAGCTTCTCCTTTTTTTTCTTTTTTCTATCCATTTAATATAAAACTTCAATCATTTCATGGGGTAGAAAATCATAAGAGAAATGTTATGGTTTATTCATAATATATATTTCTTTTTATTTGAAGCTTATTTATTTCACAAAAAAAAAAATACGAGTACGGCTATTAAAGAAAAAAAATGTGGTTTTTTACTGTAAAAAATGACAACAGCAATTAATATATTGTCAACTGAATATAAAAAAAATCCCGATAAAAAAAAAATGTTTAGCCGTAAGAGGAAAATTAAAAATACAAGTAATAAAATTGAAGCCTAAAAAACCTTTTATTTTATCCATGTTCCCATGTACATTCTTATTTGGGCTTAGAAATCACTTTACAAGTCGAATCAAATAATGCTTATGCTATTTTTTTATAGGTTTATATATAATAAATTTATTTTTAGCCCTTACGTAAAACACACAGAATATGCATACATATGTAAATATAGCACGGACTGTTAAAAAGGGCAGGAAATTAAAAAATTTTGATAATTTTTTTTTTGTCTCCTTTATTTCAGATTGAGGCTACTACATCATTTTGCTTGCGATGTTATATATGCAATTCTTTGTTCACTTATTACTCTATTCAAGGTGTCTCTTTTTCTTCTTAAACCTATACCCACCTGAATACATAATAAAAATAGTTGTCCTAATGAAGTATTTTATTATTAATAAGTCGTAGCATTTTATAAATATTATGACAGATTAATAAGAAAAAAATCACTTAAAAAAAAAAAAAAAAAAAAAAACTATTTAAAAGAATGAATATTGATAAGTTAATAAATTTAATATTCATATAAAAATAGGAAAGCTCTAAAATTGATAAAATTGATGAAATGCAGCTTTAAGTCGGTCTCAAAAATGATTATAATATAAAAACAAATTGAAAAGATTAATACACAACGTCTTTGGGATATTTCAAAACAGAGTGCACAATATATTAAGTGTAAGTAAAACGTTCTTAATATTCATGCATTTAATAAATTTTAAAAAATGGATGTTTACAGATTTATATTTTTTAAGTTTAATTTTTATGTCTTTCAGACATTGGATAAGATTAAACGTTTCTTATTATATTTTTTCTTATCCAAGAATAAAAGAAAAGTGGGAGCAATACATTTATGTGAGCTCTTTTTGTAATACTATAATGCCTTGTGTGCAGTACTGTAAGGGAAAAAAAAAAAAAAAAAAAAAATTGCTTGAAAATTTTAACGTGGCAAATTTGGGCTTTACATATATTCTACTCAGGTATAACGACATTTATGCTCACGACCAAGGATATATCTACATATGTATACATATATGTGAATATATATACATAAAAATACATATGTACATATTTTTCCAGCCCAGCTGTTGATGTACTATTATGTCCACTTTTAATATAAGTGGTATATATACTTATCGTGAAAAAAGGTAAATTATGTTATTTTCTCAATTAATGACCAACTGCTTACGAGTTTACAACAAAAATGGAAAATAGCTATTTATAAAGGTGTGATGAAAAAAAAAAAAAAAAAAAAAAAAAAAAAAAAAAATCACAAGAAATTATTTTGGCTTGTTGTTAGCTTTTACGAAATATAACCCTTTTTTGTCAGGTCATAGACACATGCATGAATATTTTTTTTTTTTTTTTTTTTTTAAAACGTGGTCACTGCAATAAAATATATATAAATCCCAAAATGTTCTAACATTTAGTTTAAAAAAAAAAAAAAAAGAAAAACTTAAAATGTATGCAAACGTAATAAACCTTACAAAGCACACTTTATAAGAAATTCTGGAAATTTCTATAACTTTATTTTTATGTAATGTGTTCTCATTTCTCCAAAGACATATTCAGCAAAGTAATAGGTGAAATTTAAAATAATATACTACTTCAAACAGATATCAAAATTAAAAACCCAATTACTGAAAAATCAATAGTATAAAAAAAAAAAAAAAAACACACACACACACATACATACATACGGATTAGAGAACAATCTACTGTATTCAAAATCTATTACATAAATATTGAACGAATTGCATACATCATTTTTGTAGAAATTTATCCGGATCCCTTCAATTACGTGTGTATATATGACAAGGATAGGCGGAAAATATATCTTTTTTTTTCCTTTTCATGTATTATATACATATATATATATATACATACATTTTTCCTTATTTCATAAAATTAACAAGATCATTGTGCTTTTAATTATCATTTTGTGAAACACCACTGTTATAAAAAAAAAAAAAAAAAAAAAAAAATGAACATAGTTAAACCCGCTGAAAAATGCGCAATTTCCAATAAAAACCTACAAGGAAATTGCAACAGCATGAGCGAAGAAAAATACTATGCTTTGGGTATTAATTTAAGCCAGAAGGGGGGTATGTACGACTCCTTAATGCATTTGAAACAAGAGAACGAAGATAAAATGTGTTCCGATGCAAATAGCGACATTTGTAGGACACTTTCCAATTATGCAGATTATTCCACGAAAAAGGTAAAATATGTTGTAAATAAAAGATTTGCAGGAATGGAAAATATGGAAGAAAATATGCAAGATATGGACTATTCGATGTTTAAATATTTTAGGACATTACCACCAAAGTACAGTGATGAAAATGATATAAGAAATAATATTATTTTTAACAATAATAATATATATATTTATGCAGAAAATAAAAATGGAACATTAAATGAGCAAGCTTGCATATCCATTTCTCCTGACAATAATATCATTTATTGTTCAACAAAAGGAAGGAGATACACCATAGGTGGACATGCAGGAATACAAAAAAATATAAATAATGAATATAACTTTTTTGAAGATAACAATTTAGTATCACCACTTGATAGTATTAAGACATGTGCTTTCGACGGAATTGGTAGTTCAGACATTTCCAGCACTTTCACCAAAATGAATTTAATAAAAACGAATGATGTTCTGGATGATTCGAACGCAAATAAGAATAATACAGGAAATATATTTAATGAAAACATGATACTGAATTCATGTGACTCTAGTAACTTAAACACAACCAAATGTTTATCAAAGAATCTATCCATGCAGAGATTATTTGAATATTACAAAAAATGTTCTCAAAATTTGGAACATGAACAGAGAGCATGCAAACCATGTGCACATGTATATAATGGAAATAAATGCTTGAATGGAGATGAATGTGCATTTTGCCATCATCCAGATCATGTGTTAATATCCGCGAAAAAGTGGAAGAAGTTGGTAAAAAATAATATGGAAAAGTTGAATATTCTTTTGCACATACTGCGCAATCCGGACGATGTAAATGCTAAGCTCATGAATGAAATGTTGAAGCAAAATGTGAAAAGTTTTAAAAAAGGAAGAAAAGTGAGTAACAGTAATAAGAACATGGAAAATATTAATATTGCAAACCAAGATATCTGCAACTATGGTAATAATGGAAGCCTTGCTAATAGCGGCATTAATATTAGCAGTCTTAACAGCTTTAGCGACCTCAACAACTTCAGCGACCTTAACAACTTCAGCGACCACAACAACTTTAGCAATCTTAACAACATGAGTGGTCTCAATAATCTTAATGAATTCAACAGTTATAGCCCTCCTAGCAACGTTAACACCATTTACAATGTCAGCACTGCAAATAGCGGAAAGAACAACAGTAGAAGGAATAAATATAACAAAAATAAAATACACTACTTTCCTCCAAAAAATACAGAACAAATTCCACGATTCCCACGTAGCAATTTCGAATTTAACGAAGACACAGATATATATAAGAGCAAATATCACATAAGAAATTATCATGCAAATATGGACACCAATTATACCTGTGTTCCTCATCATATTGACATGTAAGTTGTCAGCAAAGGAACTCCCTAGAAAAAATGAAATTATTGAGAAATAGGAGGAATGAATAAAGACATATCTACATATGTTTGCATTCATACATATGCAGACATATCCACCGACTGTAAAGAGAAAGCAAAGCATGCTTCCTTTAGGTCGCGTTAGATAAAAAAGGAACACACTTCATTGCAGAAACGATTAGCAAAAGTTTAAAAGCCAATTTTAATAGTCAGAAAATATGCAAAATGTAAACTTTACAAAGGGAAGTAAACAGGGAAAAGGTAGAGAAAAAGGAAAAGAAAAAGAAAAAGGAAGAAAAAAACAAAGAGAAAAGGGAAGAGAAAAAGGGAGCAAAAAAGAAAAAAAAATAACTTCTATTGTTACCAAAAATTGGATAATTTATAAACATGTTAATTACATAACAAATTGAGTACATCATGTGAAGAATATAATACAGATTAATTTTAATTGAAATTCTAATGAAAAAAAAAAAAAAAAAAAAAAAAAATACATAAAAATATATACAAATACGTATAATATACAGTTACAAACATATGTGCTTAGTTGATATTTTAACCGTTTCCTTAATTTGATGCATTCACACGAGTGTTGTGCTTCTCGAGCATTTCTCTGCCCATAAAATTTGCAGGTGCATACAAATATATACGGGCGCCTAGGCAAAAAAATATACCCAAGCGTGTTAAAATACATGACTTCAAAAAGTATCCCATTTCTATATATAGTTTTTTATTTCTTTAATAATAATTCTTTTTTACACAATTCATTAATGGAAAAAAAAAAAATATAATAATAATAAAAAATATGGTTATTGTAAATACTGCATTTTTTTCATTCCATAGGTTCATTTCGTTAATGTTTTTTTTATTTTAAGTTTTATTATTTTTTTATTTTGATCCCATTTTAAGCTTTGTTTCATCCTGTGCCACGAACAATCCCCATATTGGACTTTAATTTAAACCTCATTTTCACATTTTTTTTTTTTTATTTTTTTCTAATGCTTAGATGAGAATTATTATACTACTAGATGTTTATGATTTCATTAAACATTACCATTTCATGGTTGTGATTGTTAAGCATATATATTTTTTTTTATTTTACCGTATCACGTTACAGCTTAGCTTTGTTATTTTATGTTTTCCAACATATGTTGAATGTGAATGTATGAATTACCATTTACATTTGAATGTAAAAATGTATTTCCAAAAAAAGAAAAATTTGTATCTTTAACACATATTTACAAGACAGAGAAAGAAACATAAACATTAGGACAGTGTTTGTCTAGTGAATTTTTACAAGGGGAAAAATAAAATAAATAAATAAAAATAAAATAAAATAGAAAAAAAAAGGCGATGAAAAATTAGATAGACATACAGGCAAAAATATATGAGGATATATGCATGAATACATGTTAAAAAAAATAGCACACAAAACGCAACATAGAAAAAGACGTGTACGAATGGTTTGTAAAAATGGGTTGTAAAAAAAATTATTCTTAATAAAAAATAAAAAGATAAACAAATGGAGAACTAAAAAAACAAGTTCGTGATTCCATTAATTACACCGATGTAACGCTCTTCTCAAGGCACCTTTTTAGTGGTATCAAAATATTAATTTTGCAAATATTTGCGAACAGATTCCCGCATCATATCAATAACAAATTTGGGATCGTCTGCTTTAAAAATACTTGTTCCAGCAACTATAATGTTGGCACCATGAGATGCAGATATTTCCGTGGTTTCTATATTCAAACCACCATCTACCTGAATATTTAAATTTTTGTATTTTTTTCTAAGAAATGAAACTTTGCTCATCATATCATGCATAAATGACTGCCCTCCAAAACCGGGCTCTACAGTCATCACTAAAACCGTATTTATTAAATTAGATTCTAGTAATGGTACAATTTTTTCTACGTCTGTTTTTGGCTTAATAGAAACTCCGCACCATAAATTATTGTTTCTTATTTCTTTAGCTAAATTTATACATCTTTCTGTGTCTTCATTTAAGGCTTCAAAATGGAAAGTTATTTGATCTGACGTTTTTAGTAACCCTACGTATTTTTCCGGGTGTTCAACCATTAAATGTACATCAAAGAATATACCTTTTGTATATTTTTTTAAATCATTAATAACCGGTGGCCCAAACGACAAATTAGGGACAAAGTGCATGTCCATGACATCTAGATGTATCCATTCTGCCCCTAGTCTTTCCATTCGTTGTGTTTCTTCAGCTAGCTTGCTTATGTTGGACGCTAGTACCGACGGGGCAATTATCGCTTTTAGTGGACCCATCTTCGGATATTCCCTTCGTGTGCAGGCGTGTGCATACGTATATGAACAAGCGTATGAGCACGAGTATTCACACCCGTATGAGCTAGTGTATGTGTTTTCCCCAGTATATACGTGCGTGTATACCCTTTATGCATATACTTGATCGTGCATATAAGTCGATATTCTCACAGGTATATGTTTGCTGTACTCCGAATTCGTGTTCTTTAGGGGTCGCTTTTTTCGCAAGAAATCCTTGAATTTTTTAAGTCATTGAGCGGGGGCATATATTAAAGTAAAAAACAAATGAGTATATAAAAAAGGGAGATAATAGTATTTACACTGTTTGAAGCGTTTGAAGCGTTTGAAGTGTTTGAAACATTTGTATCATTCAAAGCATTTTATACTGACCCTTTTTACACATTATAAAATAGAATTTTTTTCTTTGCGAACGGAGAAAAAGTAGAACTAAAATATTAATATGCCTTCTACATTAAGTTCAGAAATACAAAGTTTTAAATATAAGTCTTAAATTGACAAAGTCGCTAGAGGTATGTACAACTAACAGCTACGTTTATGTATTATTGTTTCGTGTTTCAATGAATACAAACGTTCATGAATCAACGGTAATGAATTATATACCTGATAAAATCAAACAATTAATTCTATGAAGTGACAAAATTTACATTTTTTATAAAGTTAAATTTATTATCCGATAATTCCTCAAAGAGCTCTTGTTTTTTTTCAAAAATTAAAAAGCAGAAATGTTAAACTTGCAAATAATTTTGACATCCTTATATAAAGTGTCTTCAATAGGTAAAGTTTTTAAAACGATAGGTGAAAATTGTCCCTGGAAATTATATGTACAACGGTATACCTTAGCATGTAAAAAATATGCATATGTTTTACGTCCTCTTAATTATAGCGGAAAAAACAATGTCACTTACATGACAGTAAAGTTAAAGGGCGTTATTTGAATCTCCCATCTAATATCTTTTAGTGAAATTTTACAAATAATTTAAACTTATTTTTGATGTGTAATTAATTTAATTTTCATAAAACTGTTCACACATATATGCATGACCTTGCTCATTTATGAATTGAAACTCTTTCTTGCCAACACATGCATAAATGTTTTCATATACATCTTCCTAAAGATGCTGTTTTTATAATAAAAATACGCGCATTTATGTTTTTAATTTAAAAGTTTTGTTCAATTTATAAAAAGGGGAAAGAAAAAAAAAAAAAAAAAAAAAAAATTCAAAATAGTTATTTTCTTTGCAACACTGTTGTAATAACAACATTTATATATTGTAAACAAATTAAAAATGCTAATTATGTAGTACGACCAACACTTTATGGTCAAAAAACTCCTAGAAAAAATAATATGAAAAAAAAAAAAAAAATTACGAAGCATACAATAAAGATAAACAAAATCTGTGCTATATATAAGCGCACGTTTAAGCATTCTTCACGTTCCTCCTTGGATGGTTTACTAACTAACGCTTCTAAATCCTCATTCATTTTGGAATATTCTGAAACATATGGAATGTGCACATATATACTTTTTCTGTCTAATTAATCTATAATTCGTAACTCCCTGCTCCTGAACATATGTATATTACTCACCCGCTTGATGTGTGTATTTTTTTCTATATTTTCCTATATTTATAAATATGCATATATATGTATATATATTTTTTTTTTCTTCTTGTTCCAGATAAAATATATTTAAACGTTATGCATTTCGTATCTTCTTCTAAGGAATGACACATTTATATTCGATAAGTAATATAGGAGAAAGACATTTAAAAATGTGTAGTTGGTTTTTATGTATTAATTATTATCTGTGTATTCATTATGATGACAACATCCATATATATTCTATCTGTTCTTATAAAAAATTATAAGGTAGATGGAAAAAAAAAAAAAAAAAAATTACGTGGCAAGCAAATAGGAATGAAAAAGAAAATTACAGAATTCGTAAAATGTAGAACTGGTTTCAAAAATAATAACAAAAAATAAAATGCCTTGTCTATTTCCTTACTATTTAAAAATTATATTTGCGTATATATGAAGGTAAGTGCTTTAAGAAATGGATAGAGAAAAACTTTTTTAAAAGTCTCTGTAACTTGATATCGGAATATATTTTTAGTGTTCATGTACGCATGATCAATATTTTCCAAGTTAGCTTCTCCATGTGCGGAAGCTAAGCATTAATAAGAAAATTGCAATTCATCAAGGCGGAAAATAGCAGCTAACAGCTATGCTGCAAATGTTAATGTGTACATATATACATATATATTACAGTTTTAAGAACAATTACACGTTTTCGTAAAACATATTTGATTAATGGGTTTAAAAATTGGTTTTGTATGAGAAATTTTGTTCAAAAAAAAGAGGACTACACTTATGCATATGTATATATATGTACATATATATGTTCTTGTACTCAGGAAAACGAATGTCTTACAATAGGGGCGATATATATCACACCTACATACACATTTATGCGCACAAGTAGATGAAACAACAAAAATTTGTTTCACCTTTTAATTTAAAGAAAATATGTCATTAAGAATTAATTTGGCAAGGTTTGAAGAGAAAAATTATATATAAAAATTTATTGATTAAAAAAATGAGCAATATGTAGCGCATGCAAAATGTAGCTAAAAAAAAATAATAATAATAATAATAATAAAATAAAATAAAATAATCCCTGTCTACATACTAAACTTTTCATAAAATCAAAAACTAAATGAGTACCCATAGCACTGTTCTTCTGGATTGGTAAAAAAAAAAAAAAAAAAAAAAAAAAAAAAACACACATTAAATGTTATATGAAAGGAATCTACATATGTGATTAAAAAAAAAAATTATACTTTTTACAATTTTAACATTAAGATATGTAATAACCCATTTAGGAATGCATAAATTTGTCTTATATTCATTTTTGTGTACCTCTAGTACACCCTCATTTGTTTGAGCGTTATTAAATGTGTTTTTTTAAGAATCATAAAAAAGTAAAACCATATCATAAAAAAATGAATAAATATATGTTATGCACACACAACGAGTTTTTCTTCCGTTCATCAGACAGGTGATCTGTTTTTTTTTTTTTTTTTTTTTTTTTTTTTTTTTTTTTTTTAATGTGTTTAAAGTATAATATATATTATATGAAAAAACGCAGTAAGAATTAAGAAAAAATTATGTGTTTTGTTCTTGTTATTCCACTTTTTAAATATAGCACATATTTTACCAGCTGAATATAAATATGAGTGTGTAGCACGAACACTTTTAACATTTTCCATTTATAACACGGACTCATATTTTAAGGCCAGCTCAAAGTTTCCTCCTACATAGTGATACATTTAAGGATGCTGTAATTTTATAATATTTTGTGAATTTGTTTGTGATAATCGAAGTATAGTGGTAAATATATCAACACAAAAACGGAAAAGAAATATTCCAGTGGACATGTGGCGGTATATAAGTGTACATCACTTGCACACACAAAAGGTTTATATATGTGTACATATATATATACCTACATAAATACGTATATATAAAGGTATAAAAACACGCAAAAGAGAGGATATCTGTGCAAAGCTAACATGGGTGTTCCTCCAACTATAGAAGAACTAAAAAGGGAAAAAATTATACCTCATGTTTTCCCGAACGAAAATGTAAACTTAACTATAGACATGTTCATATCTTTTAAAGCGGGAAAAGAAGTTAATCATGGTAATATATTAGATTTGTCTGGGACAGGAAGTGTTCCCAGAAATATAAAATTTTCAGAAGCACCCCCAGATAATTATTGTTATATTTTATTTATGATTGACCCTGACTTTCCTTCACGAAGAAGACCCGATGGAAAGGATTATGTACATTGGGTTGTGTCTGGAATTAAATCAAAGGAATTAATAAAAGGAACAGATAAGGGTTGTGTTACCTTATTGCCATATATAGGTCCATCTATTAAAAAGGGAACAGGATTGCATCGAATTTCTTTTATCCTTTCATTAATAAAAGAAGAGAACAAGAGTAACATTTCTGGAGTACCCATTTATCGAGGTGAACATGATATTACTAGAGTCAAATTTAACAATTGTCAGTCTGCTTTTAATGTTATAGAGATGAATGATATGAAAGTTGTCGGCTTCAACTGGTGCCAGATAGAGGCATAGCTTTTCCTTTTCCTTTTCCTTCTCCTTCTCCTTCTCCTTTTTTTTTTTTTTTTTTTTTTTTTTTTTCAAAATAGTTGTATGCTTGTGAAGTTACCTTTTTTTTGTGTGTTTAATTATACATATACACATACCTGTATACACTGTCCCTGTATACATTCATAGTTTTTTCTTTTAATAACAACTAAAAATTCGAATTATGTAAATATTTTTTTGTATTCACATTGCATAATTCATAATTCTTAGGAATAATACACATAACGTACTACGTTAGCATGCCTAGAAAAGTATGTTTCAGGGCATGTTAAATTTGTAAACAAGCACCGTGTGCAGATCTGCTGTACTTCTATATATATATATATATACATACATGCATTACTGTAAAACAGGGAATTACACTTCACACCATTTTTCAATTTTATATGGAAGGAATACGTTAACATAAGAGAACCTAAACGGGAACGAAAATAAAAATGCAAAATAGTGTCTGCGCACGTGTTCACATTCGTTATATTGTGTTATTTAGTTAATCAGTGCAACAACTAAAAAAGGAAAACATATACCACCTTTCTGTTGTGCTAATAGGACTACTTATGATGTGCCTTTTCATTCTACTTTTCACGTGACCAGGTAGACACACTAAATCCTAATATCCCTCACAAGTGTGTTAATTTGTTGTATACTAATTTTCATAAGTGTCATAAAAAATAAGAAAAAAAATTTACACTATTATACAATACTAATTTTTTCACATAAACAATTTCTTATCTCAACATTTTATCTTCCTACCTTGGTTCATAAAAGTTCATTTTATTTTATTTTTTTGGGACATTAGCTGCTAATGTAATTTCTTTATCGTAACTAAAAATATATGAATTAAGGGATTTCTTTCCGTGTGTATATATATATGCCGTAATTTTTTTAAAGATTTTTTTTATTTTGCCTACTTAAGCTATGAAATGTTTATCCAACCTTTGCATAAAAAATCCTTCTAAATAATTTTTTACTTTACGTAAATAAAAATACATTGTTCTAATAAAAAATAGGGAATCGTTAATTTTAAAAAAAATAATTGTCTAACCTAAATCGCTTATTTAATGTGAAATTGGCTTAAATGGTTAACTCTTTTCATTTTTATTTTTTTTAATTTATTTTCTTTATTTTCATATTTTCTTTTATTTTTTTTATTTTTTCTTATTTTTTTTACTTTTTTTTATTTTTTCTTATTTTTTTTATTTTTTCTTATTTTTTTTATTTTTTCTTATTTTTTTTATTTTTTCTTATTTTTTTATTTTTTCTTATTTTTTTTTATTTTCACTTGCTCTTTTTTTTCCCTTTTAAATTTTCTTTACTTAGCAATGGTATACATAGCGAAACCGATTTTAGCTTCATATACATTAGTTAAAATATTTTTTGCTCTTACACATGTCAACACATGCGCGTAATATGCATACGTATGAACAAGGCATTATCTTTTTTTTATATTTTTTTTTTTTATTTTTGCACAATGTATATGTTCGTCTGTATAAACACTCTCAGGATGAGTACAAGGTTATGACCTTTTATGCCTACTGTAACAATATATAAACGAACAAGAGTAAACACATTTTTTTATAAAGCATTCTTTCTTTCCATTTTTTGAGGTTTTGTTAATTTTTATTATTTATTAAATTATCAGAATTAAGATTATTTTATATTAACTAAAAAGTAAATCAAACTTTTCACCTAATTTTTAGAAATCATATTTTTTTTTTTTTTTTTTTTGTTTTTTGTTTTGGTTTTTTCTTCCCATTTTAGTAGCCCTAATATATAAATTAAAAAAAAAAAAAAAAATCAAAAATGTATTACACATTCACTTTTGTATAAAATATATGCCAAATCTCGACTAACTCTAAATAAAGGAAAGAAGAAGAAACTAGCAAGTAATAATGTCCTTGCTTTATAAGAAAACTCTGAATTTAATTAAAGGAAATAACAAGTAAGGTGCATACAAGCAAATACACATAGATACATAACACGTGAGTACAATTATATATATATGTAATGTGTTACACACTCACATGAGGAAATATCCAACATATATATATATATATATATATTTGCATGTTTAATTAGCACATTTTTACCGTTACTTGTGAGAAGAAAATCTCTATAGTGTTATTTTTTACATATATCTCATGTAGAGATTCGTAATATTATGAGTGTCCCTTTCTTATAACTCATTGTGTATCCATCATTGGTGGACAAATTGAATAGCAGTAGCACCTATGTTAGTGCTGCAGTTAGATAAACGGATACATGCAAATTAATGTACATTAAGATATACATGTAAATACATACGCATGCAAGTACGCTTGTTTTTTCAAATTGATGCACACCTTAATCCAATCATTTTCGCAAAATATGGTATAAAAAAATGTAGAAAAAAATAGTATGCAAAAATAAAACAAAAAGAACAAGAGAAGAAAAAAGAAAATAAAAACAATAATGATAATAAAATAAATAGATCAAAATGAAATGAATAAACTCTTACACACCAATTAATGGGTGAGAGAAGTAGGGAAAACACAACACGCATCGTAAATTAGGATAAGAAAAATGAATAAATATGTGTACATGCTGATGATTATGAAGAAATTATAAAAATTGAATAACTTCCAAGCATATATGAAGATAAGCGAAACGTTGGAAGATGTGTCGTTGTATATATATATACATATGCATTCAAATACATTCACCTACATATACATACATTTACACACCTTTATGTACACTTCTGTGCTGAAAAACGTTTTACAGTAAATTATTCATTTGTAAATTTTGATCACTCGTGTGCCATATCTTCATTCTTTGGTAGTTCACATTTTGTGGAAAATTTTGTCCTCCATTAAAACATTTTCGTGTCAATATTCATGCATTTTCATGCAATTTTATGCATATATATTTGTGGATATATATAAAGCGGAAGAAAAAACATAGCCTTTCTTTGAATTCTTCTTGTATGCATATATTCCAATATAATTTACATTTTATTACACATATTGATATTAAGACACAAGGAGGTCATTCGTGCAAGAAAGCCTTGAGATACGTCAATTTTTGCAACAGTGCAGAATACAAAATCAATCTGTAAACACAACTATATTTCTTCCTCTTCGCAGTGAAGCCAAAGGAATTCGAATAAACATAAATAAGCCTAACAAGAGAGGGCACAATAACTCCGTGATCACTTCTAAATATAACATTTGGAATTTTATATTTTTAAATGTATATGAACAATTTCACAAGATATCAAATGTGTATTTTTTTATTATCGGTATTTTACAGTTAGTACCCGAGTTCACAGCAACGAATAGAGTGCCTACCATTTTATTTCCGTTGACCATTGTTTTAGTTGCTAATGCCATTAAAGATGCATACGAAGATTGGAATAGACACAAAACAGATAAAATTGAAAATAATCGAATGTGTTATGTTGTAGCCAATGAAGAAACTAACGAAGAAATACATAACACATCTATTTGTAGGACTATATTTAAAAAGATAAAAAAAATTTTGATGAGAAAAAAAAAAATATGTAGCACAGATAGTTTGTTCGATGAAGAAATATATGTTGATGAAATTACAGATGTAGATACATTTATGAGCAGTTTTGAAGGAAGTTTAGGACATATTGAAGGGACTATTAAAAAAAGATGGAAAGACGTAAATGCAGGAGATATAATTTTGTGTAGAAAATCTGAGTTCTTCTGTGCAGATATTTTGTTACTTTGTACAAGTGATAATAATGGAATTGCATTTGTAGAAACATCAAGTTTAGACGGGGAAACGAATTTAAAAGTTAAAGAAGCAAATGGGTTTGTATTTAATATTCTTACATCTGACAGGGATGAAGCAATTAGGAAGGTAAAAAATTTGAAAGGTTTTATAATAAGTGAAAAACCTAATAAAGATTTAACAACTATGTATGGCACTATATATTTTGAAAAGTTTGAAAAAATCGATTTGGAATTTAATAATAACTTAACAGAAAAATTAAAAGAAACAACGGAAATGATAGAAAATCGAAAAAAACGCATTTCAAGTGCTGATTTTAGTAGAAATAGTTGTAGTATTGGAAACACACCAGAGGAATGGATAGATGAATTAAATGGTCAAGAGGAAGATAAATATGTCAGAATACCTTTTGATGAAAAACATTTTGTATTGAGAGGTTGTAAATTAAAAAACACGGATTGGGTAATTGGGATTGTCATTTACATTGGCAAAGAAACAAAAATACAAATGAATTCAACAAAACCTATTATAAAAACTAGTAAATTGGAAATATTAACCAACAGATTGACTATTATCATTTGGTTTATTCAGATGATTATTTGCTTTATTTCAGCATATTACAATGCAGTAATTGTTAGTTTATCTAAAAAAAGTAAATTCAAATATTTGCCCTTTAATTTAGAAGAATCGAAAAAACCATTTATTGTGGGGATTATATCCTTTTTCTCCTGGGTTGTAATCACAGCTAATTTTATACCTATCAGTTTAATTGTTACAATGAGTTTTGTAAAAGTTGTTCAAGCATATTTCATATCGTGTGACAAAAATATGATTCATAAAGTTCAGGCAGATATACCAACATTTGTAGAAGACAAGGAAACTACTAGTCTGCAGTATAAAAATTCGCAAGATTTAGACCCTAAGGATCAAAGGGACAAACAAAATCTCTATCAAATGGATAGATCATTCAGTAATTTAACATTAGAAGAGAAGAAAGAAAAGGACGAAATAACAAATGGTAAAGATATTACGAGTGGTAATAATAACGCTAATACAGGTAACACAAATAGTAATAGCACAAACAGTGGTGGTAATGCCACTCAAAACGAGCGGAAAAAAACGCTAGCCAGAGTGATTTCATTTAAAGACCCGAAAGAAAAGAACTACATATATTTTAATGCTGTACCAAGAACCTCCAGCTTAATAGAAGAGCTAGGACAAATAGAATACATTTTCTCAGATAAAACTGGAACATTAACGTGTAACGTTATGGAATTTAGAAAATGTGCTATTAACGGAATCTCCTATGGAAATGGACTAACAGAAATTAAAAAACACATTTTAAAAAAAAAGAATATTGCAATTCCTGAGGAACCGATCATGAAATCAAAGCATAAAACACCAAATGTAAATATAGTAGATAACGATTTAGTAAACCATTTACATGATATAACACACTTTAACCATGAAGCATTAATAGGTTTTTTCCTACATTTGGCTATTAATCATTCAGTTATTTGTGATTATGGTAAAGAACCCACAACGACATATTCTTCAAGTAGCCCTGATGAAGAAGCATTAGTATATGCAGCTAAACATTTCGGAATCACATTTTTATATAGAAGAGATGGAAAATATGGAATTAGCATTTTTGGGACTATATACGAAATTGAAACGTTGGCAATTATTGAATTCACCAGTAAGAGAAAAATGAGTAGTATTATTTGTAGAATTCCAATTAAATCGACCTATACCAGTGATGATTCTGGGAATACTCAAATTAAATCCAATCCAGTTAAGGCAAACGAAGGGATTCCCATTAGTTCTAATCAGGAGGGAGGAACAAATCCAAATGTGTCAAAAAGTGGAAATATTGTAGAACAAGAAAATGATACAACAAAGGAATCATATTCATGTACCGCTAATGAAGATCAATCTTCACTTTGTAAAAACGATTGGAACATTTTGACTCAATTGAAAAAAGATCCTATGGATATTGACCTTGTCATTGGTAAGGGAAAAGATAAAAAAGGATATAAGGAAAATAAAGAAAAAGAAATAATTACATGTAAAAATTGCAAGGAGTCAAAAATTATGCTATTTTCCAAAGGAGCAGGAAGTGTAATTTTAAACAAATTAGCGCATAAAACAGAAATAGATGATATTACAATTGAACATATGGAAACATATGCAGACGAAGGTTTGAGAACTCTGTGCATAGCACAAAGAGAATTAACAGAAGAAGTGTTTGCAGAATGGTATAAACTGTACAAAGAAGCAACTGTAAGTATAGTAGACAGAGAAGAAAATTTAGAAAGTGTTGCAGAATATATTGAAAATAATTTAACATTACAAGGTGTTACAGGAATAGAGGATAAATTACAAGAAGGAGTTAGTTCAACGATAGAAGATTTAAGATTAGCAGGAATTCATATCTGGATGTTAACAGGTGATAAAATTGAAACAGCAATGAATATTGGCATTGCTGCAAATTTGATTGACAATTATTCAGAGCAATTCATCTATACTGCAGATTTAATATCTTGTGAAGAAGCATTAATGAATAAAATAGATGAGGATATTATAAATATTGAAAAAACACTCAATTTACCGCATTTCGATTTTAATGATAAATCTAATGATAGAAAGCAAGGTTTTTTAAAAAGTTGTTTCACTGTAAAAGAAGAATGCAACCTTTCATTAAGTCCAGATAATTACAAATTGTTAATTAGCTCATTTAATCATGTTTTAGTAGTAGATGGTGGGTTGCTTGACATTATGCTAAGCAAAAAATTTGAAAGAAAATTTTTTTATTTAGCTGATAAATGTTCTTCTGTTATCTGTGGCCGAGTTAGTCCATACCAGAAAGGAGCAATTGTCTCTTCTGCAAATCGATTATTAAAAAAAATTACGTTAGCCATAGGTGATGGAGCCAATGATCGTAATATGATTAACACAGCGAATATAGGAATTGGAATTAGAGGACAAGAAGGGGTGCAAGCATTTAATTCATCAGATTATGGTATCAGTCAATTTAGATTTCTAAAAAATTTATTACTAGTACACGGAAGATTATCTTACACAAGAATTAGCAAATTGGTGGTATATATGTTTTATAAAAATATTGTTTTAATTTTCCCTTTATTTATATTCGGATCACTTTCTTTATATTCGGGGCAAAAAATATATTATGAATTTTTACTACACCTACATAATATATTATTTACGGCAGTTCCAGTGGTAGCTCATGCCATATTAGATAAAGATGTGAGTTTAAATACAGCATTAGTGACACCAAGTTTATATAAATTAGGAATATATCATTATTATTTTAACATCAGCACTTTTGTTTCTTGGGTCATTAATAGCCTTTTTCATGGGTTAGTTGTTTTTTTAATACCGTTATATTTTTTGTCATACTATAATATTCCAAGCTCTGATGGAACACCCTATGATATGTGGACAGTTGGGAGTGTTACTTATTTCCTCACAGTTATAGTTGTCAATTTGAAAGTTTTGCTAGAAACATATTACTTAAATATACTCCCGCTTGCTGCAGTTTTTATGAGTATACTGGCATTTGTCATCCTAGTTATTTCATGCTCTTTCATGTGCTTTGGAAGTAATAACTTTTTAGGAACAGCCGTCATTTTAGCCAAGTCTTTACGATTTTGGTTAGTTGTTCTCTTAGGCATATTTACCGCCTTATCCAGAGATTACATTTTTAAGGTTTACAAAAGGAACTTCAATCCGGAGGTGTATCACTTTCTGCTTGACAAGGTATTAGCATTCCGAGAGAGAGAGAGAGGGGAGGGCTAAAAGGATAGAGAAATGAGAGAGTATAAGGGAAGAAAAAAAATGAAGGGAATTAACCTATTTCTCATCCCTTAACATATGCAGAGAAAAACGTAATATAAACCACCTGTGTTCATTACATTATGTTTTTTTTTTTTTTTTCTTTTTTTCCCCTTTGCAGGAGGATAAACCAGAAGGTGAAAATAAGGTCATCGACCCGATAAATTCGGACAGTTGTCAGGAGGAAGAAATTGTACGCATTTAACCGAAAGACATAAAAAAAAAAAAAAAAAATGTTCTTCACTCTTTATAGGAATGATTTGTCACAGTTATTTCATTTTATCCTTTTGTTCATTTTCCTCATGTATATATTGAGTAGTGTGCACCTTGCATCGTTTGGCTAATATAACAAATGTTACTTATTTATTAGTCCTTGGAGTTTATAATTTTACACAGTTTTACCTTTTTTTTTTTTTTTTTTTTTTTTTTTCCTATTTTTAGAAAATTGAAAAGTGCAAATCATTCGGATACGCGTTTAGTGAAGTAGACCCCGCATGCGTTAAGTTGATTAGAAAACAAGACAAGATGATTTAAACTATTTTCACTCCGTTTCTTTTGTGTTGTGAGCTTGTTAATTATTTCATTTTAATTGGGTCATTTTGTATTTACATATATACATTTATATATACATATCCATGCGGGTGTAGGTATGTATTATATATGCATGCGAACATCCACATATATATAATTTTTGATATGGGCACTATTACACCTGTGTATTATATGGCACCATGCCCATGTGCAATAATGCATGTGTCATATATCTTGTTTTTGTGTGTATGCATATGTCTGTGTCCTGACATATGTGTGTTCTTACGCAGGTACACTTATAAACCTTTAACCTAAACCAATAGCACGAATCCACCGAATTTTGTTTTATATTTATGAATATATATGAGACATTGATGAGTATATGCGTTTAATTTATATGGCATATGTATATTTTAATTACTGCTTATTTACATGTCAAAATTTGAATTTGTCGTTAAACTTTTTTGAATAAAATTTTAATCACGATTTTTTTTTTCTATTTTTTTTTTTTTTTTTTTTTCGCAAAAATAGTAAGAATAATCACATTACAACATTTTGAAATGACTGCACATATTTTGTACCCTTTTGAGATTTATCATAGCACGGGAATGTGTGTCTAAAATGATTTAAAATCGCATACTATTTAAAATTAGCTCATAACAAAAAATTGTTTTCTTCTAAGATGTTTAACAATGAAAAATGATGAGAAAATGGCATGAAAAAGGTGTAAAAGTGGTGTGAAAATGGTGTACAAACGCACTAAAGTTGTGCTCTTATTAACGTGGTCATATATATTTTTTATTGCTACTTCAGATATACAGGCATTGCGGGAATATAGAACCAACATGAACACGCAAACATATCCGAGTTGGCTTTTTTTTTTTTTTTTTTTTCTTTATGTAAAGAATTAGAAATTTAAAACGGTTCTTCATTTTCTCCAATTTATTTCTTCTTCTAATACATGCACACTTGAACATTTCGCAAAAATGCACACACTACATGAGTGTGTCAATGGGGGAGGGTGCGGTGGGGGAATATAAATGTGTTAGAGAAATGTAGTGCAATATATCTCCATTTATCATGATAGTTGATTTAAAATTGAAATATTATTGTCCCATACTCCGGGGTAAAAATGGGATAAACAAAGGAGAAATTCTTTCAACAGCCCTTGGAGGGAGGAGAAGCTTATAAAAATGTGTACCGAGTGTATTGACTTCTCTGTGTAAAATTTTATTGTTTCATCACACGTGTGGCACGGGAAGATGGTGAAAAATAAGCCGATTTACATGATATACTTTTTTAAAAAGTACGAAATAATATCATATGTTGTTCAAAATTGGGAATTATTGTTGAACATGTCATATTTGTCGAATTGTAAATTACTTGATGTGTGGTTATTTTGTGGAGGCATAATGGATAAATGGTTATTCAAAGAGTATGTGAACTGACCAGACATAGATGAATTAGCTGAAAAATCATTTGGAGCAGATTTATTCATTTTTTTTTCCTTTTGCATGTCTTCAATTTGTTTTTTCATTGTATCAATCTGATAAGTATAATCACTAATAACTTGAATAAAATATAACATGGCTTGGTCTTTAAATCCACTTGTCCAAACAATTTCTAATACATAATCAGGTTTCAGTATATCATAACAAACAATTAAGCATGCGCATAATGCCTCCTTATTTTTAATTTCTATGAAATAATTTATTAAGTCTTCTACATATGAATTGTCTTTGGATACTCTAACTATTTCAATTGCATCTTTATACTGTTCTTCTTTTTTTGATAAATTAATAGCTTCTTTATATTTTTTATTTTTTTTATATAACAATGCAGCAATTCTTCTCATTTCAGAAAGTTTATGATTTTCTAATTTATTAATTAAATTCGTTTGATTAAAATTATCATATTCATCAATTGAATTTCTCAAACTGATATAATCGTCATTTTGTAAATAAATTTCATTTAGTGTTTCATTAACAGCTGTTATATTTTGTCCTTGTATATCTTCTAAATATTTCTGTATAAGTGGCAAATTATTGGATTTCTTCAAAGTCTGTACTAATCTATTGTTATCAATTTTATTTTCTAATATTTTTAACAAATTATACAAATTTAATGGATGTTCTTCAATATAAAAATCAATAACTTTATGTATTATATCACTATTTGTAACTTTATGAATTACTTGCATAAATGTATCTGGTGAGTACGCCGTTGGTGAATGCTTAATAATTGTATCTACAGCTAAATTATACTCATCATAAGATATATATAAATAAACCGCTTCTTTTAATAAATATTCATTTTGACAAACATCAATTAATTTTCTTGTATTCATTTTATTTGAATAGTTTCTTATAAATTCCATTAATTTTTCAGGCTTATATTTTGCGTATAAAATTCCCAACTCTGTGTATATTCCAACATGTGCTCTTTCATTGTTTAATCCATTTTCTAACATACTCATTAACTCATTTATGTATTTTTTTTTTTCATAAATATTGATAATTTCATCTAAATGATCTGCATGCATAATTAAATGTAAACCAGCTGTATGCGCATGTTTCAGTTGTTTATATTTAACACAAATGAAATTTACTTCTTTCCATGTTTTAAGACTTTTTGCCTTTTTTGCTGCTTCTATAGCTAAAGAATATTCCTTCAGTTTCAAATAACAAAACGTTAATTTCTGGTTATTTGGTATATTACTATACAAAATTTTAGCAACTTCGTATTCTTGTTCTTTAAACAATCTGTCACCTATCAACTGTAAATTAGCTGAATTGGTACTTGTAATAAATTTTATCATTTCTGTTGTTTTTTTCAATTTTGCATAAGCATACAGTAATTCAGAATCTACTAGCACGTCTTTTAATGAATTATGATCTCTCAAAGTATTCAAGTATGTTATTAAATGTTCATAGAAATTATTTTCCTTGCATTTTTCTATTACTTCTTTGTATGCTTCAGGATTATTGGATTTCACAAAACTGTCTATAGCATCAATAACTTTGTTTATTTTTAATTGTGCCTTCCCCAATATAAACCATACATCATTATTGTTGCATTTTTGAGCATATTCAATGGCTCTATTTAAATCATCTTCATAAATTTTAACATCCAAAGACAAATCATTATCATCCTTCTTCTCATTATTCTCTGCATAATAATTGTTTACATTTTCATTTCCTATTTCATTACTATTACAGTATAAATTATCCAACTTTTCTTGATAGTTGTTATTAGTCTCTGCTCCAATAAACATTACATAATCATCACTCTCGTTATAGATAGAAGAGCCATTTTGTGAAAACTCATTTGTATATGCATTTTTCCTTATTTGGAGTATTTTATCTAATAATACAGAAATCGCTGATGTGTAGCAATTAAACTTTTTATAAATAACAAATGCTTCTTCTCTCAGCTTATAATCATATGCAACAGATGCAATTTGTGGCCCTGAAAAATTATCAAGTCGGTTAATATATTCCATTACTTTTTTAGAATCTGATTTTATTGCAGTAAGGATTAGAAGATTTTGCAAATTTTTATTATCACTAAAATCACTATTATGCAAAACAATTTTTTCTAAGAGCTCAATTAATTCGTTGCTTAATTTTTTTTCAATAAAAGCTTTAACTGTTATGGTAATTTCATCTGCATTGTTCGATTCTATTAAAGTAGAGCCGATAACTTGATCTATAACATTTTTTCTATATTTATTAGATTCATCTAAAACCATTTTCCACAATTCCATGGATTGTCTTGATATTAAATACTTTGCCTGTAATTTAAACAAGCCATTTTTGCTTGTAATGTTAATAAGCTCCTCGTCACATTCTCCGTTTGATTTTTCATATACAGTATAAGCTAAATGGGGATCCAAGTCTTCGCAATATTTTCCTATCAATTTTTTATTATAAAAATTGTTATTTTTTAAAAAGTTTTCTGGATCTTTATTCAAATCAATATATATTTTTGCTAAAGCATTGTGTAATTCGATATTCTCATAACCTTCATTGGACCTACTTTCCAACCAAGGTAACAACAATTTTAGTCTATTCCTCTTTTCAGCTATTTCGATTAAATTTCCAATATTAGAAATATTTTTTATATTATTTAACAAATTGAGAAGAAAATCTTCTGAAGCATCCAGATCTAGTAAAACACCAATAACTTTGTGTGCATTATTTGGATTTACCTTTATAACATAAACTTCGATATATTTTAATAAACTGTTTTTATATAAATACTCTGCCAATTCTTCTATATAATTATGTATATCACAAACATATATTAGTGGACGTGGATCGGACAGCTTGCAATCTTTTAAAAAATTTTTAATTTGTTCAGGATTATATTTTGCATTTTTATCTTTGCATATCCTATCTAATTCTTGAATGTTATTTATCTTAACACAAGCTTCAATATATTTAAACATAATAAAATGAACATCTTCAATTTTCAGATTGGACGAATTTTCCGTGGTACTGTACTGTGATCCGATTTCAGATGCCAGTAAAATTGACGAAGTATCATCATTCATCTTGTACATTAATTGATCCGATGATTTATTCGTTAAGTTTGGTAAATGGCTCAAAATAGAACTAACAAAATAGAAAATTCCTTCATAATTTTTGTTTTCCTCAAATTTATTAATAATTTTTTTGATGCCTATTTTGTTATAATATTGAACACATATTGAAATAACAACCTCCATATTTATTTTATTCCCTTTCATAAAATCGAATAATATATCTTGACATGCCGAATCACTTAAGGTCGAAAAATATTTTTTAATCCATTCAATAGAAATTCCTCCGTTGATGACAGAACTATCCATATTCTGATTCATATTTGTGTTTTTTTGAAGACAAGGAGATTTCGTAATAACTCTTTTTATATCATTTAAATTAGTGTAATTTTCTAATGCTCTTTGAAATAGTCCCTTTTCTTCACATAAATATGCTATTCTATTTTTGTCGTAGTGAGTAAATATATCCATTTGGAATAGTGTTTCTGCTACTTGCACATTGTTATATAAATTAAATTCAAATAATTTTGTTTGCAAATTTGTATGTTCTGGTTTATTATCTTTTAAATAATCTAACAATATGGATGTTGCTTCCTGTAATTTTTTTTTACTCAATAAATAATCAATGATGTTATTAATATCAAATGAAATGTTATTTTCACATAAAAATTTTATATACTGAACTCCAACTTCGCTGTTATTACCTTTTCCTTGTCTACCATCATTCGTATTATTATTACCATCATTAAAAAAATCCATTGCTTCATTCTTTGACGAGTTACTCATATCACTAATGCCTGAACTCATATCTTTCTCGTTACTACATGCGAATTCATAATTTACTATGTTAATAAATATACCCACAAAATCGAAATTAACATGCTTGAAATTGTTTAAGTAACTTAACACATTGTTAAACATGTTCAGAAGACAGTAGGAGGAAATTACTTTGTTGTGCGCACTACATCGTAGGTAAATATTAAGTGCTAGTCGTAAATCCAACACTTTAATTAAATCTCCCAATTCTTCTGAACATGTTAATTTATCATCTTTTATCCATTTTTCTAAATATTCCTTCTTTTTTTGCAAAACAACAGGTTTTACCAATTCGACAGATTCATACGTATTCAATTTATCATAATCTAACAGTACTGAAAAGTAAAGAAGTAGAGGCGATAACTGTCCTGATGCATTTTTAAATGATTTGAAACTGTTTAACACTTGTTGTGTTCGCAATGGTGGAATAACTCTAATATCTACATTTTTTTTATTCATCATTAAAATTGCTTCTGCAATCGACGTTGAATATTCTTCATAAATTTTTGTATTCTTCAATAGACATATAATTTTTGCTGCCTTTTTAAAATCCATTTCGTTGATACATTTCTTGTACGCACTTATGTAATCACATCCTGGATAACCATATTTTACACACAAATTTTTTATAATTTTCTCCTTTACATCTATATTTGATAGTTTTAAATAATTTATTAAATTCAGATAATTAATTGTAATAAAATAAATTTTACCTTTTTTATTTACTGCATAAATTCCTTCACCATTTTTGCTATCACAACATATGAAAATGTTATCTTCACTAATTTTCTCTTTAACAATTTGGGTTAATGTGCCTTCATCAAATATGTAAACATAACTACATTTCGTAACAATATATATTACCCCTTGTAATGTATTTAAACTGATGTATATAGGAAAATCATTCAAATGTTCATTGATTAAATTAATTTCTTTCACAATTTTGTATGGTGTGCCACTACCCTCTGTTTTATTTGCATTTATATCCATTAAATGTAACCTTGATATAGTTGAATTTTTCTTTCTTTCAATAAAACAAAAAAGTGGTTTTATATCCCAATTATCAAATATAAATGATCCAAAACATCCTATAAACCCTTCAATAGTTTGATGTAATTTTTTTTCACAAGAATAAAGTTGCATATATCCATCTATACTTTTCCCCTGATCTTGTGTAGATATTCCACATAATATACACCATTTCATATCCTTATCAGTTGCATAGTATAATATTTGTGAATTGTTATCTATGAACACTTGTGCCTTTTCAAAAACTTTTGTTAAAGTGTAATTTTCTTTATGTCTTTTACTATTGTGAACATCTATTGTCCAATGATATACATTCCTTTCACAGATTATTGCAATCGTGTCATTATTTATCCATTTCCAATAACTCATATACTCATTTAAATTCAAGGAGCATATTTTTTCCTTAGTTTCAATATTAAAAACTTGTAAAAATATAGTATTCACATTTTTTATTGTGCCCCTTAAAGCTAAAATAGGATCATGCGGATGAATAATAACACTTTCTGCTTTCATATATTTACGTGTGCTTACTTTACTATGCAAGTTGATAACTACTACTTGGGTATTCTCATTTACATTTTCTTTAACGCATATAAATTTATCTCCTTCGATTGATACATTACCTAGGCGAAAGGATTCATTTTGAATATCATACGTGGACAGACTATCTGCAAGTGCGACAGATAATGGGTTGCTCTGATTCATTATTTCACAAAATTTGTGTGTGTGTTTTTTTTTTTTTTTTTTTTTTTTTTTTGTATATAATGTGTAATGTATTAGGTATGTAAGCTTAAGCAAAAAAATATTTCAATGAGAAAAGGGTAATCTGCATGTATTTTTCACTGTAAAGAGCATTAGAGTTCGTCTTAACAATATCACAAAACTAGAAATGGGAATGGAGCTAATAAGTTATGCAAGAGTAAACAGGTTAAATAAGCGGCACGGGAAAAACACTAAAAGTAAGCGAATTCGGGTAACAACCCTAAAATTTATATCACTATCAAGATATGAAAAAAATGCAGAAAATACAGAGAACAAAGAATGTACAGAAAACATGTGTATTACATAAACATGTACATTTCAGCGTATACGTGGCTCATTTTTTTTCCTTTCTGAAATCCAAAAGTAAATTTCACAGGCATAAAAAAAAAATATGTATCCAAGCAAAAGTGCAAAAATTACACATAAGTGTACTTGCATTCTTCTTCATAATTCATTTTTAAACACTGCACACAACAAAACAGGGGAGAAAAAATAGAGCCGTGCAACCGTAAAAAAAAAAAAGGTTTTTAATATTTTAGTATAAACATTGCTGAATTATTTTTTTTGTTGATTTCATTACAACTTTAAAATCAGAATTTTATACATTGTGCAATGTGGCTGGCTTCTATCTTTTGCATATCGGAATGATTGTTAAAAAGAAAATTATCTCTTTATTAGTGTCCTTTTGCATTGACGATTCCTTACATTCATCGTTTATATTTTTTTTTTTTTTTTTTTTTTTGACATATGGGTAATAAGTAAGAGAAATAAGAGAATGAAAAAAGAAAAAAAAAAAAAAAATACAGCCTTGTGCAGGTTTTAACAGAATGCAAACGGAAGAGCAAAATTTATCCCTAAAAAAAAAAAGTGAAAACCTTAAAACACTTTTTAAAATATAATTCAAAGGAAAAAATACGTTCCCTTCAAATTGTGATCGTGGTGTACATTCAGCTGTTTATGTGTATACACATTCACATATACATTGTGCTCGAGTATGCTAAGTTTTACTACGCCATTATTATGCTTACGCCTCAGAGATAGCGGCTAATACATGATTTCCGATTTATTTCTGCTTTATTAGCTCCTCATTATCTGCTTCACATACTTATTCCCTTTTTTTTTTTTTTTTTTTTTTTGATTTCTCTGTTCGGTGCAAATTACCACATGTTTGCTTTGCCAACCCTGGCTTTATTCAACGAAACAAAAAAGATTTTTAATGTAAAAAAGGGGGGATCACGTTTTAATACTTGTTGTTGCTATTAGGAAATATAGTATGAATGAAAGGTATATATATATATAAATATATAGATATATATACGTATATATGATACGCATACACATTTCTCTTAAATGGATATTACTGGATTTATCATTGTACGTACATGCAATGTAAAAAAAAAAAAAAAAAAAAAAAAAAAAAAAACTACCAACAAGTAAAACCAAAGGGAACACATAATATTTTAAAATACACATTTAAGAACAATTAACAAAAGTAAAAAATTTTATTTTCAACATGGGCACTTGAAAGTTTTTAGTAAGAATAGATCTTTTATATACACCTTTTAAAAAAGTATCTCATTAAAAATAGTGTAAAAGGGGAAATAATAAAACTACATTAAGAAAAAATTTTCATATCTCGTTGGTTTTATACATAATCGGCTTTCCATTTTGTTCTGGATATGTGTGTACGTTAATTCTTTAGGTGTGTCTGTGCGTGTGCGTCTGTATGCACATATGTGTGAGAGAGAGAAATTTGAGCCCCGTTATATGCACGAGTAATAAGTTTTCCCCTTAGTGGACTAATTATGGAACTTGTGTAAAAACGAAGAGTTATCATATTTTTTAAACACGCCTTGAATTTTTATTCTAAATGGATAAAAAAAAATTATGGCAATAGAGATAGCAGTTGTGGTTTCATTGGGGGATAGAGAGGGGGAAGCACATAGTGTTCATAGTAAAAGCCACAATAACAGAAGAACATTTCATACTTTAAAGAAATTCTTCATTTTACTTGAAAAAAAAGAAAAAAAAAAGTTATAAAAATTGAAAATGAGCGGTAAGATCATACAAAATATACACATACAGAATAACACAAACGAGAAAAAGGAAGGTATTAATTTTAAAAGGAAAGAATTAATTTTATATGGATCGAAACCCTTTTAAAATACACAGTTTTAATTATACTAACATATTCTCCACAATTTTGAACGAGAGAAAGGATAAACAATGGGAATCCAAGATGATAGCTGCTGTAGAATGAAATGACGTGTACAAATTGGCAATGACAAAGAGCAGTAGGCAATTTTATACCATAAGAAAATTTATTAATAATTAAACATTTATCACTAGTAAAAAAAAAAAAAAAAAAAAAAAAAAAGAAAAAATAAATTAACTAAAAAAAAAAAAAAAAAAAAAAAAAAAAGGGAGAAATAGATTAACTAGAAAAAAAAAAAAAAAAAAAAAAAACAGTGGCGTCTTTTTCTCAAACACATTCATTATATAAACTCCTCGCAATAATAAGAGGAAAAACAAGTACCACATTCTTAATAATTTAACATTCTTATTTATTTACATCGCACCTAATTATTCAATATTAATTACTGGTTTATTCCGTCATTTTCTCTTCTGTTATTCTTGTATCTAGGTTATCCTTCTTTATGTCCACAATATTTATATTGGCTCTGATTTTTCCCTGGATTTTAAGCTCTTCCCCTATCTTCATTTCTGTAGTTAAAACATCAAGTGACCTCATATCAACGTTTAACTCTTTTCCTAGCGACATTTCATTAATTATACCTCCATTCATTTTGTCTTCTACTTTTATCTTTTCCCCAAAACATTGATTAAATGACACATTAGCACCCTCTGCATTTACATTATTTGGGATTGATTTTACTCCTTTTCCAATTCCTTTTTTTTCATCATTTCTATCACATTCTGTAGAAAGATCATGTGTGTCATTCTTGTCATTCTGGAGAATAATATGCTCATTTTCTATTTTGTTTATATCGGAAATTCCCCTTTTAATGAAATGTCTATTCTGTATATCCTGCATTAATTTATTCCTAAGTTGAAACATAGAACTCTTAGTGTTATCATTTTTCCTAACTGTACTTATGCAGCTTTTCAATCTGCTAATTTTAATGTTCTCATTTTTTTCATTTGATAAAATTTGTTTATTAGCTGATATCTCTTTATTCATCACACTGTCATTCTTAGAAATGAACGTACTTTTATTTTTTCTTTTACCAAAAATAGTGTAATATACATCTAATAAATTTTCATCATTTAACATTATAGAAAATTTTTTCGGATTTGCTAAAATATCCTTATAACATTTTGTAAAATTTTCAACAACAGATGATAATATAATAAAAATATTTTCTAAATTTCCACTTTTTGTCATATCTTCTCCTAAATAGGTACCTAATTCGTGTACACATTTCTTCGTTTCTTCATATCTCTTTTGAGAGTTTATATATTTTGTTTCACTATCTTGTAAAATATTTTTCATTTTTTCTTTAAAAATGTCTTCATAGGTACATTTTAATTGCGTTTTAACGTATGTAATTTCTTTATCCAATGATGCTAGTAAAATATCTACAGTTTCTGATGACATTTTCGACGCTATTAAAACTGAGCTTAAGTCACTTTCTAGGCAATTCATATTTAAATTTGGTAAGTATGTACAAAGACTAACAGTGATATAATGCAACGAAGTAATAGCATTGTCTAGTGAAGATTTAAATTCGGTCAATTTTAAAACAGAGGATAATGTAAACCCTAAGGCAACTAAATCTTCGTTGTCATTAACACCATAGTTAACATAATTACCCCACTTCAGAACTGCTTTTAATAAAGACCTTAATCTTACACTTGATCTTACTTCTTTTACAGCTTTGTTATACGTATCCAAATCTTTATTTATTTCATTTATCATCTTATCATATTTTAAGGAAAATAAGCAAATTTCAATTTTACACTGGCATTTATTTAAGTAGACAAAAGGAATTAATTTCCTTTCGACATCTCTAAAATTTTCTTCTTTCACATTTTCATGTTCTAACTTTTGTAAAATACCATCACTTTCTTCTTTTGTTGGTAAAATGTGTAACAATTTTTGTAAAAATTCTGCATTTATATTTTCAAGATCAAATATATTTATCTTATTAACAATTTCTTGAGTACTTATAGGAAACCGTAACAATATTCCAATATTCTGTGCCCGTGTTCTATCTAAAACGGTTATTAACTTTTCTTCATTACTTTTTTTCTTGGATTCTGTACTTTTTTTTATAATAGTTTTTTCTACTTTTACTCTTGCAAATAATTTATGAACAGCTTTAGTATCAATTATATTATACTTTGTTTCTTGACTTTTTATTTCATTAAAAACTGTTCCTTCAATTTTATGAGTTGGTAATAATTGCCAATGTAATTTAATTCCTAACGGTCTCTTTTCTTGTATTTTTCCACATTTCTTTAATCCAAGATTCATTGGACATTTTTTCATTCCCATTTTAGATTTTTCTCCCATCTTATTTTTATTTAACATAAATGGGGGAAGAGGTGGAGGTGGACCTGGAATTTTTTTTCCGACTTTTTTTGGAACAATTATTTTTGTGTTACATTCTTTTTTTGTATGTTCCTCCTTTTCCATTGTATCCGATTTTACTTTGGGAATCAAACTTTTCTGAAATACTGCTGGTAGTGGAGGAGGGGGTCTCTTTTCCTTCGTTTTTTTAAGGAGAGCATTAACGCCCGTCTTCTCCACTGTTCTAATTTCGCTAGCTGATTGTTTCATCATTTCATCTGAAATTTTATTTCCCATTTTGACATCTGCCTTTTGGTATACTGCATCATTCCTTTTTCCCTCCTGTGTCTCACTTTTTACAACTTTCTTCATTTCCACATTTTCTTCCATGATTCCTTTTGTATTCTCCCTTAACACAAGTTCCCCTTCCTTGACGATCTTTTCAACGTTTCTCTTTTGATGCACTACATTTTCATGTACTACCTTTTCACGCACCTGCACTATAGAATTTAGAGAGGGTTCTATGACGCAGGTAGAATACCTAGATGCAGCTGTCTTCTCACTCTCAGCACTCAAAGTTGAGTCAACACTGTTTTTTTTTGTGATCATATGGTCATACATTTTTTCCAAATTATTAATTAAACTATCCTTATGAACGACATTGTCTAGGGTTATGCCTTCATTTTTCTGAGCTTCCTCATTTAAATTTAAGCTACTCAATGAACGTACAAGTCGTTCTGAATCATCCATTGATTCAATGAACAATAAAGGAATACTGTCATATGTACCAGAATCATCTGTTTCTTTTATTTTTAATTTTATCAATTCACCACTAGGTAATTTTGCATAAAAAAAATGGTTCTCTTCAATTTTTTTTAATATATCATCGTTTTTACTAATATAATCTACCGGTTTAGATGGTTCCTCTTTTGCTACCATACTCTTTAAAAAACTTTCATTGTCCTCTATAATATTTTCTTTATAATAATCAACTTTTTCCTTTTCAATTTTTGTCAAATCTTTTTCTTCTATCCCTTTTTTAAAACCTACTTCTTCACCTCTCATTTCGTAGTAACTCTTGTTAATTTCTAATTTGGCAATTTTTATTCCATCAATGTTTGTTACCACTTCGGATTGGCCCTTGTTGTTTATTCTGTTCATCGCTTGTTCCTTGGGGTTGTGTTCATTCAGATATTTACTCAAGTGATTACTTCCATCCTTATTTGTGCCCTCATTTTTTACCTCATTTTTTGCCTTGTCCATCGAATTACTCGCATTATATGGGACCAAACAATCCAGCACAATGCTCTTCCCACTCTCGTTCAACTCAATTGTCTCTCTTAAAAATTGAGGAAAATTAATCTTCTTAGTTTTTTCCTTCGAATATTCTACATCTGTTTCCTCATTCGATACAATTTGCTCATTTTCCTTATTCAAATTTGCACTATCATCCATTTTTTCGTAATATTCTACATGTGTACAACTGACACTTGTGCTATCTAAATAATCGACATTTTTTGTTGACTCAATGAATGTTTTTATACTCGCATCACGAGGGGGAATTTGTTTAAATTCTTCTCTAAATTCAGGTAGTTCATTAAAATTTGATGAGTATCTAATGGAACTTTTATTTTTTAATATCTTAATTCCCCATATGGATACGATAAAATTTAAAGATTTACTTAAATCATTATTGCACAATTTTAAAGAGTAATAAATTTTTAAATTAGACAAATGGGTTATTTTTTTTAAATAATGCACTAAAGGCATATTCACTTTTAAAACGTGATTTTTAACAAAGTTGTACATACTTTCTGTTGGTCTCGTAATCACTTCATACTGTCTCTGTAAATAGTCTTTCAGAGAAATTAAATTTGAAAAAGATCTTTTGGACGATAATAAAGAGCATGCGTTTTGTTTTTTTACTAATGAATATTTGTCTTCCTTGTTTTTAAAACCAAAAAGGGACGTTAACAGTTGCGTTATGTTAGAAGCATTATATTTTATTTTAGGTTCCTTATCGTTGAAAATTGAGTGACTATTGTCATTTATCTTTGAATCGAAATTTATTTTTTTATTATTACTAATGTGTAAATTGTTCTTTTGATCTCTCTCTTCTGATAATTTGTACCCCATCTCTTCTCTCTCCTGTTTCCGTCTCGGTTTTGTTTCTCCCTTGTGATTGCGTATCTCGTCTGATTCTTCATTCTTCTCTTCGAAGTCCTCACACTCCTCTTCGAACTCCTCCTTACGATCATCTTCGAACTCCTCCTCACGATCATCTTCGCACTTCTCTTCACACTCCTCTGAGCACTCTCTTGCTTTTATCTCCCTCCTCATATTAGTCACCAATCTGTGTTTACCTTTTCGATTCCTCCATTCGTCTTTTCCTTCTTCGTTACCTTCACTATCTTGCGATTCTTTTTCTCTTTCCTTTCTCCTTCTTATCACTTTTCCTGTGCTTTTTTTCATTCCCTTAATGTGGAAACTCATCTCAGACTCTGAAATGGAATTTTCATATCCTCGATGATCATAACTAATAACATGCTTAGAATCATTAGATTCGAAAGATTTACTTTTTTCAAAAACTTTTAATGATTTCAAATCTTCGGTTTTGTTATGACTCTTTAAACTCTTTTTGTACGCTTTCATACAATCATTATTGCTAGCAGTATCTAAAATTATGGATAGTTTCATACCATCCGGAATGTAGCTTTCATAATTACTATTAATGTCCATATCATCTTTCCTTATATGAATAATTTCAGATGAGGATTTTTTTAAAAAACCAGTATGAAATGAATAAGAACTTGAAAATCCTTTATGAAATTTTTCTATATTTTTATGTCCAATTAGTATCAGAATATCCCCACATATAATGTGCTCTTTGGTATTCCCTTCAGCATCATGTGTGAAATCGATTGTTACATACTTTTTCTTATTTTTTTCATATGATGATACAATATTATAATTCAAGCTATTACATTTTAAAAAGTATTCATAACCAGATTTCGTGCATGTTCCTCCTTTATTTCCATCTTCCATTTTTGAGGAGTTTTTTTTTCTCTTTTTCCTTAAAAAGTCGTAAATTTTCTTTTCTTTTCTTTTCTTATCCTTCATATATTCTTCTTCATCTCCACCTTTTCTTCCTCCCCTTTTAGGTATATCACGAAAACGTTCCTTCATAATTGAGATATAATATTCACTCTCATTTACTGAATTGTTATTCTTCTTTTCACCAAATGATGTTTGTGATTTCGTTTTCTTAGTAGTACTTATTTTCCCTTTTGTAATTCCATTTTGTATATTACTCTTGAATGAAATTTCCTCATTTTTATACCTGTACATATGATCTGTTGATATTTTCTTTGGCGATTTTGATCTAAGCTGTCTGGACAAAATGTATTTATCACCATGTTGATTCCTGTTTTGTCTGTTGTAAATATTTTCACTGGGGATGCTGGGGGGATTATGATCCACATTTTTCTCTTCTCCCTCTTCTGGTTCGACATTGTGATTTAATACAAAATTTGGCGATTTTGATGGATTTCGATAATTTTCCTCAATTGGCGAATTTGATGTATTTTCCGCACTTGGCAAATTTGATGTATTTTCCGCACTTGGCGAATTTGATGTATTTGCCTCATTTGACGAATTTGATGAATTTAACGGATTTAATGAATTTTCCATATAAAACGTTTCAACTTTGCAGCTCCCACTGCCGGTATTTGAACTATTTCTTAAATTATAATTAGATGTTCTTCTCAACTTATTTTTTACTTCTATCTTTTTGTCTTGGGTCCTATCTATAAAAAAGATATCCTTTGCAGGTGCATTCTTAGACAAACTTAAATTCTCAAATGATTCACCTTCCCCATAAGGATCATTATTCATGTGTATTTTTCTACATAGGGGGTTATTTTCTGTACAAATTTTACTATTCGCTTTTTTAGCACTCCCTGTGTTATAAAGCTTGTTAATGAAATATTCAGTTTCATGTTTTCTATCCAAATACTGACTAGGATTGCATTCATTTAGGCTTCTTTGTTTCATTTTGAGTTCATAATGTTTTGATTTTCCATGAAGTGAAAAGTCACTCTGAAAAATTTCATCTTCACAGGTACTTTCCTCTCCAGATGCATTTTGCGCGTATTTTCTCCCATTCGATTCTTCAGGATCTGTGAATTTATTTAAACCTTCATCCGTGGATACTTCTTCCTCATGAGAATCATAATCTGACAAAACATCCAGGTGAAATTCCTGATTATCTTTGTAAATAATTTCATACACCTCTACCGAAAGGGAACACATGGCATAATCACTAAAAATAATGCTTTTTAATTTGAAAGGAATGTTTTCAACTTTTTTATTTTTATTTTTCATTAATTCATAAATATAAAAAAAATATCTTTTGTGCGAAGATTTCCAGTAATCAAATGGAATCCAAAAATGATGATCTTTTACTTTATTATTTTTATATGTTTCTCTATTTGTTAGATGAAATCCCCAAGAATTGGAAAATTTGGGTTTCTTTTTATTTAATGAATTTTTTATTTCATTATCAAATTCCCCACTTCTCCTGCTTAAATTTAATGTATGATATTGCATTTTATTAAACTCGTTTATGCCTTTATATCTGCTATATTCAGAATTGGGTAATGCCATATCACTTCTATTAAAAAGGATGTCATATGGTGCATAATCATTGATGTTGTAATTGTTAAAATTGTGGACATGTGTCGAATCCGATATTTCTCTTTTTTTTGTATGAACTTCTCCCTCATGAGCGTTATTTTTATGAATATTTTTGCGTTGAGAAATGTACTTCTCCTTTTCATAACTATGTCTATTTCTTCTACGTGTATTATTATTTGGATATATTTCGTTATTACCTTTTAGGATATAAGAATACTTTTTTTCCATCTCTTTGTTCGCTTGCATATAAGATGTGTCATCCGATTTTTCACAATTGGAATTATTTTCATATTTATTTCCAAAGTAATTTGAAGTGATATCTGCGTTGGTATTATCCTCTTCATTATCCTTATAACTGTTATTTATTTTTGACGATTTATAGAGAATTTCTTGAATTTGTGAAAAAGTTAATGTATTATCTATGACTAGCATGACACAAGAGAAAATTAACAAAATGAATGAACTAATTTTATGATAATTTATAATTGCGAAATTATCTTTTTTATTAAAATTAAGCCAAAAAAGGATTGAACTACAAATACTTAAAATGTATTTCAAATTTGGGAATTCCTTTTCGCCAAAACTGTAATCCATAATTTGTGAATCAAAGAAATTTTCATATTCTTGTTCTAGGGTTAAACTACTCCCATGTATATCCCATATTACATAAGATTGATAAAACATGGCATTAGGAGATTTTCCAAAAGTACTCAAATCATAATAACACTCATTTACTTTTATTAAATCTTTGTAATGAAAAAATTTGGGAATATTTTTTATGTCTACTTTTTTTAACAAATAATCTATATTTGCAAATACATTTTTGTTGTATAATTCTAATCCTTTGTAATAATAATTTATCGGGGGGTCATTCAAATATTCACTTGATATTCTTTCTAACACTTTTATATAATTTGACAAATGATACACATTGTTTATTTGTAATTCCACATTTTTTGGCAATCTCCATGGCTTTTTCATAACAAGTAATCTTTTCGATATTTGAAATAAATATGTGTTTGTGTATTTGTGCCTCATTTCATCAGGTACTAGAAGGTAATTAGTTAAATTTAATCCTGTTATTTGGTTGTACGTCATATCCCTTAGTCGATTTTTTTCTTGAGCTATGTTTTTATTGTGATTCTTGTTTAACTTTTTATTTTCCCTTCTTTTTTCAGACCCATAGGGAAACTTTTTTCCCTTCTCATTTTCAAAATTGTCGTATACGATTTTGTTCGTTTCGTTTATATTATCATCTGATATATCATTCAGGATGAAGTTTTGAAGGCACATCATGTTTTCATCATCCTCGTGAAAATTTTCATTGTTCCAAAGTCTTTCCTTTGTAATTCTCTTCTTTCTGTTCATAGAATCGATTCTTCTTGACTCGATTTCGCTAGAGCATGGATAATAATTTAAATTCTTCCCATATCTTCGCTCTTCATCCTTTTTTCCTTTTTCATTTTTTTTGTACCTCTGTTCTCTCTTTTTTGTTGTTCCTTTTTCGTTTCTTTCAAGTTGGTTTCTCATGCTAAAAGTTTTTCATATGCTTTTTTTTTTTTTTTTTTTTCTTGTGGAAAACTATCATCATAACAATTCATGTGATGGCGTATTGTTGAAAGCATTGAATTTTCAAATGGAAAACAGTTTGGTTGTTCGTCAATTCCGTTGTTCATTAGTCTTCTCCTCGTGTTCATTCTATGACATTACTAATTTTTAAATTTTGTTACTATGAAATGTATTTATTTTCATTTACTTTTTTTAATACACCCTCTCTTTTACACATTCTTTTTCATATACATTTCCTTTATTTTATTCTATTATTTTATTTTCCCCTTTTCCTTTGCTATGATTTTTGTGTGATACAAACTGTACCCCTTATATTAATCTTTGTCAACTCTCTCTCCTTTAAATTTTATTTATAATATTTCATCTGAACGTTTTTTTTCTTTTAATGTAAAAAAACATCTTTCTGGTTCTTCTTATTCAGTGGAGTTTCCTAATCGTGTAACACTGGGGGAAATCGGGCGTACTCATAAAAAATAGAACAGATATGTAATCTCGGGAAATTGTTGGCACATGCAGGCTTGGAAATGAATCCATATATACATGCATATATTTGGAGGAAAAACAAAACAACATTATTTTTAACCTAACACATTTACTATTTATTTAAATGTTATATATACATTGTGATTCAAGTAAAAGCTGATTTTTAATTTTAAGAAAGTATATTTTGTTTTTGGACATGCGTGTGAAATGGTTTACTGTCGGAAAATTTGGTAAGTTGGTGAGTGCCTTGAATAAAGAAACAAAAGGTGTTAAAAAAAAAAAAAAAAGACCACATAACAAAGGTACAAAATTAAATGAGGAGCATTAAAAAAACAAATGACAGAAACAAAGAAAAGAGTCGTAAAAACAATGCATAAATGCTTTTACACAAAATGTAATGTATCACAGAAATAAAATTACATATCAAAAAAAAAAAAAATGTAGGTGAATAAATGAATAAAACTCACAAAGCATGCTTATGAGAATAAAATTGCGATATAATTGTAACAGCTCTTTCCGTGTGTTTAAAAAAAAATAAAATAAATAAATAAAATAAAATAAAAGGTGTAATTCATAAGCAATAAGGAAATGAGCAAGCAAAAGGGACTAAGTAGATTAAACCGAATAAACAAAACAGATACGTAAATAACGTGTTAACTTTGGGATGGTACAAAATATCCCCTGAACAGAAAATAAAATGACAACTGTTAATTTGTGCATATTTTTTTAGCAAAACTTTTACAAAATCACAAATTAGAGATGTAATAACAAAGAGCAATGTTTTACAAGTGTATGAATGTATAAGCGTACATATGCATATATGAAAATGTGTGTCATATAATTGTCACATGCAAATTTTGAGTTTACTGTGACATGATAAACTGTTTCACATGGCATTAACATATATGTTTTTTACGAATAAAAACATAATACGTTTAATTTTTTATTTACTTTTATATTTACCTTTTTTTTTTTTTTTTTTTTTTTTTAAAAAGCAAATGACGTGATAAAAAGACGGAAAAAAGTATGGCTATGTAAGTTTATTTTTCCCCCTTTTGCACATACTTTATATTTATTCTTGTTATTGTTTCAAGGATGCTAAAACTGGCATAAATCAAGTTAAAAAATAAAAAAATAAGTAAATAAAAAGAAACAAAACAAAATAAAACATGAAGTAGAATTTTAATCACAAAATGATGAACACTGCATTTTTTTTTTTTTTTTTTTTTTTTTCATAACTGAAAAATGGTTAAAACTTTGAGAAAATTAATGCTACCAAGCACATCAACATTTAAAAAGGCATATTATCAACAAACCTTGAAAACAGCATGTAAATTACTTTTTTCCATATATATACATATACCCATCAATGAAAAGGCACAACAAGCTACAAATGAAAAAAAAAAAGAAGGAATAATTATACACAAATATTTACAAGTTAAAATGAGGGGAATTTTTATGTCTTTTTTTTATCACCTGCTTTTTTTTTTTCTTTTTTTTTTTTTTTATAATCATCGAGAAGTATAAATTTTACTAGAAATGAATGTGTGGGTGGAATTATGTGAGTTAACAACAATTCTGTTGAGCATTTTCAAAAAATGGTTATTTCATTATCTGCTATCTAATTGCTGCTATTTATTTGTTCCTATAATTTTTCTACGACTTATTTGCCAAGATTTATTTTTTTTTTAACGAACAAAAATGTAAATCAATGCAAGGTTGCCAGTAGTGAAAACGACCACCTCCTTTCCCACTTTATAGCCCAAACATGAACTAACACATTTTTAACGATATAAAACATACAATATATGAGATGTGGTGGAGGAGCAGGATTCATTTATTTTTAATTTAAAAAATATTAAAAAAGGAACAATGACAAAAAAAAATGGAGGGGGTAAAAAAAAAAAAAAAAAAAAAAAAAAAAGCTTCAACAATGCTCTCAAGTTATTATACATGTAAACATTTTAATGACCCTGTTTTATTTCGAATATTACTTGTGTCTAAGAGCAAGCAAAAGGATAATTTACATATATTGGGTGAACATACTTATCTTTTGGTCATACTAATGAAACGCAGACAGAATAACAGTTTTCCTCACTTTTTATTTACGTATACTTAAGTATACTTGCAAAGAACACACCTTCGCTTTTGTTTTATTTATACCTTTAAAAAAGAGAAGGGAGATTGTGTATTGTTCTGTTACGTTTTAACAAGGAGAAAATATATCAAAAATTAAAGGACTCTATAAAATATGGAAACATTTAAGTGGAGAAAGTTTTGCCAATTTTTGCTAATGTTTGTTAACGTTTGTTAACTTTTGTTAATGTTTGTAAATTTTTGTGAACTACTTTTTTATTTTTTTTGTTCTGTTCATAAGGAAAAAAAAAAAAAAAAAAAAAGAACCTTTAAAGTGGTTAATGCCATTTTTAATCACTCCATAAAATGGAATGTCCAAGAGAAATCACATATTTTGGCCAAAAGTAGTAGAAAAAAGGACATTCCCCGAAAATTGTGCATGGATGTATGTATAAAAATTTATAAATTTATTAAAGAAATTTATTATAAAACATTTTCCTTATGAATTAAAAACAATTCCTGAGTCACAACACTCTTGTGTTTAATTGACAAATAAGTATCCTTACAATGCATGTTGAACACATTTTAATAATTCTTTTGGTTTATCACCCACTGCTTTTAAAATTGCTTTTGATTTTATAACGTTACTCTCCTCTCTTAAGAAATAATGTTCGAAAGTGTAAATGGAAAAACTGTTGTGAGTGATAGAAAAAATACTTTTTTTTTATTTTGGAATATCATAACATATATGCTTGGCTTGGATTCGTTATGTTTTATGTTGTTTTATAAAATGTACCAAAAAAAGGTCTCTCTATTTTCACAATTTCTTTTATTTAGAGTTCTTTTATTATTTTTTTAGTGATGTTTTCCACAAATTCTTTTTTTATGACAATTTTTTTTTTTCTTCGAAACACCCACATAAGGAAGTAGGCACATTTAATGAAAAAGAAATAGCTTGACTTTTCACTTAAATGAATAATTGTGAAAGCATGTACAAATTGATACATGCATCAATCCATTCGCACGTTGTAGATTACAAGAATATATATACATATCAAAATGCATTTGGGTATAAACACCGATTTACACGTATATGCTCCGTTTGTAAGTATTTTACTCCAAATTATATCTATGCTCTATGGCTTATTTTTCCTTATGCCATGTGCTACAAAACTAAAATAAATGTACTAATAAAAAAAAAAAAAATCGATGATGAAATATATGAAATATGATTCATTTTTTGCTTCAACATTTGCATAAGAAAATAAAAAAATAGAGTCACCTTTTATAAGTCATGCAAAAGCATGAACTCATGTAATGCACAGGTTTAAACCTTATGCTTCTTAAATTTTTAAGAATTCTTGATTGTTACATTTGTTATACTGCATAAATGCTTTTAAGATAATTTTTTCCACTTTATGATGCCAGAATTTTTTTTTAAAGCGTATGCCATGTTTAAGGTAATTTCACAAACAAAATGCAAAAGCAGGCAATAAAAGTATGCACGAGTGTAAATCCATAAAAACATGAATCCATAAATATATAAATGCAATAAATATAAAAATATCATAAATATGTAAATACCATAAAATATGTAAGTACTATAAATATAAATGAGTTATTTTTACCCCCTATATATATAGCGATAAGGTTTACATATAATACATTAGCAACAAAGGTTAGTAACGACGGTGGGGTGCTATGGTATATGTACAAGCCAATTAAACCACAAAATATATTGTATGCAAATAACAGGAACTAAAATTAGAAAAAAAATTATTCAAGAAAGAAGAAACATAGATGTGTTAAGATAGATACAGACAGTGTGCTATACATTTTTTGAATGCGGATTATTAGAAGTATTTACGCCCTTTGCTTTTTCTACACTTATTCGAAAACTGGATGAAAAATTAGAAACTGTTTTTTTGACGCCCGTAGCGCTTCATTTTTGAATTTATGAAAAATAATAATAACAGTAATAATAACAATAGCAATAATAACAATAGCAATAATAACAATAGCAATAATAATAATAGTAATAATAACAATAGCAATAGTAACAATAACAGTAATATTAATAGTAATAGTAACAATAGTAAGAATAACAATAATATTAATAGTAACAGTAGTAAATTTTTTTTGTAAACTCGTACTAAAGTTCACAATACATAAGAACAGCAAATCTGTGTAAGTACTCGTAGTATAAGACAATTTCATGTGAATTTTGAAGTAACAAAATATAAGCATTTTTTATGGACAATCCGATTAAAGTTTCCAATTTTTCCAGGATCATTGAAAGTGTACTAAAGGAATATAAATAAAATATAGCAAAAAACTTTGAGTGTATAGGCGAAACGAAGAATAAGAATCTCATGCAATCTATAACCCTTGTATGGAATAGGAAGATATGAAAATGAAAAAAGAATTCAAGGAATACAATGAGAAATATTTTCGAAATATTCAATTTATTTACGATTTTTTGGAAAAAGTTGGAATGAAAAATAGTTTAGAGGTCCTGAAAAATGAAAGCAAAATAAATTACGTAAAGGAATATGACAAATATTTCTTAGAGAATTATACCAACTGCAACTCTGGTGATGAAGTGGATACATGTGATAACAACGCTGCAGAAAGTTTAAGCAATAACCGAAATGGCAACCTGAGTGATGCCCAAAGTGACAATTTAAGTGACGATTTAGAAATAGATCAAGATTTTTTTATTCATACAATTGACAAAATGAATAATTCAGTTTTATGCAAAGCCATAGATAGTTTCGAAAACACAGTAAAAAGTAGTAACAGCATTAACAAACAATTGAATGAAAATGAGAAAAAAGAAGATGTTTCTTATACACCAAAAGGCACCTTTTGCATAAACAGGGATATTTTTGCCGATTATAAAATAAGCCACACATCATTGCCTGGTGATAAAGATGTAATAACTAAAAATGAAAAACAAAGCGATGAATGTAATGAGGATATTATAAAAGATGACGACACAAATCAGGATTCAAAAGTAAACAGTTGTGAAAAAAGAGAAGAAATGTCAAAACCCCACAATGACAACGAAAATTGCAAAATTAAAGATGTATGCACTTTAAAAAAAATATCTGAAAATATGAAGGATATGTCAACAGTGACCAAAAGAAATTTCAAGTTTCCTCAATTAGGGAATGGTAATATACCAATAGGAATAAAAACCAAACTTGATTTAACACGATATGGAAAATCGAACTTTAAAGTCGTAGAAAATGCGCTAAAAAATAAGGAAAATATAGTCAAGGACAAAAGAAATATCAACATTTTCCCGTATAACTTTGAAGGAGAAAATGACACAGATTTATTTAATGAGAAAGGAAAATTATGTACCCTACATAGCGAAAAAAGTATATATCTTAACGGTGAAAGTTGTAAAAGTGGAATCACAAACGGTACTGTCGTCAAAGGTGGAAAGGACGAAGATAGCTGGGATAACTACTTCACATACGAAAGAGAAATATGTAAAGAATTAAAAGTTAAATATATGAGCAGCTCAACGAGAAAAAATGAAGAAAGTAACAGTGATGATAACTACATAGGATCAGCATCGAACATTCTAGTTCTTAAGTACATAGATATATACAACCTGGACACGTGCCAAAATATGAGATTTGAAAATATAATTTTTTTTAAAAATTTTTTCCCTATATTGGTGCTGGTAGGGCATGCAGATGGAAATGTGAAACTTCTTCTAATACTTTATGAAAAAAGTGATAATGAAAAAAACTCTGAAGAATGTATTCATATATGTAAAGAATTAGACCATTTATCTTTAAGTTCACCAATAATGTATATCGATATTAATTATAAAGACAATATATTCATTGTGTCAACCATGAATGGAGATATATATATATGCAAAATAAATATGAATAATCTTTCGATTTTAACAGAAAATGTTGAATTAAATCAGTCTATTGATGATATAAAAAATAATGTAAAAACAGATGAAAAATATATTAGTATAGTAAGAAACTTAACATACCATAATAAATATTCTATCAAGTGTGTATTTAATGAGGATTATTCCCTATTTTGCTCAATAGCAAATGACAAAAATTTAATTATTTATGAAAAGATTATATGTGAAAATGAATTATCTGTAATTTATGAAAAAAAAAAAGTTATAGGATTACCTGAAATACCAACAAGTGTGTTATGGGTTAAAGAAAATAATATCAAAGAAACGATAATTATTAGTATGCTGAACAGTAATAATATACTATGTATAAATAGCAAAACATATAATATAGAAAATAAAATATATTTATTCGATGAATTAGAAAAATATAACATCCTCAATTTAGAATATAATAAAATTAAAAATATATTAGTTATATGTACAGACACTTCCATAATATTTGTTTATTCATTTATTAAAAAGTCCATCATAAGAAAAATTTATGGGTGTGTTTTAAATTCTCTTTCTTTTCCAACCATAGAGGTTGATATCAATGGAAATAATATTTACATTACATCTGATGATAAGGCTAATGGTACTCATATTTTAATTTTTGACATAAAAAGCGGAAACATTATAGATGTTATAAATAACGGTTATAAAATTAGATGCTTTCAATTATTAAAAAGTTATATTTGCCCATTTTCCAGTGAAACGAATTCAAACAATATTGAAGAGAATAAAAAATCTTTGCTTATATTAGGATCCTTTGATAAGAAAATACACTTCTATTCTAACTGAAAATGGATTTACATTTTTTTTTTTTTTTTTTTTTTTCTTTACCCCAACTAATATGATATATTCTATGCATTGGTAAGATACCTCCGTTAGAACCGTTGCCTTCCTTCACAGTGGTACACTATACTTACCATGCACCAGCTTATTCCAGAAAAGTGAACATAGATAGGGAAGGGGAGGGAGGAGTCATTATTGTGTCCCTTTGGAAATTTACACTGTTGAATGAACGAATATAACTCGTTTAATTTTGAAAAGTGTCTTCTTTGATATATATATATAATCCTATGCACTATTGTATATAATACGTTTTATTCTATTTTTTGGGCATGTCCCACAGTTTAGTCGAACCATTTTTCTCCCGTCGAACACATTCCGAAAGTACATATAATTACTTTTTCATTTCAGATCCTTTTTTCTTTTTTTTTTGTTCTTGTGATCCTTTGTATAGTCTAACAATTTTTTTTTAATTTTTTAAAGTACAAATGTTATAGCAATGTTTTGAAAAAAAAATAAAAATAAAAAAAAAAAAATGAAACAATTATTATCATCACAATGAATTTATTCTTTAATTCGAGCTCTAATTATTAATTAAATGAATTATTCCAAATATTTTAATGTATTAACGAAAATGGAAAAAATCGTTAATCTAAAAATTGTTGCTTTTGTTACATTTTGTAGAGGACAAATATGAGCTATACATTTTGTCTATATTTGCGTATTTTTTTTTTTTTTATTTTCTTCATTGATGCTTGTTTTGTCTGACTGTACATACATATATTGCCATGGATTATAAAAAAAAAAAAAAAAAAATTATGAATTAGTAGTATAGCATTATCAATTTAGATGGCATAAAAAGTGTGCAAATAAGTTGGTTATAGGAGTAAATGAAATTCAAAATAATTCCTCATAACTTAAGAGCATGTACATGGTTGCGAAAACTGTTTCAAATGTAACAATGAAGTGTATGATAAACGAGAAACATATAAATGTGTTAATGTAGGAATGTCAAAATATACAAACGTAGAAGTATTTGAGCACACAAATGTATAAGCACACATGTATAGAATTTCAAGTAGAGAATTAACAATTTTGTTCGTCCTTTTTTAGTGTAAATTAAGGTCTTCTCGATACTGTCCTTTTTTTTTATCCCTTTTATACGTTCTATTTTTTATAACCTGTTGGCATATTTGTCATTCTTTAGCCCAATCTATACGGTTTATTTTTATTTTTTTTTTTTAATCTATAGATGTTTCAGGGTTATTAACGCTTTTTTCAAACCGTTTATTAGACATACTTATTCCAACCCTTATAGGCATTTTTCATTTATCATAACGTGCATTCTGTCTATTTGTGTTCCGCCCTTTTGTACTCCTTCAACTCATACTAACTTTATTACACTTAAAAGAGAGTCCCCCAGTGGAACAAACAAAAATACATTTATACATTTACAAGAATAAAATGCTATTTCACTCTTCGAAAGCATGGTGGCTAATTTTGTTATATTATTATTTTAAAATACAAATTAAGTGCCACCTAGATGGCCTGAAACCTCCAGAATGTGACGTGTCCATTGATACGGCAATTTGTATTAATAATGGAAAAAAAATATTGTTACCCGAAGCAAAACCATATGGTGATATTTATTTATTTTTTTTTTTTTTTTTTTTTTTTGCATTTTATCAATCATTTTCATCCCGTTTATTACTCAACTGTTCATGTCTCTCCTCATTTCAAAAAAAACACGTGTGTGTAAAAAAGTTGTGAAGTTATACACTTTGAAAAAGGGTACACATGGGTGTGTATAGCCATACGTAGACATATTTTTGTCCCTACTCCAATATGTAATAACACTATACCACTACATCCCATAGGCATTTCTACTCACATAAACTTCGACGGTTTGTTACCAGTAGATGCTACTGGTAACAGGAACCATGCTGTCGGAAATTTTTTTGCGTCCACTGGATTTGGGGGCATAGGAAATTCTTCTCTGTTTCGAAAAAATTATATTTACATTCCACACTCTGATGAGTATTTTAAAACGGTTGATTTTTCATACACCTTTTTTATCTACTTACTGATGGACGAAATTTCGATGTACGAAATTGAATAGACCAAATTTTTCGTCTCCAAAAAGGGACAATGTAACATGTGCTAATGTGTCATTATTTGAAATGGTATATTACATGAATTCATATTTACCTACATATATGAGCATATTAATATACATACCATTTAATTTTTAAGAAAAAATAACATGGAAGAAACGTTTTGCCCCGTAATCCATAAGGTATTTTCTTACAAGTGTGGTACATTTTTTTTTTTTTTTTTTTTTTTTTACATGGCATTATTTTCTATCAATTTAGAGAACCGTATTATTTGCCATTCATCTTTCATGTAGGGTATCATAAAAGACAAAATCCAGGAGTCTTCCCCAGCTATATTAATAAATGCAAAAGTACAGAAGATGAATTACAATTAAGAAATGAAAAAAAAATTTACGTTTACAATATATTTTTAGAGCATCTATTTGCCTCATTCGAGGATTCACAAGATATGTAAATGTTGTCCTTGTGCGTTCTCACATAAACATTATGTATTAAAAATTTGACGGACCGATTTCACTCCTCTAACGAATAAAAAAATCATTTGTTATTTTTTTTTTTTTTCGTAGAACGGAAGAATAAAAATTGTTTTGAGCACCTCCTCTAGCATTAATTCATGTAATTGCAATATGAAACAGTTAAATAATTTTATCTTAAACTGATTCTACTCATGTTGTTATAGTTGTAAAAATGATTATACATCTCTCTCTATTCCACTTGTATTCTTTTTCCTCTTTTCACAATTTAATATGTATAACCATTTGCTTATTTGAAAAAAGCCCATTCGTATATTTAAATATATTTTTTATGTGCAAACATAAAACGATGATGTTCGAGAGCTTATATACTGAGTTTAGCGTAGTCATATGAGTTTACAACTAAATTTGTTTTCCTTTGACAGCTGGTGAAGAGTTTTTGAGCAATTTCAAATTAAGGCACCATCAATGGTACCATATTGCAGGTATAGCCTCGGGCAAAATATATACAATGAAAAGATACAGCATATTTTTTAAAACTTAAATACTTATGCATATATACATATGTGTATACATTTTTTTATTTTTTTCTTCTTATACATGTTATACCAGTTGTCAGACATATTAATTACGTAAGACTCTTTGTAAACGGAATTTTGGACTCAAGTTTTTTAACCGAAGGTTGCGCATGCACTTTGTGTATACTTTGTGTACATGCATATACATGTATACACTAATGAAATGTTCCTACTTTTACTACTTACCCAAATTAGTACATATAATGAGATATTCTAATATACATATGGATTTTTTCTATCCACCCCATGGAAACAGTACCGTGCAATTCTATAACAATTTTTCTATTTCCATTTCAGGAATAACAAAAACGAATGATTTTCCCATATATATAGGAGGGGCACCTTATTCAGTAGATGTTTGTGATTTCCCCTTTTTACTTGATGAATTAAAAATTTATAATTTAAGCATTGGAGTTGATCATATCCAAAGTGAAGCATCATCAACTCTGAATGGAATAGAACCATCTTTTATATATTTCGGCTGTTTTCATTGTGATATTAATAATGCTATTTTGTCTTGTCCTAATAATTATCATTTATGCAATAAGGTAGAATTATATATTGGTGTTTATAATGTTATGAGGAAGTTTTCACTAAATATAAATAATGTCATATTGCCATTTTCACCAGAAAATCATATGGGCATAGGCTTATGTTGTGCCGATATGTAAAACGTAATTATGATACCACTGAATTGGTGTGAGTTTTAATTTACTGTATAGAAACAATTAAATATCCTTCGTTTTCTACCCAATTCTTTCATATATGGGTTCACACATTCAAGGGAAAGATATTTATGCTTACGCAATGAGAAACACACATATATGTGTGCACGTGTACATATATATATATATATATATATATATATATATATATATATATATATATATATATATATATATATATACATACATTGCTTTTGAGTCCTGTATTTTTCCCGCACAATTTTTGTTCTAATTGAAATTATAACATTTTTCTCTTCATTTACAACTGCGCTTTTCATTTTTTTTTTTTTTTTTTTCTATTATTTTATAATAATTGTTAACTTTTTCTTTGCGAGATGTATATGCGCACATGTATAAATTTTTTTTTTTTTTTTTCTTCCCATTCTCATAATAATTGTGCTAATGCTTTCCTATTTATCATTCCTTTTACACACTTATACGCTTATGCTTTCTCAATTTTCCATTTTGTCGACAATTAAAATTTATTCTCCATAAATATTGTTTATTTATTTGAAGCAAATTTGTTTAGAGCACTATATATATATATTTTGCCTGACGCGATAAAAGAAAAACAGAAAAAAAAAAAAAAAAAAAAAACATTAGTGCGGTAAAAAAGGAAACATTCTATCTTATGACCAACGATATGCAAGGCAAAATTGCTAATGAATATAAGTGCACAAATGTGTATACATGTTACAGAAGTAAATGTATGCTTTATTTACATCGCAAACTATGCGAATGTAGCTATTACACGATATTCTAACGTTGTCTTATGACTAAGAATATGCATATAATAAGTTAGGTAAGCACTTTGGAGATATTACAAATAATATAGTTAGGGGAGTTTGACAGGGGAAAATATATGAAATTGTAAAAATATTTCACCTATAATAAGTTAACAAGGTATGTGCGTAACACATATAATCATGTACTAATAAGATTTATTAGCTTTTCCCAAAATTCCACTCTTGTGTTTATGTATCCAACTTGTTCATTTTTATAATAAAAAAAAAAAAAAAAAAAAAAAATAGTATGAATAAAAACAAAAATATCAGCGCCGCAATTAATAAGAAAATTCAAGAGCGAGCTCAGGAGGGGCGAAAGAATGACAAAAAGGTACACAATGAAGTACACAAGTTGATAAATAAAGAAATAATACTGGATTATAACACTAATGAAAAGGTGAATGTTAAATTTATTTTAAGTAAATATTTAAATATAATAACTTATTTGACAAAGGAAAATATAAATTTAAAAAAAATCTTAGAAAAAATTAAGTTGGAAAATAATAAAAAGGAAAGTATAATTATTAAATATGAACATGAGTTGAGATCAAAAAATGACATTATCCAAAAACTAATCAATACATCTGGAACAGCTACTTCTGAAGTAGATTTAAGTGCATTACATGCTTCAGCTGAGCAAGTACAAGAAAGTAGCTCTATCATCCAACAAGACATAGAAGTATTGAAAGCAGACAATGCGTCTTCTCCAAGCTTGAAAAGAGCAAATCATTATTCCCACGATGGGGACATTTATCAAAAGAGGTTTCCCTCATTCAGTTGCACATTTGCAGATACACAGAATGAAGAGAAATGCGAAGGTTTCACAAAAAATAATTCACCACAGACGAGTGAAATCAACGTCCCTAATAATTGTGCGGGAAAAGGGAGAAGCAATGGGAAAACGAAAACTTTACTCCAGGAAAATGTTGGTAATATTCCTTATGACGAAATGAAAAAAAATAAACATGATGAGAAAAAATCCTTAACAAGCTCAAACAATTGTGGGAATGATTTAATATGGAATAAAAAAAAAAGCAAAAATGAAATTCCAATATTTATTTCAAAGGATATAAATTTATATTCACTCAAAAATTGTAAATCAAAAGATAATGATAAATGTATTGACGAACTGAATTGTCTCATACACAGTGCTCCTACTGCTGATAACATTAATGGTGTTAAAATTGTTCAGTATGAAGGGAAAATTGAAAAAATTGAAAAATATCATAAACAATGTGAAGAAGATTATAAAAATATATATATCCGAAGTGCTCATATTATTGATAAATCAAGCAGCTTAAATATTCAAAGAGAAATGAACATATCTCAAAATGTCATACTTGAAGAAACGAAAATTGTGAATTCTCCACCTTTCGTGTGTGAAAGTTTGCAAAAAATGAAAAGTCTGCCTATCTCAGAAAATATCGTTGATGATGAAGAAAATATGGATAAAAAATATATTAAAATGGACGTGTTATTAATGAGAGAAAACAATGGGGAAACGGACTATAAGAAGGGTAAGGAGGAAAAAATGAAGAAAGAGAATCTCAGTCATTTGCATGCAAGTGGTCCTGACAAGAACAAGCATGCAGGAAATATAATTGACAATGAAATTTTGCAAAGCGATAGTGAGAAAGTGGTAGGTCACGATACTTTCGTCCCTAAAATAAGTGCTGCCATAGTGGACAACTCACACGAAAATCGTAATATAATGAATTCCAATTCCTTCGAAAAGAAAAGTGCGGACAATGATCTGGAGGATGACAATTTTGAAGACTTGGAAAATATTATGTCTACTATATTGAAACTTAGAAAAAAGGGGTAAATAAAAGGTATACAAGGGAGTCAGGTAAATACTTTTTAAGGCTTCTTCACCAGCCATTCCTTCATATATGCGTGTGTATATATATACATGCGTACATACCTATAAATTTGTATACATAGATATATACATACCCAGATGTATACATATTTTTAGTTCCCCGAAAAACCTTTCCACCAATTGTTATAGGACGCCTCGTTTTATGTACCACAAAGGTGATGAACCGATGTTTAATAAATGGTGGCACTCACAAGTTTAAATATGAACATACACATACCATCATACACATTCCTAGTGATGAACATTTTAGTGTCGTTACATGAATAGAACTTCCCCTTTACAAACGGAAGAACAAGGGTAAATGCGACACCCACGAAGTGGCAACATTTTGTTGCAAGAGGTATTGTTGCACAAGTATATAAAAAGGAGATGTGAAACACATTTCATGCTTTGTTAATTTTATTTTCATATTTGTTCATGAAAATTACAATGGAAAAAGTGTCATTATTTCATTCTAAATGTGAAATGAGCACATATTTGCTCATGTATATATATATATATATATACATTTGAACTTTTTTATCCACATGGCGTAGTCACTTTTACTCAATTCCCTCTCTATGGGAATTTTTGTGCAAATGGACGATTATTTTTTGATTTGTGAAAAAAAAAAAAAAAAAAAAAAAAAAAAATAGTTTTAAATATTTTTTCAATCAAATGTTAGTTACATTTTTGGCAAATGATATCTCCATTATTTTTATTTTTTAACGAACTTGTTTGTAAATTACATTTCCTTTTTAATTTCGTGTTTTAATTTGTTTTTTTTTATTTATTTTTTTCATATGTTTATTTATCTTTTTTTCTCGTGTTATCCTGGCTACGACACCTCGAGCACACAAATTTAAAATTAATGCTTACAGAGATAGATTCATCTTAACAGAAAATTTATAACCAAAATATATTATTTTGTAATATATGTTGATCTTAAAACTATTTTTTTACACGTTTTGACGGAGAACGCGTTGGTTTTTTTTCTTTTTTTCTTTTTAACAGCTAATTGAAAACAAAACTTTGGTATTAGTAAAATGGATTGCCTAATAAAGAAGGTTAAGAAAGTGTTCCAGCATTCGATTCAGAAATGTTTCCCATCGATTAACGAAGAAGCAGTTGTTACTTACTCCAATGCAAAATTCGGCCATTTTCAATGTAATCACATAAATACGTATTATATATATATATATATATAAGCGTTTACATGAACGCTTGCGCGTCTGTACTTGTAACTCATTCACGTTTGCATTTATGAATTGATGAGGGGACACTAAATTCATCGCATCCAGCTCTTCATACATACCGTCTTTATTAGTTTACACATTGGGGAATACATTTTCCTTGATCTGTTAACACATACATTTTTGTATATCACCCAATTGCACTTTTTTTCATTCATCCAGCAAGTGTAAATAGTATGTATATGTAATTGCGCATGTATTAATAGGTGTTTATGAAGCTTGTGATTATTGTTGCTGAACAGGTTTGAAGCGTTGAATGGCTAGAGTTATATCTTTTCTTTTTTGCATTCTCATGAAATGAAATAAAAAAAAAAAAAAAAAAAATTAGAAAGCTGATATATTAAAATATCATTTCATAGACACTTGAATAATTTCTGTTACATGCACACTTCTTCACGATTGATAACCATGCATTGTCCAATTTCTCAGGTAACAATGGCTTAAACATTTACAAGAAGTATGGAAAAGAACTGAATATAGAAAATGCACAAAAGTTATCGCAGATGATAATTGAAAACATAAGTGAGAATTTCTTCGATGAAATTAATTCATCTCCGCAAGGTTTTATAACAGTAAAATTGTCAAAAGAGTATATAGAAAAATCTTTGCTGAAGTTGTATAAAAATAACAAAATTGATATAAGCATAAATATAAATGAAGTGAAAGATGATAATGTAAAATATGAAAATGTGTTGGTAGATTTTTCATCTCCTAATATAGCAAAAGAAATGCATGTTGGACATTTAAGATCAACAATATTGGGGGATAGCATATGTAGAATTTTTGAATTTTTAAATGTTCATACTCTAAGAGTTAATCATCTTGGGGATTGGGGAACGCAGTTTGGTATGATCATAAATTATATAATTTCCAATCATCCAAATTTTAAAGAGAATATGCCAGAATTAAACAATTTGACTACCTTATATCAAGCGTCTAAAAATCTGTATGACTCAGATAAAGAATTTCAAAAGAATTCGAAACATTATGCAATAAAATTACAAAATTCTGATGAAGATTGCTTATTTATATGGAAAAAGATATGTGAAAGTAGTATCAAAGAATTCGGGAGATTATATGATATATTAGAAGTTAAAATAGAACATTTTGGAGAATCAAATTATATCAGTATGATACCAGCAGCTATAGAAATGTTAAAAGAAAAGAACATGTTAACAAATATTGGAGATGCTATATGTTACAAATCAGAAAATTTTAATGTTCCTTTATTTTTACAAAAATCGAATGGTGGATATGGTTACGATTCAACAGATGTGGCATCAATACATTATAGATTAAAAAAATTAAATGCTGACTGTCTCATTTATGTTACGGATAATGGACAATTAACGCATTTTGAAACCCTATTCGAGGTAGCTAGAAGGGCAAATTGGGCTACTGAGAAAACGAAATTTGTTCACGTTGGATTTGGTCTTGTCCTAAATACAGATAATAAAAAATTCAAAACCAGGAGCGGCACAAATGTAAAGTTGATTAATCTTATCAACGAGGGTACCGAGCGAGCAAAGAAGGACTTGTTAGAGAGGATTCAGTCAAAGAGCGAGGAGGAAAAGAATTACTTCAAAGGTGAGAAAAAAATAAGATAAATAGAACAAAAATAGGACTAAAATAGGACTAAAATAGGACTAAAATAGAACAAAAATAGAACAAAAATAGAGTAAAAATTGAATAATAGCTCAAATAAAACTATCAGCATAATGAAATGTATGAAATTTTAAGATAACGACGCAGGCCTAAGGCACCTTACACACTGCAGCCATTTGCATTTTGTTACATTTTCGTTCTCTAATATGGCACATTATAAAATGACAACAGTTTTTCTCTAAAATGAGCTATTTATGTGTAACTTGTAACTACAATAAATTGTTTTTCATTGTTAAACTGTGTTATATTATTTAATTCCTTTATTAACCCACACGTCATTTTTGTAGGAATAGATATAGACCAGCTAAGTGAAGCTCTATGTACTAGCGCCATCAAGTACTTCGACCTCAAGCAGCATAGAAATACGGATTATAAGTTTTCATATGATAGTATGCTAAGCATGAAAGGTATATAAGAAAAGGTGAAATTCAAATAATACACATGGTAATTCCTTGCATTCGAGCAGATTTTGCCTTTACATTTTTGTTACATTATAATAACACTTTTACTACTGCAGGAAACACGGGGTTGTATATTATATATGCTTATTCAAGAATATGTTCCATTTTTAGAAAGTGCAATGTAAATATGGACGAATTGCCAAAAGGTATATTTTCACAAAATGGACACAGAGCTCGTAATACATGAATATACTTATATTGCGCAACTTTTGTGTTATTTATTTATTTTATTTTTTTTTTTTTTACTATATTCTTTTTATTCCTTTCTCCTTTACTTCATTCGCAGACGAGTTAAATTTAAGTAGCCCTTATGAATTAAATCTAGGACTTCATATTTTAAAATTTCCTGACATTTTTTATTTTATTTTAAAGAATATGCTAATTCATAAGTAAAATAATGAAAAGAAAAAGGGGCCATAAAATGCTTCTATACACAATTTGAAGAAAATATATAAAAAAAAAAAAAAATGCTTGCATATGTTTAGCATATATAAAACACCTAATTGAATAACGTTTTTATGAGGGATAATGTAGTATATTTTTTTTTTTTTTTATCCTTCACATGTTAAGGTAATAATGCTACGTTAATTTATATATATATGTGGTTCTCCTTTTCTATTATTCACACAGGCTGGCCGAGTTTACCTACGATTTAACTACAATATTTACAGCATTCTATGAAAATTGTAAAGTCATAAATAGTGAAAACGAGAAAACAAGGCTAATTTTATGTGCTATAACAAAATCCTTATTACAAGTAATTGAAAAAAGGAAGCACATAAGCATATATACATATATATACTAATTTGAAATGTGCTGTGTAAAAGCAAACCTCACAGCTGAATCATCCTGTGCAAGTCTCATATATACTTACACATTATAAATGTATAAATCGTACGAAAAAAAATTCCTTCATTTATTTTTTAACTTTTGTTTACGATGTGCAGATTTGTCTGGGATTGCTAGGAATGAAGGCAATAGAAAAATTATAAAGGGAAAAAGTAAAGAACAAAATTTAAAAGTACAAACTGGGATAAAATAAATGGATAATTTGAATAAAAATAGTTCACGAAGCTTGAATTTGTATAATTAATGGATATTATAGTAACCCTTTTTTTAGTTGTTAACGAAATTGTGTACCATTTTTTTAACTTTTTAACAGAATATTACCACTTTTTATTGTTAATTTATAACATATGTATTATTTTCTACAGTATGTAAAATTAAAATTATTATTTTTACGAAATAGTAATATTCTTAATGGTATTAGACATATATACCTCCTTTCTTATTTCTTCAACTTTTTCGAACAGTAGAAATGAGAAAACAAAATTCTGTACATGCATAAAATGAAAAATTAAAATTTTTTAAAATAGAGAAAAAATAAGTATATAAAAAAAAAAAAAATAAATAAATAATTGTAACGTATACTTCATGAAATGGACGGTTTCGATATTAAGTCAATTTTTTACATATAAATGTTGTTTTTTCATTATTATTTTATTTTATCTTGCTTATTATTTTTTTTTTTTTTTTTTACTTTTTATTTTTTTACCTAATTTCGAAGAAAAAGTCTCTAACATTTGTTCACAGAAACGATTAACCCCTAAATAAAAGAATGATTTCATTTTTTCACAAGAATTAAAGGGGCGCGTGAAAACGCCCGACTTTTTTACTTCTTGTGATAATAGAATGTATATATATATATATAATATATGAATTATTTTTTGTATGCAACAAGTGCAGTATACAACTGGTGCGATAATAGTACCATAAGGTTATACGCGTATGTATTTATTTTATATGGTATATATTATATATACATAAATTTACGAAAGGCATGTTCTTCCATGTATATATATATATATATATAATATGACAAAATACGCATATATGAATGCAAAACAGAAGGAAACAATTACACAATTTTTCCTCTACCATTTATGAGAGAGAAGTGTATGGCTTCGTAAATTTTTAAGCGTGCAGAATGATGAAAAATGAATTGTAATTTTTTTCTTAATTTTTTAATTTTCAAAAGATATTATTGCATACTATACATATTCTTTTTTATTGAATATTTGTTATAATGTTTTATTTTGACACCAAAATTGCTTTCATTCTGTGTTCATGATATGTCAACATATTTTTCCATTTTAACGTGATGAAGGATATTATTATATAGGAATAAGTCGTATATTTCGCGAAGCAGTTTTTTTCAAGTGCATATTGAAATTTATTTGCATACATAGATTCCCCTTTTTTGTATTTGACTAAATGTATGGTAAGCATAACTATCTACCAAAAGTGGGGGCATGCATATTCGTATGTTTGGTAGTTTGCTTGTTAATATAAGAATATATGTGTATATGCGCATATGTACATTTATAATATATGGCGTAAGAAAGGACCTTTTTGGAACTTAACCCGTCGTTTCTGCGTTTATCTCTCCACAGTATATCTTTTCTTTGCATTTTTTCTAAATTTATGTATTCATATGATAAAATTATCATATTCTGTGAAGTTTATCTATAAATGTATTTGCAAACAACGTTTTTTTTTTGTATTTATTCAATAATTTTTCAAATAAAGTTTTATCTTTTTTTTTTTTTCTTTGAACCGGAAAAGAGGAATTGTATATTTTTTGTTTTTGTGTAAACTGTTTTTGTAGAGTTCGTGGACATCTATATATACATATATATATATATATATATATATATATATATATATATATATATATATATATATATAGATGTACTTTTTAAACTTGTTTTTTTTAACATTTAGCCGTTATATTGGACAAATGAAGACACACACACATGAACATAATATGTTTAGGCTCACATACGTGTACACCTTTTGCATGTATATTTTTTATATATAAAAGGGATTTTTTGCTTATTTTCATTTCTCCTGTATATTCCGTGCCCCCACCCATTACGTTCACTCTTCTCTTCTCTTCTCATCTTTTTTTTTTTTTTTTTTTTTCATCTTGTTTTTGTAACACATTGTTTTTGATTTTTTGCACTCCCCGCCTCTTACCTTATTTGTTAGAAAAAGGAGAAAAAGATGGAGTATGGAAATGGGGGAGACAAGATATTCGACTTGAATTCAATAAGTCGAGAGAAATTGGAACTGGTGGAAGTTTTTTATGATAAAATGAAGGATACAACCAATGCAAATGCTTTATATTTATACGCTTTGCAAATATTTAAAATCTGTAACATACATAATGAATTGCCTCGATTAGTAGTGTTTGGTCAACAGTCTATGGGGAAAACTACGCTTTTAGATTTTATTATGGGAGGACCCATGGGGTATACTAGTTCAGATACAGGAACAAAACAACCAATTGTTATTATATTAAAACCAAGTGATACAAACAAAATAGAGTGTTTTTTAAATAAGAAAAAAGTAAGCATTGATGATTTACATGAAAAAATGAAGGCCATTATGGTAAATTTAAATGAATCCATTATTCCGAAAGAATTAGAAGTGGAAATCTCCATACCAGGTGGTATTTACGCTACCTTTGTAGACTTGCCAGGAATAAAAGATGATTCAAAGGCTGGTTCAGAATTAACAAGAAAAATTGTTCGTAATTATGTGCAAAATTTTCCGAATGATATTTACATTCTAGTGAAGAAGGCATCAGACGATCCTGCCAATTGGCCTTATCATCTAAGAGAGTTTTTTATGAAACCAAAACCCATGGGTAAGTAATTTCACATGTGTTTTCTACACTATAGTGCGTTCTTCAGTGAGTACTGTTGCCTTTATTTTATTTTATTTTTTCCCATTGTTTCTTTTTGCTTTATTTTTCCGGAACAATGTTTTATTACATATCTATCTAATTTCATCGGCATGGAAAATCCTTCATACGCAAAAAAAAAAAAAAAAAAAATTTGTTTATCAACCACCATTTGCGTTGGCATTCACATGCAAATCTATTTATATCAACTTCTCAGGTTTGGGGCTCCAAAATAAACAGTGTATTGTTGTTGGAACGAGGGCGTTAGAATTTTTGAACAACGAATTGAGTACAATTAAAACATTGACAGAATTATACGATAGGGTTAAAAAGAGGGGTATTATGGATCATAACGATAACATTTTATCGCTATATTTATTAGAACTATTCTCCATACCAATTGAACAGAAGGAAAAAAATGATTTCCTAACCAATCGAATTTCTATGTATTCCAAGATATTAAATGGAAGAAAAAATGTGTTAGATTTACTATTAAATAAATTTGAAAATGATTGCAATGATTCCATTAAGAAAGAATTACTAGATTGTTTTGATGTAGAAAAATTTAAACAAGAAGTGAATAGCAAATTTATGAATATCCTAATACAACAATTACGTAAAGTGGAGGTAAAATTAGAAAAAAAAAAATCCAAGATGGATTTTTATAATAAAAAATTAGAAGAGTTATATAATAAGGGTAATATATTAAGTATAAGAGAACAAGTCAAATTATATATACGTGAATTAGTTAATATCATATCGAACTTATTAACAGGAAATTACCCTATTTTGAATTTGCCAAACAATGGGGAAGATTTTTTAAAAAAATATGGTGGAACTTTAATGGAAAATTTAAAAGATGGAAATGAATTAGCCATTGAATTATTTGAAAAGCAGGGATTATATGACGAAAAATTTCTTAATTATTTAAATGAATATTTATATAAATATGCAAATGAAAATGATTTAAATAAATCAATGTCATCTGAATTTAATTATAACATAAATAATGGATTAAAAAATTTAAACAACAGTTTGGATGATGATGATAGCAGTAATAACATAAATAAAAGAACGGATACATACGATACTTTAAATGATATGGAAAAAAAGAATTTTGATAATAATACACCTGCATTGGTTGGAGGACAACCAGTACGATTTATTTTAGCCAAAGAGGAGAGTAGCATGTTTGGGATTGTTCAAAATACACCAACAGATGCAAAAAGTAAAAATATATTAGTCAGCTTTTATTTTCGAAACAGTAATACAGAAGAACAAGTACAAATTAAATCTGTTGAGAAGGATAGATTAACAGTAATTAAAGCAGTGGAAACGTTAAATGGTGATCCTTCTTTTCTAAACGGATTACAAGTTTGGTACAAAATGGTAAGAGATGATGGATGGGTTGGATTCGATAAGGCAGAAATTATTAAGGTGTTTAATAATAATAGCAAAATTAAAGATGTACTTATAAGAAATTTGTCAAAAAATGATGAAGTCATATCCATAAAAATTAATGATTTATACATGGATTATGTAATTGATGAAAATAAAGAAAATGAAGAAAATGAAGAAATGAAAGAAAATGAGGAGGATGAAGATATACTTAAAAGAATTGCAGGACCACATACCGATTTAAAAATACTAAATCAGCTAGCCATTACATATATTTGCAAATGGCTCAAATATAATATTGCAAAAATAGAACCTGAAAAAGATTTCTCAGATGAAGTATTACTACAAATGATGAGAAGTATTCACAATATCGTTGATCAAAGTGATTGGAAACCATTAGTAGTTGATCTTCTTCAAGCAAATATAAGTGGAAACATTTTACATTTAACAAAATTAGCTAGTTGCTCAGCAGCTGTAGCATTAAATAGAGTATTCAAAGCTGGTTTAGGAGAAATTAATAGAAAAATTAAAAATAACTACATGGATGAAAATATATATCTCTTAAGCACAAATCCGAAATTTCTTGACGAATTAAATCAAGCATTACATAATTTCTGTAAAGAAAGAGCAATTAGTTGCGCGAGCGAAATGAAAGACATTGTTTTTGAACAAACATATGCAGTGCATTTTGAAATCATAGAAGAAATATTTGATGGATGTAAACTTTTTGAAGATAATTTCCTCACACCCAGCGGCGTGAAACCAACAATGTCCATAATTACAAAAAATGTCAAACAAAATCTAGCATACAGAAATCATCAGTTATCATTAACAGATATTAAAATTAATAAAAAATCAAAATCAAAGGAACTAATACAAGAAGAGGTGAAGTTGCAGTTCTGGGCCATAAAAATGCTCATATCCGTACCTTTTGCAACGAAAATTTATGCCCATTTTTTAAATAACATTTTACCAAAAAATAAACATTTAGCGAATGTTCTGGATTATTCTATTGACTGCGAGAGCATTTTGGAAAAATATATTCAAAGCAAGCTCCTCAATAGGGAAATAAATGGTAAAAATTTGAAACAGTGATATACTGTGAATCGGCCGCAGTAGCAAAAATGTGCATGCCACACCCAGGCCCCCCAAAAAAAAAAAAAAAATACCAGTTTTTATTACCATCTATGCAGCCACACACATACACATATATATATGTATATATTATCTGCATTATTTATTTTACAACTTTTGTTCTATCTTCTTCACAAGTGATTAGATGTTACTTCTGATCCACATCCTACCAACATCGTTCCAACATTTTTTTTTTTTTTTTTTGTTAATTTAGGTGTCCTAGTCCCAATAGACGACAAGGAGTTAATGTCACACTACAACATCATCGATAACAGAGATAACATTTTGAGAAAACTTGAAAACCAAAAGAGACTGAACCAATACTTTACTATTGTTTCAAATTCGATCAAATTACTAAAAAATAATGTAATCCGAAAGAGGAAAAATCATTTTACAAATGTGTTTTTATTTTTATACTTGTTTTTCGACTTTTATGACATTCCTTTGATATGCTTTTCCTGATACATTTTTTTGTGCATTCATTTTTTGTAAATAAAATATGCAAAAAAATATTGTAATTTGCTTACCCCCGAATAATTCATCTATCTTTTTTCCCCCATTTTTCAGTTATCCAAGGAAAGCACACTTGACTTTGTAACCAAATTAGATTTTGGCCAAGAAAATAAAAAAAATTGGCATCGATTAGGTACATGAAAGAAATATTCATAATTTAAATTTTATCCTATTTCCCCATGTCCCCACATGATAATTTAATATAAGACAATTTTACAAAACGCCTTTTCGTTTTTCTATACATAACATTGGCGTACCTAACATTGCTGCTTTTAATTTTGCCACATTTAACTTTTCCACTTTTAACTTTGCTTTTTTTTCAGATTCCTATGAAGATTGACATTCCCCTGAATATTTAACAACCCGATTTAGCTCATATATATATATATTTTTTTTTTGTTGTCTGCTTTTTTACTCAAGCGTCCGTGCAAGATATATTATTATTATACATTTTCACTTTTTTTTTGTTTTCATTAACTTTTTTTAATTCCGCGTGGATGCATATATATAATAGACCTTTGTTTTCGTGTACATTTTACACACAGCATAAGTTTATCCGTACTTTATATCTGTACGTGTGAAGTTATGCATAGAATACCTACGTACACATGCACACCAAATGTATATATATGACGCAACAGGATTATAATTAAAAAAAAAAAATGATAAAATTAAAATGTTTTTAAATTCGGAATGTCACAGAAATAATTGCTCACGTTTTTTTATATGTCGCTATTTCATAAAATTAATGTTTATATTTTATGTTAATTTTTTTACATTTACGTTGGAAATTTTCTCGTAAACCCGTTATGCATATTACACACCTTATAAATGCTGTAATACTGCTTATATTAATATACATATTTATATGCGTTGTTACTTATACGTACTTGTTTTCATGCCACTTCATAATTAAGAACCATTATATGTCTGCACCACGACAGGGTGTAGTACATATGCAAATGTGGAATTAACACATTTCGAATTTGTTAATCTCCCACCTCCTACTATAAGACTTAAATTTTTTCTATCAAAATTAAAAGGCACAGCACACAGCCAAATTATTTTTACATTTTTAGGATGTTGCAGTTTTTACGCAGACTGATGAAGGATAAGTGCAAAAGCTCTTTTATATTACCAATTTTTATAAAAATGGTGTTTTAAATTTTTATTTTATTCTATTATTTATTCATTCATTTATGTTTATTTATTTATTCGTTTATATGTTTATTTACTTATTCGTTTATATGTTTATTTATTTATTCGTATATATGTTTATTTATTTATTCATTTGTATGTTTATTTATTTATTCATTTCTTATCTATTTTTATTTTTATTTTATTATTTTTTTTTCGTTCCTCACCCCCTATATATTTATAACTGAGAGAAAAAAAATAATATACAAAATATGTTCACACAAATATTGGAAAAAAAAAAAATATAAAAAACTTGTTTTTCCTTCAGTTCAAAAACGTTATTTGCCATAATGATATCGTTCATAGCTTTTCTTTTCTTTTTTCATCCTTTTCTCTATTTAGTCTTTTTTCATATGTTGCTTTGAAAGAAAAATGCATTAGCAGTGATATTTATACATTTTTTACATACGAAATAAATATTCATCCAATGAACTCACTTTTTCTTGGAAATGTTTGATTTACAGATTAAACCTTTTTTACCATGTTATGTAAAAAAACTTATAAATTGTAAATCATCACATACACGCATACATGGCTTGTAATGAATGAATCAAAAAAAAAAAAAAAAAAAACGAATGCAAACAAGAATGCAAAAACAATGTATCTGTCAAGAAATTGGTAAGGTTTTTTTAATTTTACCAATTAAGCGCTTGTATATTTTTCATAAATTTGCATTTTTATATCGAATATGTGCAATTCTATTTTATTTATAACAATACACTAGGACATATATCATAATATACATTTAATAAGAGTATGCAGAAAAAGAAAGTTTTAAATTTTATCTCATTTTTTTATGAGTAACCTTTTTTTTTTTTTTTTTTTTTTTTTTGATTATTTTTTTATTTAAAATGTCCGCCACATGTAGTACATGGTATGGAATATTTTATGGCACATGTTCGTATACCATTTTCATTTACCCAGCAATGCCTTATCTATGCAATCAATTTCAACCGAGTTCTTCAGTTATGAATTACAAACATGTTCCTTTGCCCGTTTTCATAGATCCTTAAACATTTGGATGATACATTTATATATATAATATAAACTTTCGAGAATTTTTTATGTACTCATGAACATGTTCATTTAACAGTTTCTGGATTTTTTCATTTATCCTTCTATCTGAGTATATTTGTTTATCCCTTTTATTATGATTTTAACCCCGCATCATTTCACCACTCATCATCCATTTGCGCTCTTACCCAAGAAAGAATATACACTTTGATTCATCTTATATTCTTTGTTGCTGATAAATGGGGGTAGGATATAAAGTAACCTAAACTATATATATACATCGTGCTGCGTGTATTCATACTTAATAAATATACATATACATATACATATTCACACAAATACAAATCAAATATATGCATAGATTCCATGACTTTGCAAAAATATTTTTTTTTTTTTTTTTTTTTTTTTTTTATAGTAAATTTTAAAAATGTTCTACTTTTTCTATTTACTTTGCCTTTAAAGTTAAATCCCATGTAGAATTTTATTCCGAATCACGTCAAGTCTAGTAATAACATGATAAAAGAGATCGCATACAGACAGTTATACTTATGCATATATGCATGCGTATACATGTAAATAACTTTAACTAGATAGAACATCCTTTTCAGCTTGGTAAATAGAAAATCTAAAACAGAATATATATTATTTTCATTTCTCATATATATTAATTTTAATTCTTATTGCACATCGAAGTTCACGTTCACCCATCCACCCCCTTAGGGCCCTAACCCAGAAAAGGTGCATTTCCATGATCATTGATGCCATCACAACTTTGTGTATATGTGCCCAGTTTTTGTACTAATTTGTAATTCAAGAAATTGTATACACGCAATTATTTTCATACATAAGCGCACGTTGTGTGCATTGGTACGTCACTGAAGTGGTGTAACACACCAAAGGATTATTTATGATGAAGTCTCTCACACAGAATAACAAGAAAAAGGAAGAAGTTAATAATTATGATGATATGAATACAAAAAGTTCAACTGTTAATGGCATCAATATAAACGATATAAACATAAATGATATAGAAGAAAATGTAAGTGATCATAATAATGAAAGAAAAGTTAAAAAAAACGGGAAAGCTATCGAGTATTATTTATATGATGTGGAGGCTTATAATGGCAATAATAACACGACAATAGAAAGTTTCGTAGATTTAAGTTCTATAAGATCCAATTATTTATCTGAGAATAGGAAAAAAAAAGCTAAGAAAAAAAAAAGCAGTTATATAAAAAAACAGTTAAAAATTTATAAAAAAAAATATAAAATATTACCAGAACACAACATTGATCAAGATACGAGTTATGAAGAATCAGTGAAAAATGAAAATAGAGATTATAAAATATATGATCTGAAAGAGATAAAAACAGATAAAGGAACGAATGACTTTAGATCACATATACGTAAAGATACTATCGGTATAAAAAAGAATGTTTTTATAAATGTAACCAAATTTATTATCCTAGTTTCCTCAATTTTCTCATTTGGTACCTTCAGTACAACTATAACGAAGTATATCATATTCGTAAAAAAGTTTAATTATACACAAATTGTAACACTTCTTGAATTTCTAATCATGTACCTAATTCTCAGATTAGTAAGAAAAAAAAAAAAAAATACAAAAATAGTTGCCCCTCACATAGGTGGAGATAGGGTGAACTTGTATATATAATAAGGACAAGTTTTATGTGGATATTTTTACAAAGGGTGCTTAACACACTGAGATACAGAATACATGGAGATACACCCAATGCATATGCATACACATATGAACATAAATGTACATGTGTTTAACTATATACACATATATCTTACAATAGATTCTTACCAAGTTTTCTTTCCCCTTCATGTAATTATTTTTATGGTGTATTTACTATTAGGTAATTTTCTGTAGCAAAATAAAAAGTTCAACAAATTTAACGAGGAAGGAATATATAAAATATATCATTTCAAGTAAGAAATTTTTTTTTTTTTTATTGTCGAAGTGCTTCTGTCTTCGAGTATTTACCTTAACCACACTATTTTATCACACATATGTGTATAACCGTTTATTCATCAATTTATTTATGAATGCTTGTACAATCACCACCTCCACCGCACCATCGAATATATTCCCCCATTCTTCCTCATAGTTTCAGCCCTACTAGGACTCAGTGTTGTAACAGGCAATAGCGCCTACTCCTATTTAGAAATTCCTGTAATTTCAGTCATTAAATCGAGTTCTCTAATATTGATATACTTCTTATCAATCAAATTTGGTAATTCTCGTCTTTTTTTTTTTTTTTTTTTACAAGAATTGACACATTAACTTTTTGCAAGAGAAAACGTTTTTTCCCCATAAACCCACATATGCATTATATATACATGTATATATACATATATATGCTTTTTCCACATTTTCCTAATTTTCATAGGTTTGAAGGAATTTAAGTGTTCTTTGCTTTGTTCAATTGTTAGTGGAAGTAGAGAATATGCACACGCATAACTTCATGTGTAGCAATGCATGCGTGCGTACATGTAGACGCATGTATATATATATATATATATATATATTTAATGTATAGGAAAAATTAGTTGTCATACAATATTAAAAACCTATTCACCTTTTTAACACATTCTCAGCTTACAATTTTGATGGGGGTAATTATGAGCATCACAACATTGAAGATAGATAGCTTGTTTGGGTAAAATAAAATAAAAAAAAAAATAAAATAAGTGAAACAAAAATAGTCGAAGCCAAATAATGAAGAAATATAGTATCTTTTTGGACCAAATTTCACTTTACTTATTATATATGTTTTTTCCCATTTTATTATATATTCATTATTTATTTTTATTTTTTTTTTTTTTAGTATATTCCTTTTACTAATATCTGTCATTACCTCATCCCTTAAGTGGGTTTTTACTAATGTTTTGTTAAGATCAACATCTATGAAACCGCACATCATTTTGTTACACATATATCAAATGGCCATCTTTATCATACGTAAGGATATGCATAAATATTTAATATGCTTGTACATTTTAATGCTATTTTATAATGAGCTACTCCGGCACACCGTATAAGAATGAGTATATCCACATGTATATATATATATATATATATATATATATATAAAATGCCAAATTTTTATTCATATTCTTTATAGTTATACCCACACTTTTGATCGATATGACTTGTATTATTAAAGGTGAATATAACCAAATTAGAATTCTGATATATTTTTTTGGTTTCAGAAATAAGATTTATATTTATCTGATATTTTAGAGATATGTGTATAATAAATAATACCCTTTTGTACATGCATGGGAATGCACATTTTTAAATATTCTATCTTTTGACTTTTTTTTTTTTTTTTTTTTAGATTATAATAGTAGCCTTTTAACAATTGATCAAATATTGTCAGCGCTAGTACTGGTGGTCATTGGTGCAATAAGCAGCATATTTTTAATTCTGGCGGAGTTTTCATTAATATGTAAAATTAGTGAAATACACAAATAAATAAATAAATAAATAAATAAATAAATATATATATATATTATACGTATAGACATGCAAGCATGATGTTATGAAAATCGGGAGTATTTATAGTAGAATACATAGAAAAGCACAGGGTGCATACGAGAAATGTGGGCATATAAAAATGTTCATTTTTTATGATATACATGCATAATGACCTTTTTTTTTTTTCTTTTTTCCCCTTTTTTCATCACAGCCTTCACCTCGTCCGTAACACTGAGTATAGTCTTTATAGGAAGAGAAGCAATCCTTTTGATTATTGGATCGGTAAGTACACACGAATGTTTAAACAGTAGCATGCACGTGTGCTTGTGACCAAGTGGTTTATTTTATTATTTTTTTTTTTTTTTTTGCATTCATTTATGTTCTATCCTTAACTGAACGTTTTACATTACCAAATATATACATGCGCAAATATATATACGTACGCATATCTGCATACACCTTTCCCCTTACTCGCATATACCCTTTCTTTAGCTATTTTTTGGTGAAAACGTTAATTTTAGTTCATCTATTGGTATAGCAATTTCGATGATTGGTACCATTCTCTATGGATATGCATCAAAGTGATGATCATGATTCTCACAATATTACTACAGCATTTACTACCAACCTATGTACATGTTCCTGCATGCCTAAACACACACACAACCTGCGCATATTCATGATTAAAAAACACGCCACATTTATATTAATTTTTTTTTTTTTTTCAATTCGAGCTTATATTGTTTTAGTAATTAGTATCACATGTTCTTATATACAAAACAAAACGAAGTAATAAAAACATTCGTTCAAACATTTTCTACATTTTCCCCCACTCACATACATGCACACACACACAAAAAAAAAAGAAAAAAAAAAGCTTTACATAAACATGAAATGTTTTTTTTTTTTTTTTTTTTTTTTTTTTATTTTTAATGCTTTTTTATATGTTACCCTTTTTTTTTTTTTTTTTTTTTGTTAATTTTTTTCAACTAAAATGTTAATATTAAAAACATATAAAAAAAAAGAGAAGACAGTTTTAAGAAAATTTATCAAAAAAACAAGTCTTGTAAATATGCTAATCAACATGTTTATTTCTACATAAATATATTGTTACGCTTAAAAGTGTTGGCTTTATATATATATTTACTCATAATAATACAAAACAAACAACATTTCCAAAGTGTGTAAATAATGTACCAAAGTGTTTTACATACACATATATGCGAAGAGGTAAAAAGAATGGCAGAGGAGAAGTAACTTACAAAAAGTTCTAGATATATACCCACAAAATGCGTGGAGAAATAGGTAAGTCTTGGTGTGTGTATGGTTTCATTTGGGTAATATTAATTATCAATAATACTCTTCGTATAAGACAGGTAGTAATAATCACATTGAAAAGTGCAGAAGCAACGAATGAAAAGGTGTGTGCAAAAATATGTAAAAAAATACATGTATACATCAGCACATATGTGTGTAATCAAGCCTGCATACAAACGCATAATAATACGAACACGCACACAAATATATTTGCATGTGTACATTTGTACATATGTAATATATATATATATATATATATATGCGTCATTGGTAAAAGCGGTGAACTTTTATAAATGTAGAATTCTTTGAAGGAAAATATGTAAGGGATGCACTAGGATCCAATTTGGATTAAACAAAGGAAGGTGTGGTATATTAACGGGACGATAGATCCCCTTCATAGTTGTGCAGTAGATTCGGCTGATTTAAAATTGCACATACAAGAGTAGGTGTATATATATAAATGCACATATATGTGCGTATGTCACTTCCTCATCCACCATAGGTGGTAAAGCAAAAGGGAGTGACCAACGTAAATAATACTCGCTCATTTGCGTAAAAATGTTATGTATACTTAAAAAAAAATTATAATATAAAATAAAAATAAAAAAAAATTGTTTCATTTGTACTGGTATATGCCAGACTCCGTTAAATACTTAATCCACTTAATAATTTTATAATTTGACTTTTCAAAAACTTTAAGATATTTGATATACATACCACTTGACGTAAACATAGGAATTTTAAAACTTAATGTTATAGGCATTTTGTACGCATTTAAAAATTTAACAGTGTTCATATTTTTAACTTTGTGCACTTGTAATACTACCTTTGATAAGTCATCTACCTTTTGTGTGTTGTTCATGTTGGAATAAATTTGGTTTTGATTTTCTAACGTTAAGCATATTTTAATGCTGTGTTCACTAGAACTTGAAAATTTCTTAATTCTCCATGTAACGATTCCTTCAATATTATTAAATTCTGTTTTTCCAGTTGATTTATATTTAACTTCTACATTTTCGGAAAATTTATATATTGGTATTTTTATAACAACATCTGTAGCATACATACTTCCTTTATAATTGGATTTTATAGTAACTGCGTATTCATATCTGTTTGTATTTTTATACTCACCATATATACTCTTATTATTATTTGTTAACTTTTTTAACGAAAATTTTTTTTCTGACGATTTGGAATATTGAAGTATAGGGTTGTAAATGGCTATAATATGAAACGGTATTTGTATATTTTTAGTAATTGTATATTTCATTAATTCAAATGCGCCATCCGGAGGAGTAAATGTAATAAGTTTACTATTTTCATATTTGGAAAGTGTAACACAATGGTGAAAAATACAATTATCAACAATGATGTCATCCCCTTCATTTTCTTCATTTGTGCCTTTCCTTTTGCTGTTCCCTTGATTGGATTTTCCCTTTGTGATATTTTTGGAACTACTATTAGTGGTATTTATATTATTGTGATTATTTCCACCAATAGCATTATTAACATTATTTAGCAAGTTAACTTTGTTATTTGTGCTCAATTCACATATTGGCATACCTGATAGGAAACATTTTAATGTTACCTTTCCATTAATATGTGCATATATTAAATTATTACTATTTATTGTTACATTTAATATTTCTAGTATGTCTATATATACTTCATTTTTTTTATAATGTATATTGTTATTTCTCCAGGTGCAATTCCCAGTTATGTAGTTGAAGTTATTTGCTGGTTTATTATTATTAATAATTTTATTTTTAATTCGGTTCAATGTTTCTTTCCCTATGTATTTTAATTTGTTTTTTTCATTTAATTCATAACTATTTGTATTCTTTAAGTTGCTTTTTTTATAAGAATCTTTACTATTTCTTTTATTATATTTCATATGTACTCCTTCATTTTGATTTTGCATATTTGTATCATGTACAATATCTTCAATGACACAATTTGGATTTCGTAATTCATTTGATAATTTTTGGAAATATTTAGATGTTCTACTATAGTATTTTACTTTATTTAACAAGCTGTTTTTTAAAATATTTACTTCTAACGTTTGTGGATATCCATAATCAATTATTTCATCACATATTTCGTATATAAGAACAAAATTATTGACTATATTTATTCCTGATATTTCATTATTGAAAAAATAATTTAATATTTCAATAAATTTATATATAAAATTAAAAATCAAACATACATTGGAGTTACTTTTTGTCAAAACGGTTATAACAATTTCATTTATATTCACGTTAATAAAAAAGACATTATTTATTTCTATTATCGGGTGTTCAAAAAATCTCTTCGTTTTAATATATTTATTTATATAATGATTTAGGTCATTCTTTTTAGTTACATTTCGATAATTTCTCTGTATTAGCAATTGCCCATTTATAAAAAATATGTACAAAGCATCTATCATCTTTCATTTACACATTTGGCTTTAAGTATTCTTTTTCCAGTTGGTGTGGTGTTACCTATAATTTTTGTGTATCATCTATTTCGGCCTCAATTTTGACCTCAATTTTGACCTCAATTTTGGCTTCAATTTCGGTCTCCACTTTGGCTTTATTTCTTCTTTTTTTTTTTTTTTTGTTTGAGGTTAATATCTCGACTATTTTCATTAATTCAGATAAACTGTGTGGGCATGCAAAATTCGCAACCTTCAGATACATTCACTGTGGATATGTTACATTTGCACAAACTGATGTGAAAAATGGAGTGCCGCATAGTATCCTCTAAGAATGTTTTTTCTTTTTTGTCATATAATCATAAAGTGTCTTAGAACCATGCAAAAACGTGTACAAATATGCAATAGTATGCACATACGTGTATATAAGCAAATGGTTTACATTTCGCCCGCAACCAAACTGACACCATGCAATAGACTTGTTCGAGAAGATTCCAAAATTATGACAAAAAAAAAAATAAATAAAATAAAATAATATAAAAACACAATAAAATCACAAAAAAAAACAAAATTAGAACAAAATAAATACAACACAATACAGCAAGATTATTTGGAACAAAAGGAAGTTATATACGGTACACGGGTTGAAAAAACAAAAGTTCTGGTTTAGCTATGGTCTCTAAATTAGCTAATCGTTTTAATTTCATAAAATATATCAATAATATTTCAAGCTTCTAAAAAATACCCTATGATAATTACGTTTTTATTTGTCCCTACTGTGAATTTTGGGTCAATAAGTTAAATATAGTTGTATTTTTGTGGGTACATATATAAAAGTGTATAAATGCATGCATAAACATGCGTATATATTTTGCATTTATAATGACTCTTATCCAACGTGTAATGTTTTCTCTTCCCCCCCCTTGTCAAAGGTTTCTCCATCTATTCTTAGTGTTTCTTTATAGTATTAAATATATACATTCGCTAATGAGCTCCTTCGAGTAGGAGATGATACATTATGCAGGATTAACACATATATATGTACGTATGCATATACATATGTTTATATATTTTAATAACATTCAAAAATTTTGCATATTTCTGCTGGAAAACAACTTGTCGATATATGAAAGGGGTATAATGTATATGCTCATTCAAAAAATTGGTGAATGGACCATGAACACTTAAAGATAAAAAAGTTTGAGTAAAAAAATGTTATATATATACTACTTTAATTCCGTAAATAAAATTGTATATATTTATATATATATATATAGCCTCATTACTAATGTATAGTTTGCTAAATTCTAGATAAACTTTTCGACCATTTTACTCTAAATGCAGGTAGTACATTTTTTCATTTTTTCCATTATATAATATAAAAACACTTGTCCCTTTTCCTTTTCTTTTTCTTCCACTACCACTTTCCTATTATATTTTTGTTATTAAATTAGGAATACTTTTTTCCATTGCTCTGATTATTTATAACTATTGAGGGTTATAAATATGACATGAATAACTGTCGTAAATATATAAACATATGTCATGTACCATCACATCAATTTATTTTTTAATGGTAATTGAGTACCACTTGGAGCTTGTTACATTTCGCAATTGAAAATTTTCTTCCGTTTTTCGTACGCTAGATCTTTCTTCTTCTTTACTGTTTTTTATCCGCAAAACATGAATATACGATTTGCGAATTAGAAATGAATAATATGGTGTATTCTCATGGGATGTTACAAATCTTTTAATGATGCCAAAAAATGTTAAATAAAAATAAGAAAAATACAATAAAAGCGCTTTTGTTTTCCTTTAGCCTTTTTCGTCTGGGTTATTTATTTATTATATTAACTTATTTGCTTATTCATTTGTTTATTTTTCTTTTTACCCACCCTCTTTTTAGTGCATTTATCTTTTCAGTATATTTTCTACAATTAAGAATTTAACTTTTATATTTTTTTTTTCGTATCCTTTATTTTTTCCTTCCCTAGTCATTTGGTGGATGCACATAAATAAATACTACGTAAGGATATACACTATTATGGTTCATAAAAAAAAAAAAAAAATTTCTCTCATTTTGTGCCATTTGCATGAAAAGAAGTTCGTCCTAATTGTTGTTTATGCAAGCGTATGTATGCACATATATGTACATATATGTAAATATATATGTATAACATACAATACTAAAAGTCTTTATTCATAAATAGAAAACGCTAGAAGGCGATTATAATAAAATACTGATTTATTACTTACATTTGTAATAAAATATGTAACCAAAAGAAAAAAAAAAAAAAAAAAGGAAAACAGGAAAAGGGTATAAAGACTTTATAAAAAATGGGTGAAACTCGAAATCTCCAAAACTGAAGCAGTCGCGCATATATAACAACTACTTTATGGGGCTATAAAAGGTTATAGTTTTAAAATACATTAATCTAATTCACTGCCATATACATGTCCATAATCCGAGGTTATAAACCATAAGAAAAAAAAAAAACAAAAAAAAACAAAAAAAAACAAAAAATAGGTAAACTCCTTATATGGAATAATATATGCCACAAGGTAACATGCATGACCATTCATATAAAATGCAACCTTGCAGCTTATTTTTTAAATAAAAAAATCTCTGTAAATGCAGAAAAAGATAATCATTTTAACAATGTGAGGCCTTTTTTTTTTTTTTTTTTTTTTCCCCCCCCCTTCGTTCTCACATATATACTGTTCTTTTAAAATTATTGTATATATTTTTTGCACAACAATTGGTTGGAATATAAAATATCCATGAAAATGGTATCTTTTTCTACAAGAGCAAAATTATTAACGAGAAAAAATACATTTTGTATGTGAGATATATATGAGCATGGAGTATATTTACTTATGAACAGCAGTATTTATTAAGTGCAATATTTTGCAAACAATTGAAAATTTATACAATGGGAGGAGGATTCATTATACTCCCCCAAGTGCCCACAAAAGAATAACGTAAATTCACACATGTTCAAAGCAAATTTACCCAACCTTTATAAACTTTTCTAAGGGAAAAAAGGTTTTATACAGTATTATATATGACAAAGCGCATTCATATTTTGACAAAAAAATAATATAAGATAAGATAAGATAAGAAAGGATAAGAAAGGATAAGAAAACAAAAATCGTTCTTGATTTGTGTTCTACTGTAGTTAGCGTTTTTTGAAATGCCGCATATGAATATATATATATGTATATTCCCGATTTGAATGCTTGAAGAGCTAGACATGGGTTTTAGATAGGTGTATTGATCTACGTATACCTCCCGTTACGCATGTTTATACATCCACGTAATTTGTGCCAAAACAGTGGACTACACCCTCACAAACACACACACACATTTCCATTTGCGAGCCCCCTCACCAATTAAATGGTAAACAAGAAAAAAAGTCGCATCCAGAAAATTATACAGCTACTCGAAAACAATGAAGACGACAAAACACTGACTCCACATATCATCGAAATAGAACAGATATTCTTTGAATGTTTTAACAATGAAAATAAAATAAATAGAAGGATAATTAACACTTATGTTATTCCGTTTGTAAACACACTGCTAGAACGTACTGATAATGAGGATGCAAAAATAAATTGTCCCCGTAAGGAAAAATTATTAGAACGAATATTAATTTTCTTCTCGTCTATATTGAGGATAAATAAAAATTACGCATATTTAATTGTATCATATTTTGTAAATTTAATTGAGCAAAAATCTTATATTGTAAAAATTATTGATCATTTAAAAAAGATTATTATCCATCTTTTGAAGGGGTTATTATTTTCCAATTATTATTTTCACAAGGAAAATGATAGTTCTATATATGAAAATGAGGAAGATAAAAAGAATGAATTGAATAATATTAAGCAAGGATTCCACAATTATGTCATATTAAAGTCTAAAATTTTTAACATTTTAACAAACTTTCATTTTGATAAAAGTGTATCAGAAAATCCATATAAATATGACTTAATAAAAAATTTGATGCTTATCTTGACAAAGGAAATTTTATTTTTCTTTCATATTTTAAAAAATAAAAAAAGTATATTTAAAGAAATATTAAGTGAACAAAAACAAGTGCACCATGTAATTAATGAAGTATTTGATATATCATATCTTAACGTTATTACGGACAGGGTTAACATGAATAATTATGATGAAATTATACTAATCTGGCTCGAACAAGACATTAGATTTCTGAACGATTTAATTCTTTTTAACCTTAGTCAAAATGTTAATAACACGTATAATTATACAAAATGTGAACCCTTTGTGAATAAAATAAAGGAGAAACAAGAAGAAAGCGCACCAATTGATGGGCATATTTCGATCTCCCCTTTCTCAGTGGCAAGTTCAAATGATGGGAGAGAAGAAAAATTAAAATATGAACGAAATGTTAAAAAGGAATTTATAATTAAACGGGAAAAGGACGAGGAGCAAACAACATTAAGGAATGAGTTTGGTAGCACCAATGCAGGCTTACCCAAGTTGGAGATTTTCAACAAATTGATATCTCACTTCAACGGCATGCAGGATGTTTTATGGGGGAAAAAAGAAGAACCAGCTGAAAATTTTATGAATTATGAAAATGGATACCAAAATGGGTACCAAAACAAATGGGAAGTTGAGCACGAACATTTCCCGTCTGATAAACCATGTGAAAGAGAAGGAAAAGAAGATAGCCACGAACTCTTAAGGAAATATTTAATAAGTACGGATTGTCTGATACGTAACATAGATCAAATAACTAAGGATAGCATTGTTTTCCTGACCCATTTGATTAGAAACGTATTTTATTTGATCCGTGAAGTTCCCTTTTTACTAAACTTTTTCCATAAGAACATTTTTGTGGTAGTGAGTGAATTAGTGCGAATACAGACAAATATAACGGATGAAAAAATAAATTATGAACAAGTGAAAGACAATATTAATATAGGAGAGGATGGCTTCCCATTTAAGGGAAGAAATGGGTTCATCACTGCGCATGAAAAAACAAGCCTTAGTAATTATAAGAAAAAATTGTTTAACTGTATGCTTCATTATATAAAAAATGAACTTTATTTGTTGTTATGCAAAACTAACGTCAATTTACCGTTTTATTATGCATATGTTACTATTTTGTTAAACCTTTTGGGGGAAAAGGGAACTACAGATGAATTAACAAAAAAAAAAAGGTCATCAATGAGGAGCATGCGTTTAGACCTTGAAATAGAAAAGAAAAGAAAAGTGTATGAAAATAATTATAACTACACGTATGAATATCTGAAAACAAATATTTTAAGAAAAGATTTTTATGGATATAAGAAATTAAAAAATGAACAAGTTGATATTATGTCCTACTTAAAGGTAAAAATGAATGAAAAGGAAAATGAAGATCTTTATAAAAAAGAGGAAAGAGAAAATACTCTTATAAATCAAATTATTAAAAAGTTATATCTTACAAATTTTAAATTGGACAAAGAATATTATGAAAAGTTTGATTGCTTCAAAAAAAACAGTGTAATAGATCTTTTTCATAGAACAAGCAATCACATAAACGAATCTAATGATAAAGCATTGAATGAAGGAAGAAATTGCCATTCCGAATTTTCCACCTCTATTCAAGATGTATATCAAAAATGTGATAGGAGGATTACTAGTAAGGTGGGAAATAAAGCAATCGGGATTTATGAAGAAAAATATCCTATAAGGGAAAATTCGATTGGACTTCAAATCAAGGCTAACAAATGCACCACGCATACCCCAATACACAAAAGTAAGAACGAAGGCATAGTAGATATTCAGGATGAAGAAACTAATCAAGTGAATCAAGAACGACAAGAGAAAAACAAAATGTTAGAAGGAGTTCACAAACAAAAAAATATGACAAGATATTTCCCCAAAAGGAATTACGAAGATATGTATTCGAATTTTTTAAAGAATGATTTAAAGTATTACGATAATGTTAAAACAAATGATAGTATACTGGGAATGATAGAATTATATTATTTTCTCATTTTCTCACAAATACTTAATAATAACCTAGAGAGTAAAGTTCAAGTTTTAGGAGAAAATATATTTACTAAAAAAATTTATAATCTAAAAGTTATAAATAATATTGTGAAGAGAATAATTTTAAATGATATGTTGAAGGAAAAACTAAAATTCTATTTTCTTATTCTGTACATTGTGAAGGTTAACAGTGTGTGCATATTCAATGGAAACACACCGAATGACATTTTCCTAAACTACTCTGCCATATTTAAAATTTTTAATAATTTATTATTTTATTCATATATTCAGGAGAAAAGAAAAACACAGTTAAAAGGAGCTAGCAAGAATATGCTTCAGTTATATCAGTCACATCCTACATATTACGATAATTATGACTATACCTTAGGATACACAATTTTTTGTTACAAATATTTTGATAAATTAAAAAAAAAAATGAAAATAAACGGATATGTATACAGACATGAGTTACAGAAAAAAAAATTCAGTATGAAATGTAAATATGATGAAATTTTAAATGTCATAATTTTCTTTTTGCATAATGGTAAATTATTAGCCACTCACCGAGATCAATATATTAAAACGTTTATTGAGCAAATTTTAGAAGCACCAAAGTTATCCTTTTCATTTTTTATTTATCTAATTATTTGGCTGAACAATATAGATGTTCATATTGATTACAATGGATATATTAACAATTCGAATAATGATCGTATACCTTCCTCTATGGATGATATGAAAAAAAGAGAAATAATAAATAAAAGAATCCCAACAGTATGTTTAAAAGTGGTAGATGATGAGAAAAGGAGAAATGATATCACATTGCACCGTACACAGAAAGGAATGGAACCCAGTGAAATAATTAAAAACGGAATTGCTAATGTTATGAATAGGACAGAAGAGGAGCAACACAAGAAGCAAGCACAACAGGAGCAGGATAAGAAAGGGGGAGCAGAAGAAAAGGAGGATGGAATTCTTTGCAAGATTAATCTGATGAAAAAAGAAAAAAATGATGATGCATACGGTGCAGCAGAAAATGCAGACATACATCTCACACCGAATGGTGATGACTGTTACTCTAAAAATGAATCACATGAAGAACAACAAGAAAAGGAAAATAACTGTGATTATTATGATGAATACAGTGGTAGTGCTTCTTTTTCTGATGGATCCGCTTCTCACTTCGATGTCGAATTAAGCGATTGTGATGATAGTGAAGATTATGGCACTGAAAAAACCAATATAGATGCTTTCAATTCAGAGCAGGGTGAGGGAAGAAATAAAACCCAAAGTGATGATGTAAAAAAAAATTTTAATATATGTGAAAATGAAAATGTGCAAAATGATGAAACCTTTTTAGGTATGTTAAAAAGGAAAACACACTTCATTAATACAATTGGTAGTGAAGAACATGATGTTGAAAATAAGACTAATGTAAAAAATACACGGAACGTTAATATTCTTTATGCTAATGAAGGAGATCATCAAAATAATACACACAATGATTTTACAAGCAAGAAGAACGAGGCTAATGAAAAAATAGACGATCTTTCACTAATTAAATGTAGGAAAAGCGAAATAGACGAAAATATTTTTAATATCAATTATTATATTAAATATTCCCACAAGTTACAAAATTCATCTAATTATTACATTTTTTGTTTCTCCGTAATTTCAAATTTATTGAAGAAAAATCAAAATATAAGAGCCAAGAAAACCATATTAGCTATATATATAAATACTCTATTTAAATCATGTACTGAAATAAGAAATCTTTTAAAAAAATTAATCACTGCATCTAAGGGAATTTATAATAACACTTTAAATTTTCTGGTTTATACGAAAAGAATATATGTATTTTATCATAAAGTTTTCATTTTATTTTTATTATATATTTGTAATATGTACATACCACATTTAAAAAACGATATTCTCTTTTTCTCTCATTTTGCTTTTTATTTATGGCCAATGGAATTAATTAATTTTGTTCATAATTTCTTAATAACCAATTTTTCCTTTTTTTATAATGATATCGTATCCATTTTTGTGAATTATGAGCAAATAAAATCCCACGAAAAGAGGATGCGTTCTTTAAAAAATTATACCTTCATTAATGATAAATTAAATGAATATCTAAAGGCCCTTGATCATCCGGAATTTTTTCAATCAGTTGAGGTATTCTTAAGACAAACAGATTTCTTTAACAGCGCCACAATGTATGGAGATAGAATTCACCCTTTTGGGAATGCTCATTCCTGCATAGGTGAACATGGGGATATGGAAAAAAAGGAAGAAACTGCAAATTTGGAAAAAATGGAAAAGGAGGAAAAAGTGGAAGATGTGGAAGATGTGGAAAATGCAAGGCAGGTTGAGGTGGAAGAAACCGAGGAATGCCTACACAATAATGAAATATCCCAGAAAATTCTTCTGGAAGAAATCTTCGTTCGTTTGTTTATAGAAACAGTGGATATACTAGAAGATAATAAAATGTTGACAAGAATGAAAAAGGAAAACATATTCCTGAATTTTGTGAGTATTAATTATGTGGATGAGTTGTGTAAATTTGTTCTTTCGAATGTTGAAAAGTCTTATCAAAAGAATAAAATAGAGTTTTGGTCTCATTTTTCTACACTTTTATGTGAATTATCCTACTATGATAAAACAAAATTGTTTGACGAATCAAAATATATAGAATTGCGAGATATCTTGCACTTTTTTTTAAATTCAATTGACAATTTCTTAAGTATATGCGTTAGATCTTCCATATTTTTTCATTTATATTTGTCAACATATTCAAATTGTGTGAAAAAAGAAATAAGGAAAATTTTATTAAGCAAGTTCATATCCGTACTCCCTTTGTTAAAGTCCATATTTCATGAGGAATTTTTTAGAATTCTAAAATATAATAATAACAAGTGGAATAATCATGATGTTGAAAATGAAAAAACAGGTGATAAGTCTGGGGATGAAAAGAAGCAAGAAGAAAGTACTACTATTCCCGAAACGAATGATATAACAGAAAAAGATGAAGGGTGTGAACTGGAAAAAGACAAGGGAATTAGTAAGGATCACAAAGTGGAAAAAGATGAGACAGGAAATATAAAAATGGAGGAAACAGATAAGTTAAATGAATATAGCTCCTTTGAAATTAATATAGAAATTATAAAATATGTAAGTAAAAATTTAAATGAATGTACAACATCATCAGTGCCCTCGTGGGAAAGTCGCACGAATTTTTTAAATTTCTGTTTTAATTTGTACTTGGAAAATAATAATGTCCATTTTATTATTGAATTAATTGGGTTTTTTAAAAAAGAACAAATTCTTCATATATTCAATGAAATAATTAAAAATGATATGGAAGAAAATATAAAAGTAGAAATTCTAAAATGTTGTATTAATAATATCATAAAATTGCCATATTTTTACATTTTAGAAAAACATAATGAAAATGAAAATGAATCATATTATATTACAAATACTGAAATTTTTTATTTTTATTATAATTTAAATAAAAATAAAAATATTCAAAAAATTATGCTAGATTATTTTGTAACAAAAGTCAATTTGCAGACTGTAGGAGAGCAAGAAAAAAAAATGTACAATGATATTACAATAAAAGATTTAGCTAATATAATTCAACAAATTGCAGAAAGTAGTAATCCCATATTTCCTATATATGGTAGATTTTTATGTCAAATTACAAAAAATATAAATATATTACGAGAATTTATTAGCAGTATTATCATACCTTTGTTGATACAAAAAAAAATATGGAGCAACAAAGTCATATGGAAAGGATGTTTAATGTGTATATCAATGTTATGGACTGATTTTAAGCATTCTCTTTTTTATATTTTTTTTATGTTACCCAAGTAAGTTTTTAAAGGGAAAAAAAGGAAAAAAAAAAAAAAAAAATGCATAACATCACCTGCATTCAAATGTTCACATGTATCCTTTAGCTTACACATGTGTTGAATATTTTTCGTATATGCATATATAACTATGCTTAACATGGCACTGATTTTTTTTTTTTTTTTTTTTTTGGCATTACCTTATGAAGAGACGAATGTACTGTGTTGTTTAACGCCTTAAAGCAGAAGTATTCTATAACAAGCGATCTTATTGAATTAATATCATCCAACGAACAGGTAAACTTTAAAGGCTCGAATTGTACTTTGAATTGTCCATTTGAATTGTCCATTTGAGTTGTCGATTTAAATTGTACGTTTGTGCTTTTGACATTTTTTTTTTTTTCATGTGTATATTAATTTGCAGCTATACAATTGCTGCATCAAGCTTATTCATACTCTATTTTACTTTTTTAAATATATATAGGCGAAACGAATATGCCCGGAATATTTGAAGAACTTGATAAATACATGATGCAATTATATGCTTGTAAAATTAAAAAAAAAAAAGTGAAAAGAAAAAATAAAGGTTTCCATAAAAGTGTATATGACAACTGTTGTAATCAGAAGTAAAATTCGAAAGATAATCTATTATGATTTAATTAAATGTTTTATAAATAAAAAGACAGTTCCTTCCCATTAAGCCCTTTTTTTTTTTTTTTTTTTTAACCCACTTAGAATGACACATTATATATTGTATTAATTCACATCCTGCATGTTTTCTATTTTCACAATTTTGAAATACAACATTTTTAACAATATATATGCATTATGCTACCATATGAAAAACACTAACTCCGCTACCATTATCATTCCCTACATAACCGTGTCTTGTTAAGAAAACAAAAAAATTAGCAACTTTCCCGGATGGGAATATATTAAGAGAAAATTTTTTCTATAAAATATACTGTTGGGAGTAATTTTCTGCTCTTACTAAAAACAGGAAAATTCAAGAAAAAAAAAAGGATGTAACAAAAAAAGAAGGAAAAAGAAACCAAAAAAATTTAAGCAAAAATAGCACGGCAAAAATTAAACTTTCACCATAGGCCACAAACGAGAGATCTAAAAGTGCATGTTTAAAAAAAAATTGGGTGAAATAAGGCAAAATTATTCTTCCACTATTTCTCCACCTTGAAAAAATTTTAAACACAATAAATCATCATCTTTAAAAAGTTATACTTAAGGAGAAAATTAAAAAAAAAAAAAAAAAATTCTATTGGCAAGCGTGGGCTCTATATTTTGACACGTAATATTCTTCATCATTATGAAAGCCTAGACTGGAGCTGAAAAAAAGGGAAATAAAAAAAAAAAAAAAAAAATTCCAAACTTGTACATTTTTGAAAAAATGAAGAAAAATAGGAAAATAGAAAAAATATTGTTACCTTACATAGCAATATATGCATCCAAGGATTACAGCCGAGATAAGAAATATTAATAATCCAAGGGCCATCTTTTTATCTAAAAATGGCACAGTTAGAAGAAGAAAAATTGGGGAAAATAAGTACATACATTACGTATATATATATATATATATACACGACCCGTGTACACATAATAGCGTTGTTTATGTGTGTTTGCACACATGTATATATGCGACTTTATCTTATTTTTACTATTTATTATCCACATAAAAAAGCTGATCTTCTTTTCGCTTCGCCTCCTTGAAAGGGGTTCATCATCTAAATTATAATTTTCTGATTCTATATGCCTGTTCATATATGGTACGGGAGCTACCGGATTGTTTGCATTAGCATTAGCGTCAATAATATCTTTAGCAATGACTTTTTCTTTTTCATTTTCTTTTCCTTTTTCATTTTCTTGTCCTTTTTCATTTTCTATTTCTTTTTCATTTTCTTTTCCTTTTTCTTTTACGTTGTCATTTTTCTTATTGTCCGCATTCGCATCTTTCATTATATTTTCCCCAGGGACTTTTTTAATTTCTTCTAAATTAATATTGAAAGTTGGGAAAAAAAAAAAAAGAAAAAAATTGGAGAAAATCTAAATATCAATTTGTTCATATAACCATTTAGATTCATTTATTGCTTGTTACACTTAGCTACATTGCACGAAATGACTTTCTTTCATTTAACTTTGTTTTATTTTGTATTTATAATTTATTTCATTTATTTATTTATTTTATTCTTTTTTTTAAGCACCTTTTAATAACACTTGACAAGCCACAGACTCACATTTCTGAAAATTCAAAATAAAATATCTATCACAAAAATCTTCATCTTCAACCAAGCATTTGTTATGTCTACACCTGTATGAAAAGTCTTCACTGCACACACTGTAACACGGGGACCATTCTCCCGCCTCAAAGTGTCCTTGTTTTAATACTGCATAATGGGTAATGCAAGAAAAATAAAATAATATAATAATAAAATAATATAATAATAAAATAATATAATAATATAATAATATAATAATAAAAGAAGAAAAAAAAAATTATATAGACCATGAGGAGTAATAGAAAAATTGAAATGGGTGTATAAAACCGAAATGAAACAAAAGAATAATATCAGAACAAAGGAATGTAAGCATCACTACATGATCTCATTCTATTATCTCACCTTTCTTAAGATATACAACATTCTTTATATTTTTATACTGACGAAAGTACTGTGGATTATCCACTTCAGATGGGAATAAAATAATGTCAGCTAATTTATGTGACGTCATAAGAACAAATTCTATTTCCTTTTCTACTTTCTTGTTACCCATATTGTCATTTGAGTACACATCAGTATAATTTCCTTTATATTTGTACTCCCATTTTGGACACACATGATAATTTATGATATTTGATATGTCAATTTTTATATAGTCATTTTCTAATATTCCTTTTGATTCAGAAAATTTATCTCCCATAAATGCAGCAACGGTTTTATTTAAGTCATATAATTGGGGTAACCTTACGAATAAAAATCTATTTTTTTTTAATACGTTTTCAATTTCTTCCAAATTTATGTTTTTTAAATAGTTAACATATAAAATGTAATTATTAAAAGAGTTAAATTCACATATTTCTTCAGTTATTGGTACATTAAATGTTAATGTTTTGTTACTTATTTCATACTCCAAATCCTGAAACAAATTTTTTACATAGCCATATATGTTACGTTTATTTCCTGTTTCTATAACGTGAGACTGATTTTCTAGCTTGAACTTTTGATTTATAGGTGAACTCAAATTTTTATAATTTCGAATTGGTTTTATACAAACATTTTCTTTTTGACTTACATTTTTTAACATATAATTTTCAAATATTGTTGTCTCGTCCGAAGAATAAGGTATTATTTTATTTATTGAAATATCACTTTCTTCATTTTGGTACATTATTAGACCATGCTTTCTAATATTTTTTCCTACATGATGAATAGCATAAACTTTTATTATCAAAAAATATAGCACAAATTTTACAACACAAAAATTTATGTGTTCATTACCCCAGTGTGTTTTCATTTCTTTTTTATTCACTATTAAGTCTTTTTTGTGAAATGTATAATTTGCGTTTTACAGTTTTCTTTTTTTTTTTTTTTGCTCAAAGTAAACAAGCATATGTCCTTTTTGTGTAGACTAAATGATATGTCTACGTATTCGTATGTAAGGAAAAAAAAAAAAAAAAAAAAATTATTGGCAAAGTAGCGAATAAGTGTGTAAATAGGTACATCTTGTGAACACATACCATTCTTATGCATATATACAACTAAATGTCACAATAAAATGGTATATGAAAGATGGCTAAAATGTGATTAACTGGCAGCAGCCAAATTGAACCATTAAAAATTTTCCTCATATTTTTAAAAAAGACAAAGCACAACAATCTAAATGAATAAGAAACAAAAAAAAAAAAATAAATAAATAAATAAATTAAACTAAATAGCGTAAGTTTTCATATTACAAATACTTTATTTTTTTAAAATATGCGAATATATAGACACATATATTTATATAACTTGATACATGTTTCTTCCCTTTTTCACTTGGATGCATTTATTACATCTCTTTTTTTTTTTTTTTTTTTTTTTTTTAACGTCTTAAAAAATAATTGATCTACTTATGTTTTAACATTTCTCTTTATACACTTTTCAAATGAAGCATTCGTGTGTCTTTTTATATATATTTATCAGGATAAGGAAAATTGCAACAAACAATTAAAGTGTGGTATTACAATCACAATTGTTCTACAAACAGATCGAATCACCCTTTTTTTATAATAATTTTTTTTCTCTCCTATATGCACCATACAGCTTCAAACCCATTATTTCTCGTCTCTTTACGTTCAAATGGTCAAGTGCATGCAAAATGGAAATGCTCAAACGTGATTATCGAATTATGCGTGTTTAAATTTGAGCCTTTACCGTTTTTTATATGTTAGGTCAAATGAGTATATTTTAAAAATAAAACATTAGGCCAAGAGAGATTAAAATTTTTTTTTTTTAATTTTTTTTGCCTTTTCTCTTAACATTAGAGTTGTGAATTCTAGCTAAATGAGTTAATCCCACACATCATTCAACTTCTAATGGGATCTACGCTTGTGTGAATTCATATTTGCGTAAGCTTCAACATATAAAGTTCAAACTGATGGAAACATAACTCTACCATATATACATACTTTCCCTAAATTGTGTGTGTATCAATTTATGCACAGAAAAAAATCTTGTCGATAAGAAAAACTTATAAAAGTTACATTTTTAGAAGGAAAAAGTAAAATAACTGAAAGATGCATACATCTTTGTAACAGAATATTGCTACAGTTAAGCACTGTTGCTTGCTCTATTTTCCGAGTGCAGATGTAGATGCAGAAGCAGAAAAACATGAAAAATCAATTAAATGATTCGACGCATAGGAACTTCCGTAGATGCCACCACAAGTTTAATTATTTAACTATTTAATTATTTTTATTTATTTTTCCATTTTTACGTATCTTTTCATAAAAGTGGGAATAAATGAAACAGAAGAATCTATTAATTAAAAAATTTAGCACAACAAAAAAAAAAAAATAAATAAATAATAAAATAATAGCATGAGCTGAAACGGGAGTAACCAGAGACAAAAAAACGAATAAACTACTAGAATAACAAAATTATAATCCAGGAAAGGAAAAATATAATTTGCAAAAAGGCATGGGGAAGAGATGTTCGCGAGGATCATGTCACAATAGGACAATTGTTGAGTAACAATAAAATATAATAAAAAAAAAAAGAAGCAGAGAAAATTAAAATTAGGAATAATTCCTTAACTTGGAAATGTACAGCTAGTAAAAGTAATAAAGCACAAAAAACAAATTTAAAACAGAAAAACAAATTTACGCGTAGTTTGTGATATTTAAACTGTTTTCGCGAATCTAAGTAAATGGGTTGATTTATTCTACATTTTAAACCAATTCATTTGGGACATATATACTCCGCTCGGATAAAAACAAAAGGGACCAATTCAAAAATTGCAAAGTGGTCATGATTTCCTAGCACACAGAAATGTACCGTTTTTAATCGTACATAAATCTACCTGCCACATTTTCATATAACTCCTTTTCAGCTCCTTTTTTTTTATAAAACATGTGATATAATATAAGTATTATACAAATGATAAGAACTATAGGCAGAAGAATAATGGCAATTGTAAAGGCTGATGATTCCTTGTATTCATATAAAGAATGACATGGTGGTAGAGGTACCTGACAAGGTCTTGTTTCTTTTAAATCCCCTTTAAAACAACCACCGGATGGATTTGCACATTTTCTTTCTCTAATTTGTACATTGTCTGGATCGTCACATTCCATAGAACACTGAGACCATTCACCCCATTCTGTGTAAAACATATTTTTCTTTTCAATTATTAATGATGGTTTATTTAATTTATCTTCCAACACTGTGTAACAATTATCTTCTGGTTTTAATAAAAAAGAAATTTTGTCTTTTATAAAAGCCCTCCATATTCCATCTACGAAAAAATTACTTACATTAATTCGAAAACTTCCAGATGTTTTACTTATATTAAATTTAATCGGTTCAGTTAAAATTTCAAATTCTGATGGGTTATTTACATCTGCAGATTTCAACAAAACAATATTGTAATTATTATGTTTACATGTGTTTTTTTTATTTGTTGATACTATACTCAAAATTAAATTTACTTCATATGGATCGTCTTTACCAGCGCTGAAATTGAAATCACCTATGTAAAAGGTTAAAACTAAATAACTTTTAGTGCTTTCTTCTTTTGATGAATATAATTCTAAAGTATTTTCATTTGTAAATCGAGAATTTTTTATAACTATGTAATTGTGAAGTAAAAACTCTTTTCTGTTAATGTTGGAGTCTTTTGATCCTTCTTGCAGATGATTATTTACCCCTGCTGTGCACTCTGGTTCTAATGTCACGATTTTGTAATTCTCATTTTTTTGAAGTAATTGTAAAATGTATTTTTCGTTTTTCCTTTTTAATTTTCCTGAAATGCGTCCATAACAAATGATAAGGAGCAAAATCATTACACACTTTAAGCTACGCATCTTGCATTAAAAAGGGAGCAGTCACAAATGTAAATAAATAAATAAATAAATAAATATATATAAACAGAGGAAAAAATAAGGAGACGGGAATAGGAAAATGACGTAGAGAACTTAATACATGTAATATCTAGCTAAAAAAAAAAAAAAAAAAAAAAAAAAAAAAACCTCTAATCTATTGGGGTAGTCGAAGACGAAATATATAAAAATTAATTTAAGTGGAATTATAGAATAGCTATTTTGATCATTATATTTTTTAGCAAAAAACTAAACAAAGAGCTATGAATGTTTCATAAAATTTATTTTTTATGTTAAATTCAAAATAGTTTTTATATGAAGAATAATAAAAAGTGTAAAACCATTTCGTTCTTGTAACAAAGTTATGTAACTGTTGTTCCTAAGATAAAAATTAGTTCTCCTTTATAACTAATGAATCATGATATATCTCTTTTCTACTGTTTTGATACACCTTATCTTTGTACCTTTTATTATATCTCTTTTTTTTTTCCCTATAAACTACATAGCTTTTTATGATCTCGTCGTTAGGGTCTTTGTTTTTCTCTTATTCACATTTTACCTCAAACTTATTTATAATATCTTTGGTGATAAAATATTACATTTGTGCTATGTATATATTCGCCCGTACTTTGCTTGCTGGAAATTATTTACATTTTTCATGTATATGTAAATATGCGTATGTACTGAAAACTCATATGTTCAAGTGCAGACAGGCGATTTTATGTCACAAAATAAAAAAAATATATATATGTATAATAAAAAACTCTTGCTCTACATTTAGGTGCATGCATAAAAAAAAAAAAAAAAATTAATAACACATAAAAAAGCAGAAAATGCACAAAAGGGAATAAAAATGAACGAACGTAAATGAATAACAAAAAAGCGTATTAGCTTTCAGTTTTTTTAAGTTGTAGTTAAAAGGATTTTTCTCCATAAATCCACTTCACTAAGGGAATATGTATTTTTTAAATATAGAATTATAAATGTTGTGTGTACACATTCACATAAAAAGGAAGCTGTGCTGGCACAAATGGCCCTAGCACAGATTAATTCTGAATTTGTTTATGTTAAAATATAAATTTATGCCGGGAGAAAAAAAAAAAAAAAAAGTAAAAATGAACATAAAAATAAATATAAATAAATAAAAAAAAATGAATAAATATACACATAAACATACACGTGTATATATATATTTATACGTGTTAACAAATAAGGAGGAGCAAAGTTACAGCAATCTCATTTTTATCTATAGTAAAACCTTAAAGGGATTAAAAATTATTAAGATAAAAATGCAAAGTAGCCATGAAGTTTTGTTAATTTTTTTTTTTTTTTTTCTTTAATGTGAAAAATAAAGCAGAAAAAAAAAAAAAAAAAAGGCGGGTTTATTAATTTTTAAATTAGATCAAGTATAATGCAACACATGCATTTTTTTTTTTTTTTTTTTTTTTTTTTTTTTTTTTTTTTTTTTTTTTTTTTTTTTTTTTTTTTTTTTTTTTTTTTTTTTTTTTTTTTTTTTTTTTTTTTTTTTTTAAAAATTTAAAAAAATTTTTTTTAAAATTAAAAAAATAAAATAAAAAAAAAAAAAAAAAAAAAAAAAAAAAAAAAAAAATGGAAAAAAATGAAAAAAAAAAAAAAAAAAAAACTGGCTTATTAATTGTTACATGACCATGTCTCCCTTTTTTTAAAATTTCGACGTTGTTCTTTTGGCAAATTTGCAAGGCCATAAATGCCACACATGGTTAGTAACATTTAATTATACATACTACAAGCAAAAATATCCAAATGAGTAAAATATAAATACATGCTTATGTGAGCATGAACAAAAGCCGTACAATGACAATATAAAATTGTTCCTTATTTTCAACCAGTTGAAAATTCCCTCTTGAAGAGCTATCCACATCCACTTTTCTTATGTCTTTCCCGATGGGAAAAAAAAAAAAAAAAAAAAAAAAAAAAAAACAATATGGTACGGGCACGTTTCTTTTCTGTCCTCTTTTAGTAAAAATGAGAATTCCGGAATGTTATTTTCTACAAACTCGACCAATCAGATCCCTTTTTATAATGGTACAATGATACACACCATAAGTATATATACATACGCAAGTACATTTAGTAGTTATGCCAAATGTTTGTAATCCTTGCATAAAATTCTTCATCAAATGTGCTTTTATTTTTCTTTCCTCCTGTTACGGTACCACTAATTGCATACTATATAAATATGTCCCCTCGTAAATCCATATAAACACACATATACATAATACACGCACCGAATTCTCCCATTTTATTGTTATTTGGTTGCACATAAAATGGGTGCCATCGATCCGTATATTTTTACCTGTTGCTCCTCTTGTGAAACCATTGTTGCAAAACAGTAAAAATTGTCATCTCTAATCTCTATGGGGTTATAAGTAGCATAATCAGCTAGCTATCGAGTTGACCCGTTCAATCATCATCTGGTTTCAGTTAGATGGCTCATCACAAACACAATCATTCCGATGATGTTAAAATATTTATACGTTCCTTCAAAAGGTCCAATGTGCTATATAAAAATTTGTTTTCTATCTGTGTGTCTGAGCATATTCCGTTTTTTATAGTATTGAAATAATTAAGGTCATTTTGATCATTGGTGGTATCTAAATTATTGATTACAAAGATTTCGGATACAAAAATAAGTACATCATTTGTATTGCTTTTTTTTTTATCGAGATAAGAAGTGTATTCTGATATATCTTTAAATTTCAAATTTTCCATTTTGAAAATGGTTTTATCTTCATTCTTTAAAAAAATGTTTTTATTTATGAATAAATTTAAGTGCCCTGAAAGGACATGCATTTTATTATATTGGGGGTCTACAAAAATGGTGAAATTTTGTAGGTTATTTATTTCATCGTTTTCTACATATCCTTTAAAAATGCCGAAAGAGGATAAAATTTTATTATATTCTATATTGTTTGTTATATCATTAAATATCTGGTAACTTTTAATATGTATATATCTGTTTTTTAATATATTTGGATTAGTAATTACGTTATCAAAAAATGTCTTTAAAATATTCAAAAAATGCTTTTTTTCATTCAAATTGTATTTCTCATTCTTTATATATTCATCTAATAATTTTTCTATTTTATTTTCATCAAAAAAGTTATCTAATGAAACACTTGGTAATTTGGGCAGTTCCTTAATTTCCACTTCCTTATTATTTCCACTATTGTTATTTGAACTACTTTTGTCATTACTGTTGGGATTGTTTAATAATGTTGCGCTTGTTTCAAACCCTGGGGCAATGGATGTTTGATATGATTGCATCATATCTAAAATTAATTTACCCTTACTAGTTGACATAACTTCCTTCGGAGTATCTAAAATATATTGTGGTATATTTTTTCCAACCAAGAAATTACAAATTTCATTTGTAAAATTGTTACAGTTCCAGTTAACTAAATTGTATTTATCTACCGTAAAATTTGGTTGAATTCCATTTAAATATTCGTGAAAATATGATTGATGAAGTTCCGTTATTCCCATATCAACGATGTCTACGGGCTTGATGTCGTAGTATGACTCAAATTCGTTTGGGGCAAGGCACATGATTCCTCCACCTGCAAGACAAGAAAACAGAAACGACGCAAACATGTGAAACGACGTGTACAGGAAGATGAGTTAAATCGGGTATGTTTAATTGGGTATAATATATCGGTATGTAAAATCGGGTATGTTTAATTGGGTATAATAAATCGGTATGTTAAATCCGATATATTAAATCGGTATGTTAAATCGGGTATGTTTAAATGGATATACCCAAGCAGACACGTGCATATAACCATATGTTCATGTTTGCTCCACTAGTGTACACATACGTAAAAGTGTCATGTTTTCAAAAAATCCATTGCAGGGAAGAGACACATCTGCAACAAATAATCCTTACCATAGAAATACTCCATGTCATAAACCCAAACAGCCGTATGCCATACTCCGTTTATTTGCTTTCCAATCAAAAGGGGAGACCACATTTTTACCCTATAGTGTAAATGTAATTTAAAAAGCAGAAAAAACATATTTCAGCTATATTCACATTCATTTTCAGGTGCATGTGCATGCCTAAGCATATTCATGCATATATACACATGTGCACACACCAAAAAGGGGAATAAATAAACTCTACAAAATAAAAATATAAAAAACAGTATCCCGTTCTCTCGTTATAAAATGAATTTGTGTATGAAAAAAATATATAGGGAATCATTACTGCGATATATTCAATACTACGTTTTTATTATTTTTGTATTTTGCTCTTTTCTATTTTTCCATTTTTTTTTTTCTTCTTAAATTATTACATTCCTCTGGATAAATCGTATATCTTTAGTTTAACACTGAAGGATGGAGCCATGTTGCGTTTAATCTGTTCCAGTTAAATCCGTCTGATGAAAGGTATTAAGGTTGTTAAACTTTCTTTTTTTTTTTTTTTTTTTTTATGCATCAAAACCAATGAATATTGAAGGGGGAAGTGGCTAAAAATATATTTTTTTTTCTTTTGGTTACACAATCTACTGAACATGAAAATAAAATTGTAAAATTCATTGTTGCTATACTATTAGAGCTTTTTTGGAAACTCGTTGAACCATTTTAGTTGAGAGCTTATGCATGAAAAAAAGAAAAAATAGAATGGGACAAAAAATAAAGAGGGATTTTTCTTCTATCGATTTTTCTTAATTGTGATGTACATAAAATTAGGCATATACAGACACATATATATATATATATATGTAAAATATCATGTCGATTATTTGTTCCTCACAATTAATACATATCAAGATATTTTAACAAAAAAAGAAAAAAATGAAAAAAAAAAGCTGTTTTAGCGTCGTCTTATTATGATTGAACTTTTATTTTTCTTAATTTTTTTTTCTTCATGACTTTGTTAATTGTTTGTGAGAACATAGAGTCACGAATTTAACTGGAATGATTTTTCCGTCTTTCCCTTTTTCCCCAAATTGGAATTTACTCATTAAAAATTTTGCAATACATGTAAATGTTTATGCATATATACATACATATATACACATACATACATAATATCTCCTTATAGAGAAATATGTGGAACAAATTGTCACTCGCTTTAGTTACGTTACGCACGCATGTAAGTAAGAAAAAATGGGGAATGAACGGACGAATAAACTTAAAAACAAACAGATATAGCAAAGAAACATATGCAGGTGAGTCTACATATATTTAAGGTTCATTTTGTTATTCTTCAACTTTTAAATTTTATTCTATAATAAGTTATTAACCAAAAAAAAAAAAAAAAAAAAAAAAAAAAAAAAAAAATTCTTTTATATTTAAGAAAGATTTAAGAATTTTAACTTCCCCCTTTTTTACTTGTACTTGCTTGGCTACACCCATGCGTTTATACACACAATTCATAAATGATCATTAATTGTGCAGATAATGTCACCACAACTTAAGCTCATAAATTTTAGGTACAAAAAAAATACATGCGTAGAGAATAATATGAATTACGTTCAGAATGGTGTGCTTTTTATTCTTTTTCAGGATATGTTCATTTTTACGTGTTGTGCCACTGACATTTCTGCATTAGCCTTCTTGAGTCAATACATGGAAAGTACGGAAAAATATATACATACAATATATGCATACATATATACATACATATATACATAATGCATTTCTTTTTTTTTTTTATGTATTTAGATGACATGGAAAATTTTTTTAAACGTTTATAAAAAGTGCATAAAAAGTGGCAAAAAAGAATTAAAAAAAAAAAAAAAACTATTAAATTCTTTAATTGTGATTTGCCTGCTTTACAGTATTTTACAGTATTATTAAAGTTTTAAGTCTTTTTATTTTTTAGCCCTTTTTTTTTTTTTCAGTTGCACTAAAGGGTGAATTGCTGTGTGCATGTTTTTGTGAGAGTCCAAATAGAATAATGCCAGTTAAAAAAAAAAAAAAAAAAAAAAAAAATCAGTGGAACAAAAGCTGCGCAAGGTATAAATTTTCACTGAGAATAAAAGAACATTTCCTGTATTTAATCCAAATTGTTCGAAGAACAAAATAATTTTCGAATAATTACAGAAACAAAAAACGTTAAAAAATTCGGAAACGCGCATAAATTATTATATATATGTTATACCGCCGCTTCCATTTTTTACATACAAATAAAATAAAACCATTTGAGCCATATCTACACTCTGAAAGATGATAGTTGAAAGTAACAACCTAGAGATTGATGAGGGATATGATGTTATATATGATGAAGTAAAATTAGAAGATTTTGAGTTTGATGAAACGATTAAAACCTTTTTTTATCCATGCCCATGTGGAGATATTTTTGAAGTAACCCTAGAAGGAATTTTAAAAGGCCAAGATATTTTAAGATGTCCAAGCTGTTCTTTAACCATTAAAATAATATACAGTCAGAGCGATTTAAGGAAGTATGCTTCAAATCCGTGAGAGTCCATAAAGTTTGTTAACTCAGCAATCACATTACTACAATTAAACTCTTTATTTTAAGGGGAAATCTACATATCATTTTTTTCCTTCTTTTGTTTTGTTTTTTCCCATTTTTATATAAAAAAAAATAAAGATTTTTTTTTTTTTTTTTTTCCACTCAAATGTATACATGGAAAATATGAAAAGGGAGATTATCAAAATAAAAGCCTTTAAAAAGTTTCAAATGTTGTCATATATTTTAAGAACTGCTTACACTATTTTACATTTTCATCTATCCTTTTTAGTTAAAATATCGTATGTGTTTTAATGTAAAACCGTAGTTACATATTTGCCTTAGATCTACATAAATGCAAATATGTACCGTGTATATGTACATGTATTTATATATTGCATAAATATTTATTCATGTACAATTGCATTATTTCTTTGAGTATTTCTAGCACGCAGCAAGAGCTCTTTTTATTTATTTTTTTAAATCCACTTCCACATTAACTTTGTTCACAATTTGTTTGTTCATTGCTCCTTTCTCTATTATTATGTTTTTACACATATGCCTAATAAAGACGCATCACCCGTCTTTTCCATATTGTTATATAAAGAATTGTATACACAATTAACATGTATTCATATTTTAATATTAATATTTTTATAGAATGCAAAAGGGCACATTAAAAATGCTCACAGTGTATATATAAGAAAACTGTATATATAGGGGTTAAAACCTTGTGTGTGTTTGTGTGTGTGTATATGATAAGATTAAAAAATATTCTCTAATAAAGGCATATATAAAAGATACACCCATAGAAAAGAAACACTATTTGGAGGTTATATGGAAGACAAGTGGAAACAATTTAATAAATTCCTACAACAAGACATAATTAGCAAAAGGAGGAGAGGCTTCACTCGAACAATTTAAAATAACAAATCATCTGGATATCACATTCCAGATGTATTAATTTAATGTTCACACACTTTTAAATAATTATATAACAAAAAAAAAAAAAAAAAAAAAAAAAAATTTTGAGCAAATCTGGAAAAGTATAAAAACAATTACACAATAGATGCACAAAAATGTACAAGGACAGTGAAAATAACAACGTCGAAAAAAAAGGTCAAGAAAAAGATGAAAAAGTTATAATAAGAGTTAAAAGAAAAATTGATGATACTACCATCCCATCAATTTATATGAAAAAGTCAAATAAAAGAATATGTAATGGAATATTTTATAAACATATCGATACAGTTGCCCCAGAGGTTGATATAGATAAAAAAAATTTCGAATGTGTTAAGCTGTTTTTAAAACATGAACAGTGCAATAGTAGTAGTACTACTGTTACTATTAATGACGTATTTTCCTTCGTCGAAAAAAAAAGAAAATTCCGTTCCTTTAAGTGTTATGAAAAGGATTTAAAAGATACCATAAATAATTTAAAAAGATATAAAATAGTGAATCAAAATATTCAGTATATAGATTTAGATAAAGAAAAAAAGGGAATATATAAAATTATTGACGTGGATTTATTACATGAATGTGAATATGACAATATTGAAGCTTCTCAAAACAATGAACTTAAGAAGGAACTTGTACAAGAGCAAACGAAGGAGGAAGATAGGCACAGAAATATAGAACAAGAACAAGAATTTGAATATGATTTATACGTTATAGATGACCAGAAGTTACAAACAAATGATTATATGGACTATCTGTATAATATAAAAAATAATAATATAGATCCATCGGAGGTAATAGTACTAGAGGATGTTTATGGAAATAACTCAAACGAGTATGACTCGAAGTCTTTTTCTTCTTCTTCTTCCAGTTCCGACTGTGACACATTGAAGGAAATGTCAGACTATCCAGATGAAAGTTCGAGTAGTGAACTTATGAATAATGATTCCATTGATGATGGAAATGACCACGACTCTATGAGCAGTGACTGTGATGATAGAAGTGTGAGAAGTGCTAGAAGTGTTAGAAGCGTGAGGAGTGATAGAAGTGTGAGAAGTGTTAGAAGTGTGAGAAGTGATAATCTCTACGAAATTAATCTTGAAATTGATTCCTGTGCAAACAGCTTGCACAGTGACAACTACCAGGAAACTTATGAAAATGATTACCACCATGAAAACAGTATGGACATGGGTTCTCATGAAAACAAGATGGATAGCGACTATTACCATGAGAATCTCATAAACCAATTTAGTAATTACAGTGACGAGGATTCATTAGGGGTATACTTAAAAAATGGTGGCTGTGATGAAAACATGTTTGATAATAAGAGATCAAATTACATAAACAATTGGGGAAGTTACATAAAGGGGAAAAATATCACTCATAGTTATAATGACAATGGTGCTCATAACAGATGTAATAATAATGGAAAACAAAAAAGTAGTCCATCAAAAAAAAGAGAAAAGAAAACCCATATGCATAAGGAAAAAATGAATTCTTTGATTTTTGAAGAGAAAATAAAGAACGAGTTAGAAAAACGATTAAAAAAAAAAAATGAAAATATGGTAAACATAACATTATCGGATAAGCTAAAAATATTGGAGCAAATGGAAAAAGAGTATTATGATAAATAGTATTTGATGGAATTAAAATTTTTGATAAACTTTGCTCTTTGTCGAATATTGAATTGCTAGTGGAAGGAAAGAAAAAAAAAAAAAAAATTATGTGTCGTTTATCGGATGACACATGTACAGGATTGGCTATAGTGAAGAATTGCATGTTCCACTTCCAACTCTAATGCGTTCATAATGTATGAGCTTTACTCATGTGCAAAATGCATTTATTTGCTTAATATTACGTTCTTTTAGCCTTTCCACGAATTCTCTGTTTTGCCCTTTCCATTTGTACGAATTTTTATTTTTTAAGTGTCACTTTTTTTTGTATGAATTTTCCCTCAAAATGTTATTTAACATGAGTGAGGAAAATAAAGAAAGGTATGCATACCTTTTACCAAAAAAGGGGGATGTTATTTTATTTTTTTTTTTTTTTCCTTTTTGTTGCTATTTTTCGCCGTTTGCCTTTTTCGCCCCAGGATAATTTTTCCAGACATTGTTCTGTTAAACAGTTAATCGATGACAATTTTACCTATCGGAGGAGGAATAATAACTCACATTATGAGGGATTTATCATACTTATAAAAAGAATAATTGGGACCAAAAATTTTTACTTGTCTTATACGAGTGTCTCGACCATAGTGCTGATTAGACATGATACAAATTTGCAAGCAACGACAGTGTACAAAATTAGTGTGTTTAAAGTTTTTGACGTTATAGTTATAAAAGTATGAATGAAATTGAAATTTTTCTAAATCAATAATAAACCAAAAAGGTTCATTAAAAGTATATTTATTCACGTCACAAAAATTACTACATAAAATATCAAGATGATTTTCGTCATTTCCTACTTTTGTTAATATTTCATAAGGTGTATAAGATTCATCCAGTGAATAATTAAAGAGTAAATAAATTTTAGTAATTTTCGTGAGTTTAAAAAATTGTATCGTGATTGTATGCGGTCCTAAGCTTGAAGATTGCCAATACGTATTCATATTTTCGTCTTTTAATTTTTTCATATCTGATTTGTTTCTACTACTTGATAATTTCCAAATACCAAGGCATCCAACATCAATATATTTTTTACTTAGTTTAATTGGAGGCATTTTTTGCAAACCTTGTTCAATATGTTTATCATTTCTTCCCTTCGGTACAGCATAATTTAACTTTACATTATTTACTTCGTTTATTACGCTCCACAAAAAATTTGTCTCCACATTTTCCATTTCCATCGAATATGTACTACTATCATTATAATGGGATTCTTCGTACTTTTTTTCACAAAAATTTTTGTTTACTTTTTCATCCAATTCTTTGTTTTTCGAGTCTACACATGGATTCCACTTTTCCCTAAATGCAACTTCATAACTTTCATCACCTACTTCCTCACTTTCGTGTCCATATACCTCCTCAATTTGGGTGTCCAAGTTTTTTTTTTTTAATTCATGACTATTTTTGAAATTTCCTTTTTTGCGTTTAATATTTGTTATAAAGCAAGGCATAGTATATAATAAAAATATAACGACATTAAGAAAAAAAAAAAATTAGCTATTTTTTTTCGCACTAAAGATGGTTTGAGGAGAGAAATAGTACAGAAACATTGGACACACTACAAGGGATTTTCTGCAAATCCATCGTTACATACGTATACGCAGTTATATCATGTAAGTGTGTGGCAAAACATGTACCATATATATATATATATATCTATATATATATATACATCACTAATCAGGAAAATGTTACTACCAGAAACAATCGCGCTTAAAAGTAAATGTGGGAGGAGGAATTATCTACTCTAAAATCTCCAAGTGCCATTGCGTACGGATGTTTCCCCTTTTTTTGAAAAATATAACAATAATAATTAATTTGAATGTGGTATGGAAGCAAATGAAAGAAGGTTAAGTAAGCTCATGTATTGTAAAAAAATGAGAAGTCCTTCGTTTTTCCCATGTCTGCTTCGTATATATATATATTGGGAATTGTTACAAAAGAGTTGCGCAATAGTTATAAAAAAGTGCAAAATCGAAAAGATAAAATAACTTTATAGACCTAAATATATTTGTGTGCTAGTTAAAAAAAAAAAAAAAAAAAAAATTACACGTGAATATTAGACAAAAGATGTAAAGGGGTGAAGGTTGAAGGGTAGTTTTTCATATGTCTACAAGGGGAAACTCTTTCCTTCAAATTCTTTCGTATTCTATGTATTGCATTGCAGTAGGGGAAAATAAAAAAATATATTCACATTATTCATAGGTGTGTACACATGTCTAACATCTTTTGGCTCTCCTTTTATACAAAATTATATTTTTCGAAAAATTAGTGAACTCCTAAGAGATAAGATTTTTTTTTTTTTTTCTTTTTTTTTTTTGTTTGGTGTGTTTAGGAAGGGGACCTACTTATAATTCATGTACCTGAGCTTATGATATATTCCTTACCTGTTGTCGATGTCCTCATTTTCCACTCAGGTATTTTTTGCAATGTTCCATAAGAACGTTGAAACGTTTAACGAATTGAAGTTCATGTTGGAGGTTCATGCATGATTGAATACTAGAACATACGTGCAGGTAGAGAAGTACAAATAGTTCTTAAGAGATATAGGCTTTTTCATGCCTTTAAAACTGCATAAAATAGCCTATAATGACTTGAGTGCTCAAAACATTAGCATGCTTCAGGAATACCAAAATCTTAAAATTTCAATTAACAGTCTGAACGCTTCAAAAAAAGAATATAATAACCATCTCACACAAGATATAGAACACACATATATGTATACGTATGAAAGTGTAAAACGTGTCTTATTTTTTTTGAACTTGCTTTTGTCTCCAGTAAACATACCATCAGAAAAAATATATTTACTAAATATACAGTTTATTATTATGCTTAAAGAGGGTTTAAAATAATAATAATAAAAAAAAAAAAAAAAAAAAAAAAAGTGAATCAGTGAATTGGAATAAAATATATTATATAAATAAAGATATCTCTCTTATGTAATAATATAAATATTACGCGTAATAAAATATTATATAACATATATATATAAAAATCTGAAATGGAAAAAAAACTAAATGTTATGTATAATGCTCATAAAATAAAAAAATAAAAAATAAAACATTTTTGTTAAAAATATAAAAATTGTGTTAAAAAAATTTATAAAAAAAAAAAAAAAAATAATAAAATAAATTATAAAATTTAAAAAAATAAAAAGGTTCAGTCCAATTTAACATTTGATTTGTTCCGATTAATCACTATTTATGCATAATTTACAACATATAATCTTTATTTATTCTGAAATTCAAATGTAATAGAAAAAAAAAAAAAAAAGAAAAAATAGGAAAAAAACAAATTAGAAAATATAAAAACATTAAAAAAATATATATAGAGAAGTAAAATACTTGAGGTTTAAAATTTTTTTTTTAATGCTTTTCACAGTTTTAATATCTGTTTTTATGCCTTCCAAAAATAAGGATGATTAAACTAGGTCCAGGGGGAAGGAATGTGTAATATGGTTCATATGTACTTATATATATATATAGTTCTAACAATTCGTTTTTTTAATATATATAAATAATAGGCATTTTTTTTTTTTCTCTCAGTTTCACTTCATGTACACGACTGAAAATAGTACAAACATTTTTTTTTCTTTTTTTCCATTTTGAGCAACTTTTTCCTTTTTATTTCATTCCGTTTAACGTCATTTCCTGTTCATTTTATTTCATTTTATTTGATTTCATTTCATTCCAATAGATTTAAAAGATCCAGGCTGAAAACCCTCTTAGTCCATTAACGGTCGTGTTTATAACGCAGTTTTTCTTGTGCTTCGAAGCATTGTCCAGTTTATTCTTCTTATTCGCTTCTATATAATTCGAACACACAGAATCGTTTAGGTACTTCAAGCTTTCATCCATTACATAATCCTTTTTTTTTTTCTTTCTTAATCGAAACCATTTTTTCTTTTTGTTTTTCTTTTCAAAGCAGGACTTATAATCATTTAAACTTTTATTTTTATAATAAAAAAATTTATTGCTTTTATCATCCCCATTGTTCACAACATCTTCAATATCAGTTAATGAACAGAAGGTCTGATCTCTTTCATAGTCATACTTATCTAGTTTCTTTTTGTCATAGGGATAGTAAATATCTATCTTATTGCTACTATTCTTATATAATTTAAATCTGTGACATGTCCTCATCAAATTGTTATCAATGAATTCATCACTATCATCACTTATTACCTCATTTTTTATTAAAGCAGTCTTAATATTAATCTTATTGTCTCTGCTATCTTCGTTATAGTTATTCCTTCTCTTTGTAAACCTCTTAAAATTCAATCTGCAATTATATTTTCTTTTATTTTTATTATTATGCACTTTTTGCTCATTAAGGCTATCTAATGTAATAGTCATTATTTTTATACTTATATATATATATTATTTTTTGCATAATAGAAAAAATAAACATATATGCTTATTTTATTCTTATATTCCTTTTAATGGAAAATATACAAGCATAATGTTGTAAAGTGTTTGTGTGAACGATGGCAAAATATTGAACCTATTTTTAGGCTTACGTATAGTATGCACATATATATATATATATATATGTATATACTTCTAACCACACAATATTCCGAAATCAATTAACGCCAAAAAAAAAAAAAAAAAAAAAAAAAAAAAGGGGAAAAGAATGCGTATTATGGAATACTATGTAGTAATACGTAAAAATGTTTTATAAAAGCAGCACATAATATATATGTGCAAAAGGGGATGGTGGAATATGCGTAATTCGAGAAATACAATTGCGCGTTTTTAAAAGCCTATTCTTTTTCTAAAAAAAAATATGTGTGCGCAAAATTTTTGCATACAATATATATTAATGCATTTGAATATGGGGAAAAAAAATTTGTTCTTACTTATGCAGTTTGCGTGGTGATATGTAGAGCTGTTACTGCGTGTTATACATCTATATATATATTATACTTCACGAGGAATTGGTTACATATAAATTATATGCAAATAATATATATACGACGAGCGCACTTAAATACCAAAACAATTTCACTTGTTCGAAATTCTTTTCTGCTTTTTCTTATATCTTTTATTATCACGTATAATCAAAAAAAAAAAAAAATAAAAAATAAAATAAAAAATAAAATAAAAATATATGTATGGATAAAATCCTCTTCGAAATATATAAAAAGTTTTATGCGCGTGATACGTTAAAATTCTAGCAAATAAATATATACATAGGCAATGTACGTATCAGGTATAAATATAAATATATATATATGTTTTGTGAAAACATATATATACTATATATAAAAATACATAAGGTACGTACATATATATGTATATATTCATTCATCCTATTCTTATACACTTACAAATAAAAGTGTTACGAAAATGCTTTTTTTTAGCGTAAAATGATGCTTGTTTTGTATACTTTATTCCTATATAATATTTTAAAAATATTATATAAAAACAAAAAAAAACATTAAAACTAGTTTTAATTTTACTATTTTTAATTAAAACAGTAAAAGCAAAAGTATGCGAGAGAAAATATAGTTTTTAAAGAAAAAAAATTTATGCTTAATGAAATTTATTTATATTTTTTAATCTAAAAGTTAAAAAAAAAAAAATAAATAATAAGTAAAAATAGTAAATAACTAAATAAAAAATGCGAGATATGCTTTCGGGTTTCTTTTTATATGTTCATAATTAATGGCACAATGTTTAGCATAAAAAAAAAATTTTACTTTTAAATTGACTTTTCAGCAAAAAAAAAAAATAAAATAAAAAAAAAAATTTATATTTTAATTAAAATTTGCGCATTATATAGATGTTATATATAATAAATCCATGTTTTTTTATATATGCATAAAATAACGGTATTATTTGTATTTTTAAAAAATAATAATTTTTTTGCTTAGTGCTTAAAATTGCCAGCATTACAGAAATACATAAATGGGTATGTATATGATATATATATGTGCTGTAATGTAATAATACATATTATATATCTGTGAAAAAAAGTTTTAGTATAAAATGCCCTGCATGTGCACATTTACTAATATCATTTTCCGTTATTGTGTTTTTTCGTTGGAAAATGTTATACTATAATGTTTGTAGTGTATATAATATATATAGTAGTATATATAATATATGTATATTCATATTTACATATGTACAGAATAAGAAAAAAAAACGTTATACTTAAAAGAGTGGAAATTTCAATGAAACGCAATTTTTTTCTTTTTAAAAGATACAAAAAGTAATGACGCGCGCCTGATAGTGCTTTTTAAAACAAATTAACCCCCCCCCCCCCACCTCTCAATATATAATAAAATATACTTTTGTTAAACTGGTCATTTAGTAACAGATTCAAAAATAAACGTAAAGTGTATTTATCAGGGGGAAATGGAGTTATATATATTCCATATTATGTATATATAATATCACATAATAATATATATATATATATATATATATATATATATATATGTAATTTGTTATAGAATATGAAGGAAATTGAAGAAGTGCGGAAAGAAAAGAAGGGGGTAAAATATATATTTATATGCCTCGCCTTTTAAAAGTTTTTATTTTTTCCCTTTCTTACATTTTCCAAAAATTTGTAAAAAAAAATTATAATACTGCTAAGTTATATAAGATTAGTATAAAAATTTACGAAACTGATTAACAAAAAGGAACGCGAAAAACATACAGTTAACCAAATAATGAATTCACACGGCAACCAATTTTTTTTTTTTAAAAAGAAAATATAAACCCCACCCATCTCTGCATATCCATTACTACATAATTATTACGATTCTTTGTATGGCAATTTTTTTAACTCCTTTAAAAAGAATATGCAAGTGTTGGCATAAGGAAGATTAAATATAAATATTGTGGTAACATGAATATTATAAGAACACATAAAAATATAAACCGGTTAGGTGAAAATACACTTCTGATTGTACAAACTTGTTTGTAACAATTCCTTTAAATTTTATCCCCATGGCACGCTTATGGCGTAGCTCTTCCATTTTACCGTCTGACCCCTATACGTTAACATATTTTAAATTAGCACTGTATAAAAGGAACCATAAAATAAATAAAATTTTAACCAAATAATTATGTTCTCTGATCACAATGTTCTATTTGATGTGCAAATATGAATGAACAGTTGTAATGACCTTTTTTTAAGTTTCTGCTTACCCCTTTCTTTCCCCAATAAGAATTATTGTAACATATAAAAAAAGTAAAGCTGTAGAAATGTAAGAAAATCCAGTGCTTCTGCTAAATGAAAGTTCTCCTCCATTTCACCGTAGGATCACGTTATCCCGTCTATATACACAATTATCATATTTATGTACCAAGGAGGGTGAAAAAAAAAAAAAAAAAAAACTGCCGTTATATAATGCACATGTAGTAAATAATTTTTTTCAGTAAAATACAAATGATGTTTTAAAGGACATGTTTCACACCGGTACTAATTTTTTTTTTTTTTTTTTTTTAATACACTTACTACCCGGTGGATTAAATATATGTATACACCTATGAGCATAATACATGTTTAATTCTCTAAAAACGTTTTAGGTAGGTACATCAAAGCACTGTGTAATGTGTTGAACTCATCTTTTCTCATCCATTGAGTTAAAAGGATGTTTTCATTTTTTAAATTGTTTTGCTCGGTTTTTAAGAAAGAAAGGAAGAAACACACTATAAAAAAAGCTTAACTTTTAAATATTAAATAGGGAGAGACATCTTACTTCATATTAAAATTATGTGTATTTGACTATATATACTGTTCATATACCCTTTTCCTTTTTTATTCATATGGAAAAATTGAAATAGCAAAAAATAATTTACTTTTACATGGTATAAAAAGATAGAGGCACCAAAGTGGGAAAACACTATTTAATCATTTTACTTAGGAAAAGTAAAACAAGGAATATTCATTTAATTCATTTTTATCAAAAAAAAAACAAAAAAAAAAAAAAAAAAAGAAAGAAAAAAAGGGTAATTTATACAAATACACATCCATCAGTAGAAACAGTTTGTACCATTTTGCACAATAACACATTACTCCAATAGTGTTGAAGGAAAGGAATATTATATAGTTATGATAAAATTTTTCTGTCTGTTAAAAGTCAATGTAAGCGTGTTTCTTTGCATTTCCACCTCATTCTTACTTTTTTTCATTTGCTTTTTTGTTCGTTTGTGTTTTTTTTCATTTGCTTTTTTGTTCGTTTGTGTTTTTTTTCATTTGCTTTTTTGTTCGTTTGTGTTTTTTTCCTTTTTCCTTTTTTTTTTTTTTTTTCTGATAAATAGAATAAAAAGTTCTAGCCAAAATGAAACAATTTTCCCTGCGCGTTTTAACGAAGGCTTAATTGTGAGGAGAAAAATCGTTGAAATTTACATTGAATACATTTTCCAACCTGCAGAAATGTTGATTTCAATGTGTACACTTATATAAGTGTAACGCCCACGATAAAATTGTTTTTGAAGCTGTTTTCATAAATTTTAAGATAAAATGGAAAAAGTGTCTTCAATTTATGTGTAGTGTTTAAGAGACATTTTTTGCTTTGTTTTGTTTTGCTATGTTTTGTTTTGTTATGTTTTGTTTTGCTTTTTTTGTTTTTTTTTTTAAATGAGCAATGTTGGCAAATTGCGAACGCATTAATATCCTTTTGTAGAAAAAAAAAAAAATTAAAGATGTTTACAAAAAAAAAAAAAAAAAAAAAAAAAAAATTTTTTATATTTTAAAAAAAAAAAAAAAAAAAAAAAAAAAAAAAATAAATAAAATAAAAAAAAAAAAAAAATCATATAGGCTATACCAAAATGTAGATTAAAAATGCACTGCTTATAAAAATATTCTATTGTACATATTTCCAACTCATGAAAAAAAAAAAAAAAAAAAAAAAAAATACGTCTACACTTGCTGAAAAACATGTAAGTAGAATAAAATTAAATATTTTATTAAATATATATTTTGAATGATTTTTACGATTTTTTATTTCGTTATTTTAGGCCTATTTTATTCTTTGTAAATTTTTCTTATGGATTTGATTGCACATTCTCTTGAGACTTATGCATAACCTTTTTTTTTTTTTTTTTTTCCCCACCCCCCCCTTAACCCCTTTTAAGTGTCCCAACCTATAGAGACAAGTAAAAAAACTAACTCTTATCACACTCCTTCCAATTCGTAAAGAACGGATGGAGAATAAAAGATGATTAATTTTGAGACTTGCAAAAATACTGAAAAGAAAAATGAAAAGAACATACACAGATGCTGTTCCATGAATTTGGACGATGAAAAAAGGGAAGAAATAAATGAAATGTTAAAAAATTTTAAAAATGATGAAAGAGAAATTTGCTTTCCTCTGTTAGACTATTATTTTCTGAATAAACAATTCAAATACCAAAATTTAAAGGAAAGTTTGGAAGTAAATAACAATGTCAATGAGTACATCAATATGAGGTTTCTTCGGAAGGAAACTTATCCCAAGGATGCATTTTTTAAAACAGAACAAAAAAATAGGGAAATGGTGGTATACAATAAATTAATGAAAAAAATGGAAGAAACCCAGTGGAAGAGAACAAATGACAAGAGTAGCATCAGACAAAGTAGGAAAAACATAAACAAGGACTACTTAGACGAGAATGAAAGAAAACATAACAATGCTGCAAGAGAAAATAATAAATTACCCTATGATATTCCCACCATGTGGAAAAAAAATGACATTATAGGAACATTTAACCCTGTGTATAATGCAAGAGATCAAATAATGAATGATATTTGTATTGACTCCATCCCGACGATAGACATTTTTTATAATTCCTCAAAATTACTTACTATTCAAACCGTATTTGAACCTATTAGTAATTATATATACTTATTACGTCTGTTGCCAAAGTTTTGTCTACCTCTATACGATTCGGGGATATTACAATATGCATGTGAAGACCCAATACTAAATCCTAAATTAAGAGGATTAGAAATTTCCTATAGATTATTAGTGCATGATATTCTATTTTATGCCTTTTTTTCATATTTATCTGATTTACCATTTTGGGCAAAACCACCGATTGAACTGCTCAGAATTTACAACTATGAAAGTTTATATTCTTTTAATGACTATGAATCAGAACACACAGAAAGGCTAGTTTTTCATAATATAAAAAATATTTTATACAATTTTGCAGATACGATAAATAAAATTGAATTATTATATCCAAAAAATTATTACATCACCATTTTTCCAAATATTTATTTTAAAAACATTATCCAATTTTTAAAAAGTGAAAATTTTAAGTTAAAAAAAATTATAGTTGTTTTGAAGGGAAAAAATTATATTGATGAAAAAATGATTAGTCATATTAAAAATAATCTTGAAAATTTTAGAGGCATGACAACAGAAAATATAAAAAAGAAAACGAATCACAAAAAATTTCTCCATAATTATTCTAGAACCCAAGATGAGGGAGTAAAAATTGATACAAAAAGTGTAATAGATGCTATAAAAAGGTGCCATAATTCTACTGATGAGTTTTTATCACTTAGCAAATGTGGGACTGGACAACTAGCAGAGAATTTAGACATTCCAAATGAGAGAAAAAATGAAAAACAAAATTTGGAGAAAAAAAAAGACAAATTAATATCGGACGATTTAGGAAAAAGAAAAAATCATGAAAATGAAAAAACATCTAACACTTTGAATAACATCCCTCATAATAACAGTGAAACGTATGGAGCCACTTCAATAACCCCTTCTGTGAGTCAAGATAACAGTGTGGCACAAAGCAGAGGGATTACGAAATGTAGTAAATATAATATCACACATGAAAAAAATAGCCAAATAAAGGAAAACAGGAATTGTATTAAAAAGGAACAAGAGAAGCAGCAAAATACATCTAGTAGCAACAACAATCTGGAAATTTTCCCTTTTGAGGATCTAAACCCATGTGATAAAGCGGATGAAAATAATAATCATATTGATGAGAAACATGCTAACAGAAATGGGAAACAAAGTGATGAATTAAAAAAAAACGCAAAAACTAGCACATTGGATAAGTCATTTAGGGAAAACAATTTAATTGATATGTCAGATAAATATAATATTGACACATCGGTATATAATATGTATTACCAACGCGAGAAAAAGAAGCAGAAAGATGATATCTCTATTTTTGAGAAATATGAAAAAAAAGATGTCCAAAATAGAAAGTACAGTAATTCGTCCGAATCGTCATGCAGTGAAGATAATGAAACAGACGATGAAAATATTGATGGTTTTTTTAAAACAAAAAAGTTAAAGAGTACAGTGTATGATAAAGACGATTTTTCTTTTTCTAAATTTATGAATAAAATTATAAATTATGAAAAAATAATTGACTACTTAAATAATGACCCGCAACGCCAAGAAAGTGAAGATTCCAAAATTAAGTTTTACATTAAGTTGTTGTTATTTGAAAAGTCTAACACACCATCTTATGTAAATGAAGATGTAAATGAAGATGTAAATGAAGATGTAAATGAAGATGTAAATGAAGATGTAAATGAAAATGTAAATGAAAATGTAAATGAAAATGTAAATGAAAATGTAAATGAAAATGTAAATGTAAATGAAAATGTAAGTGATGAAGTTCGGGTTCCATGTACAACGCCTGTGGAGGTTAATGGGATAAGCGATCTAGTACATGCAGATGGTACAACTCCACCTACAAATAACGATGATATGGTTCAGGCGGAGGTACATGGGACTCAAATCGAAGGAACTATTGCTTCTGACAAAGGAACACTTGCCACTTCGGTCACCCGTGGGGGAACCCTCATCAACCATATAACCGACGGTGGAAATGATAAGGATACTGCTGAGAGTAATAAAGTTACTCTGATTGAAAACAATGACAACATGCGCTCAGATGCAGAGGAGGAGAATGTTTTAAACAGAACCCAAAATGATCATGCGGAAATTTCATCAGACTATATCGGTAACTTGATAAGAAATTTAAGGGAAACCTACGCAGCTACAAATTTCTTATCATTCAGTAGCATCGAAGAAGATGTACGTGATCCCAATTTCAATTTAAATGACGTGCAAGATTCGCAAACGAGGTTAACATTTAACTTTAATTAGAGAATGTGCACATCAGCATATAAAGACCATCCATACAACAGGTGTTTATTTAGAACTTCTAAGCAAATAATAAATTTACTCTTTTTTTTTGTTTTTGTTTTTATTTTGTTTTATCTTTTTTCCCCGTGAAATGTATTTCTTACATATACATGAACAAATTTGAACCAAAAGATAGGGTTATTTTTTCATTAAAGAAAATATTTGTTTTATTTCGTTTTATTTTGTTTAATTTTTTTTTTTTTTTTTTTTTTTTTTTTTTAATAGTATTATTCTCTGTGCATATTATGTATAATATAATTTGATGTTTTATTTTTTAAAAATACATATGTATCCTGAATATGTACATATGTATACAAACCTTTACGGTTGGTGCAATTATTTTTATTATATTCTTTTCCTTTTATTTTATTTATTATTTCTTCCTTTCCTTTTTTTTTGGTATAAAAGACATGGTGTTTCTTAACTGGGAGAACCCGTCCCAAGCACCACGTGTAGAAATCACCCCTGAAGCTTCTGATCAGATTGTGTTTTTAAAAAATCCTTCTGTATGGCTTCAATATCTAAGTTATACTTGTCAGGATTCTTAACCTTCCTAATGAGACGTCTTTTCTTTTTTTGCTTATAGTAAATGTTAATTGGAGTTCCTCTTATGTTGAAGGTTTCTCTTATTCTACTTTCTAAATATTTTGTATAATTTTCGTATGCACTTTTTTCAGAATTACAGAAAAAAACAAAGCCTGGTGGTTTAGTATGCGCTTGAAAGGCATAATAAATATTTAGTGTCTTATTTTTTATAGGTATGGGTGGTCTAAGTAATAATGCTTCTTTTATAACATCATTTAGACTATTCGTATTTATTTTCCTTGTGTAATGTTTATACGTTTCTTCAGCATGATCAAATATGTTAAGTAATCTTTGTGATGTTTTGGCTGAAATAAATAAAATATTGGCAAAATCTATTGGCTTTAAAAGATTAAGTACATAATTTTTGGTATCATTAAATATATCATTTTTGTTATATATAAGATCCCACTTATTACAGCAAATTATACAACTTTTATTTTCTTGTACTATCTTTCTTGCTATATTTATATCTTGGGAGGTAATCCCGTTAAAGGAATCTATAACAAGAACGCAAATATCGCTTCTTTTTATAGCCTTTTCAGTTCTATTAAATAATAAATACTCATATTTCGTTTTCTCATTAAATGGAACATTTTTCTTTCTTTTTTGTATTCCTGCTGTATCAATAAGTCTATATATTCTATCATTACCTTCAATTTTTACTAAAACATCAATGGAATCAACAGTAGTTCCTGCTATGGGGGAAACAATAAAACGATTACAATTTAAAATTTTATTTAGTATACTTGATTTCCCTGTATTGGGTTTTCCAATAAAGCTAATGTTTATGATATTCTCTTCCTTTTCTTCGTTTTCTTCTTCTTCATCTTCCATTTCATTTATTTCCACTTTTTTAATATACTTTATGCACTCATCTAAAATTTCAGATAGTCCATTTCCATGAATTCCACTACAGGGATAAGGGGTTCCAAACCCTAGTTCCCAAAAATTTTGCGCTTTAATATATCCATCTTTGTGTGACTCACATTTGTTTACACATACAATGACTTTTAACATAGTTTTATTTTCGAAATCATCACTTCCATTTTCTGTATTTATTTTGTTACTATTTTGGTTGAATTTACCCGATGTAATGTCTTCTTTCACGTTATTTAATATGTGCCGCTCTTCCTTAATCATGGGATATGGTGCACCTTCGGTAGTTCTTGAATTGGAATTCTGATCGATTCTTTTCTTTTCATTAGCCAATTTATTAGTGTACTCATTTTTAATATATTTCCTAAGAAATTTACAAATTTCTAAGTCTCTGGGATGAACGCCATTTATCCCATCAACAATGAGCAAAACAACAGAGGATTCCTTAAGTGCTAATAAAATTTGATTTCGTATTTCTTTAGAAAAATTTTCATCTTCGAATATAAGGCCTCCTGTATCTACCAATTCGAACTTATATCCATCCCAATCTGCTTCTCCATAAATTTTATCTCTTGTACTACTTTCCTCTAGGACAATACTACCCTCCTGAAATTTTCTCGTTAATCGATTAAATATGGTCGATTTGCCAACATTCGGTCTTCCTATAATTGATATTAAGGGCAATGTTCTCATGATTTTTAAATCGATATATTTTTTTTTTCTTCCTTTCAATTCTTTTCCCTTTCCATCGGTCCCCTTGTCCCGTGGGCTTTTTATTGGGTATCTGCAATGATCCGCATTATCATGGAAAAGCCCTTCGTCCTTTTCCTCTTCCTTTTCCTCTTCCTTTTCCTCTTCCTTTTCCTCTTCCTCTCCCTCATCCTTTTCCTCTTCCTCTCCCTCATCCTTTTCCTCTTCCTCTCCCTCATCCTTTTCCTCTTCCTCTCCTTCATCCTTTTCCTCTTCCTCTCCCTCATCCTTTTCCTCTTCCTCTCCCTCATCCTTTTCCTCTTCTCTCACAAGATTTCTTATACTTTTCCCGAATTTCTTACATTCTGTGTGCACCTTAATAAAACCATTACCAACGCTGTTTCCTCTATTCTTAACTTCTTCTACATCGTGAGGAAAAGAATCACGTCTTGTGGCATCATCAATAGAGTACTTTTGCCATCCATGGTATGTACTATTCCCAGAAGGAGGACTTACGTGGTATCCTTTTTTCCCTGCTTCATCTTTTTCAAAATGATAATTTTTATTGTCTTCAAAAGTGTCAACATGGTTATGAATTGGACCTGCATTTTTATTATCAACATGTGTGTGAATTTTTTCCTCTTGGTGGTTTTCCTTAATGGAAGATTTTTTTTGAGCAGCCTCCACCCTGTCTGATTCATCGACTATTTTATTTCCTTTATGTTTAATGTTTGGTCCATTTTGGTACCCATAATTATTTCTTAAATTTTCATTTCCTGCAAATATTTTAAAGCGATAAACATTTCTTCTTCTTTCTCTTCTTCTTTTTTTTTTCAGTTTATTGTATTCATTTAAAAAAGGGACATGCGATGAATAACTAAACAAGGAAAAGATTTCTTTTTTCGTGCACAAAAAACAATTATTATCAACAGGCTCGTGGAAATTTTTAATCAGGGAGCTCATGCAAAATTGTAAATAGATAAAAACAAAGATTGTTATGAAGTGGAAAAATTTAAATTTCATAATAAAAATTATGTATTATAATTTTGTATTGTATTGTATTTTTTTCTTCCGTGTGGATGAGCTTAATGCTTATACACGTGCGTGTAATTGAATGTACATGTACATTCATTTGTATATGTATATGTTTTAGAACATCCGGAAAGAATGTGTCTCATAAAATACCAATGTAGGTACAATGCATATATCTCTATGCAGTATAGTTTACTTCCATTTCTGCAAAATAAAAATGTGTGTATATGTGTCCCAACGCCTTTAAGACGAAAAAGTGCAAATATCCTCAGGGAGTCATAAAAGTAGGCAACGCGCTATGCTTTAACATTGTTACAATATTTGTTTGGTGTTTCATGTTTGGTGTTTCATGTTTGGTGTTTCATGTTTGGTGTTTCATGTTTGGTGTTTCATGTTTGGTGTTTCATGTTTGATGTTTCATGTTTGATGTTTCATGTTTGATGTTTTTTTTTATTTATTTATTTTTTTTTTTTTTTGTGTACATTTAATTTGGCGGAAGAGGAAGATAATGGCACATGAAATTGTATAACAAAATCGTAATCATAAAATGAAATAGGGAAAGGAAGAAATAATACTATCGAAACAAAAACATGTTCAACATATGTATATAACATCTGTATAGTTTACCTTAGTGTACTTGCGTGCAAAAATAGTTAGCAATGCAGAAAAAAGTCCCATTACATTCCCATTTTTTTTTTTTTTTTTATTACATCATTTTAAAAATTGGGAAATAGCGCAAAGTGGTGGTTTAAATTAGCATATTATTTAATTTTTGCCTCACTAAATATTTAAGTGTTTAGAAAAAGATTGAAAAAACTGTGGAAATGCAATAAAGAACAATATTAACATGACATTCTGTGAATAGATTATATATACTACCATTTTTTTTCTTTTTTTACTGATAAAATATGTTGGCCTTTTTCTACTCGGACTATTTTTTAATATTTCCAAGAAAAAAAAAAAAAAAAAAAAAAAAAAAAAAAAAAAAAAAAAATATATAAAAAAAAAATTAAAAAAATTTAAAAATTGGCCTTTTTTTACTCGGTTTTTTTTTTAATATTTTAAAAAAAAAAAAAAAAAAAAAAAAAAAAAAAAAAAAAAAAAAACGAATTTATATACAAACATTTACTTACAGTTTCGAATAAATATTATTTCTACTTTTGAATAAATTAAAAAATGCTAAAAATCATCAGATGGGGTAACAAATTGTTATACTACAAAATTACTCTGAATGAGCTTTTAAGCAATTATATTGGCAAAACTCGTTGAAAAGACAGAATATGAATGCAAAAAAAAAAAAAATAATAAAAAAAAATGCCTAAGTATTCATCTCCCAATTATGAGTTTTTCACAATGTATGAGAGGTACTAAGACTTCCAACATATACACATAAAACAGTTTATTACATGTGGTATATGTGCATGTGTGTACGAAAAGGTGTGAATAGTATATACAGGGTGTGTGGGCTTATAATCCCAAAATAGAGAAAACAAAAATTCTTTCAGGATACATGTTTTAAGGATTATAAACTATCACATTTAGGTTATATATCTTTCGGAGGTAACCACATAATATATATCCTTCATTTTCCCATTTCCTAATTGGCTGTAAGGTGAATTTTTTTTTTTTTTTTTTTTTTTTTTTTTGGCGTTCTATATGTACAAAATATTTTCAAATTTTTTTCTCCATCCAATTTGCAAATGTGTTTTGTCTTTTCCAGTTAAGTAGTTATATAACTATATACACTTCGAAATTGTATGACAAATTTTATATATAAACAAGATTAATTCCTGGTTATTATTTCCAAAACGGATGTATCAAATATTTTCTATATTATTCAAAAGTTTCCTTTTTTTGGATTCCGATATTTCATTCCCTTTTTCCTTTTCATATAAAGATTTTCTTTTGGCTTGTTCTGATGTGATGCAATTTTTTATTTTATTTCCTTGGTTATTGTTTTGCCCATCTTTTAATTTATCAAATTCATCCACATTCTTTTCAAAAATAAAATCATCTGCAAAATCTATGATAAGATGTCTTCCATACAAATGGGTATGTTGCAAGGAATCTATAGCTGTGATGCATTCATTTTTTGACATAAACTCTACAAATCCATATCCCCTACTTCTGTTGTAAGCATTTTTGGGAATTCTAACACTTTTAACATTTCCAAATGCAGAAAATAATTTTCTTAACTCTTCTTTTGTAACCTGAAAGGCTAAATTTTTTACAAGTAATTTTTTGGTAATTTTTTTTTTTTCTTTAACAATTTCTTTTTCTTCCTTATTTTTGTTTATTTTTTTTTTAATTCTATTGCGAGAAAGACTCATCTCCAAAACATGATCATCCAGTGTAGTTCCTGCCAATTTCTTAATAGCTTCAATGGCTAATTCTTTGTTTTTAAATTCAGCAAAACCATATCCTAAAGAAATATGTTTTTGTTCGGATCCTTTGTTCTTTTCGTGATCATTTTGAGATATAACTTTTTTGCTTTTTACAATATTGCAAGTTATAAATCCTTCCAAATTTTCAAACACTTTTTTTAAGTCTTCTTCTTTGGTATTAAAGTTCACGTTTTTTATATATATGCTAGTGTGTGTAATTTCCTCATCACTTGATTCGCTTTCACTTTGATGCATTTCCTCCTTTGGGATTACTTCATTTTCACTATTTTTTTTTTCTACTTTGCTGGATAAAGTGGCATCTTGTGTCGATTTCTCCTCATCATTTTTATTATCCTTATTGTCATTAATTTGTTCGATCTTCTTTTCAAATAAATTTATTGGAGCCCATTCTAAATACAATGGTAATTTTTTATATCTTATGTATGAATTCGATATAAAAGCCTTCTTTGCATTTTCGGAATTTTCATATTGCATTATGGCTATATTATTATACGGGGAAAAGCTTATCTTACTCAAAACTCCATACCTTTTGAAAAGGTTAATTATATCATTCTTATTTGTGTGAATGGATAAATTTTTTATTATTATGGTATCGTCGCTCCGTTTATATTTAACAACTTTGTTTTTCATATTTGGTTCCTCTTGGGTATTCTTTTCTTCTCCATCTATTTTGGATTTATTCCCTTTGGCTATCCCCTCCTCTTTGATTTTCACATTGGAGTCATAGTTCTCCTCATTATCTTCATCCTTTTTTTTATATATGTGCTCAAATGCTTCCAAATAAATTCCTTCCTTCTTTATCCATTCTTTCATTTTGTTAATTATATATGTCTCTGTAAGGGATACATTGACCGCTATATTTCTGTCTTTTATGTTTAATATGGAGTGGGGGCTACATTTATTTTCTTTACAGAAATTGTGAATACTGGAATTTATATCTGTGTATAGAATATTCCATATATTTTCATTTTGGCAATTTCTCTTTTTTTGAATTTCCAGTATTTTTTTATATGACGTCTTAGAATCATGAGACAATTTAATGAATATATTATTCTTACTTTTTTCTGCATTTTCATAATATCCTAATTTTTCTTTTGCATATTTAACGCTTAAAATCTTTCCTCTAAAAATGACATTATTTAAATTTTCCTTTGCTTTTTCACAAGCACTAGGAAACATAAAGTTGACGAAGGCGTATACTTTTACATTTGTAAGGTCGCTGTTTATAATTCCATTTATTTGTTTGTCAGACTTCATAGAACTGCTCTTTTTATTATTTTCATCATCAATCTCTCTTTCTCTTATTACTCTGTCTTCTTTTTCCACTAAGGTGTTATGAAAGTCATTCATATTTTTTTTTTTGTTCTTTTTTTTTGACGGTTTTTCTCTCTCTTTTTCGCCTACAAAGGAATCATGATTTTCTTTCAATAATTTTATAAAAAATTCATCATTCGATTTATTGTTTTTTTTCTCATTAAAATTTATGTTCACTGTTCCTTTTCTTATAGTCTTAAAGACCTTAACATCAATAACAGGACCAAACCGTTCACATAGACTTTTTACTTCTTGTTCGTTTACAGGTGGCATGTTAAATATGATAATTTTCCCAGTGTTCATATTTTCACAATAGTCATCCTCAAAGTCATTACCTACGTTTTTTTTTTCTTTTTCATTCACTAATTCGTCGCTATCTACATTTATCTCGTCCTCCTCGAACAGATTTTTTTTTTTATTATCCGAGTCATCGCAGTTTTCTGTTTTTTTGGAAATTTCTTTTAACCAATTTAGTGCGTTTTCCTCCTGACCCTCTCCTATTTCTGCTCCACTTGGTGAGAGTTCTTTTGTACTACTATGGGAAACATTATTTTTGTGTTCCTTATTTGTACCTTGTAGAATAGTAGTATTTGTGTGTGCTTTCTCTGAAGACTCCAATTGTTTTTTCACACTTTCTCCATTTCTAGTGTCATTTTTCTCGCTTTTCGCTCCTTTTTCGCTTTTCTCTCCTTTTTCATTTTTCTCTCCTTTTTCACTTTTCTCTCCATTTTCACTTTTCTCTCCATTTTCGCTTTTCTCTCTTTTGTTCTCCTTTTTTTCCTTCCTCTTGGCCCCCGTACCTTTCGCCGGATCAATCAATGCATCCACTTTGTCCGAGCTCATTTGATCGTCTAAGAATATAACGTGACTTCTGGTGGTATTCATGCCTGCCTTGGTTTTCTGGATAGGAATCATTTTATTTATAAAATTTTCATTTTTAATAATTTTTATGGATTTGTCTTTTTTCATTTTTTGTGTGTCTCCCAATTTGTTCCGTGCATATAATGTTGCATTTTTATTATACTGCATATTTTTTGATATGATGGGAGAAAAGGCATCTTCAATGATAATTTTGCTTGTATTAATGTACGTGTTATTAAATGATTTTTTAAAATTTTCACAATCAATGTTATTAATGAAACCTATAAAACATATTTTTCTAGACTCAAACAGTTCTTTATTTTTTACTACTTTTTTTCTTTTCATAATTTTTATATCTGTTATTTTGAACTCAGAATTCCCTTTCATTTTAAAAAAATGTTTTTTTAAATCAATTTCATTCATATATTTTGGTATATTCTTTATAATGAGTCTAGTTTTATCATAGTTTGATTCATTGGTGAAGGATCTATTATTACAGCTGCTGTCAGCCATATCCATATTGTTAATGCATGACACTGTGTACTTCATTATTGTTCCCCTTTTTGTTCTCTCCTACGAGAGTTGATGGAATATGAAGAAATAGTTTTATGAAAATACAAAATATATTCCCTTGTATATATAACAAATCAAATATATTTGAGTACTTTTTATATACAAGTATATTATTTATCTGTTATAAGAAATATCCCCACTATATAATTCATTGTTACACTATGTCATAATTTGATAAATCTCACACGTATTGCATATGGAATGACAAATAGCGCTTAATTTGTTTTTTGTTTTTTTTTTCTTGAACCATGGTTTCAAATCTTCATTTTTGTTTGTTCACTTTTTTTCGAAATTTTGATAAATAATTTCTTATGTTCATAAATACGTAAGCTATTTCGGGATTAACTTTTTTTTTTTATTTTTTTTTTATTTTCCTTCTTTTTTTTCCAAGAATATAATATCTTTTCCAATTGTTATGTATCCGTATCCATCCATCCGTATTAACAATTGCTTAAAATTGCTTCAATTTGTAGAAAGTAAAATAAGAAGAAAATGCATAGTCCTTTAGGTGACAGGTACACAAGTATTCATAAGTCCGTAGTTAAACCAAATAAAATAAAAAATAATAAAAGGGGTATAAAAAGTAATGTAGCAAAAAAAAAAAAAAAAAAAAAAAAAAAAAAAAAAAAAACAGTTAAATTGTTTTAATCTACATCATAAACTATGTTTTCTTTAATAAACTTGGGGAAAAATCCTTTTCTATTTCTTAAAAATTAAAAAGCTTTTATAAAGTTGTATATATAACATTCTTACATGGAACAAATTGATATGCTCGATTTTTTTTTTTTTTTTTTTTTGTTTCTATTTTTGCTATATTTAACTCATTTAAGGAACAAATGTCACATTTATGTGATGAAATTGTCCAAAATAAAATTTCACATAAATTATAATATCCTGCCTTTCTTTTTTCCATTTTTCAACTCTATAAAAAAATTATTCGTTATTCGTGAAAGTATGTATAATAAGTATGTAATTATATATGAAGAGTCTTTAGTACACAGGTACGTATTGACTGAAGAAATATGTGGCTATCTAGGAAGTGATCAAGCATAAGAAAATGAGAAAGTATAGTCTCCTTTTTTTTTTTTTTTTTTTTTTTTTTTTACCTTTAGATATAAAGAGTGAATAATTGTAAAACCGTATAGCAACCAACAACCGTATGCGCTCCATCAGGCGCAAAAAAAAAAAAAAAAAAATGTGACCATTTTTTGTGAATATATATAACAAAAAAAAAATTATGGTGATAGGAAGAATGCCCTACTCATTGTTACATTATTTGTATATTATATAATTATATCATTATTATTGTTATTATTATTACTACTGATATTATTATTTTATTTTTTTTTTTTTTTTCCCATAAATATGGTGTACATACATCCTAGTCTTAACAAATTAAAGGAAATATATATTTAAGAAGAATAGAGCGTCTTTGAAAACATTGTCTTATGAAGCTTTCATGAATTTTCATTTTTTAATTTAACTCTCTGATTAATACATTACCAAATTGTCCATGTATTAACACTAACTTATTTCCTCCTTTTTTAACAATTAGGATTTATGAACTTACAACATCACATATGCTCAATGATAATGTTATTATATTTACTCACACATTGCAGCACATTCCATATTTAATAACTTGCAATGTCTTTCCCTCTGTATTAATTTTTTTTTTTTTTTTTTTTATTTATTTCACACCTTACATTTTGTAAATAAATGATATCTAAAAAAAAAAAATGAATGACAGTTTGGATGTAACAAGATTGTTGGAAAAATATATTTGGGGTTTTCTTTTGGCCCTAATAGATAAAAATAGAAAAAAAAAAATCTTGTCAAAAAACAAAATTGTAGAAATAACAAGGTTATTTTATATTATCGAAACAGTTTCGAAAAATATAAATGATAATGTCCATGCTACATTGAGACAAATATTTTACACAAATCCACAATTGTTCACTTCACAAAATGTTTCAAATATAACGCTTGGGAAATTAACAAAAATTATAAAAAAACCCAGAGAATTACTAAACATATATAATTCTCCCAAAGGAATAATTAGAGGAAATATTTTTCTGCTGGAAAAAAATTCAAGTTAATCAACCACGCTATACTGGTCTATGTTTTATCGCTCCCCTACACATACATGTCAAACAATAAACAAAAATATCCATATAAATGTACATATGAATGGAAACTTATAATCGCATATTATTGCACATGAAAAAAAACTTATTTTCGTTTCAGGCCCATGGGTTGACTGTATGAACATTTTTGAGGTTTGTCAAAGGGAGAAAAACATTTACTCCTGTTGAATCTATCTTCTCCCATCTACCTCAAATGCATTTAATAAATGCGTTTACACATAATTATTTACACGTATTTAATCACTTTCGATTCTCATATTTCGTTTTACATTTTGATCCACCACCACTCTTTGCTTGTTTCAACATCAATTTTTTTATCATCTTTTTAAATATCCTTATCCTATTGCACAAACCTAATTCTGAACAAACTGAGTACAAAATCCAACATTCACATTTTTTCAGACAAGGGGTCATTTGATATGCCCCTTTGGAGTGTCTGATATAAAAATCTCTCCTGACGTCAAATATGTTTTGATAATAGAAAAAGAAACTATTTTTTTTAAGTTACTTCAGTCAAATTTCATATCAAATTATGGACCATGCATTCTTATAACAGCCAGGGGATTTCCAGGTTTTCACACATGAAATTTGTTCTTAAGTGAAAAAAAAAAAAAAAAAAATGCTATACTTCGTTTGTGTATAGACAAGTGTGCATGTAGATATGTACGAGCAAAAAATAAGTTAAGAAAAAAAAAAAAAAAAAATATAAAAATATCCTTATACGTGAATGCCTTGCCTCACCTTTTTTTTTTTTCAGATCTAAATACTAGGCAACTTCTTTATGAAATTCGCAGATATAATAAGGACCTTAATATGTTCTGTCTAACCGATTACGATGCTTACGGTTATTTATATTTAATAATGTGAAAGCAGGGATAAACAGACAGCAAACTGTCATTTTGTTTCGTTTTGATTCGCTTTGTTTTGATTCGCTTTGTTTCGTTTCGCTTTGTTTCGTTTCGCTTTGTTTCGTTTCGCTTTGTTTCGTTTCGCTTCTTTTCATTCCCCAGTTGAAAGGAAGCAAAAGGAGCTCAGCTTTGAATTCGCCTGAATCATATACGTTAGTTGACGACTGGAATATTTTTTCTCTTTTTTTTTTTTTTGATTTTTATAAAGGGCTAAGCATTGCTTTCACCTATACCTCAAAAAAGGAGTCTAAAATTTACTGTTAAATAATATCATTAAACAAAGAAGAAAATATTATTTTAGCATTTTTTTTTTTTTTTTTTTAAAATGTCTATACATTTTTTTCATTTATTACATTTTTTTATAAATATAGACGTAGATGATATATCCATTGATAATTTATTCTGGTTGAATTTGTTCCACCCGGAGGAAGGAATTAAAAAAAAAGTTTTAAAAGAAATTGATATAAGTAAATTGACATCACGGGATACACGTATATTGGACAAGTACATTTTCATAACAGCAAACTGAATTTATATGTATGCAGAATTCATAGACTCATGATAATGCATAGGAGTTACGAATTCAACAGAATAAAGATATACTTTTTTTATTTTTTCTCCTATTTCCCTTGTTCGTAGCTTTTGTATGGCAGTAAAAAATAACAGCAAATTTAGCACTAATGAAATTAAGAGTTGGATGTAAGAACATAGGAAATAAAAGCATGCATAGGCATTTACATCATACACAAGCACTTATACATGCATGTCTATGAACAGAAGATCAAACATGGATAAAAAAAATGAACTCCTAAAAAATATATCCCCATCTGCAGTTCTCATTTTCCTGTTCTTTTAATCTTCGTAGGAACTATGCTAACCAAATGAAAAAGTCTGGAATGAAATATGAAATAGATGCAATCCAAGATGTTGAGAAGCACCTATTCACAAGGATAAGAGAATTCCTCTGAAATTGGAAGATGAAAAAATAAAAATCTATCCCCTTTGCACTTAATTTGGTTTTACGGATGTGTTACATAGGTATATATATATATATATATATATATATACGTGCATACACATGCTTATGTAAGTGAAAACCCTTTTATTAGTATGTGTTCACGGTTTTTATTTTATTTTCTTGTGTATTTTTTAATGTTTTTATCTGTTTATTTGCTTATTTTTTTATGTTTTTTCTTGCTTATTTTTTTATGTTTTTTCTTGCTTATTTTTTTATGTTTTTTCTTGTTTATTTTTTTATGTTTTTTCTTGTTCATTTTTTTATTTTTTTTCCCCAAAGAGCAGATACTTGAATAGCTTCATTCCCAAGACATTTAACCCGCACTTTTTTGGCATAATATCAAAAATGCTGCTCATGTATATTTTCAAACACATGTAAAAAAGTGACACAAAAGAATGAAAAATGGTGAAGAAAAAAAATAAAAATTAATGAAAGCAAACGAATATTTACGACCAATGTGTAGTAACTCATTTCTACGTGATTAAACTAAGCCCATAACCCCAGGAAAGCAACAAAACTTAGCAATCGATAAATTAAGAAACGAATTCTACGCTGGGAAATTTAAACATGGAAAGAATAACAATAATATAAACTCAAAAAAAAAAAAAAAATTTTATTTAAATATTTTATCCCACACCCCTTAATTTTATTACTATGTATTATAAGCTGAAAACTGCACCAAGGATTTTGATCTTTTTCCCTCAATCAGAAATTTCAAGAACCACTCTCTTTTGATTTTGTACATTAAAACAAAATCAGTATATATGTATTAAGACATAATATTAGGAAGAAAAAAAAGGAAAAAGGGGACATGGGGGTAAATATACCTACACACATAAGTACGCATAAATGTATACTTTTGCTTAGATTCAGAGACAGGGTATTTCTGAATAAAGACACAGCTTATCATTTAAACCATTGAAAAAAGCGACTAAATTGTTACCGAAGGAAATATCGCTTTCTTTTTCTTTTTCTTTTACCTTTATCTTCCTCCTTTTTTTGCTCTATTATTTATTTTATTTTTTTAATTTTAAAAATTTTTTTTATTGTTTATATTTCATATTATGTTGAAAAACTGCTTCGACAACTTAGTTAGGTTTTCTCACCAGTGTGTAAAACATTATTGCAAAAGTAAAAATGAAATATTATTAATAAAAAGATTTGGCTTTAGCACACATCTATCTCGCATGGAACACTCCAAGTGTAAAATTTTGAATGATTTATATTTTCCCCTTTTAAAACATAGATTTAATTTTATACTAAGCAAGCAAATAAGTACAAAACGAAGAAGGTATTTTAAAATACGGAAACATCAGAAAAAAAAGTACAAAAAAAAAAGAATGGGTTTGTCTACAATTCCATGGATACCAACAAAGGAAAAAGTGAGAACTTACAAATTGCCTCGACAAAGTAGACTCATAAATAAAAGATTTATGAGGGACAAAAAGGGTGGTCGTAGATATCGTTTGAAGAAACAGCGATGAGCGGAATAAGTTCCCTGTCATAATGCACAGGGGGTGTTAAGATTATGTGCTTTTTTTTTTGTATTTTTTGCATCATATTATGTGTCCTTTATATTTTGCTTCTCCGTTTTGCTTCTCCGTTTTACTTCTCCGTTTTGCTTCACCTTTTTGCTTCTCCGTTTTGCTTCACCTTTTTGCTTCACCTTTTTGCTTCACCTTTTTGCTTCACCTTTTTGCTTCACCTTTTTGCTTCACCTTTTTTACTTCACCTTTTTTACTTCACTTTTCTTTGTGTGTAATACAAACATAGAGAAACAACTATTCCCCTTTTTTGCTTCAAACGAAGAAGTAAAAAAATTGTTACCCTTGCACACGCAGAAACCATTTCCCAACATCTATTGTATGCACGATTTTTTGTTGCTACTTCCATATGTGTTTTATTCGCTTTTTATTCTTCTCTAACTAGTTATTGATGAACTACTTTTTCGACCCCCTTTATGTGTAAAATCCATGTTGTGTATTTTAATAGTCAAATTAAACTTAAAACTGAAAAAAAATTGTATAACGGTGTCTAATAAGATTTGTGAAAAACCTAATGCGATGGGAAAAGAAAAAGAAAAAAAGAAAAAGAAAAAGGGAAAAAGGAAACATTTATGAACAAAAATAAACATTTGACAACTTTAATTATAAGCATATGAAAAAAATAAAACAAAATTATTTCAGTAAAAAGGATTAGTAAATATATACTAAAGGAAAATGCTAAAAGACATATGAGCAAAAGATGGGGAGGAGGAAAGGAGAAATAAAATGAAAAAAAAAAAAAAAAAAAAAAAAAAATTAAAAAATTAAAAAAAATGAAAAAAAAATAAAAGTTTATAAAAAAAAAAAAAAAAAAAAAGCTTTAACAAAATGTTTAAGCAATGCAATTCATAATGAAAAGGTTATATTAACGATTTCATCATTCATTCCATTCATTTACATACCTTTCGGATAGTGTGAATAAATGAAAAAAAAAAAAAAAAAAAAAAAAAAAAAAAAAAACATATGTAAAGCACAAATATGTGTAGAATATGATTATATGTCTACAAGTGTAAGCACAATTCTATGCTTAATTAGCAAAAACATATAATATGGTGGATATTTATCCATGAGTTTTCGCTAATAAATATGCTAATTCGAAGTTGCAACATTTTTTTTCTGCCAGCAAAAAGGTCGATAAAAAATATTTCGCCCCTCATTTTACATTATTTTATTTTTGCTACTTACAATGAATGATATTTGCATTGGTTTTATTTTCTCCGTGAACATGATAAATTTTCTCATATCCATGGATTCTTCGGTAGCTGACATACATTCATGCCTCGCCTCCAAAACCAAAACGGATAGAAATGCCATATCGAAGGGCTCTTCTTTTCATCACGTTCCTTAACATGAAAAGGAGTATCCTGTGTAAAAATATGGAAATGCATACAAAATTACACATTTTCCCAATTTCGATATACCACATGTTAAATATACAAATTTTCTCAATATTGAATCAAAGAAGAGTATATGTCCATTTCCTTCCTCTGTTGTAAATGTATCTATGAACCTGCTATTTTGCAGCTTTTTTCGCTAATATCTGTGCCCTGAGTGTTTTCATCCTAAGAATGACTTCATCAAGTGTTCTTGTTTTAATTTCTGATGCAACTAATTCTAATCTTTCTCTTTTCGGTAAGGATGATGGATATTTCATTAATGCTTGTTCTAATAAATGTTGCTCTTGATATGTCCATGGTCTTTTTACTACAGTATTATCACCTATATTATTTGTTAAATTAGCACCCTCGTAAGTTCCAGCTCCTGCTACTGGTTCTATTTTTATTTCCCTTTTATCTAAATTGTCATCAATTTTTTTCATTACACCTTTATTTTGATTTTTAAAATTATCAAAAGGTGTATCTTCAAAATTTTTACTTAAATTCTTTAACGTTTCATTTTCAAACATTTCTTTTGTCTTTTTTATAACTTCCTTAACACTTTTTGTTTTTATGTAATTAGCTATCAACTCCCATCTATTTCTTGTACCTCCTGGGTAAGACTTTAAAGCCTTGGCAAGTAAAGAAACCTCTTGGATAGTCCATTTTCCATGCGTGTTATTGCTAGATTCATCATTTTTTTTTTTATCATTTTCACAATGATTATTAGTACTTACCTGATTTTTCATTACTTTTGCATTTTCATTAACTTTTATATCAGTTTTGGAGGAACCCTTGTCTACAATTCCCTGCTTGGGTATACATGTACTATCTGTTTCTATTTTGTTCTTCAAGTTCAAGCTTTTGTCTGTGTTATTCCTTTTTTTTTCCTTATCCGTTGTATGGGTAAATTCATTTATATATTTTTTAAAAATTATAATTAACAACTCGATGTCTTTATCCCCTAGCTCTACGTTCTTCAAATGCCCTATGAATCCGGTGGTTTTTATTCCACTAACATCTTTGCTAATATGAGTCCGATTGGTGATCTCGTTTGTGTCATGCGTGACCTTATTATTGCTGTCGTTTGTCACGCTATGAATGCTGCTAAAATTGATGTTATGGTTACTGTTATGGCTGATATTCCTGTTGTTCGTCTGATTATTCGTGCTGCTACTAGCAGTACTACATGCCGTACTACTAGTAGCATTGTTTTTCCCCACATTTTTCTCCAAGGTGCTCCTCTTCGAGTCATCACTTTCTAGATGCACAAGGTCAGGTATTTTTTCCACGTACATGAAATTGTTCTCCTTTTGTTCTTCTCCCTTTTTCGTACTAGAAGAGTTGCTAACCACATAACAGGGGGCACTTAATATGATTCCAGTTTTATTGTGATGGAGGTTGTTAACTTCAATCGGTTGAGTTCTATTGGAGGTGTAACCGTTCGTTATTTTGTCTTGCTTATTTTTTTCTAAAACAAATTTATCCACATTTTTATTATTACAATCAGTGTTTTTCATAAAGTCATTATCACAATCCGTGTTTTTCATAAGGCCATTATCACAATCCGTGTTTTTCATAAGGCCATTATCACAATCCGTGTTTTTCATAAGGCCATTATCACAATACGTGTTTTCCACAAGGCCATTATTACAATCCGTGTTTTTCATAAGGCCATTATCACAATCCGTGTTTTCCATATGTTCATTTAATTTGTGGCTGTATTCATGGATGAATTTTTTCTGAGTAACTTTTGCTTCATAACTTGTGCCGTTAGCTTTCTTTTTGGTAGCATTATGAACACAATCCTCACACTTGTTCAGTTCGACACACTTGATGCATTCGGAAGTTTGCTTCTTTATCTGGGCATTTAAACTTTGTTCGTGCATCTGGTTACTGGTTATAACATTATTCTGAAATTTCTCGTTCACATTATTACTGTTATTTTCTGCACTATTATTACCATTTTTAAAATTCCAAACATTGTTTATGGATTCTTTTTTTCCTTGTTGCTGTTTTTGTGGTGTCTCCATAGAAGAATTGGATTTTTCTGCTTGGAAAATATCCGCTTTTTGAAAATTAAAATTTAGGCATATATAAATGTCGTATATAAATTCACATAAGGTTTCAAATGGCATTAAGGCCAACTGTTCTTGTACCAAATCTGAATCTATATATTTCGATAACTTCGTTATGCAGAGTGATTTAATATGATGTTTCCATATTTTTACAGCTGCTTTATTATCCTTATTCTTTTTATCATTATTTGCAGCAATATGCTGGTTGTTTGTATTTTCCTTTTCTAATTCGGTCATTAATGTATCTGTTTTTTTTTGTTTTTCCAATATGGCTAACTCTTTTTTCTTTTGTTTTTCTAATTTAAGTCTTTTATTTTCTGCAAGTATTCTAGGATCATTGTTGTACGCTAGATCTACTAATTTGATAATTCTTAAATTTTCTGCCTTTGATGCTTTTTTCTGTATTTTTTTATTTTCTCTTTCCATCCATCGTCTTTCCTCTCGACACTCAGCTTCCTCATAATCATACTCATTTTGATATGAAAAATCTCTCCAATTGATAAAATTATACCAAAAGTCATAAAAATATTTTACATTTTTAATGTTCGTATTTTCATCTCCTATATCTGGCACTGGTTTTTTAGCAGACCATTTTGCATTTCTTTTAAAAACAGGTCTCAGAAACTCATAAAAATTTGGTGCCTCTTCCAATTCGGTCAAGGTTGGAATATGTTCGTCAAATGGAATGGAACTATCATACTGTTTTCTCAATGTTTTATCTGACAAAACAGCATACGAATCTTGAATTTTTAGGAACATGGTTTTTTTTTCTTCTGGTGTTAATTTTTCTATGTTGTATTTCTCCATGTAATATATGAGGTCCTTTTTGATTTCTGGGTTGTCATTTCCCCCCTTATCCTTGCCCTTTTCCCTTTCTTTTTTTTTTTTTTTTTCCTTTTCCTTTTGATTTAAATAGTTTGTTCCTTTATTTTTATCCGGATGAAATAACAAAATTAATTTTTTATAAGAAGATTTTATGGCCTCTAAATCATCTGCTTCATCTACACTCAATATTTCATACACATTTATGTTATTATTTATGCACTTTTTCACTAAATTGGAACTTTTTTTATTATTTGTTTTTTCTTGTTTCTTCTTGCTGTTACTGTTCATATTATTCATATCATCATCATAATCATCATAATCATCATATTTATTTCCCCTTTGATTTTTTGTGGATCTCTCTTTTTTATACTTTCCAATTTGATCATCATCAGTGTGTTCTTCTTCTTCTTCTTCTTCTCCTCCCCCATTCTTTATTTTAATTTCATTTAAATAGTTTATTTTGTCTTTATATAAAAACAATTCATCAATTATAATATGTTTGTTTTCTTTGCATTTTTTTTTTTGTCCCTTTAAGATAGGAATTTCATATTTCACGTAAAACATAAACCCCGCTGGTTCTACTTTTTTCTTTTTTATACTTATGCTATAATTCCTGATGACAAGTGGAAGGCTATTCACCTCCTCTGAATATTCCTCATCATTTTTCGCCTTAATGTCTTTTATGCAAAACAGTTCTACTTCGATTTCAGTGTTTTCATTTTTTGATAACTTATAGTTCATTTTGTTCAATTAAATGGAGGGGCAAAAAAAACGGAAATAGATTAATTCGTTGGTTAATTCACGGATGGATGTGTACACTTGATATCTAAAACGGTTAATGAAATGATGAATGGATTTCTAATGTATTTCTAATGTATTTCTAATGTATTTCTAATGTATTTCTAATGTATTTCTAATGTATTTCTAGTGGATTTCTAATGTATTTCTAATGTATTTCTAATGTATTTCTAATGGGCTTCCAATGGATTTACAATGGACTGTCAGCCGTCTTCTAATAAATTATTAATTTTGGCCAGGGCATGAGAGAAAAATATTCTACAGAAAGTACCGTTAAAATTGGACTTAATCTATTCTTTTAACTTATAAATTGGCACTCCATTAAATTCATTGCATGCTGTCATATATATACATTTATATGTACACATACATGCATATATATATATATTTAGAGATAAACGGACAAATATAGGTAGAGAAAAGTCAATACACGTGAGGATTCATCTGTAGCAATACTTTTCTTCACAAGTGTTTGTTCATATATATGTGCACAAAAATTTTTTTTTTTTTTTTTTATTCTCCTTGGCCACCGGGCTTATAACGAAAGTATACCCGTTTAAATGATAATGTGGAGTCGTAAACTCAAATGATAAACTTCTTCAACCCATTAATGACAAATTTGTTTTTTAAAATTTATCAGCATAGGTAATGGTATGGTAAGGTTACATAATTGTATATATATATATATATATATATATATATATATATATATAAACATACATACATATATAAACATGCTTATGTCAGCATAATATATGTAAGCTCATGAAGATATTTCCATTTATACATATGACTTTCCCTTCATCTGTATATCAAAAAGTAAATGTTGTGTTCATAAATAGTAGCTTGCCCAAGGTATACACATAACATGTATAGAGCAGCTAACTGTAGACTGATAAATAATCTTTATCCAAGGAAACGAATGGCGAAAGATTATTCACATATATAAGTTAAAAGGGTGTGTATATTATTCAGTTGTTATATGCACAATTATAAATTTACAGAAAAAAAAAAAAAAAAAATTGTTAAAAGGTGATTTCCCTCTATCATTTTTGAAATTGAAAAATGCATAGGAACAATGAATAATTATTCAGATAAGTAGTATACTTACATATATGCATGTAAAACATAACTGGAAGTTGCTTCATTATTTTCCGTTCATTATATATGATCGTGCAAGAAAAATTCGTCACTTTAAAATTGTAAAATATGATAAAATAAATCTCATTGTAAAATGAACGAAATAATTAGCTTGAAAATGAAAACAAGGCGAAAGAATATGTATAAGCGTACAATTGGTTCATGCGCATGTACATAGTACAAACACATGAATGAATATATATATATATATATATTATAAACAGCAAAAAGGTGCCTTTTTTTTTCCCGTCACAAGAATAAGTTATAATGGATTATAGAGTGAATAAGCTTTGTGCTGCATGGTAGAATGAAGAGAATGAACCATAGATAAAATTAGGAAATTTCTTCTTCTATTTTTTGCTAAATATATACATGTATATTTCAAATTACAGGAAATGAAGAGCTGACTAAGGGCTTTTAAAACTTGCTCCTTCTTCTATTCCGTTTTATACATTTACATTTTATGTATACTTGCATGTAAATATTATTCACTTAAATATGTGATGTAACAAGCCCTTTTGGTACATAAATATTGTAACTTCTTTTATTTTTAATAAGGACATGTATATATATGGGAATATTTCTTTTTTTTTTCCTTTTTGTTTCACTATTTTTGCCAATCGCTGTTTTTAAGTTACATATATAAAACAGTACAGCAGAAGCTCATTCATGCTTATCTACATATTTATTTATGACTTTACGCGAACTTCCTGTTTTTTCTTTAAAAATTTCTTCATCCATTATTTTCTACTTTATTCTATTTTATTTGTTTATTTTTTTTTTTTTTTTCCCCATTTCCTGAATGGTTTTATATAAATTATAAAATCTTCCTGGAAAATCTCAAATTGTGAGTTTACAGATTTTGACATATAATGCAAAAAAAAAAAAAAAAAAGGAAAAAAAAGTACGAAAGTAAAATTTACATTTTTCCATTATCTCATTTATAAATATTTGAAAATTTTACCCTTTTTATAACTCAAATAAACAAGGAACAACTACATATATAAGGTTGCCGTTATATTACATTAACCAAAATGATGTAGGCAAAGAAAAAAAAAAAAAAAGAAAAAAAAAGGACATAATTAAATAGTTCCTTCCCCAAAGTATCATTTTTTTTTTTTTTTTTTTTTTCTTGTTGTTGTTCTTCCCCTTTTAATCGACAAGTATATTGAATGTAAATTTATATAATATATTACTTATTTTTTTTCGAATTTAAATATATGTTGTTTTCATATATATGAAAATTTCAATATATTTTCATACCTCCACAGGATCTTTATTGAAATATGAGATGCCTGTTTTAAATATTTACACACCTTTTAAACGATGTGAGAAAAGGTTTAACACGACAAGAGTAAAAAAAATTACATTTACAAATTAACAAAATTATATTACTTTTGATATATAACATTATATATCAGGTGTAATATAGCTTTTTCTTATTTTATATAAAAAGTTCTTCATCACATTTATGTTATTCCATCCGAACTTTATAGACACATTTATGTATTCACCAAACAATAGGCACAGAAAGAATAACAGCATTATTTTAATTATGTTTATGTAAATGAGAAAAGGAATAGCAAAAAAAAAAAAAAAATAAAATAAAATATTAAAAGTAGGTAACACTTGTTCCGTTCCATTTCATCTTCTTTTTTTTTCATCTGCTATGCCTTTTTTTTTTTTTTTTTTTTTTTTCACCATATTGTGGTGAACTTCCCCCAGACTTGTAAAAATATTGGAAGATATTTTATTCATCATCTGATTTAAATATCATGGGTTAGTTAATACACTGTTCTAATAGTTGCACATAGTTATATAATAGACCAAAATAATGTAACAATTTTTGTAAAATGAACTATAAAATTATCATTTTACATTTTAAGAAATGAAATTTTATACTTAACAAAAATTAACTTTTGCAGCGAGTTCTGCAGAAAAACTAACTTTTCAATTTCCTAATTTATACATTGTTTTTCCTTTTCTATTTAGCTATAAAATGAAAAAATACAAGTAACAAAAAATGTATGCAAATGTTTATATACACATATGAAGTGTTTATGACATAATTTCATGTGATTAATGAGCTCCTATTGTTAGATGCACATCATCATATAATATGAATTCCTTTTTTTTGTGCATTTCCTTTGTTCCATATTCTATTGGATAAGATAATACCCCTAAGGGTGAGCTACTATTTGTTCAATCTCTGTAACAACAAAAAGGTGTATTTTCATTTTAGATGAGAAAAAAAAAAGAAAAAAAAAAAAGTCCTTTTATGAATTTATAAAAATATAAATAAAATTTCCCCTTTTTTTCTTCTTTTTACATACAATTTTCCTTTCCTCATTCTTCAACTCGGCATTTTCTTCCTTTTTTGCTTCTTAAGGATTATATGTATTAAATATTTTCCTTTATTCATTGTGTGGTTTGTGTATGTTCAACAATGCACAAAAAATATATATATATATATGCATTTCAGTTTCGTTAAAATTACCTTTATAGAAATGCTTTGTGTAATATATTCTTTAGAATTTTAAAGATGGGACATGGGAAAAAACACCTCGGTGTAATATTAAGCATGTTGTCCTTCGAATGAAAAAAAAAAAAAAAAAAAAAAAAAAAAAAAAAAAAAAAAAAAAAAAAAAAAAAAAAAAAAAAAAAAAAAAAAAAAAAAAAAAAAAAAAAAAAAAAAAAAAAAAAAAAAAAAAAAAAAAAAAAAAAAAAAAAAAAAAAAAAAAAAAAAAAAAAAAAAAAAGAAAAAAAAAAAAAAATAATAATACACAACACAGTTACTAAATAAAGGGAAAATTCCAATCCTATGAATGCCAATGTTTTTTATTCTTATGATTTTAATTAAAGAGTTAAAACTTAACATAAGCATATGTTATCTATTTGAAAGGTAAAGGTAATAATAATACATATATGAATAAGCAGAAAGTTAAAAGGTCCTTAACCACGCCTTTTTTTCATGGTAATTTTTAGAGGCTCAAAAAAACTTCTAGTTAGCTGGGGCCTACAGATTCAGTTTTTATTATATTATTTGACATATAAAAAAACATACCAATTCTCTTGCATAAAAGAGTATCATCGTCATTCGTATATATATTTAATATATACACATAGTTTTTTTTCTTTGTAACTATATTCATCATTATTACTTAACACACATAAACATGCACATAAATATTAAAATTCATTGCCCTTTTTATCACCTTCTGCTAATGGCTACTCCGGGAATCGAACCCGGGACCTCTTGCACCCGAAGCAAGAATCATACCACTAGATCAAGTAGCCTAACAAAATTAAATAAACGAATTTATTCATTCTACTATAAGAAGAATGGAGATACTAAAGAAATATTATAGAGAACATAATAGTTTAACGCGGTTTTCCAAAATGTGATAATAATTCTCAACGAATGGTTAAGTTCCATCATGAAGTCATCATTTATGTTTTCAAGAAAGTGTAAAATTATATACATAATATGTGTAAGTATATTTATTTACATCCCAAAGCAGTAAATTATTCCGTTGAATAATATCCCACCGTTAGTAAAAATGACTATGTGTATTTATGTATAACCCTCTATTTTTTCATCAGAAATAAAATGTTTAAGAATACTTTCTCATGTTTTTAAAAATTTACTTAATTTATCATTATTATGATCGGTTTTATATATTACCCCGAAATTTTATTTTCATTATTTTTTTTTGTGGATGAAGGAGTTATCTCTTTTATTTATCAGTCAATTAACACATATGAAAAAATAAGGGAGGTTTTGAAATGTTGACCTTTTTTTTGTCTTTACAGTAAATAGTATTCTATACATGTTAGACAAAATGCATGTGGGAAACAACATTATTTTAAAATTAGTAATTGTGTGCATAGAAGGAGAACATGCTCATAAGTGGGTAGAGGAGCATGTGTACATGTATATATACATTTTCCTCAAAAGAGAAAAAATCTAAAGAAAAATGGAGACAAATGTTAAAATTAACAAAATTAATTAAAGAAGCTTCATTTTGTTTTATTTATTTGGAAGCATAAAGTTGCGTCTCCTTTTTTTAGGAACAATAACAAGTGAACAATTAATCATCAATAAGACGAAGTTCGATTGAGGGTGTGAAATGGGAAATTAGATGCATTTGTATGCCTGTGTGTTTATATAAATATGCATAGATGAACGCTAAAGATTATTATTCCCATTGAGCAAAAAAAAAAAAAAAAAAAAAAACAGAAAGGTTACACTACTTAAAAAAAAAAATAACAAAATAGCAAAAAAATAGCCAAAAATATGACCAAAATATGGCAAAAAAATAACCAAAAAATAGCCAAAAAATAGCAAAAAAATAACCAAAAAATAGCAAAAAAATAGCCAAAAAATAACACAATTCATAACGTACTTGTCAACGTAATGGGCAACCATGAATGAAATAAGGTAAAAAAAAAAAAAAACTAACTCATATTTGTTGTTCCCCGGTGTACATCTGTATGAGCACGACACACAGCTATTATCGCCAATGAGTACTTGTCCGGTCTAAAAAAAGACAAATTTGTGTTAATGCGTGTGCCTTTTATTTGGCAACTGTTAGAATGTTTTGAGCAATCTGTAAAATTATTTCTCGTTTTTGCAAAATTCGTATGAAATTCAAGTGAAAAACCAAATACCAAAGAACTATTTTTTGGACAAGTAAAATTAAGATATTCATCATCTTTGTCCTTTCCTGAATTTACACTACCCATATTTTTTACTTTACTATAAGTTTGTATATTTTCTAATCCATTTGTTGATTTATCTACGCAAGCAATATAAATCATACTTTGTTTCATTTTACTATTTTGTAAAACTGCTGAGCAGCTCGTTTGACCTGTACGACAAGGATATATATCCACTTTATTTGCAGATGATGAACCATTTCCTTTCATTAAGGCAAATCCAAATAAAATAACTAAATCTCCAGGACATGTTGCTGTTATTTTTGCAGAATTGCCTTGTTGTACCACTTGTGTTATGAAATCTAATTGTTTTTGTGAACACAATCCCCATATTCTTATGTCTGAATATTTTTTTCCAAACCCATTGCCACTACAGGATTCTTTCATCTGTTCACAGCTAGACATACCATTAATATTACTTAAGTCTTTACTTTTATAAAAATCTAAATTTATAGAAAATCCCATGAGAAGTGTAGTTCCTAAAGGACATGTTAGTAAACCTGGGGGAGGTCCAGCATACAATTCTTGTGTGCACTTTTCAAGATATTCACCTATGGATAGTACAACATGACTATATTTCTCATGACCAAATATTTGAACCCCATAAGTTAAACCATAAAATGTTAATGCGTCTTTATAAGCTAGTATCATATTAGGATCATCCATAAAATAACTAAATGGTAACAATTTGGTTCTTATAGGCATAGAATTCTTATTAATAGATTGAACCCATTTTTCAAAAAAAGTTGTATTTTCTATATTTAACCCTGGATTTCCTCCAAGAATTGATACATCTTTTGATGTTCTAAATTTGCTTAATATTTTTTGTGCTTGTTTATTATAAGCAGCTGATAATCCCATTTTGTGAAAATATAAATTAAAAAAAGTTTTTATACTTATGTTATTATCTTTCAATTTATTGTATTCCTCTTTATCCATATTCATTTTTATAACTATTTTTCCCCCTAAATAAATTTCATGCGCTACATGAGTACCATGTAGTTTAAAAAACAACATCCACTTATTTACAGTTTCTTCACATTTTGGTGTATTTAATTTGTTGACATAATATTCATATGAACATTCACTATCATCCTTCAACCCATCAAATGAAGGAGGTAATTTTTTTAATGCATTTTTAAAATTTTCTGTAAATCTCCATGTTGTTGTAGTTGGTATTCCAGTATAATAACGTAGACAATAAATTTTCATCATAAATATAACATTATTTTGTACTTTTAACTTTTTTAGTGCATTCTTATATTCTGCTGACGCGGAAAAGGAATATGGAAAAATGAACGGTGTGCTTACTTTAACATCGGTTAGTAATTCTAATTTATACTGTTCTAAATTTCGTATTTCTTCCACGTTTTTGGATTGACTACACGAATGTTCTGGTATTACCCAGGGGGTTAGTTTCGGTTGGAAATCTTCTGTTGATATTTCATCCTTGTGTAGGTTCCTTTTCCCAAGACTGCTGCTACTATGAGGGACACCGATTCCATTCGTGCTATTAGTTCTGATATTACTATTATTATACACATTCGGTTCTTCTATATTTATTTGCAGAACGGGACCCCTAAACCCTGGGTCCACGTTTATTGTTGGATCCCCCTCTGGGTTCCCCATAATTATGTCATAACCAAGACCTAGATATTTTAAGGACAAGTCTATATCCGTGTTCTGAGCCTTATCATCTGTTATGGGCTTTTCATTATTTATACCATTCTTTAACATGTTATCATCAATTTCCTTGAATTCTTTTTCATCAACAGACTGTTTTGTATTATGTAAACTAACAATATCGCTAATAAGAGCATCCTTTAGGTCAAACTCTTTAGAATATTCTCCCTTTCTTTCTGTATTTAGCGTTTTTAAAATTTTATTTTTTGTATTATTAATAAATACATCATCAATTCCAATGTTATTTGGATTTTTTAAAATGCCAATTATGTCATCTTCTCCGAATTTGGAATTAGCGATATCTTGATTTTCTTGCAATGAATTGTTGTTTTCTGTTATGTTCATATATTTTGAATAGTTCATATCTGAGCTGTTTTGAAGAGATTCTTGGTCTGTCAGACCCTTTATGATATCCTTCTCATAGTCCACATTATCATCCTTTTCTGTTTCGTTTGTATTAATATTTATTGGGAATTTTACCTCAATGAATTTTTCTTTTTCGAAAAAATTTTCTCCAGAGTAACCCATGCTGTCGCTATACGAAAGAAATGGTTCTATGTTTTCTCCCCCATTTTTAAATCGTTCATTTTCGTTTTGTATAAATTTTTTGTTGCCCTTCTGAATTCTGATTTTATTTTTTTCTTCTTTTATGTTTTGCTGATGTTTTGAGGGAGTAACTGTGTTTGTCATAAAATGACTAAAGGTATTAACATCAATTGATTCCGTGTTAATATATTTTTTTTTTTCTTTGAGATTATTTATGTACAGATTGTTTGACAATTGATTCTTATTATGTTTTCCCATAAGGTCTAACATGATGGAATTATAATTATGCTTATTTATAGGGATAGCCTGATCCACTTTTTCTTTCCAGTCATGCAATTTTTTACTAGTTTCTTTTTCCTTTTGTAAGTTACATGACTCGCGATTTGTTTTATTACCATCTTTTTCCTTAAATCTCCCTGTTTCTTTGTGCTCTTTAATAAGCATAAAGCTGGAACACGCGTGTCCACTACATTTTATGGATTCGCTCTTTTCATTTGATTTTACACCCATATCCTCATATTCATCATTTTGACGGTATTGCCTTCGTGCATACTTGTTAAAGCATCCATATAACGGGCTACTTAAGAGCATACCGTTGTTATTTTTCAGTCTTTTATTTTTTCTTATCGAGTTTATATCTATAATGTATGACTTTTCTTCATTTAAAAGATTCGAAAAGTTAAAATTTTCTAAATTATATTCGTTGCCATTTTCGTAAAAGTGTAAATTCCCATTTGCTTCACATTTCATACAGTATATTGAAAAGTACACTACGAGTAAATGAACAAAAATAGATTCCACAGTTGTTCTCATTAATTATAGTTGTATTATACATAGATTCAAATGTATTTACTAAATTCAGGATATTTATTACTTAAGCATACATCTTTTTCTTTAACTTTTTTAGACATATTTTTAGTTGAAAAATGTCTACAATTTTGAATAATAGAATTAAAAAGCTAGAAATACAAAACTTAATGGAATTTAAAATAAAATTATTTTTGTTCACATCAAAAGGCCCTTTTCCATAAAAGTAGAGTAAAAATTAATTATACTTTTTACGATTCAGAAACGAACATATATAAGAATTTTAAGGAATATTATAATTTTGACGAATCTCAAAATTGAGGACGTGTATGCACGCATTCATTGCTGTAAATATAGGAGCTAAGAAGAAACATGTGCATACATATGTCTTGTTAGAATTAAATATAATAGTTTTATTTAATAGGGGAAAGAAATAAGATTATTTTACTGCCCATTTTGCACATGTACAAAGTTTGTCCTTTTATATACTTCACTTTTTTTTTTTTTTTTTTTTTTTACCCAAAATTCACTGTTCTTTTAGCTTTAGAAAGAAAAAATGGGAAAATAAAAGATTCACGTAATTCATTATTTTATTTTATTTTTTATTCATTTTAAAAAGCTTTGGTGGTATAATAAACTTCCATAATGTGTGCATACATTTACTTATTTAACATTTTTTTTTTAATTTTTATAGGAGTTCGCTACAAAGAGATTTTAATAAAAGATTAATGTTTCCATGTCCATGATTAAGCATCCTTGTTAATATAAACAGGTCTTAATTTAAAAAGTAATAACATTTCACGCACAAAGAAAAATAAAAAAAAAAAAAAAAAAAAGAGCAAAAATATCTTTTCGGTTTCCTTCTTCATGAACCTACATATTTAAGGGCAATTGTAGACAATAATATAGCCTATCAAAATGATCCATTTTGAGTTCGAGATTTACTGATTGCGCTTTGTAAATTTCTCTTTTGGTCGTAAAACTATTAATGGTCACGTTTCCGGTTACATTTGTTGTGTGTATGTACATTTGATGTGTGCTAACGTGAAAAGGAGAGAAATTTAAATAAATTTCAATAATAAACATATATGTGGTATGCACAATAATCTGTTTTGACAAGCATGTGTGAATATTCGGTTTTATAACACATATTGAAAGGATCTTCAAAATGGAATATATAAGAGAACATTCACATAAAACATACATTATTCTGAAGACAAAAAATCACCTTTTTTTTTAATTGAAGACAAGAAACAATGTTTTTGCATAAAATAAATTTTAGCTATTTTGTATGTGACCCCCTTTTTTCTTTTTTTTTTTTTTTTTACTTAATGGCAACCATATGTGATAAATTACGCCCTATAATAAAACCATTTTGAAAACATAACGAATCCTGAAATTGACTGTTTCACAGCTTATTAAGTTACCTGATGAAAATAAAATGCACATTTTTGAAACACACATGGCTGTATGAAATACAGCTATTGGACAAAAAAAAAAAAAAAAAGTACACGTGCATACATGAGAAATGCTTTGTGGAAAAAAAAAAAAAATGACCACATATTTTTAGACCAGGATTATGTCTCTCAAAAATTTTAGCTAGTTGTCTTGATCATTTTAATGCCAAATTTTCTTGAATTTGTTTTGATAACAGGAGTTGTGAGCAAAATAATAAAAACAGCCACAACATGTGTAACAACATTGTTCATAAATTATTACACCATTGGCTATACTTTTTTTTTTTTTTCATTTGTGCATGCTAAAATATAATGGGAGTGTGTCATAAACACAAAAGTCATGCACAAAAAAAAAAAAAAAAAAAAAAAAAAAAAAAAAAAAAAAAAAAAAAAAAAAAAAAAAATGAACATGTGATTTACTTGATTAAAAAGTTCTATAGAACGTTGATTTTTTTTTTTTTAATTTGGCTTTATTTATTTTATTGATTATTAGAACTAAATATATAACACCTGAACACAATAAGAGAGCATAAAAATATGAATAAGGCTCTGAAATTTACATTAGCATGCTTAAAAAAAAAAATGAGCCTTATGAAACACTTTGTTAAGTGTATGACCACTGAAAGTGTGCATGTAAATTTAGCTTAAATCTCTAATTTTAATTTTTTTTTTTTTTTTTTCACTTGTGTATATATTTTTACACCATTTATTTTAACCAAACATAAAAAAATAAAAAAAAGAGGACACATAAAATTAAATAAAATATAAAATTATTACTTTTAATTTGTGAAAAATATTTTTTTTAAATGAATGATTTAAATTAAATTCGTGAAACATTTAAATGAAAAAATATAATACCTGTCTTTTTGTGTTTCCATCCAATTTATATATTAAACATTTGCTTATTTGAATAATTTTCATCAAATATATCTCCTCAACATTTATTTTTAAACGATCTCATTCCATTACACAAACAAACACACACATATATATATATATATATATATATTTAACAAAATAAAAATAAGACAAAATGAATAAAGTAAACCGATTATCGATTGTTTCTGCTTTCATAGCACTTTTTTGTTTCGTAAATGTGTTGTCCTTGAGGGGAAAGAGTGGATCAACTGCAGCTTCATCATCTCTTGAAGCAGGAACTGAATTTTCTGAACGTATAGGAAATAGTTTATCGTCATTCCTTTCTGAGTCTTCATCATTAGAAGTAATTGGAAATGAATTAGCTGATAACATAGCAAACGAAATTGTTAACTCATTGCAAAAGGATTCAGCATCCTTTTTACAAAGTGGATTTGACGTAAAATCTCAGTTAAAAACTACTGCAAAGAAGGTGTTATTGGAAGCATTAAAAGCAGCATTAGAGCCAACAGAAAACATTGTAGCCTCAACAATCAAACCACCCCGAGTTAGCGAAGAAGTATACTTTTTAATAGGCCCTGTAGTTAAAACTCTCTTTAACAAAGTTGAAGACGTTTTACACAAACCAGTACCAGATAAAATATGGGAATATGAAGCAAAAAGAGGTGCATCTGATGAAGAAGAAGATGAAGATGATTTCTCTGATGATTTGTTGGATTAAGCATATAATTTACACACTATATATATTTCCTATAAAAAATAATATGCATAATAAACAAATGATAAATAGGGGAAAACATAAGTAAATAGATAAATAAACAGGTACGCACAATTTTGGATAACTCTCATGATGTTTTGAAAGGACAATAAACTATATTATGGGATTAACACATTATTATATTTCCATATAAACAAGGTTTTTTTTTAAATTCTGTCTTTGTTTTCTTTCCGCTTTAAGTTGTATACATTTTTTCTTTTTTGTGATGATTTTATTTTCCTACATTTTAACGCTGTTTTATATTAACATGAGAAAATTGACATTTGATATTTCATAATTTTATTTTTTTTTTTTTTTTTTTTTTTTTTTTTTTTTTTTTTTTTTTTTTTTTTTTTATTATTTTTTTTTTTTTTTTTTTTTTTTTTTTTTTTTTTTTTTGTTTTTGTTTTTTTCTGTCAATATCATTTTTTTTTTTTTCACCCACAAGTAAAAAAACATTAAGTGAACATATAGTAAACATTTTAAAAATACGTTAACATTATTGTGCAACAAATCCTATGATAATAAGTAAAAAATGAGTAATTTGGTTAAACAAAATTTATTTCCACTAATTAAGAATGATTAATTTTGAGTGAAAAGGATAATATACACAACTGTTCTCCTATGTTTCATTTCAACTTATCATCCAGACAAAAAAAAAAAAAAAAAAAATATACATGCGAATATTCATATATACACACGAATAGATATTCTAAGCTATCTGTGCTATTCGTTACTATTATTAGCTGGAATCAAATATATGATAAATGTGTAATAGGAAAAAAAAAAAAAAAAAAAAAATGTACAGCACAAGTATATGTAGTATAATATAGCTAGGAAAAACATTTTTCAATTTGAGCAAAAGATGCATATGTAGGGAAAAAAAAGAAAGTACATCTAGCTATAGAGTTTGTGTAAAAAATAATTACACATGCTGCGAAAAAAAAAAAAAAAAGTGCTTTTTATATTTTAAATACATATATAAATATTTGAATTTTAGCTCAGCATGTCCCTGACCACATTTTAAATGGTACTATCTCTTAAGAGTGTTTATTATAGAAAAAAATATTTATCACATTTTAGGACACAAAATTTCCGCTACGGGGTAACATCATTAAAATTATAGAATTTCGTTAAAATAATATATTATAATAATTTTCTAAGAATAACTTAAAAATAAAAAAGTGTAATAAGGTTTATATTATATTTCTTTAAAGAGAGCAGATAATTTTGCGTTAATATTTTCTTAATAACTTTATGTATTATTTAAAACAATATTTATGTGTGTAAAAAGTAATAACTTGGGTGAATAGTACAAGTTACATATTTCGAGGAAGATCTTTAATTGAATAAATAAAATACGTGAGAAAAAAAAAAAAACATATGAATGAATGCCTAAAAGGCAATTACATACGAACTTATGAAAAGTAAGAATATTCCAATATAGAAAGGCTTAAAAAATCCCTAATCACTTTTACATTATTCCAAAAATTACCGCCAATTCGATCGTACAATGAAAAACTTAAAATTTTCCATATTAAACATTTCATGTCTATTAATTTTTTATTTGAGTTCTCAAAATGTGTACTACGATTGTATCAACACAGGAAAGACACTAAAAAATGTGCACCATAATAATACAAAACCCAATGTAAAAGATAATAGCTTATCAACTGAATGGAGTGAAAAGGGATATAATTTCATGGATTTGGTGAAAAATGGATACTTAAAAAATAAAGGAGATTTAGACAACGTGAAAGACTATTTAGCCGATGAGTTAGCTAAAAAAATACAGAACAAATTAGGGGATTATTTGAAAGACGAAAAAAATTTATATGATCTAGAAAACATGGATGATGAAGATGTAAATGATTTTAAAAATTATGCAAAAGACATTTCGCAATACATAGGCTTGAAAGCTGCTGATATATTAGATACGAATCTAGGAGAAGCTCTTAAACCGTTTTTGTCAAAAAATTCTTACACCAATTTTGAAAAGGCTTTGGATAATAAACAATCAATTAATTTAGAATTCGATGAACAACAATCGTATGACGAAGATGTTACGGATGAAAATACCAAGGATGGAGATTCTAATGACATAGAAGTTAATGATGAAACAGAAGAATTTATAAATGAATTAGTTGATGAATATGAAGATAAACATCACAAGGAGTTGGAAGAGAATGCTCAAGAAATAAAAACACATAATAACTTGGATTAAAGAGAACGCAATGGAGGTGGTAGCGGAAGAAAACAAAAAAAGGAAAAAACACATACAGGCACACACATCTAATATTTTTTTTTTTTTTTTACAAATATAATTAAAAAATACAAGAATAATAATATATCTTTGCGTACATATTGAATAAAATGAACAAGTAGAAAAAAAAAAAAAAATATCAATTTCATATTTTTTCATTTTTCTTTAGTATTCAATTTTATAAAAATATTCCAAGTCTTTCAACAGTTCTTTATGCTTAATCTTTAAATGCATATGGTGTAATTAGCTTTCTATTTATTTTATTTTTTTTATGCCCAAAAATGTTCCATCTGAAGTTAGTACACCTACTTTTATTATTACCTTTATAGAGACCCTTATACTTTAATGTAACTATGCACACCAATATATCATTGTTTAAATGATGAAGTAGAATCTACAGGTATTTATAAGAATGTCCCTAGTGGTGTATTATTCCATCAGAATATGCTTATGCATGTGTTGCTTATTTCGCAATATATTCTCCATTTGTTCATCCTTCTCTCCTTCCTCTCTTTTGTGTGTGTTTGTGTAAAACAGTGTGAGAAATGTTAACAGATGGGTAAAATATACACACATATATATATAAATATATGAACGCTTACGTTTATTTCAATCTCTACAAATATAAAAGGTATATACTATTATATTTAAACGTCTATATGTAAAATTTCTTTTAACCAAAAGAAAATTTCTACCCAGGTTTAGCATATCTCTTCATTCACAAAGAGAATGAACTCCAGTTATGCATGTGGCAAATAAGTAAAATGTAAGAACATGATAAAATGTTGCCACTACAGCATATACATATATACATGTACATGTAGGTCATATATGTATGAACACATTTCTTAGTTGAAAGGACTGTTTTCAAAAAGGAAAGTTTCGTGGAGTAATACCTATTTTTATAGGAATGTAATATTTAGACCAAAATAAGTTGCGAAGAAGATTCCTTTGCATTAAATTTCATAGAGGAAATTGCAAGGAAGTTATAAAAAAAAAAAAAAAATGAGACGATTAAATTGACTAAGGTATTAAAAAGGATTACATAATATTCAGAGAATATTTTACTTGAATATATGCACACACTATCTTCACGTTGTGTGAGGTATTCCCTTTTTTACGTGCTTGTATAACATCGTCGTTATAAAAAAGGAGCATAACTGTAGTGATATATGTTTACGGTAAATTTCAGTCGTTTTATAATTTAAAAAAATAAGATTTAATAATTTTTATTGATTGTAAAAAGAGTGAACAAAAAAAAAAAAAATGAGCTGAAAAATTGAATAATGGAATTTTACAAAAGAACGAGAATAGGAGAAAGTACGCGGATTAACAAAAATGCAGTACACATAATAAGTGGGTGTAAAAAAAAGAAACAAATGATAAAGGTAAGAGATAAGTGGAAATAATCAACTCTTCACCTTGAGCAGATTAAAGATATATTTAAGAACTGTTTGAACAGTTATAGTAATTAAAATTTTGTATAAATTATAAAATGGCAAACACTTGAAAAATGCATGATTTACAGTAATAGACGCAATGTTATAAAAAAAGAAATAGCATATAAAGTATATTTTATTGTGAAATGCATTTTTTTCCTCTAAACATTTGAGAGATCCAAATATTGGAAGAATAAAAAAGAAATAAGCAAAATATATTTTAAGAATAAAGGAAGGGAAAATTAAAAGTATTAGTTGTGGCATGTATATTAACAAATTAATAAATATTTTTATATAAAGTGGTAATTTAACACTTTCTATGACATTTTCTGTAATTACTGACTTTAGACATGTAAAGCTGAATTTAACTGTTTCATTTAATTTTAATTTATCTTTCATTATTTTTGATATATTAATTAATAAATTACTTCTTTCATTATATGACATATCTTGATCTGTTTTTTTTTTTTCTTTCTTTTCTTCGTTTTCTAATCTTACATTAAATAAGGTATATAAAACAAAATCGACAGTACTGACTAACACATTCTTTAAAACACGAACAAGAATAGATGATTTGTAATCCTTTAAAAAAACAAATTCATGAAATTTTTCACTAATGTTTAGACATATTACAAACAAGGTAAAATATTCAAACATAAAGGAAGTTTTATTATAACTGCTGAAAAAAAAGAAAAAGTTAATAAATTTTAATATGCTTGTAAAGAGCCAATATTCTAATAAAATAGGAACATCATAATACACAACCCGGCTTTTTTCCTCTTCAGCTTTATGCTTATTGGAATATTCCAAAACGATATCTTGATTGTTTTTTCTTGTACATTTGTCATCACTCTCCTTTACGTTTTTTTTTTTTTCTTTTTTTTTTGAATTAAATCCAAAATTTTCCAAGTTAAAGAAGGGAATTTTTTTTTTCTTCTTAGCTTTTGTTTCTACCTCCTGATTTTCATCTGACTGGTCCAAGTTCCCTGCTTTGCATTTCTTGTTTTCATTCGTATTACCCTCCTTTAAATTTTGCTCGTTTAAATTTTGCCCGTTTAAATTTTGCCCGTTTAAATTTTGCCCGTTTAAATTTTGCCCGTTTAAATTTTTCTCCTTTAAGTTTTGCTCCTCTGAATTTTGCTCCTCCGATTTTCCCTCCTGTATTTCCTTTCCCAACTCTGCTTCATTTTCTCCCTTGTCTTCTCTCACTTCCTCATCGGACGTTGGATCCTTTACAGAATCTTCATCCCCTGAATTTTTCTTACCATTTGTGACATTCTCATTTTCTAAGGGTTCTTCATTTTCTCTTGTTTTTTTATTTAAAGTTTCAACTGTCTCGAAGGATTTTTCATATTTAGTATCCTCCAAGGTACAATACTCAGTGATGGTATTTATATATTTTGAATCTAACTTCTGCTTAAGTGTATTCATAACACAGTCGTTTATGTTGGACAAGTAGACATATTTCAAAATGATAACAATTGAATAAACAGATGGTAGGGGAAAAAAAAAAGAATAAATAAAAAAAGAAATATAATATACTGGTATGGTTTTTACTAAAGTAATATATAATAAGAAACTCATAATATATGGCAACATGGTAAACAGAAAATTATTAATCTTAAATACTTTTTTTAGTAAGTATTTGTAAAATTGAGAAATTTTATTTAAAATACATTTTATAATTCCAGAATATAACAGATATAAAAATGCTAAAAAAATGGATGTCATACTTATAATGTACTTCTTCGTTTTGCAATCCAAATTTATGTATAATTTTTTTAATTTTAAAAATGTCCATTGCAAATATGGTTCTATAATTGTAAACCATAAAAATAAAATCTTTAATAATGATATTAACACTATTCCGTAGGCATTCAACATATGATAACTTGATCGCAGTGATATTATTAAAAAAATTTTCGAATTTTCAAAAAACTCGATAAATAAAGAAATAATATGTTTACTATTTGTTTCACTATTCATTTCTGTAAAGAATGGATGAAAAACTTTCCTTACTCCTTTCTTTAATTTGTTAATTCGAGTGTCCTTGTAATTTATAATTTTATATTCTTGCGATTCATTAAAATTATCACTGTAATGAATAGAACAAAATTCATTATTAAGACTACATTCTCCAGTTTCCTCACCCCAACTACTCCTGTCTCCATGAATGTCACCCATTCGCCCTGCACCCCAACTTCCCTTGTTATTTCCACCTCTATAATAGTACTCTATGTTAGTGTTTTCATTCTTCACTTTTTTATATACAACTAAGACTATGCTAAATATAGATACTATTATAAATATGAAATACTTCTTGAACATTTTTCAATTACTCTGTGTGTGTTTTTTTTTTTTTTTTTTTTTTTTTTTGGTGGTTTATTTGTTTGATCACAAATGCTTGGCATATTTTTATCGATTAATATTTCATTTTTAAAAAGTTTAAGAATTTAAGATATATACATATAAATTTATCATAACAATCTTCTGATACATAATTATTTTATTTTATTTTTTCCTTGTTATCTTCATTTTTCTAATTGTTTTCATATTTACTGGGTTGCGCGAATACTATGTGTGAATGTCACATTCTACATTCATGTGTTTCTTCCTCCGTTTTTTTTTTTTTTTTTTTTTTTTTTTTTTTTAATTCATATAAAAGGTCTCCCTTAGGAGTTGAGTTTATCTTTCCCTAATTCTTCTTTCATGCGAAACGAGCTCGGCGTGATAATGTGTAAGTGCATGAAAAGTTTACGGGAATTCCAAAAGGAGATAGTACTGTCGTGTCTCACATATTTTTACTTTCTCTCAGTTACAAATGTTTATTCCTCCCAGTTGGTCTCTCCTAAAAAAATATCACTTCTTCTGAAGATTTCCTTATTCCGTGTCCTCACTTAAAATATCTCAATATTTTGACGATTTAAAATGTCGAAAATATATAAACATGTAGCAACATAGATGGACAAACAAAATAATTCAGCACGATTGGGGTTAAAAAAATATGTCTATAATTTTGCTTAACCCGTGTAAAATAATGGCATATATATATATATTATTATAAGCACATTGCATATGCATATATATATATATATATACACATATGGTTATGTACACACATTAAGTCCTTTTCCTTGAATTTTTCTTTATTTAACGAAAATTTGAAGTATTTAAGATTTAAATTAACAAAATGTGTGCAAAAAGCTTAACACGGAAAACAGATCCTGCTTGTAGATATCCGCTTTTTCAAAACGGGCAACAGAAATTAAAATTTTTAATACACTTCATACACCAAGTGTTATAGAGCATGTATAAACATTCATGGTATGTACATGCATATACACATATGTACATATATATATATATATATATATATATATATATATATATATATATATACATATAAAATATATAAATATATAAATATATTTTTCCGCTATTTTTTACATTTTATTACAACATTATAACATATCCTGCAATCAAAACAAGTATTGTAATTGAGTATAACAACATAAGGGACGACAAGTGATGAAAAACCCCTTTGCAAATTTTTTGTAGGTGTTCGGTTGGCAAGGTAATAAGGTTTTGAAAAGTTAGTATATGTACATAAGTTGCCTGTTTGTAAAAATTTAATGAATGGAACACGGAGTACTTGCAACCCACAAATGTAAAATTTTTTCGTGTACATTTAAAAAAAAAAAAAAAAAAAAAAAAAACAGGAGTTTTTTTCTTAATATATGTATATTTATACATTTCGACGCGTTTTCTTTTTCATTGCCTTTTTTTTTTTTTTTTTTTTTTTTTTTTTTTTTTTCTTTTTTTCCTTTTTTTTAAACTTTTTCAAAGAAAAATGGTTAAGTAATAAATTTAAAAAAAATAATTTTTTCTTTTTTTTTTTTTTTTTTTTAGGGTTTTAATTTAAAAAAAAAAATAAATAAATTTAAACTTTTTGGTTTTTTGCTTTTTTTTTTTTTTTTTTTTTTAATCTTTTTGTTCTTTTTTTTTTTTTTTTTTTTTTTTTTTTTTTTTTTTTTTTTTTTTTTTCTTTCTTCATTTCTTCCCTTCTTTTACAACTTTTTCAAAGAAAAATGGTTAAGTAATAAATATATAAAAAATAAGTTATTCATTTTTATTTTTCTTTTTTAAGGGTTTAGAATGATAAGAACACATACATAAATTTAAGCTTTTGTGTTATTGCGCTTTTTTTTTTTTTTTTTTTTTCACAAGTTGTGCCAAGTGTTTTTATCCCACCTACTGAAAATTAAACTGGTAAATGTGAAAGTATATATAACATGTATATATTACTCATGTATATAATACTTATGCATATATTATACATATGTTTACATTTTCGTTTTTAAAGGCTTACTCAAACTTAACATGAACTGCTTCCCAAGGGTCCTGGATAGTGTATAAACCATATACACATATACTTGTTTGTTACCTGGAAATTGTGCTGAAAAAAAGATGGTTCATCTCTCCTCCTCCCCCCCCCCCCCCCCCCAAAACTACCGCACCTCCCTTCTACTTCCTC